GGGACAACCCCAAATTTGTTATCCTGAACGACTTGGAGGATAGAAATCAGCACTGGCCCAAGACATTTTGCTACCTGAGGTGAAGGACAGGATGGCATCCCCATTTTATGTACAGAAACCAACTACTGGCAGCTGCATCTTACTTAAACCATTGGCAGCTGCAACCTTTGCCACACCTGAGGGCAGCAGGGTAGTTTAGAGGGTCCTGGACAGGCCATGTGGCACACACAGCTCTGTCCTCCAAAGAGGAATTGGCCTTGGAGCTGCCACTGCTGCTTCCCCCATCATCTGCTGCCTGAGGTGTTCACTTCATTCTGCCTAACAGTAGAGCCGGCCATGATGGAAATCCATATCAATAAATGTTATTGCAACACATGCAAGCATGTAGCTTCCAGTTCCAGCACAATTAGAACAGAAAGTAATTTTATTTGCAGTGCCCCCTAATTGCATTAAAAATTGAAACTAATTACATCTCTCCTTAATTACAAATTATAAAATAAAGAAGGCGTTTAAAATCTGCACAGCCAATTGTAACAATAACAATGGTATGTAAACTTGCCAGCAACAATTAGAACACCCTTCTGCCTCAGGAGGCTGAGATCACCAAGAACAGTTTTTACCCTGGAAACGCTTGGCATCAAGTCTTGAGGTCTGTTTCTAGCTTATAACATTGCTAAAGAACAACAAAAATCTGAACTTGAATGCATGACAGAGGTGCTCCATGACAGGTGGGGAACCTGTGGCCTTTCAGATGTTGGACTACAACTCCCATAATCCCTGAGCAATAGCCAAGTTGCCTGGGACTGAAGACAGTTGTAGTCCAACAACGTCTTGAAGGGCCACAGATTCCCCACCCTTCTGCTATGCACGAAGGCTGGTATTAGGCAGTACAGAACTGGTCCAATTTAGCTAGAACACTCTTGAAGAGTTTTGGAGAAAAGAAAGGGGAACAGTAAAATGGGCAGAAAGAGAAATATACTGTTGTCAAACTCTAGCCACAAGGATGGCATATTTGTTTTGAATAAGTTAGTGATTCTTGGATTTTGGAAAGACATTCTGGAGAAGATCAGGGATACTACTTGCCTACATTCATAATCCAAAAACTTCTTTTAAAATGTTGGAAGAAGACTGCAAACTGATAACACATGTCTGTTAATTCCAGCTAGAATCTGAATTGCAACTTTCTGGACATTTTCTGCTGTTAGGTCTATGTTGGATAGGCTTGGATCTGGACAATATCCTTGTTGACAAAACATGTCGGAAGACTGAAAGAAGGAACAAACAAATCCAAGTTTATTAAAAGATTTTATTCATCCCTTACTGGGATGCTAATTTTCAAGGTGATATAGGGGGGTATGGGGGCTGTTTTCACATCTGTAAATATCTATAAGTATAATTCTCTTTTTAAGTCTTGGACACTATAATATAAGAATAGCCTTGCTGGATCAGGCCATCTAGCCCATCCTCTTGTTCTTACAGTGGTCAGCCAGATGCCCATGGGAACCTTCAAGTAGGACCTGAGTGAATCATTTACACACTTTTCATAATAATAAAGAAAGATGAATTGAAAATTCAGGTATAGATAGGCAACAAACATAAATATAACCTCTTCCCATATGTTCGCATGCTGGTAGTGCTCCTGTTGTGACCCACCTTGGATCGGGCTGTGACCCAACCCGCCAATTGAAGACCAGTAGCCTATAGGGATGATTTGATTATCATGATGGCCTGAGGTTTTGATATATGCACAATAAATATATTTTTCTGTTGAATTTGACACCTGGTTGCCTCTTTTAAGACCTGAGAGGCTGGTATCAAATTATGGAACCCATGGATCAGGGTGCTTTTTATGTGTAACCTCCTCAGGAACTATCTACACAGAGGAGCAGATGTGGAGGCAAGGGCAGGGTTGGCTAGCTGTATTGTTAATCACTGCACTTGAGCATAGATTGTTGTTTTCACTGTGTAAATCCTGGCACCACTAGAGTTCGGCATCCTGCCCAGTGCTTGGTGTTCTTCCCTTTCATGCATTTTACTATAATTTCACTCTGTATATATATATATATTAATCAGGGGAGTTCCCTCTCCAAACTCTTCTTGCTTTATGGAAACGTTTCACAGTACATGTGCCAGAATGCAGACGCCCAAGCTAGGTCTTGAAAAGCAGATTACTATTGTCAGAGAGACAATAAAAGAACGGATCGGCTCGTCAACTGCCCAGTGTATTGCCTCATTGCTTCCATGTGCTACTCTTTTGGTATTCATGTTGGCTCTTATGTGTACGTTCTTGAGGCATAGATTGAAGTTATTTGTCTAGAGTCCAGCACTGTATGCCTTATACTGGTGGATTTCTAGATATAGCCGCAGTATGTCTCTGATAATTTACCAGAAAGCAAGTGCTACTAATTCAATAGTACACTTTCCTGCAGGTGTTCTTAGGACAGCATTCTTCTTGTCACACACATAAGGAAGGGAACAGATACTTCCCAGTCAGCACAAGAGGATAGACTTATCAGTGTCCCCTAATCAAAGATACGTGTATTTGTTTGTGTATTGTATTGGCATTCCAGTTCCATCTTCAGGCAATATATCTGAACTACAGAACTGGAACCAGTGCAATTTGGCTGGAGCAATTTGCAAGTATTGGTGCAACTGCGGTTCCATGCAATTTGGCTGGTGCTTCTCCTTTAAATTTGGCAATCCCTGCTTCAGGCAGTGTCATGTTTCTTTCCCCAGCAAAGGGGAATGTTAAGTCCTAGGGTATCAATGGTGGGCAAAATCCTCTTGGGACACTTTTGATGAGTGTTTGTGGCACCAGCATCATGTGAGATCAATAATGCTTGTTGGAGCAACGAGAAAACAAATACAATTCCTATCCACCATCTAGGTAAGTTGAAGTACTTGGATGAAAACTGATACAGTGCCACAGGAGTCACTGCCAGGAATTCAAGCTGCAAAACACATGAATGTCCATAGAAAAGAATGCTAGTGTCAAAATTCACACTCACAATACAGTGGGGAACACATGGGCAGGAGTGCAAGGAAACATCTGCTTCTACTACAGTGGGGCCCACACATGGTAATAGATGTGCTCTGCTTATATTTTACAAGCTTACTTAAAGATAGTCATTGATACCAGACAAAAAATCAGTGGCAAGTGAGATCTGAACAGAAATGCACAGCATTCAAACTGATGCCACTGACAATCTTATCCATAAGTGAGGTAAGGCTCATTAGACTCAGGGGTACTTACTTCTGATTGAGGTTGCAAGAGTTAGCTGGCATAGCACAACTTAGTCATTTAACTTTGCTTAATAGAGACCACACAAAGGGAGAGTACTCTTGTACTCAGATTCTGCCTGCGGGTTTCCCAGAGGCAATGGGTTTCCCAGTGGTTGGCCACTGTGAGAACAGGACACGGGACTGAATGGGCCATTGGCTTGATCCCACAGGCTCTTCTTATGTTTATGTTCTTAATATTAGGTTGACAGTTAGGCATTGAAATTCCTGCTCCATTATCATTGTAGTTCCTCATTTGTAGGCAGGTAGGCAAAGATATTCTTCCACCTAAAATATTTGTATTACAATCCCAGCTTCAAAATGGGCAATTCCTTTGCTAGGGACACTGCTTGACAGCGTTAAACACTAGGGATACTGGAGTGCTTGTGTTTATCCTCAATTACTGCTGTAATGAGTAGCTAACGTATTTATTCTGTGTATGTTTAAGCTTTGATTGAATTGCCACAGACATTTCATTGCCATTTGACGCCATTGCATACAATCCTATCTACCGCCCACACATCTCCATGTCAACTTATAGGTAATATCCACAAAAGCTTATGCCACAATAAATTCGTACGTCTTTGGTTAGCATCTGTTTGTCTCTGGAGACAATGAAAGAGTGCGCCTTCAGGGGTAAAGTCAAACCATTGGAGAGTTACAGCACCTGCTGTGGCTGTAGAAACAGATATGAGAAAGACATAGTTTGTTGCAGCTGAGGCACATGAAGGCGTCCAGTTGTGTTGATGCAGCTGTACCATGGCGTTCCTTCTTTCTGCGCTCATTTATGGTGCCACAAAAGCATTATCACCATCTGCTAGAGCCCCATTCTTTCATTCCCATCTCATCCCATCTCAGATCATGGATTCCCAGTTCCTGAAACTGTTGAAGCCTCCCAAGTCAGTTTTTAAGAGCCTGCATATCTGATCCTATGAAGTGAATATTGTTGGACTGCAGACGCCTGCTTTTCCAAAGGAGTTGAAGGCACTGCAAAGCTCTACAGCAGTGTGTGCGCGCGCATGGGAAGTGAAAGAGCAGTTCATCTGCCTTTTGCTCCTCTGAAGCAGCTGAGTCTACAACAGGGAGGAACTAGGGGTGAAAGGCACTGAGTGTCAACTTTTAGCATGTGTCTGCATCAAGGGACTCGTGGGGGGCGGTGGTGGTGGTGGTGAGATGTGTCCTGGTGATGGATTGGATGGTATGTTAGTGGAAGGGACAAGTGGTGGGGTCAGGTGGTAGTGGGGAACTCAGTGGTGTTGAGAGTGTGCTAGTTTAATCTGTTGGGGAGGAAAGAGTGTCAAGTATATGTGAGAACAGGAGCAAGCTCCAGGCTAGGGGGAATCTTGGAGAGTTGGGAATGAGGCAGCAGGAAGAGGGGGTGCTCCACGGAAGGAGAGGAGATTAGTAGGGAAGACTGGGGAGAGCGAAGGGGTCAGGGCTTTAATGAAAAGGAAGGTCAATGAAGTTCCTCACGGGACAGCAGTGTCGCCACGCCAGCAAGAAGGGTGGCAATCTAAAGTGGCGAGGAGGGGTGACTCGGGCTGCGTTTGGATGAGACAGGATGACAGCGAGGGCTATATACACGGTGTGTGTCGCGAGGGGGGGTTGAGGGGGATTGCCCCGGGGTGGTGCCCATCGCCGGCGCTGCTGCCGCGCGGGACGGGTAGGGGGGGGTGCTTGGGAGGGAGGGAGAGGCGGGCGCGGGGCGTGGGGGGAGGCGGGGCGGAGGTTGCTGCCTGAGCCCCCGGGATCGGTTCGGCTCGCCTTGCTCCGACCCTTTGCACTACAGTCGGCGCCGTCTTGCTGCTGCTAGTGTCGCCGCTGTAGTCAAAACTCCTACCGGCCTAAAAGTTGTCTGGTGCAAAATCCCTTCTGCAGCAGCAGCCCGAAAGAAAGCGAGAGCGCCAGCCAGCCAGCCGCCCGCCGCGGGCAGGAGGGAGGGAGGGAGCGTCGGCGACGGTGGATGCCTATTGCCCCTGTTGCTGCTGCAGCCGGCCAGCCAGCCAGAAGCGCGCGAGCGGAGAGGGGCGCATCCAGCCCGTTGGAGAGAAGCGCGGGGGCGCGTCCCCGGTGGCTCCCGAGCTGACCTTGCCTGGCCCGGCGCCTTCCGCGCTGCCAAAGGGCGACTCACCTGCTGCCTGCGCAGCGCCGGGACTAACTCGAGCGGGGCGAGGAGAACACCCACTCGCATACACACACCGAGAGGCAAACTTGCCGCAGCCGTCGACGTCGCGGGGTTGGAAAGCGCGGAGATGCAGGTAGGGGGCGCCCCTCGCAGGGCGAGCGCCGGAGGGCCCGGGCAGGCGCTCTTGTCACCGCCGGGGCGCCGGAGGGGGGAAGAAGGAAGGAGCCCAGTCCGAAGAGCCCCGGCGCCTGGCCTCCCTGACTGGGAGTTGTGGGGAGGGAAGTGTGCGCGCCTTGCCATTTTTCGCTGAAACAAAGTTCCCTCTCCCTCAGAACCCGCCTTCACGCGTTCTTGCCCTAAGGAGACGCAAACACGTGTCCCGGCTCCCCTGGGCCAGGACCGGGGTGAAGCGCCTCGCCGCCGCGGCCGGACAAGGAGCGGGTTTGTGGCGGAGGGCGGGCTTTGCGCCGGCTGTGGCTCTTGGCGCGCTGGCCGGGGGTCCCATTGGACTCGGCGGGACTTAACTCCTGCGGAGACGCCTTAAAAAGCTGGTCCTGGTTGGTGTCTCGGCCCGGGCCGAAATTTAGCCCTGCTTCAAGCGGAGGAGGAGAGTTCTACCTTTTTTGAGTAGCAAGGAAAGAGCGTCTTGGCGAGCGGGCGCAGCGCGCTTTTGTTGCCGAGGGCTGGTCGCCACACTGGTGGGACTTGCTCGAACAAGGGTGGGTAACCTGTGCCCCTCCAGATGTTGTTGGGCTCCAACGCCCATCGGCCCCAGCCAGCGTAGCCAATGATCAGGAATGATTATTGGCAGCTGCAGTCCGGCATCCTTATGGAGGGTGACAGAATCCCCACCTACTAAACTAGGGGGAAGTTTTTGCAAGAGGGAGGGTGCATCTGCCTGACAGTCTGGCAGGTTTGAGCTCCAGCAACATCTATTCTTTTAAGGCAGCACTTTCCCTTGAGAGTAGCTCCACTGTACTGGGGGGAGGGTGTACAGTGCTATCTTAACCCTGTCTACTCCTGGGGTGACTAGGATCGCAGTCTCAAGTCTGTAGGAAACTTACACAGGAGCAGTCTCCAAATCCTGCTTTTGTTGACGGGTTTCAGGGATTGCTGGTGGATGGGGAGGACTGGGGAAGCTTCCAAGCAAGAAAACAAACCGGATTGCAATGTTGAGAGTGAAGAAAATATCCCTTCTCTTCACTCGCAGCCTTTGGAGTATTCATCCACCAAAGGAAAACCAACTTTCTCGTACCTTGTTTTACAACCTCCAGCTGTCTTTTGCCCTGGTACATTTACTGGTCTTGGGTGCTTTGCCATCCTGTCAGGTAGAGGATAGCTGAGTGAGCTCTCGGACTACTCTGCTGCTGCTGGGGCTTCCCTTCAGCCTGCCTGGTGGAGCCCCAGACTCCAGGGTGAACAATTTGCCCTGCACAGCCGCATCCCAATGCAGGGCACTTTGGGTGGTCGCTGAGCACTTTACAGTACTTTTAACGAGGTGGAGACTGAGTGCCTCATGGGTAGGTAGGAGCTGCTCACAACCTCGGGAGGGCAGCTGCTGTTTTCTTCAGAACCTGTAAGGGATGCTTGTGGCACTGATCCTCTCAAGACACTGTGGAGGGAAGGTGCTTTTAAGTCTCTCTTTAAATTACTCTTCTCTCATCACCTGTACTTTATGGCCTGTCATTGGCAAGATAACCTTGGAAAGTGAGGCTCTCAATTTGTTTGTAATGAAATCTCAGAGGCGGAGTTCAGCTCTTAAAGCCTTTGGCAACCTGGTGTCTTCTAGATGTTTTGGACTGCAAAGGGGCAGATGAGAGTCATGGTCCAAAACAGCTGCTGAATCAGCTGCTGGATGCATTTGATGAGAGATTATGCTTGTCTTTGTGCCCTTTCTGTGGGTGTATAAGAGGCATCTGTGTGGACTAGATGAGCCTTTGCTCAGATCTTGCCAAGCAATTTACTGTTTTCTTTAAATGTATTGTGTTCACACACTGGAAGTCAAACTGAGCCAGAGGAGACAGTGACCCCCTGGCATGTCTGGGTTAAAAGGCTCTTGGGTGACATGACTGAGAGAGTTCTCTGTGTGAGGCCTTGGAGAACTCCTGCCAGCTGGGGGGTTGTATTCTGCCTTGGTCAGACTCCACCTGGAATATTGTGTCCAGGTATGAGCACCACAATTTAAGAATATTAACAAGCTGGAATGTGTGCAGAGGAGGGTGAGGCTGACCAAGGTGATACAGGGACTGGGAACCAAGCCTTATGAGGAACTGTTGAGGGACCTGGGGATGTTTAGCCTGGAGAAGAGGAGATATGGCTATCTTCTAATATCAGAAGGGCTGGAAGATGGAGCAAGCTTGTTCAGAGGCTAGGACCCAAACCAATAGCTTCAAATTACAAGAAAGGAGATTGTGACTGAACATCAGGAGGAGCTTTGATGGTAAGAGCTGTTCGACAGTGGAACAGACTCCCTTGGAAGGTAATGGACTCACCTTCCAAGGAGATTTTTAAGCAGATGTTGGATGGCCATCTGTCATGGATGCTTTAGTTGAGATTCCTGGATTACAGGGGTGGGGCTAGATGACCCTCAAGATCTCTTTCAACTCTACAATTCAATGTCTCAGTTGCCTCTGTTGAAGACAGTTCCATTTGTTAACAGGTAGTGGCCACATGAAGCCAGGGCCGATGACACTGTTCTTGAAGCCAACTTTAGCTCATCAAGTTTTAACAGGATCTGGAGTCCTGCCTCTTTTTAGAGCCTAATAGGAGCAGCCAGAAGTGAGGGAATTGATTCATGATTGGGATCTTTTGATCAGGAAAATGGCGCAAGGGGAAAGGTTAAGCACACTCTTTTCCCCAGTTCCACTACCACAATCTAGCCTTTCCATTGTAGTCACAGCTGTTTTTGAACTTGAAGAAATATGCTGGGAGTTCCAGTCACAGTTATCCTGCATCATGCGTAGTTTGGTCCTAATCCATTGTGTTGCAAAAGGGAAATGCATCTGTTTGTAGTGCTGGCCACATGTAAAGTGTACCACAGTAACTCAGCCACACAAGGCTAAGTGGATGTTGACTGTAAATCAGACTGGGGTTCAATATATACCTCTATTATTGTCCTGTATTTATCATTATTAAGTTCAAGTGATATTATTATTGTTTATTAAATTTACATTCTCTAGGTGGCTTATAGAAGGTCAGACTATGGGACATGTGGCTTAACAATGCAAGTTCTCATATTCCCAACATACTGCTGTTCTTTTTTGCCGCACTTGTATTTATGCAGCTTCTAATTTCACACAAATACATAATGCAGACATATTAACACCTATTCTCATAGATGATAGATAGATATAGCACATGCATACATACATGTACACACGTGTGTGTATTTTATATCTATAATCTGCCTAGACAGGTGTATTTGTATTCTTGACTAATTGACCTAATTATAAACCATGTGGTTAACACTCCGTGTGGGAATGTAACTATTCTTGTTGCATCTATGTGCTGCAGGTGGAACCATCTTTCCTAAACAGGAATAACAAGTAGCCTTGATTTGTTATTGAAGTTGGGGTGGTACATGATATTAGGGTCTTCATACCTCTCCCACTTATGCTCCTGATCTGTGTATACTCTTGCCTACAAAAAGCTCACACAACAATAAACCAGTTGAACCTAGTACTCAGTGAGGTGACAAACCTGTGTTTATGCTGTTCCAGTTTGGACTGCGAGTCTCTGAATGCTCCTCTATACAAAAATAGCTCTGCAGATAGGAGACCAGTTGAGGTAGAACCCTTCCACCAGACCTTTTTTTTTGCTGTGTGGATTTTTTATATGGAGGAGGGTTTAATCCTATGAGGCTAGAACTGCAGCCTATAATGGTGCAAGTCCAGAAAACACGCTGCTTTACCATTTTACAGACAACTTGGCCTAAACCCCTTTAAATTGCTACACTATTGTTTATCTTGCATTTGTGTCTAGTCCTAGTCTTTTGCATCTTCAATGCTCCTGGCCTGCAGTCTGTTTTGTTCTCCTATAGTTGATGGCAGGCCAGTGTGTGTGGTGAGGGGAACTTTGTACATCTGTTGAGGGTGTTTCCTTGGTGGTTATGTAAAGTCTAGATGACCAGCAATTATAGAAGATGGGAGGTGGAGTCTTCTAGTTTTAGCGAGGTGCACTGTGAATGGTAGAAGACAAAGTCAGGTGGTGACTTCTACAGCAAGGGGAAAACTTCATTGGAAAGCTTCTGAGATCCTGTTCTGCCTGAGGGTACCTTTGTCTAGTTGTGTTCTCCAGCACCCTTCCAGACACCTATCCTGGCCTCTGTGTATTGGAGTGTTGCAAAGCCAGTTACGTAAAAAAGGTATGGAGCTGCTTTGGTTGTGCGATGCGTTCTGGAAATCCACTAGTTTCAACCAAAAACACAGTGCAAACTACTGGAATGAATTGACTATTCCAAATTTGGGCTTTTAAAATATCCATACTGCAGGTTAAATACTTGTAAAATTACTTTTACCTCTAAGCAGTGGGTGTGTGGCAGTGACATGGTCTGGTGTGCTGATAATGTGTTCTGTGGAATCATACAGTAGTGCTTTCAATATCATGATAAAATGAACATTTTCTACAAGTACAGATGTTTGGCACAATAGTTGTGCAGTACTCAACCATTTGTTTAACATAATCCAGATTCCAGGCATGATTTTTACAGGTTCTGTCTGTAGATTTTATTCTTGTTTATGAATGAAATCCCAGCTCTTTTGTATTTTTTTCAATTCCAATAAATACTCACACATGCCAAATCTGACCCAGGGCAACTTGTACCTTAAGAGAGGATAAAATGAGACCAAGTAGCCTGTGACCTGTCCACATATTCTTCTGTTTGATTAAGGTTGTATAATACTTAAGATAACTCCTGGCATAAAAATGTGGCAATGTGTGCATCTTGCATTTCTCTGGCCCTGGGATTTGCCCTTCCCTTTTCACTTTCTATTTCAGGTATGCCATTTTAGCATTCAAAGTGCACCTCTGCATTGTCCAACTCCAACTTATTGAATTGTGTGTATGTTCATAGATACCTTTTCTGTTTAACTTTTACATTTGTTCAGATTCCCATGCAATGAGCAGCCTTATTTTCGGGGGGGGGGGTTGAAATAGGGTTGAATAGGTGATTAGCACAAGTTGCATAATGCATATTCGGCAGGAAAATCTTAGTGGGGCTTACTTCTCTCAGGTAAGTATGCATAGGATTGCAGCTTAAGTGACAGCTCCTCAAATGTCAAACTATGAAGGAAAAAGGAAGATATAACCTTGCTTCTTTTCAACACTTTAAATATACTGTCAAGGGTCCTAATCCAGTAACCTATATGCGGAATTGCTGAGCCTGTGTATCTATAACCTGACTGGAAAGTAAAGAAAAGCTGAATTCCTGCCAACCAACTTTTGAGTGGGAAAGTAGGAGTTGAATCCAGCCCCCTGCACCCTCTCCTCAGCAGGTGATTTGCAGAATTCCAGCATTGTTTACTGGGCTACACACACATTTCTGGCTCCTTTGTTGGGTTTGGGAATACATTCAGTTGCATATTAATTCTCCATTCAACCAGGAAAATATGTGTAGGAACTTGTCTATCATTCCAGCGGAGATAGGGCTAATCATTCTGATAAACACTTCCAAGAACTAGACTAAGTTGCTTTGTGGGACAGATCACACTCCCAGGTTGCCAGTTGCCATCCTTTTTGAATATCATATGCATATCTCATCAGTGCATACATATGCTCTGTGCATATATATCAGCTTATGTAGTTCATGTCAAACTAAGGTGGGTTTCTTTTTCAGTAACCAAGGGGCTAAGCGGCAAAAAGAGAGAGAAAGCAAAGCTGTACGTAGAGAAATTTAAGAATTTGGTACTGAGAAAATTAATGTGATTTTAAAAGGGGGGGAAAGTATGTGGAACATGAGAGTAAATGTGCCAACAATTAATGAAAGCAGGTTTTCATTTCTTCTGTCGAAGAAATTGGAATAGTATATGAAGAGGGAAACTTTGTGAGATCCAAGTGCCAATTCAGAGTAGGAGGCAGAATTGGACAGGCAGCCTGGCCTTACTCCAGCCCCAGATTTCCTGCGTTCCCAGGCTTCATCTCTTATGCTTCTGTGCCCAAGGGTATCAGAAAGAGATTCCTCTCTATTAGGAAGGAGTGCCTGCCTTCTTAGTTCATCTGGTAGTAGATGTAATACTATACAGCACATCTCCTTTGGCTGCCTTCAGACTTGCTCTGTGTTTCCATTTTGTGATATTAACCCTTAACAGTGATGTAGTTTTAAAGGTTTTGTGTACTCTTCCTCCTCTTCTTTCTTTTGGTATTCTCTGCACTTTTGACACCCCCTCCACCCGCATTGGTTTGAGATGGTCTAAGCCACCTACTATGCACAGTAATTCCAGTTCCTGATTTTTCAAGGTGTGGGGTTTTCAAAATCAGACAGTTGTACTGTCTTATATTAGGCCAAGTCATAATAATGTTTCTGGTGAAAAACACTGATTTATTAAAATGAAAAATAAAATCTGCACTTTGCTTTTCACATGCTGTGTGCACTATCTGTGTGTTTCCCCTTAATGCATTGCTTTTGTTGCCAGGACATTGTATTTTCCAACTATACAAGGAACAATGGCCACTATCCCACCAATGTTAAACTTTTGTAATTCCCATTAATATCAACACGGAAATTAAAGTATATACTTCAAATGGTTGAGATTTATTTAATTGACTAAACTGCACCCAACTTTTAAAACTGGAGCAATGTTATATTTTTCAATCCAATAATACATTCATCAAATATTGAACACCCTTTCTGAACACCCATGCTAACAGGTCCCCACTAGCTGCTTATTGGTGACTGGTTTTAAGGTCTTGCTATTTACATATAAAGCCATAAACAACTCTCAACCAGGTTACCGGAGGCAGTGACTTCCCCTCCATTGTCTGGCAAGGACATTTTTCAGGTTCCATTGGTTGATCTTAATCTTGCCATGACTCATTGACTTGTGACACAGAAATGGGCTTTTTCAGTGATGGCCCCAATATTATGGAATGCATTGCATGCTGAAACTTGAGAGTTCCCCCCCCCCCCCATCTATACTGGCATTCTGTGACCTATTGAAGATGTATCTGTTTTATATAGGTATTCCCTTGATCTCTTGACCTGAATCTCCTGTTTTAATTACTGTACTGTGCTGTTTGAATGGAATTGTTATATTGTATATTTTCATTGTGAATGGTTACATTTTATTGTATGTATGTAATGGGGTTTTATATTTGTTAAATGCTTAGAAGCCTATTTTGGTTTTAGTGGAATATAAATAAATGAAATAATGATGATGATGATGATGATGATATGATGTATGATTGGGGTGTCATAAATATCAACACAATATTGGTTGCAGTGTAATAACACACTTTACTAAGCATGACCTGCTACATTGTCTTCATCATCTCCTCTGATAGCAGGGTTAGGAAAGGGGAAGGATCTGTGAACTACGATAAGGCATCAGCCTTAAGTGCATATAATCTTTCAGAGAGTCTTTGTGATGCCAACACTCATTGTTTGCTTGGACTTCCACAGCTGACTTAACATTGGCAATGGGGGGGGGACTTTTTAGTTGTTTTATAATGCCACTTACTGTTTTCTTCTATGCTAAATAATGCCACTATTATTCCAGTTAAGATGGGAAGGGGGACAAGAAAAAAAAACCAGCAACTGATATGAAAGCCATATTGTGGAAGCTGCCCAGAGTGGTTGGGGCAACCCAGTCAGATGGGCGGGGTACAAATAATAAATTTGTTTGTTTGTTTGTTTGTTGTTGTTGTTATGTCCAATAGCAGTGAATTAGGCTTAACTAGACACTGAAGGGCATTGGCTGCCACAGTCCTGTGTCCCCTCAATATGTTGGAGAAGGATCATAGCTCAGTGAGAGAGCAGAGGTTTCCACACTCACTCTGCCCCCCAGACCACTTGCAAATTGGTAAAGTTCTTGCTATACTACTTAATGAGTTTTCTGCCTATTGCTTAGCAGTTGTACTGTTTTTTAATTATATGGAATTCAAACTCTAACACAATAAAATGCAATAAGAAACAAAAGGATTTAAATTTAATACAATTTGAAAATCCTTCTAGAGGTGCATTTCCCCTTGATATGTTCTTCCTTTACTCTTGCTTCATCTTCGTTACTATTTTCTTGATCATTTATTAATTTGTTTTTTTTTCAATCTCCCTTCTTCAACCACAAATCCATTTTTAGACGTTGACTATTATTAGCTAACAGCTCCCACTTTTGAGTCACTCCATCTTGCATTCACTCTCTCAGCTTCTTCCCCTTCTCGCTGCTTCCTTCATTTCCATATATTGACTCCCCACTCCTTCAAGTGCCCTGTCAGACTCTTTCCCCCTCTTTTGACCTTCCACATCTTGCTGCCAGCCACAGCTGTATTCCTCTGAGAAAGACAGAGCCTTCTCCCCACATCACTTCTGGTCAGTCCTGGCAAGGTTCTAAGACTGAAGAAGAAGCCCCTGTGCCCCCCATTCTTCACACACGTTTCTCACATGCACATAGCTCTGCCACTCCTCAGAGTTGCTTCTGTGAACCACCTGCATGAAACTGGTGGACCATGGACCACACTTTGGGATTGGGAACCTCTGTGGTAGAGCATATGCCTTGCATGCAGGAAATCCCACATTCGTAACCTTCCCTGCCTTCTGACTTAGAACCGGCACAGAAGATAGCACTACCTGTTGGCTTCTTCCTTTGCAGCCTCAGTGTTGCCTTTGTAGAACTCAGCAGGGTTGAGGATGGGAACAAGCAGTTGGCTCTGCCTTTCAGAACCTGTCATTGGTTCTGGCGCCACCTACTGTAGGCCCCCCTGTCAGCCCCAGGGGCCACCAGCTGCCACTGCTCTTGAAGTCTTTGCTACTTGATTCACACATCTTGGCTGTCTGGCTAAGCCCGAATAGGTGCCAACACTCTTCCTTCTTGCCTGTTTACCTGTCTAAATTTAAGCTCTTCAGTCGGTATTCTGTGTCCCTGGTTGACATGTGGTCAGGCTCAAGTTGTGGTTCTGGCTGCTGCTGCTGCTGCTGCTGCTGCTGCTGAAGCATTTCCTGGCCTGTTGTGGGCTGACCATGGTTGGTTGCTCACAGCTTTCCTCCAACAGATATAACTTAGATTGCTTCCCCTGAGGATTTCGGCAAGCCTGTTCTCCCACTCTTATTTAGGCTCCGTTTACCTTTTACAAAAGGAGAAAATAAACCCTTGACAGTGCAAAATAAATACTAAACAGTTATCTGCCTCCAATTTGTGCTCTTTCTTTCTCTCTCTCTCTCTCTCTCTCTCTCTCTCTCTGTATGTGTGCCTAAACAAATACAGCACAGTGGGACCTGGAATCATCCCACATACCATTTGAGATCTATGGCAACTTGTGAACCAAGTCTGATGATTCCAAAAGAGACCTTGAGAAAATTCTCAAAGGGAGTAATGTTCCTTTTTTTCATGATCCACCACCAGCACTTAAGAGCTGAGGCTTGGCAGCTGTTTGACTCTGTGCCTATCATTTTGTAACTTGAGATTTTGTTTCCTTGTGCTGATTGTAGCTTTTGAGTTTAGTGGGCAAACCTTTACCGCTACTTCAAGGAAAATGTAAATGTTTCTCTGCTTAGATCTTCTGTTTCCTGGAGAACACAGCAACTATGTGTTTCTATTACTGCAGTCTGCCATGTGGGATAAGCTGTTTGATGCCTAGTCTGGTGTTGTGGTTAATGCTATGAATTGGCAATGAAGGCTAAAGCTGCTGGGAGTTGGACTCTAGTGACATCCGTGGAGGGCCACCCTGCCTTACAATAATTCTGTAAGGTAAGAGAGTATTCATGTCACTATATTGCAAATGGGTAGACTGAGGCTGAGAGAGTTACTTGCCTAAGGCCACTAGTGAATTAATTGCAGAGGCAAGCTTCTAACTGGGACAAACTGGGACTTTCTGATTCACAACTCAGTCTCTTAACCATCATGCTACACCAGCTCACAACTATTAATAGGCGTCTACTCCTCCATGTATTTGTCTGATCCCCTTATCAAGTCTTCTGTGCTTGTGGCTGTCGCAATATCTTGTGGGGGAAAAGTCCATAAAAGAATTTTGGATCCTCTTTAGAGCAGGGGTGGAGAAACTTTTTCAACTCGAGGACCACATTCCTTTGTTGGCAACATGCCAGGGGCCAGTGGTGGGTGGTGTCAGAGGCAAGAGTGGGTGAAACAATGGCTGTGACTCTTACTTTGTATAGTAGACCTCTTTTTAGCCATGCAAATGCCATTGGTTTCTGTATCGTCACACACATCTCTTCATCCAGGCAAGCAGGAGTCATTATTGCTGTTCAAGCACATATTCCAGTTGGGCAAAAGCTCTTAAGGAAGGCACAGGGAACAGCCAGGAAGCGATGTGGCCTGGGCAGAATCCCAAGAACTGGATTGAGAGGCCTGGCCCTTGAGCCTGAAGTTCCTCACTCCTCTTGTTTTAGAAAAATCCCTGGGTTGGGTACCCAGGTACAGTTTTTAAAAATAGAGAAATCCTCTGAAACTCTTTGGAAAGTTTTCTGCACTGGAGCCAAAGCTAATAGCAGAGCACTAGTGTAAGGATTATTAGGGTGTTAGTGTGAAAGTGTCACACTCAACCAGGTTCCTATGCCATGTTGTGGCATTAGGATGGAATCCTACTGAAGTCATGCTGTATATACGGTATGTATTGCATGGTGTGCTTTTCAGGATAGCATAACAACCACTTCGAAGAAAGGATTAACACCCATGGAGCACGTTGTACCTCCAGATGCAGACACTACTACCAAAAGTTCTAGTGACAAATTTAGTTTCTTGAGATGATAAGTTGTAGGGTGTCCATGGTGCACATAATGGTGTTAGTTTTGCTTTATATGTTTGGGTTTTTTTGCTCTGGGGGAGGGACCATAGCTCAATGGTACATATGCACTTTGTATATAGAAGGTCCCAGATTCAATCCCTGGCATGTCCCAGTTAACAGGTCTGGGAAAGATCTATTTCCAGCTGACACCTTGGAGAATCGCTATTGATCAGATTAGATAATGCTGAACTCAACTGACCAATTGTGTAACACAGTGTAAAGCAGCTTAATTTGCTTCCTTCCTTCTCATTGTCATTTATGTTATGACACCGAAACCTGTTTCTTGTCTAGTCGTATGGCTGTAAGGCAGGCAGTATACCTGCAACATCTAATGTACTCAGAGCAGTTCCACATGCTATAGTTGCTGTGGGAAGCACCTGTACTGTACAGTGTTTGCTGCAGAAAACATGTAAAATGTGGCCATCATATGCATTTGCACACCTGTCTCAAAATCACTGTGTATGTGTCTCGGAACCTCAAATGGGGGCAGCTTTAGATGTTACAATTGCTCTGTAAAACATTGGTGCTATGTTGGTGTTTCCTGCAGTTGCACACATGCAAGATGTGAGCATTACACACCCACCCACACAAAATTGCCTGGGAACTTTGAGTACACAGGAACTGACTGACTTGGATTTGTTGCTGTATAACATGTGAAGAAGGCCTAAATATTTAGGGGGGAAGAAAAATACCTGTTATCATTGCTTTAGATATGGACCTGTCTAATTGTGCCCTGAATGCTGAGATGTACCAGCTTCCTCTTCCCAGTTTTTCAGTGAGTTTCTATTTGACAAATACTATCTCCCATGGGCATAGCCAAAGGGGGCAGGAAGGGGCAGCCCCCCAAATAAATAAAAATCAATAAAGTACTTAACTAAATGAGGTTCTGCCCACCTGTAACATAAAGCCTGCCCCCCTAACAAAAATCCTGGTTACACCCATGCTATATCCCACAGTAGCTCACGTCAATTAAAATAAAAGAATGTCAGGCCCTGCTCTCAGATAGGTTTACAAGCTAAGAAGACAAGACACAAAAGGGAAGGAGAGTGAGGGGAATAGGTATTTAATTTAATTTAAATATTTAGAAACCACACTTCCATATAAAATATCACAACACAGAAATGGAGATCAGTTTGACAAAGCCAGAACAACATAGTAAACTGCAAGCAGGCATTTTTATCCAATCTGGACTGGACTGGTATTTCCTTGCTAATGTTTTTGATTGGGTAAAGGTGATGCAACTATCTTGTGGCCCTTATTCTTTTGGCCAGTGGTAAAATGTCTTTCTTTTTGCCTTGGAAGTCCCAGAATAATTGGAACTGAGTGGGTTGGGGTTTTCGTTGGCAGGAATGGGAAAGTCAAGAACCCTTCAAACTGCTTTTTCTCTTGCTGATAACTGAGGCCAGGCAGGCGTTTCCTTTCCCAGAGCCAGATTTTCATATAGTTTCCCCCAAAGTTCACCATGAAAACTACTGTCTCAAGAGCCAAAAAGCTAGCATCTTGACCTCCAGATGCCAGAAATCCCCCAAAGCAATGTCATGTCCAGGTTTAGTTGGACCTAAGCAAATGTTCAATTTAAGAGTGGCTTTGGATGTTAAGAAATGCCACCTGCTATATGTGAAATCCTGTCTGTATTCAACTGGCAGCACTTAACGATCACATTTTGAAGGGGAAGTTGTACAAGAGCACTTGTGCAGGCCGTGCTTGTACAACGTAAGTTCCTCTTCAAATGTTTCAAAAAGTGCTGCCAGCTAATTCAGAAGACACTAGACATCTAGCTGGCAGCACATCTGGAGTTCTCTGAGTGTCATAATGTTGTTTGTGTACTGCTGCAGTATTGCAGCTGAAGTGGATATCTAGTCAATTGTACCACAGCCTGATGATTGTCATCTTGTGGCAACATGAAGATGGGGTTCTGCATGTTTATTTTAATGTTTTGATGAAATTGTTTTATTGTGTATTTAATTATGTGGGTTTTTTTGTAATCGGTTGTATACTTGTGAACCGCTTAGAAACCACCTTGGCAATTAATTGTTATATGAGTGAGTGAATGAATGAATGAAGTAATGTCGGCAATGATAAGAATCCTTCATTTTGTTGCAGAGCAAATCTGCAAGGCATATAAGCAAATAACTGCATCTGTAACCTGACTCCATCAGTCAGTTACTCTAAACTCATTTAGGGAACAGAAACTTCTGACCTTTATGTGTTCAATCAAAACTAACCACACCAGGTGAAATTTCAGGTACCATATACTTACATCAAGAGATTTGGATCAAGTATTACTTGACTAGAATAGTAATGTTGGGTCCTAAGCAAGGTTCCTATGGGGAAGATGGTGGGACTTAAAAAGGTACAATTAAGCAGATAGGAAGTGAGAAAAATGTGCCATACACTGCAGTTGAGTGATTCTGCGTCAGGGTTGTATTATTCCAAAACTGCTGAACGTTTGCTTGCCTCGCTGTTGGTCTTATGTGTGATTTGGGCACTTGACTTACAGCTGTTACAGTGGTACCTTGGGTTAAGTACTTAATTCGTTCCGGAGGTCCGTTCTTAACCTGAAACTGTTCTTAACCTGAAGCATCACTTTAGCTAATGGGGCTTCCTGCTGCTGCCGCGCCACCAGAACACAATTTCTGTTCTCAGCCTGAAGCAAAGTTCTTAACCTGAGGTACTATTTCTGGGTTAGTGGAGTCTGTAACCTGAAGCGTATGTAACCCAAGGTACCACTGTAGTTCAAAAGCCTCACTTTTTGTCTTACAAGTTGCTATGCCTGCCTGCAAATAATAACTTAGGGTGACATGTGCAATGCTGCACAAAATTAAGGTGTTAGAATTGCATGGCAGAGATGCTACTTGGAATTAGCCATTTTTTATAAGATCCATGTCCTGGTCATTTGTCACTAGACTACTGCAGTCTTCTGCTCTGTAATCCACCATTGTTTCACCTTGCCCACCCCCCTCAGACCCAACATTGGCTTCTTCTGTCCACTCCCAGATCAGGCACAAGCTTTTCATATTTACCTTCAAAACCCTCCACAGACATGCAACCCGATCCTTATCTCTTAGCTATTGTGTGCTGCTGACACATCCCTGCCTGTGACCTTTACTTTTCCAGTTTCATGACTCTCACTTATCCAGAGGTTTCCTGCTCCCTGAAAAATGTTTCTGCCTTGCCACTCTGTATGCCAGGAACTTCCTCCAAATCCCTCTTAGGAACTCACCTGCGCTGCAAAGCCTTTGGAACAAGCCCCTAGTTCCAATACCCTGAAGTCACAATTTAAGTAAACATATATTCTTCCCCTATTTATCCCTACCTCCATTTCCCTCTGTTGTTTCCCTGTTTTCACATTATGAGCCTCTTGAGGACAGGGACCTGCCAAGTCTGTCCTTTTACAAAGCACCATGGTGCAATGTGAATGAGTAGGGTTGTCATATTCCCAAAACTGAAAATCCGGACAAAGCTGTTGAGCTTTAATAAAATTAAGTGCCTTCACTCTGTTCCCCTCACTCTCACCCCTTCCCATGAAGTTTGTACAGTTATTGAGCTTGTGGAACCGTGAGCATGAGGAACCTTGAGCCCCCCCAAATGTTGCTGAGCTCCAACTCCCATCGGCCCTGGCAAGCATGGTCAATGACCAGGGATGATGGAAATTGTTGCCCAGCAACATCCAGAGGGCAAAATGTTTCCCACACCTGATGATAAACTGTGCATAGCTACTGCTGCTGTCAGGGCAGGACTTCAGGGCAGAGGTCCAGGGCCCCACTTTGCAGAATGGGTAGGCAGGCCACCAAGTGCAGCTTACCACATGCTGAAGTAAGTAAATACAGATTTTCATTTGTATCATGTCTCATCTATTTTCAGTGCCAGGGCTTCACCCTGGAACATGTGAAGTCACCATGAGTGAATATGTATTGCTGAGCAGGTTCAGAGTTCATGTCCTTTACCATTGAGCAATGGTAGAGAGCCTCAACGCGTCCAGGGTTACAGTGGTATTTCCAGGTAGAAACCCTGAGCATCACTTTTGGAACATAAGCCTTCTCCTTTAGGGCTCATCCACACTTTTGTTTGTCCTGTCATTTCTAGGCATGGGTCTGATAGGTTTTTATTTTCTCCTGTCACTTCTCCCTGGAAAACTTGCTGGTTACTGCTGAATCAGAACAAATGTCATTTGGGATTCTGTGGATTGATGCAGTAAACAGCAGGTTTTCCCGGGGAAAGCAGCGAGAGAAAAGGAAAAACCTATTGGACCTGTTCCTAGAAATAACAGGAGAAGCAGAAGTGTGGACAAGCCCTACATTTCAAAATTAAGCCTCGGGCCAGGGCCAGTTTTATTCTTAAAAAGCCTGCTGCAGGTTCTCTTTATACAACCCCAAAAGACTGAAAACTCTGTAAGTGAGCTCTGGTCTCAGTTTTCATCAGCTTTATAATCTTATCAACTTTAAAAACAAAACCAGATGATTAGCCAATTTATTTAAATTCCTTGCTAAGAGTTGCTCAACCTGCTGTGCCTCTCACTGCACTTTGGGAAGGCTGTCCAGAGCTAAATATAGCGGAGCTTTCTCTGGACTGCAGTGTGGGTCAACATGTCACTCAGTAAAATTTACATGGAAAGTAAGGTGGGCAGCCAGCTCTTATTTTCAGCCTTAGGATTGTGTGTGCTGGTAAGTCAGCCCTCCCCAGATTTCATATTTAGACCAGCAGCTTATTTTTTCAAGGGAGACTTCCAAGCCTTGTATGTCTAAACACACACAATATTTACTGTCGCTAACTATGAAATATATAAACTGTTGGATTTCCTTTCCACCACTACTTTAACACTCATATCCGGAAGCCAAATTAAAAGTGGAGGAACAGATAGTTAAAATGCATGTCTGCCCCGTTCATAAATAGATAGTATGGGGAGGTCTGCTCTTTATGTAAAACTCATCCTCCCCTTCTCTCATGGTACTTTGTGTCGCTTGGTTGCTTTAAACCATGTTTCCCCAACATGATACCCTCTAGAAAAGGCCAGCCCAAGAAATTTTGGCACTATTTCCTCCTGCCAGGGAAGAAAGGGTCTGGGTAGATCTACATCATGAACAAAGGGAGAGGGGGAGAAAAATAGGATCAACAATGGGATCTGTTGCCCAGGGTGGACCCTGTCGCCTGAGATAGTCTTCTCACCTCACCTCATGAGCTGATTTCCCCCAAACCACATGCACCTGCTCCACATCTGATATAAACATTAGTGTGAGCACATGAGCACATGGGTTTGTCCAAAAGGCTCATGGTTTGTTCTGGAGACCTAAAGCACAAATCCACATTCTGGTGACACACTAAACCAAACATGGCTTAGCCCAGAGTAGAGCAAAATGTCTGACCAGGAGCAAAGCAGCCATGATATCCTCTTCGGGAGTCCCTATACTGGCATGTTCAAACTAAGCCATGGTTTCACTTAGTGTGACATGCGATCCAGGTCACACTATCCCACTTCTCCTAGTTTTTTACAAGGTTTGTAAGCAAGCAAGCAAATGGGGGAACTTCTGCCATTTCTACTTTCCAGTGAATATATTCTTTTCAAAATTCTCAATTGTATAGACCAATTCATTAAGAATAAATTTGTTACCCATGTCTGCTAAATGAAACCTCTCTGTTCAGAGACCGTATATCTCCAAATGCCAGTTGCTGGAGACCAACAACAAAGGTTGCCCATTGTCTTCATGCTTTGTCTTCCAGGGCATCTGGTTGGCAATTAGCTGGAAACAGAATGCTAACTAGATGGACCTATGATCAGATCTAGTGGAGCAGTTCTTTCATTTTTGCTGTCCAAAGTTTAAATCGGGTTCAATGGCCATTTTGAATTGCCCACCAAGTTGGATGGCATTAAAAGGGGGTTCAGCAAGTTCATGGAGGATAAGACTATCAATGACTGCTAGTTATGATGTACTATACCTCCAATATCAGAGGTAGAATGCTTCTGAATACCTGTTGCTGTGAATCACAAGTAGGGAGAGTGCTGTTGTGCTCAAGTCCTGCTTGTGAGCTTCCCATAGGCCTCTGCTTGGTCACTATGAGAACAGGATTCTGTACTATCTGGGCCTTGTTCCAGCAGAGCTTATGTACCCTTTATCGCACTGATGGGAAGCTGTCATGAGAACCTCAGTCTGGTGCTTCCTGGGTGGTTCATGGTGATCTAGCAGTTTGAGATCTACTGACACCCTTGAAAGTGATGAATTTCAGAAGTATCAGACTGAACTGGAAAGGATCAAGGGAGAATTAATATGTGTGCTGGGTGGGGAGACTCTTTATCTCTTGGTAAAGCTGTGGGAATAAGAAATCTCCTTTAGAGAAGAAGGAATGTTGTTTGGACTGACATACTTGGAGTTACCTAATTTAGATGAAACTTGAGACACTAAAGATATGGGGGACATGAAACTGGACCTTACACTCCCATCCAAACAATCTACTTACGGTAACTGTAAAGCCATGCAAATTGTGCCATCTCTTAATATTGTTGATAGGTTTGTTCTTAAATAATATTAGCTGGTACTTGTGCTAGAGATTTCGTCAAATTTTAATTCAGTTTTCAAACTAAGGCAGAGTTTCTCAGACTTTTCAAAGTTGTTATTTGTTTTATTTTATTTAATAATATTTTTATATGGCTTACATTAAAAGAAATCTTGGTTTACAAAAGAAACAGTTTGCAGAAGTGTTACTGGTGACCCTCCCTCCCCTGGATTTTTTTTTCAGCCACATATCCTGAGACTTGAAAATATAGTGATTGCCTGTTAAAAATTATTGCATACCTAGAAAGTCAATAGGTAACTTAAGAATAATACTGTAATTTGGTTTACTATACATATTATATTTGAAGTTTAATTCTGTGTGAAAATAAACTTTTTGACCTGGTACATAGCTGGGTGTGTTTCTTGTGATTTCTCCAAAAAAACAGCACTCTAGCCTGCAACCTGCTTTGGGTCACAACCCACTGATTGATAATCTCTGAATTCAGGACTAGAAAGGCTATGTTGGTAGAATAACCCTATCTGGATCATGGACAAGTTTAAAATCCCCAAATGCCTTAAATATGATTGCCAAACCACACCTTGACAGATGGACTCAGAACAGTTGCTCAGATCTCAAAACCATACTATGGCAACCTTCAGTGAAGAAAGATGCCTGCACAAAACATCAGCTGAATGAAGGTTAGAAAAACTCAGCTTAATAACAAATAGTTTGAATGCATCAGTAAGTATGAAGGAATCTGCTTTGTTCTCTTATGCAGCAGCCTCTGGCTTATAAAGGGATGTGATGCTGCCCAGGCAAGTTCTATGGATGTGTGGCTTGCTGGTTCCACAAGAGGCAGACTCCTGTCATCTGCTTTAGCTTTGATTTCTTACATTCTAAATTGTGCTGAAGAAGACTTAATTATTACTGAGGCATGAGCATTCAGGATGGGGAACCTGTGGTCCTCCAGATGTTGATGGACTCCCATCAGTCCCAGCCAGCATGGATGCTGCTCAGTGATGATGGGAGTTGTAATCCAACAACATCTGGAGGGCCACAGGTTCCCAACCCATGACTTAGGGACTCTTGTTCTGATTCATCAGCAGTGCTGGCTCCAGGGTTTGGGAGACCGCTGGGCAAGGTGCCCTCAACAAGCTCCCCTCTTCTCCAAGGCATCACTGCCTGTTCATTTGCCTTCTCCCTCTGGACCCAATCTGAATAGTTGTCCTGGGAAAAGTGGGTGGAGGTTTCTCCATCTCCATTGGCTTGATTACAGAAGAGGGCAGGTGAACAGGCAGCAACAGCAAGGGGCAGGAGTTGCAGGGCCAAGAGGCACCAGAGGGTGTCAGTGTGCCCCCAGCAGGGATGTTCACTTTAACATGTGCTGTACTGTACAGTGCCTATCTGTGATGCTGACCCTGTCCAGTGAGAGAATTCCTTATATCTTTAGTCCAAGGGTAGCTAAAACATTAGGACCACAATAGAAATGGACAAACTGCAGCCTATCTATTACATTAGAACTTGTGCTATGTGTAACCAATGAGTTGCTTGCTAATTAATAAGCTGTATGGAGTATGATTCATGTTTGTCTTTACACAGCACAGTTTTTGGTTTCTTAGTGACTTCAGTGTTCATACTCCATGGTCAACCCATTATCAACAGGGTGCCTTTCAGCCCTGAGTTATACCGTATATGGGTAATGCAGTACCATGTATGGAATAATTTGAGAGAATGTATATCCAAGTGTATATCCAAGTGCTCATTGTACAGCTTGGGAATCACTGCTAAGAACCGCTCTTTCTCAAAGACCCTCCCTTTTCTTTTGGGTTTTGTTCTCTTGACTCATTGTGTTTCTTTCGCCACTCATCATCTAAGTCAGGGTGGAAGGGGCTACCCAGTCTACGTAAAAGCTTCCAAGGAATGCCCATGAGTCTGCAGGAAGTGGCTTTGTGCTGCTTGGGTGGATGACTCAGCTGGCGGTGGCTTTTACCCCCCTGTGTTAATACTGACTCAGCATCCCTTTGTGGAATTATATAGACCCTGTGCTGCTGGAGCCCTCCCTTTCAAACAGTAAATAAAACTAGGGATCAGGGCAATTAAAATTCCAAGGGTGTTTTGTGACCTGGCCAGATTCCGAGATGAATTATAGCTCTAAATGCTTTCTAAAGCTTTTAACAAGATAATAGTTTGGGGAGGGGAATCTTTTTATACTGCATTGTGCTGCACTGTGTGACTGCTACCATTTGACATCCCAACAAGCAGCAAAAAATAAAAGTGTCCTCTGTAATATGAGAGCAGTTTTGAAATTGGTTATTTGCAGGCTTTGTGATATCTATATGAACAGTACGATCAAGACGTCAAGGTGCTTGCGTGTGGTTAATAGTCTTAGAATTCAATGTTCAGCAATCAAAATCCTTGGTGCCTGGAACTGATATAGGAGAAATATGATTTTTCTGGTTCAGTTTTGTTGTTCTGGCTGTGTATTTTATATTCTTGTGTGTCAACCACTCTGTGGTTTTCTAAATTAAGAGCAGTACTGATCTAATAAATAAAATAGACCCCCATTGTCAAAGGACTGGGGGCGGGGGGTGGGGAGAGATATTCTGTATCGCAGCCTTGGCTAGCAGGTGATCTCCAGTTACCGGTATTTAGGACTACAACTCCCATCAGCCTCAAGAAGCATTGGTGCCCTGGAGAGCTTGTGAAGTCTGCTGTAGTGAGTAAAGAGAGAACATATTCTCTACTGCTTATGCAGAGAACATGGGATTGCCACACTTATAATTCAGGAGTGTATACTGCTAAGTGGAATGTCACATAGGTTTTTTTCTAATAAACACTTTGTAATGCATCTGTGTTCAATGGGAAGGATATCTCTGGGGCTTAAACCATCAATTGCTAGAGGCTGCAACTGAACCTCATCAGCTAACTGAAACCCTGACTATTTTCATATGTACTGTTTTTGAGTCTTCCTTCTGCTCTTAGGGTGTATATATGTAAGTCAGCAATGCAAATTAAAATGAACTTGTATATTTTGCAAAAAATCTTAAACTAAAGCTTTTTTTAAATCATGTTTTTAAATTGATTGATTTCAACCTTGCTGCCAGTTTTATGCCACACAACAGATCTATTTTATCAGAAGTGCATTTTTAACCTCTCCCTCCTCCCTCATAATTTGTTCTGTTGAGTTGTACATGTCTATTGTGTTGTTATTATTATTAAACTCTCCCTTTGGTTATTATCAACATAATATTACATGCTATGTTTTAATTTATTTCATTTATATCCCACCTTTCCTCCAAGAGCCTCAAGGCCACCTGCATGGTGGAAGGGCGGGAGAATAAATAAATAAATTGCATGAAGAAGCCACATGCTCCATTGACTTCCATGTAGATGGGCTGCACTTTCAAATGTTAAAAAATCAGCTACATTTTGCACATGAAGTAAAACTCAAGATACAGCAGGGATTCCTGTTTTCAGTGCTGACTTTCCCTCTCCAGGCTCCTCAGCCACAGGCTCAGGTAACACATGCACACTAAAGATATCCCAAAGCATTGTTGTAGAGCCCCCACTTTAATCTATCTATCTATCTATCTATCTATCTATCTATCTATCTATCATCTATCTAGTTTTATTTATTAAATTTGTATACCACCCTTCATCCATAGATCTCAGGGCAGTTCACAATGTAAAATGCAATATAATGTAAAATGCAATATAAATAAATAACAAAAATAAAAACCACAAACCGATAAACCTCCCTCTCCCCCACCATCTTTATACATTTATATAAAAATATGTACCTTGTTTGTTTGTTTTATCTCAAGGTGGTTTTTGGGGAAAAGTTAATTCACAGTTACATTTCTGGGATAGTGAAGGGGAAATTGTTTGTAAGCACTTCTCAACTGTCCTTGCCATCTCTAACCTATTTAACACTCACTTTAAAACAACTACAGCACCAAACTATATACAGGGTTCCCTGGCCTTGATGTATCAAATGTTCCTGCGGGCATCAACAGAAAGACCAAATCACATTATTATTTTTTAGAAAAGTAGTCATCCTGAGGAGCACTGTCACTTTGATTTAATAGCATTTTGCCTAAAGGATTCCAGTATGGTTTGCCAACATATATTCAAAAGAGGCCATTAAGCTGCTCAGATGTCTGAAGCCCTAATAATGACAGTAATCTTATTCCTATCACTTTACTGGCAAGACACTGTCTCAAACTGTGTCACTCATTTCTAGCATGTTTGTAGATACACTGCTGACCACAGGCATACGACGACTTCCAAATGGCAGCTGGTTTTTAGCAGAGGTCTTGTTTTGAATCATTTCCACACCTCCCGCCTCCCGATGGGACGGAGCCACCAAAATATTTCAGTGTGTTCAAACTGCAGTAAATTTGTCAGCACAGATCTGAATATAATTTCTATGTAGGTGATAATAGGTCACTGTGGTCTGGAATGTTCTGGACAGATGCAAGTTGAATCTGCTTCAGGGTTGCTAAACCATAATAAACACCAGTGTCCTTGGAAAGAAAGTGAAGTAGAAAGCTCTCCACAATGCAGTTTAGGAAAAACTTTGCAAGGCAAAATATAATTACCACTGCAGGCATTTGGCCTTCCTAATGATCACTCCTCTCCACTCATCCCAGCCATGAAAACTGACTCTAGTTCTCATGACCGCAGGCGGTCAAGTGTCCTTATTTCTCTTCTGAATGAGAGAGACCACTTCCTAGCTTCATTCTGTAGCCCTGATTCAGGTCTGACTCAGAGAGGAAGCTTAGGCACCAGTTAAGTCAACTACATCATCACTTCCCCTACGGCCCCCGTAAGTTTAACTTGGCCACTTAGCAAGATCTTGACTTGAGGCAGCCAATTAAAGCAAGATAACAAAAGAGCAACGCACAGTGATGGCAGAGTTGGTTGGGTTCTGTTGTTATTTTCTTTAATAATTGGGTCTTGGGTTGAACATCTCTCAAATGTAAAACCTTCACAGAATTGGCAATGACTGTATAGTTTAAAAGTCTCTGTTTGGCCAGTGCTGACTACACGCTTACACAATTATCCCTGGCCTGGAAAAAGATCTAAACCACAATGGCTAAGTATAGAGGTTTCTAAAATATCTTCATATATACAGTGCCTGAATACACAAACACAACCAGCCTCTCTTCTGCCTACAAGAGCAATATTTTCCATAGGATTCATATTGACATAGGTTTTGCCCCTGCAGTCCTGCTTATCTACAAAAATAAAGCCTCTACCATTGCATGCCTGTCCTGAACCCCACATCATCTCTGTCTGAAACCCAATATAAGCAGTGGGTGGCTTCTGCCAACCCCATCTAAGGTGTAAAAACAAGCGCTTTCCTCCTCCCTGGTTCAGTAACTTTTAACAGGGGCTCATTTAAAGATAATATATAGTAGCTTCAAAACACCATAGTCTGAAAATACAAATAATAGGATTCACACATCAAGATTTCAGAGAATCAAAATAGAATTCATCAGAAACAAATGTATCTCAGTGTTGCAGTTGATTGCAGGCTGAATGCAAGTCAGCAGTGTGACGTAGCTGCAAAATGAGCTAATGCTATTCTGGACTGCATTAAGGATGGTAATAAAGGTGATCAGGGATGTGGGAAAGACGTTTTGTAAGGAAAAGCTGAAAGAATTGGGTATGTTGAGCCTGGAAAAAGAAGACCAAGGAAAAAGAAATGGGGGAATCTTGGTTTTGGTCAACTGAAAAATACCGAAGACCTGGATTCTAAAGACCTGTTCTTTCAATTTTAAATAAGAACATGTTACTAGCCCCTCTCGTCTCCATTTGAAATGTTTGCAACTAAATGTCAAAATAGAAGAATCCTGTTGTAACTTTTTTTCAGACTTTAAATTCAGTGGGTTGCATCCAGACTCATCCAGACTAAAGTTGAATTTATGTTCCATTAGAATTAATGGAACAAGTTTCAGTCCTGATGTAAGTCCCGTTGATTATGTTGAGATCTTAGCGCAACTTACTTGGGCTGCAATCCTTGCCATGCCTACTCAGAAATATGTCCCACTGAATTCAGTGGTGCTTACTCTCAGCTAAGTAGGGTTAGAATTTCAGCCTAAGTCTAGATTCAACCCAATATATTTAAAATTAAGCATCTCTGTGAAAACATGCCTCCCCACCCCCCTTAATTTACTCCAGTTGCAGAATCTGAATGGTCTGACTGCAACAACTTTTTAAACAACTTTTTAAAAATGCTGAATTCCAGACCTGGCAGGTTATATTTTGTAATGAAAACTGAGCTCCTTTAGGCCTCTGCTACTTTCCTGCATGTTTAGTTCTGCGAAAGTACAGATGGGTCCTTTGAGGTTTGTTTGTGGTGAGACACACATCCCTAAGTGCATAACGTAATTCGGCTGGATCTTGGCCAAGGGTGGAGATGGCATATGATTAGATCTCTGGATAACTGTCAGAGACTGGAGTTAACCTGAGCGGTGAGTCCCTTAGCTGCAAACAAGCTCAAACCTCCATTCACCTAGCAAGAGCTGTGCTGCACATGAGCAGCTTGCGTGCCTGTATCGTATCTCTTGCACTATGCCTTTTGCACAAATGGACACGTAACCTTTTCCAAAGCTTGTGGTTTTGCAAGCAGCACTTTGTGTGTGCATGTCTGAATGAGCGAGATGCATAACATACTGTATTAAGCACTGAGAATAGCATCTTGGCCCATCGGCAGTTCCCATACTGTGGGAGTGGTGATCTGAATTCAAGCCCAGGTTGTGTGCCTTAAGGAGCAACACCTGGGTTTATGCTTGAGTTGTGAGTTTTCCCACAGACGTAGGTGGTACTTGGATGTCTCTCCTCTCTGTGCTATTATGGTGCTTCCCTCAGGAATGCTATGGCCATGGGTTATAAATACTGGCATCAAGTCAGGACAGGGGAAATCCACCCAGGTTTTGGATAATGAGGCCTTCTTCTCCCTCTTTGTGGGGCCCGCAGACATCTATGTATGTTTTTGTGGTTGACAGAACTCTGAATATGGGAACTTCTGTTTTCCTCAGTAAGGAGCAAGCCTGCTGTGAGCAATGGCTCACATAAATACAGTATTTATTTACTAATTTTTACATTATTTATGGGGGAGATCTGAACTCTGCCTCAGCATCAGTCCCCATCTGTAATATCTAATAAATAATCAAACAAACCTAAGAAATAAATAAGTTAAAAAATATTTTAAAATGTGTTGGGGAGGGTGGGTTTATTGGCTGTTTTTTATTATTATGTATTTTTTGTTTTTATATTACGATTTTATGTTGTAACCACCCTGAGACCTGCAGGTACAGGGCGGTATACAAATCTAACAAATCTTACAGGGTTGTGGTAAGGATTACAATTAGATAATACATGTGTAGTGTTTTGAACATTTGAAAGTGCTCTTATCATCATCATCATCCTTCCTGTCTTCCTGACTATATTTTGTTGCCTCTTCCAATGTTGGCTTTTTTGTTATATCCAGTCATTATTCCACTTGACTTACTAGCAAGCTGGATTCTGCAGAGTGAACACCATCAGGGTTTGAAAAGCAAGTAAACTTCAGAGCCAGCCTGATAACATTTTGGGGTTGGTTTGTTTTTTGCTAGTGACCGCAACCTTGGACTAGCCAGGCTCTACCTTGGCTCTCTGCCCATTTCCTTTCCCCATGACTTTATCTCCATGCCAAGAACAGCTGTACCTGCTAAGTATTTGCATGTCAAGATGCTGTTAAAACTCCAGGAACGGGCCAGTTAAAAATCTGGCAACCCTCACTTCAGCCAGTGGCCTCTTTAAACTGGAGTTCTGACTTCTGTTCACTGGAGATAGAGAAGTGAGGCAGTTGAAGCTAGGATGCTCCATTTCTCAGCTGCAGTGAAGGAGGGTTCTTGCTGAATCTGTTTAAAAGCAGCACAGATCAAAACACAAAGAGGGGATAGAAAGGGAGGAGAAGAGCACTAAGCGCCTCCCATTCTCTCCTGATAATCCTTTAAAAATAATTGCAGCCCCAAACTTCTGGCCTCCAGCAAATTTTCCACTCCATTAGAGGCTTTTGTGAAACTGGGGAAAGAAACCCGCAGACTTGCATATTGTGGTGTTGCCTGAAACTTCCAGCTGGGATTTTTTTCCATCAAAAGGGGATTTTAGTAAAACCATTATAAGGGGCTTAGCCACAGAAAAGCATCTGAGCTGTGAGACAGGGGTAGATTAGCATCAATGGGCTTGTTTTTTGGCACTGCAGACAAGGGAAGCTGCACATGTGAATTCCCTATACTGTAGTGGGTTGCCTTCTTGCCAGGTGAGTGACTGGGGTGCACTGACATGCATATCCTGCAATGGAAGGGAACTAAGAGTGTGTGATGGTTCAGACAGGTTTCCTGGTCATGGGACAGAAGCCATTCCCTTCTGGACCCTGTTTTAACGCCCTGAGTAAAAATAACAGGACACTTGCACCACACTGATATGTATATATTGCTGGGAATTTGAGTGCCTATTCAAATCATGGGTAGGAATGTTAATTAACTGTTGAATTTAAACCATCCAAAATAAAGTTAGGTCTTCAATGGGAACACCAAGTCCCCTTCTAATGTTACCTATGCAGATCAATAAAAAAATTGCATAACACGCAAATTTGCAGTATGCTTTTTTTCCTGTTGTTTTAATGCATGGCCTTCTAAAATGTGTTTGGGGGTTATTGGCTTGTTGTTGTTTTTATTTTGTTTATATATTTCGTTGTTTTATATTCTGATTTTATTCTGTGAACTGCCCTGAAACGTGTGGGTATAGGGCGGTATATAAATTCAATAAATAAAAAAAATGTGTGGGATTCTAGGTCTGGTGTTTTATGGTTAGTTTCTTAAAAAAAGAACCATAACTCTGATGTCAATTTATATATGGAAACTAGAGCGAAGGCTGCACTGGATGCTGTAAACAGCCATGAATGTCCAGCAGTACTCTAGACTAGTCTCCCTTTAATGCTGATTCCCCCGAGATATAGAGCTATAGCTGGATCTTCTGGAAGAAGAAACTAAATCAGATTTAACACCCAATTGCTACAAGGAAAGCACAACCACACAGTAAGACACTTCCTGAGTTCCTGTTCCAACAGTGCTCATGAGAATGTATTCTGTCATTTTGGAAATATGCTATTAAAGTGTTTTATATATTTGGAGCTCTATAGTAACTTGCTAGGCTTTTAGGCCATTTCATGTTTTGGATAATGTAGGTTTGCCCAAGGTTAGGGAAAGTGTGGCCCTCCATGATGTTGTTGGACTACAGCTCCCATCATCCCTGACTGTTGCGTCTGGAGATTTATCTCTCTTTCTGGATAGTATTAACAAAACTTCACAAAGCTCTCATACGTAGATTTATTGACGATAATCAAGGCACATGTAGAAATATTATTCACATTCCAATAGGCTGTTCTGTGGCTCTGAATGAAGATGGTTAGAAGCTTTTTATGAAGTTCTCTGTGGAGCTCACGAAGTGAGTTCACCCTTCTTCTTGGGTTTGCCATAACTAGACTGCCACAAGATTACAAAGAAGTAAGGGAGATATTTTCCTGCTCTCTGGCAAAGCCAATAAAAAGTAGAATATTTCTGTGCCTACATTTCCCAACCTGCCTTGGGGTCTAAAAAGGGTCAGCATTGTTATTCCTTCTACCTAATACTAATACACACATTTGCTATCACTAAATACCTGAACTCTGTGGGGGCAGACCACTGACCACTGTCTGTCCTGGCTGGGGCTGATGGTTGTGGGTGCCCAACAACATCTGGAGGACCACAGATTCCCTCCCCGTGCTCTCACCTATGAATTATCATTTCTCAATAACAATTAGTCTTTGCCACAATGCGTTGTACTATGTTTGCTGTAATATATTGTGGCTACCAAATTATAGAAGCAGTTATAATGCCAGAAATCCTTTTATAGCCTTATGGCATTTTCCTTTAAGTCAGGGGTGGGGAACCTGTGGCTCTCTACACTACAGCTCCCATCATTCCAGGCTGTTACCCATGCTAGATGTGAGTCCCAACAGCATCTGGTTCCCCAGCCCTGTTTTAAATTAACCTAGCTTCTCAGGTATGCACATAGCTGAGCTGAACTGGTAATGTAGGCAGTGTGACTTTTATGCATGTGTGGCATAAAATAAAAGGTATGCTGTCTGAAAGCCCAGGGGATTAAAACCTTGCTGTAAGGAAAGCCAGCGTTTACATGCATTTGTCCCCCACTCCCGCTGGCAGAGGTTGAACCGGGAGGAGCCTGAGGTTTTCCTTTTTGGCAGCTAATCTCTTGCAGGTGTGGTTTACAGACATATGTATGAAAGGGAAATATGCCATCTTTGGTATTAGGAAGGCTGTGTTAGAGCAGCAAAATTTTAGGGTCCTGCACTCTGTTCCAGGCACTGCTTCAAACAGTATGACTTTAGGCTAGTCTCTCTGCTTCTCTGGCCTTGTGCTTAGGATGGTGCTACCCTGCTTTGTAATGTGCTTTTAAAAGCCAGAAAGGGAAAGGATTAGATGGATAATACTAATGCATTGCTAAAGGCTATCCTCCTTGTAGTTCTGCTTTGTTGGAGAAGCTAGGTTAAAGGCACTTCAATGCTGCCTTCCCCAACTTGGTGCCCTCCAGATTTATTGAACTAACTGCATGCAACTTCAGCAGCTCCATTAGCCAGCATGGCCCATGGTCAAGAATGATGGAAGTCCAACATCTGAAGGGCACCCAGTTGGGGAAGGCTGCTTTAGTGACATTTAGTCAAATGTCCTGTATACCAAACTGCAACCGCAGTGGTGTTATTTGATCGTCATGTTAATGTTTTAGTGTAGCTGTTATGATATTCTAAACACTGTACTGTCTTCATTAGTATCATGTCACATGGTCTGTGACTGAGCATTGGTATTCAGGCAAGTTAAGTGGTTTGCTCCCTCTTCTGTCTCTGACATCATAGGAACTACTTGGGACATGATTGGTATGGCTCAGTTTCCATGGAATGTTGTGTATAATTTCCTACAGTTGCTCCTAAAGGCACTTTAATTCTCATTTAAAGGAAGGAGCTTGATGTGGGTGGATCCCAAATGTGATTTTTCCCAGAACGGAGGCAGTTTGTGTGTTTGTGTGATGAGAAGTAACTCACTGGTCCAGTGTGGATGCAGCATTGTTGTCTCCCTTGTAAACCAGAGTTTGTGAAGCCAGACATGATCGCCCAGGTCTGCATACTCTGCCCCTCACATACCAGCCTTAGTGTGGGAATCCTGTCTTGTTTTAAGCTGGTTTTCCATTACATCTGAAAATTTGAAGCTTTGGTTTCATGTTGATTAACTAATCGGGATTTTATGTCAGGATCTGCTGTGTTTTTTGAAGCCAGCAATGTGTACATGCAACCAGCGATGGGAACCCCGTGGCCTCCTGAAGTTGCTGGACTCCAGCTTCCATCATTCCTGACTGTTGTTACCTACTGGCTGAGCCAATGGGAGTTTGAGTCCTACAACATCTGATGGGCCACTGGTTTCCCAGCCCTGCTGCATGCTGTGCCCAGATGTGCACACATCAGATTCAGTCTACAACTGAAGGTATTCTCAGAGACAAATGTTTATACCAGGGATAGAGGATGTGTGGTCTTCTAGATGCTGTTGGACTCCAGCTCCCATCAGTCCCAGGCAGCAAGAACAAGTCAGGGATGATGGGAGGCTGTAGTCTGACAGTGTCAGAAGGGCCACAGGTTCCCTAGCCTTGGTTTATACAGTGAAAGCTCTTTTAATTTTTTACTCAACAGGTCAGGGGTGAGGAACTGGCAATCCTTCACAACAATCAAAATCTGTAACCACTGAAGTATATTTATGAGATTTTATAAATATATTGCTTTTTAAAACCCTACAAATGATGCTCCTGAGGAATAAGAACAAGTTGTCTGCAAATGGGTGGGGGGTACTGACCTCCCCTACCTAGTACGCTAAAATGATGCTGTTGCTTCCTTGCAAGAACTAGAAAGTGTGCTGTGATGGTGGCATAGATTCACTCCAAGCCAGAACCCTCTTTTTGGCTGTCATGCTTTAAAAACCTAATGCTGCAATCATAGATATAGCTGGTCAGGATATAATAAATCACTATGAACTCAACGGGCTTAATTCTGAGTGGGCGTGGTTAGCCAGGCTGTTTTTACACGTGACGCCAAAAGCGCGTTTTAGTCTGGAATGAATCGCTTGTGAGGATGGTTGGTGCGCCGCCCCCCCCAAAAAAGTCGAGAGTGCCGTTAAAAACAAACCACAACAAACAAACAAACAAACAAACAAACAAACAAACAAACAAACAAACAAACAGAAAACGGTACATTCTCGCCAACGCGGGCTTTTACCGCCTTCGAGAGAAACCTATTTCAAGCGTCACTTGTGAAAGCGGGCCCCCAAGCACGGCTTGTGTCGCCGGCCCCCAAACGGCGGGCAATGCTGCCGCCTACTGGCAAGGAAGGATCCCTGTAGCGGGGAGCTCGGTCTTGGCCAGCCGCGAGAGGGGCTGCTGAACGCAAAATTCCCGAAGTTGCCTCTGGCTGCAAACCACGAGGCAGGGGGGCGAAAGCAGAGCGAGTCGGCCAGAGCGGGAAACGGGATGCTCGGCTGGCCTGCCGGGGAGGCTGGGCTAATACTTTCTCCGCTTCGCCCTGCTTTTGATCCTCTTTCAGTTTAGTTCCTGTGCATATTGCGCTCCATGCCCGGGCTGCGCGCGCCTTCCACGCAGAGCCTTCTCCTTTACAGGCTAGCGGACAATGGCATTCTCTCTCTCCCCTGTGTTTTGGAAGATCATTGTACGTAGCGCGGTTAAAGCGGTGCCTGGGGAGTTCTGCGCTGGCAGTGATCGGGAAATTCAGAGGGAAGACTCGCGTTTCCCAAGTGGGTAGGTGTGTCTCCCGCGGCCTCATTGACGCAGGCTGTGTGAGACCAGAGACCAACGCAGACTTTATGGCTTTAACACCAAGCCATCATTTCCCCCGCTTCTCCACCCACCCTTGCTTTGGTTTAACATGCAGCCTCATGAATTAAAATAGTTTTCAGTTAATAATCTGCCTTTTAAATAAATCAGATTAGCACATTACCCAAAACTCAATACATGTGCCTTTTTGATACCCTGAAAGATGACTTAGAATTTAAAAACAAAAGCTTCAATTTGTTATGCTGTAATGAAACGTCGTGGAGACCCATCAAGTAAAAATTGATCATCACTGACAGAAATTGGCCCTGACTGATTACCGGTAATTAGCAGCGCCCCAGTTATTTCTATAAGACTTCCAGCATGCAAAAATGACCTACTGTTTTAATCTCTAGCCTCAAAAACAACCTCATGGGATAAATCAAGGGGGTGAGAGGCCTTTTTTCACAGCCAGTAGGGGAAACACAACCCTTTATGCTCAGTGCTACACTACTCTTACTTCACATCCTGTGTTAGGGGTTAAGCTGCTGCTACTGCACGGAGAAGCCAAGAGGATATCTGGGGCACCAATGCTTTCAGAGAACCACAGAGTCTGAGAGATGGTAAAGGGGAGACTGGAGCACCCAGCTCTTTGAAATGCAAGCAGCTGTGCACGAACCAAGAGTTCCACAGCACCTATTGCGAGAGCATAAGGCAGGGGGTTGCCAGTCTTTATAGGCCAGCGGGCATATTTGGAATTCTGAGAAAGTACTGTGGGTGCTAGTCACTAAATGGTTGCTGGGATGTGTGTGTGACGAATAAAAAATGGATGCCACATCTAAAAGAGCAGAAAAGAGGCAGGACTACAAGCAGCCACCCCATCAACGAGAAAGCCAACTACATCAGCCTGTGTCGCTCTGTCTCACACAGAGACAAGTTATTTGCACCTCTGTTCAGAACAGATGGGACGGAGGGTGTCCAATTCTGGCACACAGTGAAATGTGGCCATGTTTAAGAGGGCTTGTTCAACATAGGAGAGGCTGGGCCAGTACAGACAGGAACGGCTCAGGAAGAGCAAATGGTCTAATGATTTGTGGATGGGGGTGGGCATTTTCTGTGCACCATACCTAAGGGCTGTCCTACCACCCATCTGACTAGATGAGTCTTTAGGTAATCAAACATATAAAGGCCAGTTCCTGTGTTCTGTCATGCCTGTCATTAGCAAGAGATAGAATCCATGGCGGAGATTGGCAGCTAGGAGGAGGCTTCATTTTAGAATGGCTTCCATTATCTTATGTGTGGGCTAAAGCAAATGGTGTTGCAGTCAGCAGGACTTGTACTGCCTTTCCCAGCTGAAACACATTGACAGCAATGTTTTCTGGAGATAGGACAGGACTTTTATTTTGTATTTCTTGTTAGAGCAAGGAACCTCAGGCTTGGGGGCCAAATGCAGCCCTCCAGACCTGTCCCTCAGAACTCTCTCAAGGCCACACTTTGCATTCCAAATGTTTTGCTTGATGGGAAACATATAAATGGGTCATTTCACCCTGTTAATGCCCTGTGCTTTTTCTCAATGGAGGACAGAGAGGGATGTGTGAAAGTGTATAGAAACTAACCTATTGTATAAAGACAAAATGTTCACATGTTGCGCCACACACGTTTGTCTCTGGTCCCACCAACCACTGGCAGATGGCTCTCAGAAGAGAATATGGCCCTCAGGTTAAAAAAGTTTTCCCATCCCTAGATTAGACCAAGGATAGCAACAATTCTTCTTCTTCTTCGGTGATCACTCATAGCCAAGTAAGATTGTCTTCCATAAACACAGTTTTATCAATGAGTCCGTAAGTGACTGTGGAGGCCAATTCTGGACCCACACGTCCTTCCACAGTGGGGACATTGGTTCCTGGGCAGGAGTTGATCACAGGGTGGATTTGCCAAGTGTGCCTTCCTCTTAGCATGTTTCTCCCTTGCGTCCTGAGTTCGAGTGTATTCAAAGTCCATGACACCTTTGGTAAAGGCTGTTCTCCAACTGGAGCGCTCGCAGGCCAGTGTCTCCCAGTTGTCAGTGTTTATACTACATTTTTTTAGATATGTCACAAGTAGGTCTGTGCTTGCCTTGATCCTGCAAGCTGACTTGTTCCTTCCCTCCACAAGAATATACTTTTAGGGAACGGGAAAGTGGAGCTAGGGAGTTCTTCAGCAGAGCATTTTTTTCCCACCAGAGACAAGGGCTACCAGTCCTAGAATCTCCAGTAAGAAATAGATGCATTACATACTATTTCTGCTGGAGATTCTAGAACAGGTAGCCTCAGTCCTCACCAGGAAAGAACTCTCAGCTGAAAGAATTCTCCATTGTCTTTGCATTCTCCAAAGGTAATTTATTGGGCTGGGGGCAACCTGGAAAGGGGAAGCTGGTGGTGGGGGAGGTATGTTCAGTGTGAGTTTCTTTGAGTCTCTTTTAAATGCTTGATTAGAACTTTCACAATAGAGCAATTCCTAAGGGAGCAATGCTTGTGCATTCCTAGCAAAATATGTTGGTCTGGATGGATGTTGCTATCTGCTTTGTCGGGAGAGTCTGGCTTTGGATATTTGTGACTGGAAATGGATTCTGAACTCTGCCCATGCACAGCTAATTATGGAAATAATAGAGAGTGAAGGGATGACATCCCAGAGTCTGGGCTGGGGTGCCTGGAAATACTTTATTTCCATTTATCGAGTGAAGCCAGCTGGTGCCCTGTGCGCATGTGCAATTATAAGAACTCCACAACAATTAGGCTCCGGCTTTTGAATGAGCGGCTCGGGGGCTGTAGTCCATAAATCACTCAGCCCATTTCTCAGCTGCGCCCTTCCTGTCAATATCTGTTACCAGTGACTGTTACCACCTGCTATCCTTCTTGAGCTTGCCTTCTGCTGTTGCCCTTCTATGCCATCTTCCTTCTGTAAACAAGTCCTATTAGGATTTGTTTTAAGAAGTTTTGGATTCAGTACATTATAAGACCTTCCTAGGCTCCTGTATCATATGCATATTCTCTTTCTCTCCTGTTTATATTTTTTGGAATTTAAAAACTGAAGAGAACAATAGAAATTGTCTTCTCTACTTGGAGCTAGAATTTGTTGTGGTCCTGCCCCATTAGAGAAAAAGTTAAATTGAGATTACAATTTCACAAACATTGGCTAGAGAACTGGGCCAGTTCTGCCATAAGGCAAAGTGTGACCTGCCTCAGGTGGCAATACTGGAATATCTTTAAAGGTTAGAAATGACCCATTATTTAGTTTAGAATTACGGTATATTGTTACCACCTTGAGGGTATCACTTATCTGCCTCAGGAATCACAATGTATCATGAATAAGTGGCACAACTCCGGAGCAGAGATGAAGCCTTGGATTAGAACTGCACCAAAGTATGTAGCTTGGGGGAATGTAGTTTACATGAGAAAGGTGAAACCTTTTATTCCACTAACTTTTAAAATCTTCAGATCAGTTGGACTGTTGGGGTGCAGTTGGTCTACAGTGTGCAGCCTTCATGAGACTTTGTTGTAGTAAAGGCTTTTGGCTCAGTTGTTTTAACTGTGTATCCTAGACCTTGGAGAGAGAGAGAGAGAGAGAGAGAGAGAGAGACTATTGGGAAAAAGATAAAAACACATTTTGAGATTCCATTTAGGAGCATAAGAAGCTACCTAGCTCAGTAGAATATACTACATTCACTGTCAGCCGTTCTCCAGAATTTCAGGACAGGATTTTTCCCCACCCCTATTGGATATTCCAGGGAATGAACCTAGGTTCTTTTGCATCCAAAACATGTTCTACAGCCCTCCCTTTTGTTCCAGCCACCAACAGTGGCTGTTCTTAAATGCAAAGTACACTCTTTTTCAGGTACCAATTTATTAGAATGTTTTCCCCTTTTAGCACTTTCCCCAGGAAATATATATAGAACTGTTGATCAAATCAGTGTGAAATCTTAACAAAGCTATTTTAGGCTTTTGCATTGGGTCTTGTTTTTACCAACTAGATTTGATTTAATTTAATTGGGGAGGGGAAAGGAGGAGGAGGGAAATGCATTAGCTACATTGCAGAACAAATGTGGGAGAAATCTAACTCCTTGTAAAAAAACCTGAAACCTCACCTCTGTCTCCCACCCCACCCCCTCCATGCAGCTTTTAAGGCTAGAGAATTTGACAGGAAGGACTCTGGCTGGACACTGCAGGGAAGCATTATGCAATCATGCCAGCAGCTTTGGCACAGCGCCTAGAAGACATCCTTAGGGGTCTTCAAACATAGCCTTAGCTATTCCAGTAGAGTTATCGATTATCTTTTCTTAACAGACAGCAGTATGAAAGAGCAGCTGCCTATAGAAGTGGGCTTTGCTGAAGGGAGGGAGGCAGGAAAAACACAAAGGCCCCACTTTGCTGGAACCAAACTGCGCCTGTTCCTCAGAGCAGCAGATTTTGCAGAACACATTCCTTTGAAATGCTAGCATTGAGGTGCATTGACTTCTATTTTCAAATCTTCACCCCCCTTTCCCAAATGCCTCCAACTTGAGTCAAGCACGTGCCTCCTTAACGCCTCACTGCCTATCTAGTTCATCATGAAAATGAAGAAACACTGTGCACACTGCAGTCTCTTTGCCTGTATAATCACAGGAGGGGTGTCCAAAAGAAAGCAACGTCTGCATGAAACAATCCACCCCCACCCCATTTTAGACATATAGAAAAATATAGTGTGAACCAGCATTCTCCAATTGCTTGGAGTTTTGCTATCTACCACCTGCATGGAGGTAATAATAATACATAGCATTTATATTAACACTTTAGTGTAGGTTAAATGTTTTGAATACTTCTTCCAAATAATCCTTACAACTGCTCTATAAAGTATCTATATTATTCCCATATTGCAGATGCAGAGTGGATCAGGGCTGAGCAGTTGTGGTTTGCTTAAGGCTACTTCATGGCTGCAGCAATAGTTGAACTGAGGGTTTCCCAATGCACACTCTTAACCTTTACACTGCACCCTCTCTCAGCAGGTTTAGGTAAGTGAACACATTTTGGGGCTCACTCCATCTAACCTTGTGGCTACATGCTTTACAAGGCTATTTACCTTGGAGTCCCAACCAACCAAATGGGAGTTTCACACAGCATCAGTGCTCAGACATACTTCCCTTACTTCCCAGCCCCAAACTGCAGCAGTTTCCGCTTTTTCTGGGCATCATACAATGCAGAAGTATTTCAGCTTGGAACAGGTCAATATAAAAGGTTTCTAATTTTTGTTCCTATACTCCACCCCGTACAGCCAAACCAAGTTAACTTTGGAATTCTGCGTTGCCTCACATGTCCGTTTAGTTGCAGCAGCTGGAGGGCAAATTTTCTCCCTTATTCAATTAGGAAATAATATAGTGAGAGATTGTTCTCATCATGGTTGGGGGAAGGTCAAGGAAAAATACAATACTTTGCAGTAAAATCAAATATGGTGGGGCCTGAGATCATACTCTCTGACACCCTCTAAGAGCATGTGCGAAAGTAGCATTATTGCAGTCATAATAACTGTTCTTTTTAAAAGTATTTTTCCAAGAAAGAAAAACAAATGCAGTTCCTTGTTGTGGAATACTATTTGTTAACTGGATGCATAATTGGTTCAAAAATTAAATAAAATTATGAACTATGGCTACAATCTATATGCTTTCCTGGGAGTAAGCTCCATTAATAACAGTGGGACTCACTTCTGAAGAAACATGTATAGGATAGTGATGTAAAGGTAGAAGCTTTTTCACCACAAAACATTTCAGATTTTTAGCTCAGTTTGCAATGCCAAATCTTCTAGTTCTTTGGTAGGTGTTTCCTTGAATATATAGACATATCTGTTCCTTATACTACCTTGTGTCATAGCACATTGTAAAGGCTACCACGTTTGTTCAAAATCATGTTGGGAGCTGCTAAATTTTGCATTTCCCTTTTGACATTTAGATTTGTAACCTTATCCTGCAACACTGCACTTTAGAAAAACTCATAGGATTACTTCCATAGACTCAAAGAGAACCCAGTGCTAATAGAAGTACATGACACACTTTTGGAGGTAGTGAGGGGACCTCCCCTGTGGTGTCATGCTCCAGAAAGGGACTGATACCTGAAGTAGCAAGACATCTCTCCAAAATCCTGGTGCAGCACTTGGTTCTTTTGGTCACTGTAGTGCTTCTGCAAATAAACAAAAAACCTTCCTCCCTGCTGCTTTTCAGGAAAGAGCACCAGTGGTGGAGCATCTGCTTTGCATGCAGAAGGTAGCTATGCTTGGTAAAGAGACTTGTAGGCCACATTATACAATAATGTTTCTCCTTAATGGGATGTGGAGAGCTTGTGCATGGGTGTTCAACAACTCTGGACAACACAGCCACAGCCTCCATTGGAGGGACTTTCTTCCCTGCCAGCCAACAAGCTTGGCAAGTGGGAACCTGCTGGTTAAGTGCTCATCTTTCCACTCATTCAGAATCTCTTACTGAATTGGCAGCCTGGTGGCCCAATTAGCAACCACCACTTTCATAAAGAGATACTCTTGTTATGCACAAAGGAGAGAGATCCTTTGGTTTTAGCCTACAGTTTATCAGTTTATCTGTCCCTCTTGAGGAAGACTTCTGCTCTAGGTCCAGTGGCAGAGCTTCATGCTCCGGCACCGGGGGGGGGGGCAGAGAGCAGGCAGGGGTGGGGCTGGCGCACGTCCTGGGGGCATGGTGCGCTGCCCACAGGGGCATGGCGTGCGTCCTGGGGGCATGGCATGTAGCGTGGTCGGGGGGCAGCCGTGATGACCCCACCGGGATCACGCTGCCGGGGGCAGTGCACTCCCCCTGCACTCCTATTCCTTCGCCAGTGTCTAGGTCCACTGAATATGTCATATGAAGGAGAGAACACTAGGACTGGCCACAAAGCTCTCTGACTGACTTCTGGCAAGGAAATTCAAGCAGAAATTGTGCTCCTTTTGGCTTTCAGCAGGGCCTACCCTTCTGGGTAAATAACGAACCAGTCCTTACTTGAAGAGATGTTTTGCTCCCAGGCCAGCTTTCTGACAGGGGCATAATCTGCCATCCCACGCAAGAAGCATGCTCCTCTCTACTGCCAAATTGAAGGAGGATCCAGTCTGGATGCCAGGAAGGATGTAACTCCTGAACTAATCCTGGAAAGGGAACAATATCAAGCATGGGAGTTCCCATTTTTGGCTGCCACCAGATCTATTTTATGGAGGTAGCTCTGTAGCATGTCAAAGCCCAGAGCAACAATTTTGGGCAACACTAATTCAGTTCCAATATTAACATGCAAAATGACAGGTGGAGCCAAGCAGGAGGGAAGCACAGAACTCTCTTTCTCAAACAGACCTGCTTTCTTTTTCTGCTTGATGATTGAGGTTAAGTCTCTTCACCCAGAGTTTTTTCAGCTGAGAAAACAGGTGCTAAAGCATCTGGAAAAGTGGATTAATCAGCCCAGGAGTGATACCCTTTTTAATTGGGTAATGACCCTCATATCACAAGAAGCAGAAAGCTTTTTCCTTTCAAACTTCCATTAACAGATCTACTGCCACTCCAACAACCTATGTAATTTTGGAAGGGGAATTGCTTCTATTGAGAAACTACCTGACGCTGGCCTGGTTCATAAGCAACAGCCCACTGCCCATGTTTACTTCTTGGTGCTTGAATGGTGTTTAAGTTTCGTAAGGAGCCAACATTACAAGTCAGGTTGCAGAGAGAGGTTATTTTGTTTGCTTGCTTGCTTTGTTTTACTATTCTCTGACGCCTCTAGTGGGTAAAACGAGTCTTGCATTGCAGGAGGTTGGACTTGATGACCCTTGTGGTCCATTCCAACTCTACAATTCAATGGTTCTTTGAAGTCTGAGGAGTTGCTCAGGAGAAATGGCCTTCCTTTCCTGACACAGCTTCTCTGTGCTTGGCTTCTCCCCCCGCAGCTGGTACTGCAGCAAAACACACTGCTGTTGAGCTGCTCTTTTCTGTCCCAAACCTGCCTGGATGTCAGGCCTAGAAGCAAGACAAGGCTTATCTGCTGTAATCTGACCTTGGCATTGCTTTGCAGTACACAATGTCATTCTGAAGCTCTTCACAAAATGGCATCCAGTAGTTTCTGGAACCCACAGACAATAGTGCAAGAACTGTAAAAAGCAAACTAAAAGGGTTCCCTGGTGTGTCTCCCATTTTCCCGCCTTTTTTACTTCAGGAATGTTACTGGTGACAAGAGTGGTTGTTGCCCTAGCCTGCCTTTCCTTCTGATATCCTCAGTGAGGCAGAGCAGGCATATGGAAGGGTGGCTGTCATCTGGCCCTCCTTTCCTGAGGGAGCAGCCATCCTTTCCCTTAAGAGTATATACAAAGGCCTAATAGCAGCACTGAGGCCTAGCAAGTTTGGCAAACAAGATGCTAACAGTACTGTTGGCAAGTTAAAGGAAGTTCCTGGAAAGTCCCTCTGCCACCTTGTGGAGTGTGAAAACGTAGCATAAACCCCTTGTGGAATCAGCAGTCCCTTGTGGTAGTGCTTTAAATTAAGTGTAGCCAGAGACACTGTTATGAAAAGCTGCTTTTATTTCTAAGAAGCTCGTGTGTCTCACTTGAGGGATGCTGGAGAACACAGCTGAAATCTCATTGCAATACTAGATGGAGAGGAAGGGCAGCCCTGGTTTTGTTTGTTTTTTGCAGGAAAACCAGTTCCCTCTTTTGTGAAGTGCAGCATTGGAATGGGACAGAAAAGTCCCAGTTTTTCAGGGAAAGCAAAACGGTAGAGAAGAGCAGCTCTCCAGAGGAAGCAACTCTCTCATTTCAACTCATGAGGCACAGGGCTGGTGTGTTGCAAGAGCCAGGCAGCATCACCGAGGCATGGCCTTGAGGTAAGAATAAAATGGAGAGGGGTGGCAACTGAACTCCCTCCCCTCTTAAGCAGCTGCCTGTCTTTTCTTCTGTAAGTAGGAAGTGGCACTGTTACTCTAGGGCTTGAGACATTGGAAACAGTCCCATAAGGGTTTCTCTCCATATGCAAGCTTTCCAGCTGGTGGAAAGGTTACCACTCCTTGCCAGGTGTTTCGAAAGTTGAATGTGGGAGGCTGCCTTGTGCTGAGTCAGATCATTGCTCCATCTGACTCAGTGTTGTCTATGCTATCTGCCAGGGGTCTCTTCCAGACCTGCCTGGAGATGCTGGGGAGAGATCCTGGGACCTTCTATATCTAGGGCAGCTGTTCTGCCACAGCTACAGCTCTTCCTAAAAAGACAGCTGGGCATTTTTGTGTGTGTTCATGCATGTGCGCACACAATCTGGCACAAAAACAAGTTTGGGCAATGCCCTCATACTTCCCTGAATACTAGCACGTCTGATCATCAGTTTACTGAATGGTAGAGTACAACCCAGGAGTCTATAGATCTTCTGAAAGTTAGATCAAATACAGGCCTGACAAGAAGAGAATTCCCTTGCATTTATCACCAGAAGTTTCAGAGAATCAAAAAGTTGTCCCTGAGAAGAGATATCACACATGGGCACAACTTGAGGTAGCAGTAGCTTATTTCATCAAGGGGTTCTCTTTGTCAAATTTCCTACCCTCCTCCCTCAGAAACAGAGAGCAGTGGACTGTCTGGTGAATAAAATCAGAGTTTTAGAGCTTCCTCACCCCAAGCATAGAAGGGATAGACCAGGACAGACACATTCAATTCTGAGTGAGGATTTCCCCACCTTTTATCTGAAGTCATTATACAGTAAGCCCACAATTTATATGCCTTTGGGTTGTGCACATTCAGCTTTATGAGCATGGCAAAAAAATAGAAAAGGGTGGGGTTCTGGGAACTCAATGTTTTGACTATACACAATTTCGGCTTTAGGTGCAATCCCCGGAACATAACCCCTATGTAAATTTAGGCTGATTGCAATAGGATGAGGAGCTTGCTTCTGTTTAGAGAGTTGATTCCTCTCCCAAGACTTCTGAGGTCATTGAGGCATTTTCAAAGGCAGTAGCAGAAAGCCAGTTAGGTTCTCCAGGTGGGTGCAGTTTAAATAAGTAAGAAACGGGACGCAGGTGGCGCTGTGGTCTAAACCACTGAGCCTAGGGCTTGCCGATCAGAAGGTCGGCGGTTTGAATCCCCGCGACGGGGTGAGCTCCCGTTGCTCGGTCCCTGCTCCTGCCAACCTAGCAAGTAGATAAATAGGTACCGCTCCAGCGGGAAGGTAAACGGCGTTTCCATGCACTGCTCTGGTTCGCCAGAAGCAGCTCAGTCATGCTGGCCACATGACCCGGAAGCTGTCTGCGGACAAACGCTGGCTCCCTCGGCCAGTAAAACAAGAGGAGCGCCGCAACCCCAGAGTCATCCGCAACTGGACCTAACAGTCAGGGGTCCCTTTATCTTTAAGTAAGAAAGAATTGCCCTTCAGTAGTTTGGATGGCCTCCTAGAATGTCATGTAGTTGCACTGGTTAGTTGTCCATAAGAATGATATAAATTGGCTAAAGTTTCTGCCTGTGGCAGTGGATATAAGCTTAGATAGTCTACCCTTGTCTGCTTCCACCTTTGCTACTGATAGTGTGAGGTTTAATGCCATTACGGCGGCATTAGTTGGTTCTCTGTCTTCCAGGTCTTACTATTATTTGGCTTAAAGACCTATTGGAATGTACACCTCAAAATTTATGTGATTTGTTTTTCCTTGTAAGGCTGTGGTTTCTGCCCATTGGCTTAGATATGCTCTTGGATACTATGTTTTTTTCTACCTGTAATTTGGCAGCAGATGGGGTCAGGCCAAATGTATCAATTGCAGCATATGGCCATTTCACAGTCTAATAGGAATTATCCCTTGTTAAGTGAGCTTGGTTTGGGCCATGAAAATAATTCAAAGAAATGGGTAGCTCAAAGTCACTATTGAAGCTTGCAATCACACCTGGTTTCACTAGTACATACAGATGAATCCTATAGAACTAGATCAAGTCCACCGTCACCCAGGAATAAGGAATGACACAAGCTCAATACCCAATGGGGACCCCTTGGCCTATACAAAATGTTCCCTTGCCCCAAACTCCTAGTCTGCCTGGAAAAATCTTTCACTATTGGGGTGCAGGGGAAAACTTTCCAGAAGTGGGGCTTGAGAGCACATTGCCTAGCATATAATGCCTAGCCTTTGCATCTCCTCCAAAGGGGTATGACAGCCCTCTCCATGCATAGAGCATCTATCTTGGCTGCCATAGATCCAACACACCACTAAAAGCCTCCATGACATGCTCAGTGGGTGAACCCTCCATCTTCATGTGACATTTGCCAAATTATCCTTCCATCAAAGGGTTCTGCAACAAGTATTACAAAGTGTTTTTTCTCTCTGTTTTGGGAATATTGCTATTGGATAGCCCTTTGTTGTCTGCTCAACTCCCTTGACTTGAGAATGGAAGCTTTGTTACCAAGTGTTCTTCTGGTCAGCAGACACCCCCCCCCCCGTATTAGTACAACCAATCATGGAGGGTGGTTCACATCATCTTCTGTGTTACTTTACCACAAATTTTCAATAAAGGACACTGTTGAGGTTTCCCGTCTCTCCATATTATTCTTTACTACTATTCTGCTGGCAACAAATGTAATCTGCCAATGGCTTTTTGTTTGTAGGAAATTTCTATGGTTAAGTCCCGAAACTAGAAGGTTCCTCCTCATCAGGAAGGACAGGTTTTTTCTGATTGGCACTGCCTTCTTCTTGAACAGGCGTTAATCCTCTGCTCCCTGCTGACCAGAACATGACTCCAACTTTTTGTTCTCCCCTGGTCAACTGGTATTTTTAAAATGATCCATTACTCTGGGTGAGTTGGATAATGGCTTCACAACCAGCACAAGAGTCAACCAGTCAGCTTTGTGCACAGCCACCTTTTATTGGAAACGGGGGAAACTTGTGGCTCCAATATGTGGGAGTTTCGTCTAATAAAAAAAAAAGGCGAATGAAGGGAGCACATGCTGTGCAAATGAGAGATGTCTGTACATATCCAGGTTTTCAGAACAGAATGCAGTTTGTTTGGCTTCAGATATTTGCATATATTATTCCAGCCAAAGCTAGAAGGTACCAACCATTCTCTTACCAAAAGTTGTCCTTTATTTTGGCAGACATAAATTCACTCAGCCATAACTGACTTGTTGCCCTTGTATAAATCCTTCCTATTCCTCACTGGAAACAGACCATGTTCATGTTGGAACTACTGGTGCAAATGGAGGCCTGTGGCACAGAATGGAGGGTTTAAATTGCTCTGTAGAAGAGTGAAGTATAGATGGTTAAGAAAACAAAAACAAATCCACAATAGCTAATGTTCTGAATCCCAGGAAAATTTTAGTTTCAGCTCTGGTTTTTCAAAACTTGCTACCAGTCTCTTGCACCAAAGCAAGGTATTGGGGAACTTGTGTCCATTACATAACACAGATTCCACTATCACTGCTTACCAGTCAAGCATTCTTATTTTAATAGTGTTCATTGCCTCTTCAGTCATAAACATATTATAAATTATAAAAAGAAAAGGCAAAAGTAGGAACAAACATAGAAACAGACCTTACACCTCCCTCCAAGTAAAAGAAGATGGATGTAGTGTCAGGCTCAATTAGATCCAATTGTGCTGGCTTTTGCCAACGAGAACAATGCCGCTTGTGTGACGAACTCCCAGCAGAAAGCATGAAATATTTTAAATAAAAGCAGCAATAGCCATCTAGGTGCTAGCTTCCTCTTGAGGGCACAGTGGAAGTCCAGTAAAACCTTACTCTGAACAGGAAATGCAAGGATGGCCTCCTCCCAACCCCAGGCAGAAATTTAATCTTCTTCCTTTCCATGTGTTAGAACATGAATGTATTTCAGTGTTGAAGGAGAAACTGATGTTGGAGGTTCCACTGTAGCTGAGAAAGTGCCTGTCTTTCTGCTGTAGTTGTTTTATGGACAGTTTACCTGGGGTACTGTTAGCAGAGAAGCCAACTAGTAGAGAGGGCAGTTTGAATGGAAGAGAGTAGCCTGCAGCAGCCCTGGAAGTGCTTGAAATGCAAATGTACAGGAACTCCAGACCATCCCCCACCCACGCCCTCCACATGGAGGAAAAGCAGCTTAAATACAGCCAGGCCTGGAGAGGAATGTTAAAAAGAGGGAAAGAAACCGCCCCTCCTCCCTTCCATAGGGACCCTCACACAGCAAGATTCAGTATGCATGACTGAACAAGCAAGCAAGGACAGCTCCTCTTTTAACTTTCCTGAACAATGGCTGCTGCTCCTTCCACCATTTCACATTCTCTCTACCCCCCCCTTAATAAGAAAAGAAGGGGAGAAAGCCATGCTGCATGACTTAGAAAGAAAAAGCTTTGTTTTATGCTCGATAAGCACTGCTTAACCCCCCACTACAGTTTTGAAAAATCCTCAGTAGAAGTTTTTTTAAAAGTGTCAGGCCAAAAGTCACAGATGAGTACAAAAGGTGGGGGGGGGGGAACCTTCCCCCCCCCAGGCTATTTTTAACATCCAAGTTTGGCTTTCACTTTATTTTCAAGACTTGGATGATTCGCATGGTTTCATCCTTTTGCCATCCAAGTTTCTAGTTATCCAGATTCACTTGATATTTAATGCAGCAACTGAGGATATTGCCTCTGTTGAAAATGAAAAACCAAACATTGCTGTACTGTTCTCAGCATCTGTAAAAAAAAAACTTATTAAAACTCTAGTAGCAATAGTGATTTGCCCAACACTGAACTGAAAGCTATTACTGGACAGGTTCAATTACATATTACATGTAGACAGACTAGGATAAGCTAGGACTAACAGATCCTTCCAAATGGAACCAATTGCTCAGTTGTGAACTTCTAATTCTGAAGTTGTTTAGCCTCCTGTACTAGAAGGACAAAGCATTCCAACTCCTTTGATTCACTGGACCAAATTGCTTACTGACTGCTTACTGACAGAGGAGACAGGGCAAGAGCTCTGCGATGTGTCTCTTCTTACAACTTTTGATCAAATATACCTGCCTTTTAAAAAGACAAAGACAACACAGATACAACTTTTTTTTTCAAAAACATACTTCATATTTCCTCTTTTATTATATAAATATCAGTTTAACCTTTTACTGTAAGAATATAAAATGTTTTAAGAGGATCTTTATTTTATACAAATTCACAAACAGTACATTTATTCCATGGTGGGGTTATGTGTCTGGGCTTGTCTGAGTTCCATTACCTGCAACTGTGGAGGATTTGAAAATCTGCTCAACTGCCCCTTCTTCCCCCATCATTTTTGCTTTCTTCAAAGCTGACTTATTTCTCCTTTTAAAGACAAGTAGTCAAGAAGTGGCTTTAATTTAATGAGAGAAGAGAAACAATAAATGAAACCAACTTTTCCCATTCATGTTACAACTACAAGTCAGTCCACTCTGCTCTTCTTTCTACTTCCATATAGGAAGCTTCTTACTTGACCTAGGTAATTTGAGAGAAGGGGAGGTGGGGATTTGCATAATATATATATTTAAAGAAACGGTGTTTCTATTTCACATTTCTTTTAACCATAGCCCAATCATAAGTTTGGATGTTTACATGTTACATCTTTTTGTGCTAGAAGAGTAGAAATGCAAGAGCATCGTTGGGTCCCCAGAACCTTAGTCAGAGAGGGAGAGGCACAAAGATGATGTGTATGTGGGACACAGGGGGAAAGAAACCCCAACCAGCCTCCCCCCTTGCAATCATAAACCCAAGAGATTATCTTTCCAGTCTAGGCACAAAATATTTCAGTCTCTTATCTTTCTTATAAAAACTCCTGGGGGAGGGGGGTTGAGAACAAAAACAAAACAAAACCCCAAAACCCGAGGTAGCCAAACATTTATATAGAGAATATATTAAGCAGTAAAAGTGTACTTAAAAATCCACAAGAACAGCCACTTCAAATGTCTTTCAAAATTAGACTATGTATGAAGATGAATACTGAAGAGAAGAGAATGAATAAAAAAAGCTGAGCTCACCCACAAGACTTTTCAGGGAAGGGAAGCTTTGTAGAGTAGTTTTGTTTGTTATGTGTTTCTAAATAAAAGACAGTCACAGTATTTCTAGTGAAAAGTACAAGTGAAGATTAATTCCATCGTTCATATACCCTCAGTTCTCCAAATGGAAAAGATGTGTGGTTGGCTATGTTGTTAAAAGTATATATTATCCCAAGCTACACACACACACAAAAAGGAGGAGAAAGATGGAGTAAGGAGGAAGAGAGAGGTGGGGGGGGGGTGGAGAGAATTATAAAATGTTGAACAAAGGTGACTTCAACCTCTAGACTGAGACTGCAATCTTATGCACATTTACCTGGGAGTACAGCCTACTGAAAACAGTGGGATTTACTTCAAAGTAAATATGCATAGGATTGTACTGTTAACTGGCAGCAAAGGAAAGATGGTGATGGGGTTGGTTGGATACAGCATAAAATGAGTCCAAGGGAGAAATACTGTGTTTGATGTCTCCTCCCCGTTTTCTGCAAGCAACAGTGAGAAGTATGAATGCACTTCAGTTGACACTCCATTTATAGTGCTGTGTCAAAGAAACATCACCTGCTCAGGAGGGAAGTCTAAAAAGCATGGCTGTTTCTAGCCTCAAGCACAAGGTGGGGGGCAGGAAGAGAAAAATAGAAGTATTATGGCCCAGAAGAGGTAGTATGATAGGGCTGGGAAAGACTCCTGCCTGAGTTTCTGGAGAGCTGCTACTAGTCAGTGTGGATAATACTGAATGAGATGGATCAATGGCCTGACTTGGTATAAGGCAGCTTTCTATGTTCCTGTGTTATCTACAGCTTGTCTACATACCATATAAAGAAAGGGGTGGATGACTACAAAAAGCAAACTAGGATCGGGTGAACAAGCAATAATGGAAAAGAAGTAGGAAAGAAAGAGACTTATGCATGCTCAATAAAGAGCCGGTCTGCAGTAAATAACAACAATGGCGGGCTAGGTTTTCTTCTTCCATCCCTAGTGCAGAAGGGGGGTGGGGGGTGGAATCAGATTTAGAGAAAGGGGCTGTATTCATCCCCAGTGCATAAAAGATTGAGAAGCTGCATTCCCAATAGAAAAAGGTAAGGACAGTGATACTGTATCCATCCACAGTGAAGGCTGATATAAGAGTGCAGTTGTCTCCCACTGGTGCAGGGGAGGGAATTATGAAAGAATGGTGGGTTTTCCCTCTTTCCCACCTCCACTGCTATGGCAGGTAATTGAGGGGGTAGACTGGCAAGTACTGAAGATACTTTCCCCCACCCTCCAGGTTTGGAGTCATATTTCCCCCACCTCTTCCACTGCAGCAGTCAGTTGTTGAGTCCCTCCAGAGGGGTGGGGATTTCCAGGTGTCCCCTCCTCTCACCTGACTTTCTCGCTGCTCTCAGTCATTTGCCAAAGTCCCAGGTTGAGCACCTTGAGGCAGGGCAGTTGAGTGATACGCTCCAGGCCCCTTTTAGTTATGCGGGTGCAACCATAGAGGTCAATGCCTGTGAGCTGACTGAGGTGCTCTGCAATGAGCTCCAGGCCCTTGTCGGTGATGCGGACGCACTGGCCAATGTTGAGAGTGCGCAGTCCGTGCATCTGGCGCACCATACGGTTTATGCCCTCGTCGCTGATGTGGCAAGAGCAAAGGGAGAGTGAGCGCAACCCATCCAAACCCTGTGCAATATAGGCCAGGCTTTGGTCTCCCACTTTGTCACAGAAGGAGACGTCCAAGCCTGAAAGACGCAAGCTGCCCATTGCCAGATGCATGATGCCCGTGTCACTGATATTGTCACAGGAACGCAGGTTCAGGGTGCGCAGGCTGCTCATGTGCGACAGGTGCAGTAGCCCTGCGTCTGAGATCCCCCCACAAAAGCTGAGGTTGAGCTGGCGCAGCCGAGTGAGACCCCGCGCCAGATGCTTGAGCGAGAGGTCGCTGAGCTTCTGGCAGTCCTGCAACGTGAGCTGCTCCAGGCCCAGGCAGCCCTCTGCCGCACTCCGGGTCATGCCTGCCAGGTGCCCAATGCCCACATCAGAAAGGTGGCGGCAGGAACGCAGGTTGAGGCTCTTGAGGCGCTGCAGGCCCCAGGCGATAAGCAGGAGGCCAGTGTTGGTGATGTTGCTGCAGCCGCCCAGCTCCAGCACCTCAAGACCCTTTAGGTACTGGGCAATGCGGCCCAGGCTGCTGTCGGTGATCTGCTTGCACAGGCTTAGGTTCAGGGCCCTCAGCGAGCTGATTTCTGCCACGAAGGCGTGGCCCAGCCCGTTGTCGGTGAGGTTGTAGCAGCCGCTCAGGTTGAGGCTCTCAATCTCCGCCATGCCCTGAATCACGTAGCTGAGGCTGCGCCGCAGTGATAGGATCTGCACCCTCCGGATCCCCCTGGCCGCCAGGCTGGGGAAGAGCGATGGGTTGGCACGGCGCAGGTGCAGCTTGGCCTCTACGCCCCGCCACACCGAGCGGTGGTAGGCGGCGTCCCTCCAGGCCGTGCACACCTGCGCCACCCGGCCCTTGTCCCGCACCTCCAGGTACCCGAAGATCATGGCCAGCAGCTCCGGGAACAGGCACGAGATGTGCGTCTCCATCGCCCGGGCCCGGCTCGCCTCCGACACGCAGCCACCCGGGCCCGGCGGCGGAGCCCGCCGCTCCCGCCGGGGCCCTGACGCGGCTAAGGCTGCTCGACCCAGCCTCCGGGCCGCTGCCGCTGCTTGGCAGGTCTTCGGGGGGCTCTCCTCGCCGCCGCTGGCTGCGCGCTCTCTTTCTCGGCGGCCGCTTCCGGCTCGGGCCTCACATCGCCACCGCCAGGGCAGGCGAGGCGGGCGGCTCGGCCTCTGCTGCTCCGCCGAAGGAAGCTGGGCTGCGAGCCCGGCCTCTGGCGCGCAACTGCCCTCGTCCGTCCCCGCCTCTATCCGCGCCACACCAGGCAGGCCGCGTTGCCGCCTCGCGTCTTTCCTGGGGCGGCCCCGCGCCGCATCGCGCTCAGTCCCGCGGGCGCTTTCTCTTCCCCGAGCGCCGCCGCCGCCTCCTCCTCTTCCTCCTTTGTCTCCCAGCCGCCGCTCAGGCAGACCCCGCCGGCGCGAGCGAGGGAAGGGCAGCCCGCTGCCGAGCTCTTCCTCCTGCCGCCCTCGCCGCCGCCGCTCTCGGGAGACCCGCCTCCCGCCTCGTTCGGCTCGGCAGGCTCCGACTCGCGCGCTCCCTCGCTCACTTGCTCGCTGGCTGCCAGGCCCCGGCACCGCGCTCAGGCCGGGCGGGGGAGGGGACTGGGCAGGAGGAGGAGGAGGCTGCTGCTGCTGGGCCGGGCCGGGCTCTGCTGCGCCACACCTCCCGGCGCCGCCTGCGCAGTGGTACGATCCGGAACACTCGGAGCCGTCGCCTTGGCAACACCCCCTTCTCTTCCCCCCTCCTCCCGGCAAGCCGGCAGGGTTAACCCTCGCGGCGCCGCTCTCCATCGAGCCAGGCTCCGCGGGCCTTTTGCAGAGCGTGGAGTGCGGCGTGGGGCCGGCCAGGGGTTGACCCCAAGAATAGTTTAGCGGCTGGGAGGGGGAATCCTACCTGCTGCTCTCGCCGCAGCGCCGTGGGAGCGCTAAGGTTAGGATATAGGAGCGTCGCCGTTGCCCGCCAGAGAGACTTCGCTGAAAGGGCAGGTGTTAAATCAAGAGTGGAGAGAAGGGGAGTCTAAGCTCCCTTCCCTCCCTCGCTTGGGGCTGCCTGGAGATGGGCGAGAAAGAGTTATTTTAGTAAGGCTAAAACTTTTTTTGGGGGGGGATACCCCAAACTGCTCTTTACGCCTCACCCTCGACTCAAGGCAGCATTGTTTATGCCTGGTTAGCTTTAAATTTAAAAGAAAATATTGGGTACAATCCCTATTAAAAAAAATAAAGTTGAAGGTATTTAATTAATTAAGCTGTTAATCTGCATCACACAAACCTTTGCAGTGGTCTTTGAATAAAAATAACACACAACTCATATATTGTTTATGAACAATGCAGTCTTTTCTATATGTCTACTTGGAAGTAAGCCTCCTTGGGTTCAAGGGGGCGTTACTCCCATTGTAAGTAGGTATGGAGTTGCAACCAAAATAAATGAGAAAGCATGTATCTAAGCTGTTACTTTGAAGACGTGAGTGACACTAAATATTTGTTTCGCAGGGGGCAGCTGTGGATAAAAATTCATGGTTAGACGGTTAATATAAATATGAGGGGAAATAATGCCGTTTAAATAACTGCTGCTTTCAGCCTTACATGGACTTGATGAAAGTAAGGGACTTGCTTTAGTGTTTGACTTGCCAGATATCTCTAGACCCAAACTCCAATATTATCTGGCTCTAGACTTGTATGAGCAGGCAAATGGCCCAAACCCAGATAGCTTAGGTAAAATTTTTGAGGTGTGCATTTTACTAAACTTTGACAACCTGTTTGTGCCCTTATATCCTCTAAACATCACATTTCACATAATAACATTCCACACAGTAGTACAATAGCTCTAGCAAGAAGTTCCTCCCCATTCTAGGCTTCCTCAATGTCAGGTCAGGCACTTTTGTGTATGTCGGTAATACTTTTCAACAAGGACAAAATGCAAATGTTTTCTTTCTTTAAAACACATTGTGGGTATAGCCTCTCATTAAAGATATTTCCATGTGTGACTGCTGCTGATACTAAACTGCAGTGGGGAATATCCCGTTCATTGGTGGGTTCATATCAACAACCATTTGCCAAGTGGTAACTTACCATGGGTTCCAAATAATGACTTGGATATCTGCTCATCTGCACTGGCCTGACAAATAGGGAGGAAAACCTCACCACAGAAACTGCATCTCTTCAGAAAGCAGGAGTGCTAAGAAACTCCATGAATTATGTCCCTATGAAATGATACTGAAAGCAAAAATGTTGGTTTGCATTACACAAAGCTACCCAAATAACGTTTCAAGAAAAAGTACTTACCACTTTTCTCAATGGTTCAACATTAGAAAATGCTGTTGTACTGTATTGTTTAAAGGGAGTGTTCCTTTGCAGAGTTCCAGCCAGTTACCTAGCCATGTCCTCCAGGATGCTCCTATCTCTCTCCCCACCTTTTTCCAGCTGACACTCAGTTCTGTGCCTATTGAGAATGCTTAATTCCCATTGGACTGTTTGTGGGTGAGGGTGGGTGGATTGTACTGCTGCAACCTTCTGAGGCACCACTGATGCTGTTATGTCTCAGAGATGCCATTTTTGCTTTGTTTCTTTTAGAACACACCACATTAGTTCACTGCCTGGGTCCAACTGACTGAGAAGTTCTTCTGCAGAAGCTCTACATCTCTTGCACAGCTCCCATTAGTTTTAATGGGGTGCACACAAGATATCTTCCTGATAGATTGCGAGTGCTGAGTAGAGTAGGTATTAACTGTAGTCAGCAACATCTCTTTAAAATTATGTAATCACTTATCCCTTCGGGTTTCATAGCATTACCTGTGTATCTATGGTTGTTATAAAACATATACTTTTGTAAGGCTATGAACCTGCTACAGCACATTTTAAACTTTCTATTTTAAGAAATACTCATGAGTCTTGACTAAATAAAATTATTCCCTAATCCTTCCAAGGTTATTCCAAAAGGAAGGCTTAATACAGATATAATTGTGGTATGATTACAGTTGTGTTTCAGAGCACTTACTTATGAGGAATGAACTTAAATTCTGAATTATATCTGCTTAGGATCACATTTGATGGCAGTGCCTTAAGTATTAGCTTACAGTGGTACCTTGGGTTACAGATGCTTCAGGTTACAGACGCTTCAGGTTACAGACTCCCCTAACCCAGAAATAGTACCTCGGGTTAAGAACTTTGCTTCAGGATGAGAACAGAAATCGTGCAGCAGCAGCACGGCGGCAGCGGGAGGCCCCATTAGCTAAAGTGGTGCTTCAGGTTAAGAACAGTTTCAGGTTAAGTTTGGATCTCCAGAACGAATTAAGTTCTTAACCCGAGGTACCACTGTATTAATGAAAGAGACTTTGTAAGTTGGTTGCTGAAGTTTTTCTCAGGACTTTGAGACAGCAGTCCTCAGAAAATGTATGGCATCTGCATAATACCAATTTGCTGAAATGGATATTTCCATTTCTGTATGAGCCTGAGGTAGAAGTCCCACCTCAGAATCCTTTGTTTGGCTGGATCCTAAATGTACTAGGAATCCTGTTTGTTACATTCACTCTAGCATATCTGCCTGCTTGTAACACCATTATTTCTGAGCAATAGTTAGCTTTGTGTGTTGTTTTGGAATTGTATGCAGCTCTCCGTATCTTTGGTGACATTGATTTTCACTGGAGTTGGATCAGTATAAATAGAAGAATGCAATTCTATATAAAGGAGAAATATTCCATGTAAACTGGCACACTTGAATTTAAGCATGCTTTAAAGTCAAGGCTGTAGGAATAAACCAATTTAAATGCTTCTGTACTGTGTAAAGTTGGGATTTTACCCTCAGGCTGTGATTTTACCACTTGGGTTTGGAATCGAGCCATGGAGGTTAGGCGGAGGGACAGTTTGGGTAGAGCTGATTTATGGAATGCATGCTTTATGAGAGCTCTGAATTTAGATCAACTTGGGTGCACCCTAATGCCACTGTTCAGTACAAAAAAGGTAGTGATGGGATAACTTCACTCATTGCTCAGGATTGGCATTGCATTAATGTTACTCATTACTGGCACAAGATCAAGGGACTTGAGCAAGTCAGGCTGAACGAGGGCCAACAAAATCTTTATGTTGGACTAGTGCGTGTTGCTTCTTTACAAATGGTGTGTGTGCTTTACCTACCATACCCTATATTTTCATCTGTTGGTAAGCTTGATTGCTGGCAGTAGTTGTATTAAGAAGAAGCCATGGATAACTTCTAAAGGCATTAAATTATTTTAAATGGCTTTTTAATGGGGAAAAAACATTTCTATTGGTATGTACCACATCAGTTAGGGCTAGAAAAATGTATTATATTAGAACCTTGGGGCTGTAACCTCAGCCTCAGCTCTGCATATCTACATATTCTCGGTAGATTTATTGATATCAAAGAAGCAAAATAATGGGTGAAACTGAAGTGCGCCGTGTCAAAGAAACCCTTGGGACAGGGAGTAGATATAAAAATCCCCAGTATAACAAGCAAGTGAGTCATTCTATATGCTAAATGGAACGTTGAAAAACTGCACTCCCTTGTATATATCTCATGGGAGATAAGGGAGCAGTCCTAACCCATGATCTCTTCTGCTACTTTGCGTGTTAGGATTTGGCAGAGGTGTCTCCTCACCTTATTCTGCTGGGGGCAGTGGGTCTTTGCTGCCAAAGGTACAGTCTGCTTTGGAGCTACCACCAACATGAATAATAATGGTCAGTGAAAACCCAAGCAAAGAGGTCTGTTGGTGCCTCCTGAATAGGAGTAATTTTCAAAAACTGAGAGTGGATACAGGCAGCTCTTAACAGTAATCTATCCTGATATACACTGAATAGTCCTGCTGCGTGCTGAAGAAAACTTAACCCATCTTCCAAATTTCTTATGTTTTGCTATTACTCTTATTTTTATTGCAAGTTTCCACAACTTCCATCAAGAAGCAACAGCTTTTGTATAGTGGTCAACTTTGTGAGCTGCTGGACTTTTTAAATTTCCACAATGTCCCAACATAGTGTTGCTCAGGGCATTATGGAAAAATTAAATTGCTGACACTGATCCTCAAGGCAGGGCATGCCAACTAAAAACAATCTCATAATCTCAACTCCTCTGGTTCTCCATGCAATGCACCAATAAGTTGGGGCTCTTTACAGGTCTCTTAGCCTTGGCTGTTCCCACCTTCTGGAACCAGCCCTGGCTTCATCCGTTCCCTTCAACAGCTTGTCTTTCTGTTCAGTGCTGCTGGTGAACAACAAATATAATACAGTGCTGTATGACCCCATTTGACCAAATGCCTGCATTGAATTTAAATCATTCAGGGGACCAGAAATTTGAATAAATGGATTCTGTAATGTATCAAGGGTGGTGATGGTTTCACTCAATATTATGCCAGACTCAATTATGTCTACTGAAAAGAAGTAGGGTAGTTTTAAGTCCACATGATAAGAACTAGGATGGCATTCCAGCCTGACTTGAGCACTGGGATTCTATTTCTGTGGTGTCACAATGGCCTGGCCAGTGTTCTGCAACCTTGGGTACAAAGATGTTGTTGGACTACCATTTCCATCATCCCTGACCATTGACTAAACTGGCTGGGGATGATGGGAGTTGTAGTCCAACTAATGTCTGGGAACCTAAGGTTGAGGAACACTGATCTAGAAATACAGGACAGAATTTGGGATGATGACTAAGGTTCAGATGCCAATCTTTTATGGGACACAATGCTAGCTGCTTACAAGATAGCAGACAATAATTGTCTCTCTCTTTACCAATGCTTATCTCAAGCAAGGAGTAGAATGCACTCTCGTTTCTGGGTTTCAGCCTTTGCCCTTTAATTCTATGCTCTCTCCATGAAGAAGAGAGCAATTTTCATAGGAAAGCTGGCTGGTGGGAAAAGAATCTAATCGCTCTCCACACTGCTGCTCGAATAAAATTTGGAGCCTCCCAAATCTGCTATTTTTTTAAAAGAAAGGTTAGTTGAAAGTAACATGCATTTGCAACTTGGAAGACTAACCCCAGTGTATGGATTCATATATATCTTGGTCTTGTGTTTACCATATGTTTAATAGGAATAAGGAAAAATGATCTGTAATAGGATTTTGTTTTATCCAAATAGCAGCTGTTTGCAATTTTTCTGAGCTTCCAAAAAGTCAGAAGACAGATGGGGCAGTCAAAATGTACATTATCAGTGCAGTTTATCACGGAGACAAACATTTTGAATGCCATGCTCATCATGACCTGAGCAGCATTTTCTAGGCTCCAGGCAAACCAGTTGTATTGGCCCTCATCCCATTAGAGACACACTAAACAATGTAATAAAAATCATATTAGTTCTGAAATTGTTAGATTTGAGGGGATCAGATAGTCACTATGGCTTTATGACTGTGCCTGGCCTCCTAGGTTGTAAATCTGCAGTAAGAAGCGTATTCTGCAGTCTTTGAGAATTTGAGTCTCAAGCCTCCTGAGAGGGGTCTACAAACGTTAGCTGGGCTTAGCCAATTGTAGCTAGCAGAGCTCACCTTTCCCACTCCCACTTTGTGTGCCTTTCATTTTTACCTGATGTCCTGGGAAAGAGTTTTATAGGAGAAGCAGCTGGCAAAGTCTTTGGCTTTGTTCAGACAAATCGCTGGTGCTTACTGACTTTTGGGCCCTGTGTGAATGAACCTGGAATATGTCTTAGACGTAAGTGCTCATTTTCCCCCATGAGTTCTTCAGTTCCCTCCTGTCCTGGTTTGTGACAAACCATAGCTGCTCATTACATCTGAACATAAACTACGGTTTAGGGTTTGTAAACCAGATTATGCCAGGGCCAAGCCTGTATGTCTGGGATGGAGAACCTGTGGCCCTCCAGAGGTCTTTCTCTCCCATCAGCTCAATGCATGGATAACGGTCAGGCATGATGGGAGTTGAAGTCCAGCATCTGGAGGTCCATAGGCTCTATTTTCTTGTTGCATGTTATGGTAGGATCTCCTTCCCTCCAAGTCATGACATTGATGCTGTCACAGCATGGCACCGTTTTGAAAGAGGCATGCTCTCCCTTCCTCTATTGCTGATGACCCACCCCCAATTGCTCTGTTCACTATCTAGCCCATTGAAGAGTTCTGGAGAACTCAAAATCTTGCACACTATGTTGTGATATTTTGGTTGACCTAATAAAGACATTGCCCTAGTAGGGATTTTGAAAGAATTTTGTTATTCCCATGGTGGGAATATGCAGTAGGCTTTTCCTTCTGGTTGCCAGAATTAAAATTTCTGGTCACCAACACTTGTATTTGTGGGCCCCTGCCTCCTAGGTAACCTGAGGAATCAGATGAGTGCATGGAAAGGATGGTTCTGTTCTAAAATTGGTTGTAACTGGTTTCTGTAAATCTTATAAGATTTAATTACATCTGGACAGTGAACAGATGCATTGGTAGAAATACGTTCACTAAAATTACCGTATTTTTCTGTGTATAAGACTATGTTTCCCCTCAGTTTTTTTAAGTTTAAAATTGGGGGTTGTCTTATACACGGAATATTTAAAATATTTATTTCTTAATTTTGGGCGCAAAAAATTGGGGCCATCTTATACATAGGGGCGTCTTATAGACGAAAAATACGGTATATCCAAAACTCTGCATTGTCACCTCCATGGCAAGAGGCTTCTTTAATTCTTTGAAAAGTTGTGTCTTGAATACATATATTCTACCCTCAGAACTCTTTACCGAGAGTTTATTTCATATTAGGTACCATAAATGTTTTTGCTAGTAATAGCTATACACAGAATTGAAGGTCTAAGTGGTAAATTGCATTTCACACAAATATTGTAATGTTTTTCACCTGCTTGGGAGCTGTTAATCCAGTTTCCTGGAATAACCACTGATATTCCAACCCCCTGGGTAGTTCCCAGATGATAAAGTTGTTTGTTCTTTCCCCCATCCAAATTACATTGATGTTCAAAGGGAATGGGACATTATTTATTGGCAGCTATTTGAGGGAATCAACTTAGTTTAGATTTGAGTAATTCAGGCTGAGTGTATAATGCCTTCACACATACTCTGTTATACTACTTGTGTGGCCATAATGAGGTAATCAGATAGTCACTTCATTTAGGTTCCAAGATAGAAACACATTATTAGTATCAATGGAATTAGTCCTAAGCAAGTGGTTTTAGCGTATGGACAGACTTAGAGTTGCAATACTGCCCCTACTTACCTGGAAACAAGTCCCATTAAATCGTGTGAGGCTTACCTTTGAGTAGACACACATTAGTCTCACTGTTAAGTGCCTTACAATGTATTTTCAGAACCATATTTTATTTTATTTATCACTTCATTGTCCCATTGGGCCTTAGAAAGGACATGGAAATATCCAGAGCCAGCATTCATGTATTAATATGTAAACTCAACATTCAGAGACATTTGTGTTGGACTCCTTTCCTGTCTTAAAATTGTTGACTTGTATTTGTCAAAGTAGTTTAAATGGTTATCAGCTACTAGTGATGTGTATGGCTTCATGTGGCCATGCACCACGATCACTACACAGTTGTGTTCATTTTTCACATATAGCTGTTTTCATATCAATTGAAAACCTAACTGGTGGTGCAACCCAACTGAAGTGAAATACTTTTGTAAACAATCTATGTGGGAGAGTTACGCATGTGATATGCAGTGATCCTATGCATGTTTTCTCAGAAGTAAGTCTTACTGAGTTCAGTGGAGCTTACTCCCTAGTAAATATGCATAGGATTGCAGCCTACATTGAAAGAAATGGGACACAGGAACACTTAATTTTGGCTGTCTTGTGCCTGTAGTGAGTAAGCTGAATTCTTTCTATCGCTGTTTGTCTCTCAAACCATTTTTATTCCTAAAGAAATCTGGGAGAAGGAAGGTATCCTACTTAATGGCATTGAAATTAACTTCCTAGCTGCAGTTAATGTCTGCCAATAGGGCTATTAGCTGCTTGATTTCCAGGGAAATGATGGTATCGTGCCTACTGAACTGTACAAAAGTAAACTTTACAGTTTCTAATCTCCTGCGCCCCCCCCCATGTCCCCTGTTAACTCCTACTTAACAACAGCTTCAGATGATCCTTAGTAAAAAAAAAATCATTTTAATTGTTTTTCCCCTCCCACAATCCTGTCCCCCCCAATCTAAAACATTTATTTATTTAATCACTTCTAGGCCACCTTTTAAGGCACCCCCGTCCCCAGGCATCTTAGATAAAATCACCATAAAATACCACATTTCAGTAAAAACACTCATTTAAAACACCAATCTAAAACAATATGCAGACCAGCAGTACACCATTATGGACTAGCTAAAACAGTTTCAGACAATTTCAAGTCATCATTGCTGTAACTCTTTTAAGAAATGCAATCTGAAATAAGCGGGTTTCGAAGTCTGCTCTGTTAGAACTGTATTTGCATCCCTTGGGAGGGGATTCCACAAACATGGAGCCATACCCAAGCTAAAAAATCTAAATCTCCCACCTCTTGCTTCCCACAAAATGCCCTAGTGGGGGTTATTGGATGGGCTACCAGGGAGGCAGACTGCTGGGGGTGTTAGTGGAAAGAGACAAGAAACTTTCCTCCCATGAACTTGCTTAAGGTAATTTACCGTATTTTTTGTTCTGTAAGACTCACTTTTTCCCTCCTAAAAAGTAAGGGGAAATGTGTGTGCGTCTTATGGAGCGAATGCAGGCTGCGCAGCTATCCCAGAAGCCAGAACAGCAAGAGGGATTGCTGCTTTCACTGCGCAGCGATCCCTCTTGCTGTTCTGGCTTCTGAGATTCAGAATATTTCTTTTCTTGTTTTCCTGCAAAAACTAGGTGCGTCTTATGGTCTGGTGTGTCTTATAGAGCGAAAAATACGGTATATTGGGGGTGATTTTTCCTTTGCCAGCAGCTCCCAAGTGTGCCATTGGTCAGAAGAGTGCTTCCCAGAGACACATTGCAGCTGGCATGGGGAGGGAAAGGAAACGTTCCTTCACATTGGAAGAGCCTTATACTGAGTCAATATCGTCCCTGCTGGCTGGCAGTGGCTCTCTAGGGTTTCAGCCAAGGGACATTCTCAAACCAATTTGGATATGCCAGTGATTGAGCTTGGGACCGTTTGCATGCAAAACAGATGCTCTACAGTCCTTCTATCAACATTTTTAAGTTGGTTTATCTTAGGATCCAAGCCCTTGCAAACTAACCATTGAGAAGGACTACATATGTAGTGAGCCCTGCTGTATCTCTGCTCCTAACAACCAGACTCATAACCTATCAAACACCACCCATGCCTCTCTAACTGCTGTCCATGCCTCTCAGAAGGTCAGTGCTTCTGTCTGTGACCTCTCCTGCCACTACTGCTGCAATATTTATGAGGATGATGAATCTCTGTTTGGGACAATTCATCTGAGTCTCTGCTCTACAGTGGATAAATTAATCTGCCAAAATGTCGGCTTATAATTGAGAAGAGTTTACTTACGCTAATAAGTTCTCTCTCTCTCTCTCTCTTTCTCTCTCTGTCACACACACACACACACACACACACACACACACCCTACACCTCCAACAACTTTTTATAGGATCCATTAAACAGGATTTTAATGTTTTGATATTGCTTTGTGCAGCATGAATTCTGTACCACAAACAAAATAAATAAAAGCGGCAAACTACACAAGAAATTCTAGGTTTTTGTGAGTGGAATGTGTTGCACAAATAGAATTGGCTTACAAAATTTGTGAACTCAGGACCTGTATTCCCTTGTATTTTTTTTTTTTAAGGGAATGTGTTTGACCCTGAGTATGTGCAAAATGATTACACCTCTGAAACCAGGTACCTTGAAAAATGTTGTTGTTGTTGTTGTTGTTGCTGCTGCTGCTGCTGCTGCTGCTATGTTATGTTGGTAGCATTAAACTGTTATAATGATGCATTAATATGTATTCTTCCCGTTGCTGCTTTTGGCTCATTTATGTGGGAAGGTGGCATACAAATTAAAATAATAAATAAATGATGGAGGAGTTATATCCCACACTTCTAGTTAAAATACACTGGTCAGCGCAACCTACAACATATACAAGAAGAATGTCATAAAAAAAATCTAAAACAATTAGAGAGAGAGAGGATTAGTGATTGAAAAAACTGGGGGAGGGATTCTGCCTCATAAAATAAAAGTCTGCTGGATTAGAAAGGACAAAGTGCACCTGAGCACATGTAAAATGTCTTGCATGAAACATTTTACATATGCTCAGATGCTCTGTGGACACACACAAATATTGCACCACATAAAACTCGGGAAATGACAATAAAAACTCAGAATAGGTTGTTATTGATCAGGCAGATGAGATTCTGGCTTTGCCTAAGAGCCTAGCTTGTACTTGGTGGGTCTGTCTACAATACTGAGTTCTATACAGTACAGTGACTTAGCAGGAGGGTGAATGGCATCTCTACCACAGCAGGAAAGGTGGAGGTGACAAATGGATTAAACTACTGTATCTTCATCCTAGGGAAGTGCAACTTTCCATCCAGACTTGTCTCAATTGTATCTTTGGTTATAAAGAGACATGGTGGCAAAGAGAGATGCACTGTCCCTGTTCCCCTGTCACAATGGGATCTCACCCAAAGGAAAGAGCAGGCAAAGCGATTCTAAGGTAGGATTTTTGTGATACTATAAAATAAATAAATCAGAAGCTCCTGCAATACATGCAGTTCTTTTTTAACTATTAACTCTGCCTTTCTGGAACTGTGCCACCAGTATATTTTCAGCGATTAGATCACGTTCTAAAATTGGCAATGCACTAAAATTTGACAGAATCCTGTCTCCTGCCCTATAAATATCCACTCCAAAGTCATATCTCTTAGGAAAGCTAGAGAGAGAGAGAGAGAGAGAGAGAGAGAGAGAGAGAGAGAGAGAGACCACTTGATGATGATGATGATGCTATGGAAGCTTGCTGTGCAAATTGATGTCCTGGTTAGAGCCCAGGGTGAAAGAAGAACAAATAGAAACTCCAGAGAGAAAAGATGCCAAATAGAATTGTCAACAAGCCAGAGTTCTTGGCCAAGAGCAGCTCCTTTAAGTAATAGTCCAGAGACTCTCAAGATACGGTCGACTGTACCTTTACAAAATGCGCAAGCTATATTTTCTGCTGTTTCTACTGTGTATGAAAATATTTTGGAGGGGAAAATATTTCATGGAAACCTGGCTCTTTGACCTTTAGGTGTGGAAAGAGTTTAGCAGATGGATGCCAGCATGGTGTCCAAAAAAATGCCATCGCTGTCTGTAAGCATTTATTTTAGGGAGTGTGGTAGACATGGGTAGAATAACTGACTGTTATGGAAAGGAGGGGGCACCTAACCCATTCAACCTTACTCTGCAGGCAGGAACATTCCTGATGTCTCAGTATGGATTTGGTGCAGTGTTAGCCCCTTTGCCCCTTCTCCAAAAGTCTTACTTGGAAACAATATGATGCACCGGATGCATTTCCAGCAAGACATGTTGTCATTGTATGTTCTTCTCCTGCTCCCTAGTCAACAGGGCTGTCACCAGACATCTTGGGGCCCTTAGCACTGTGTCATCAGTGGGGGCCCACACCCAACACACCCCAACACACACACACATCCCCTCATTGTGATCATTCTTTCTTCTTCTGCCTCTGCAGCATCATGTACCATGCCTGCCAAGCCCCCAAGCAGCCCAGCTGTAACAAAACATGTCTCTCCCTTATTGGTCTCTACGGCCACAGCAGGCGCTGTAACCTTCCAACAGTTTGACATCACTCCCAAAGGCGCACCATTCCGTTGTATTGCACGACAGAAGGATGCCAGTCAAATATAAGAAATAGGCAGCTGTTAAACTTCTACCTGTCATGCAGCTGTTGAAGGCATAGAATCTCTATGAAGCCAATCCTGAAAGAGTAGCCTTTGCAACAATGCCAGCTTAGGTGCCTTGTGGCTTTTTGAAGTTTTAACTGGTTTATCGTGGCATGAGCTTTTGTGTTCTTGAGCTCACTATGGGCCCATCCACACTTAAGTTTGTCCTGTGATTTCAGCTGTTATTTGGCTTTCAAAGGAAAATCTACATATGAACGAGGTTCCACATTTCCCCTGGTTTAATTTCACCATCACCTATCTTTTCCTATACTTTGGATACTTATCATGGTAACTTCAGCCCACGGCCCACGGCTCTTCCTTTTTTAGTACAAAGTTGTTCTCTCTCCCATTGTACGTGTCAGCCTCTCAAATGTTTTTAAATGGCTCATGCTGAGTTTTGTCACTTTCAGGCCTTTTGACCTTGTCCACCTCACTTAGCTCCCCTGTCTTTTACATGCCTTGTGAGTAAAAGAAAACACAGATAATATTTGCCCACTGTTCATAAAACACTTTTAAGTCAGCGTATGGAAGGCATTATATAAGTGTTAAGTATTTTTATGACGGGTTTATTACAGTCCATCTTCTCTGGCCCCGACATGTCTGAGCCAGGTAACATTGCCAGCATTTTTTTAGTTGTTTTTGCTTTCTTTTTCTCCTCCTTCTCCTCTTCAACGGATCTTAGCCATCTTGCTTTTCACTCTGTTGCCTTTGCTTTCTGCTTTTCTGGCTCTGCACCCCAAAGACAGCTGTCAGAAAGCTGCTGAAGACCATTAGGTATATCTTGGCATTTCCTGCTACACAGCCTCTGACCTTAGTGACAGCGATCCCTGCAACAGTGCTAGGCTACAGAAAGCCTGAGAAAGCAATAGAACAAGGCAGTGCTTAGATCACTGGGAAAGGCAGTATGAAAGTGGTACTGCCTGGTGGAAAGGTTGGGGCCTCAGCAGTGGTGGAGAAAGCCTCTCTGGCACTGAGGGGCGGGGTGAACTGCCCTGCAGCGCACACACGGTGCCCGCATGGACTGCACATGTGTGGCACCCATATGAACAGTGCTCGAGCAGCAGCCCGTATGGACACCACACGTGTGCCCTCGGCTGCTCTACAGCTGGGGGAGGGAGGCAGCAGGCCATCTTGTCACCCCCCTGGGTAGCACCCTGGGCGGACCGCCCCCTGCCCCCCTTCAAATACCCCTGGGCCTCAGAGTCTTTCAGGAGAGCAGCTGCTGCATGCTTCAGGTTGCAATCCCTGTTCACAAGGGAGGAGGCCTGCAGAACAAGCGTACATGACTTGTTTCAAAGAATCCTGGTACAGTCATACCTCGGGTTGAAGTAGCTTTGGGATGAGTATTTTCGGGTTGCGCTCCGCGGTGACCCGGAAGTAACGGAGTGTGTTACTTCCAGGTTTCGCCACTCATGCATGTGCAGACAGTCAAAATGACGTCATGCACATGCGCGGAAGCAGCGTATCGCGACCCGCTGACATGGGTTGCGTTCGCTTCATGGTTCGAATGGGGCTCCGGAACGGATCCCGTTCACATCCAGAGGTACCACTGTAACTAGATTGTGAAGAGTGCTGGGAATTATAGCTCTGAGGGGCAAGCTACAGTTCCCAGGATTCTTTGCGGGGAATCCATATCCATTTAATGTATGGTGTGCATATAGCCTAAGTAAGCTCTATTGAACTTTGGAAACATGCATAATATTAGGGAGCAACTGGGACTCGGTTCTCCCCATGGTTTAAAACACATTAATAGGAAATGCACCCATACCAAATAATTTTATTTCTTGATTTCGCAAAATTGATATATTGTTCGATTGTAAGAAAACCTCAAAGCAGTTTACAAATATGATCAAATTTGGGCCACAGAATGGGTGGTGGGGTAGCCTCTCCCCTGCCACCAATGCTGTTTCTGAAATTTAAATCTTCCTTGGTAGAGGAAACTACCCTTTTGTTCCACAGGGGAGGAAATAACAGCTACCATTTCCCAAAGATAGTAGACTGTTCATGTAGGAAAGAGCAAAGCAAGAGAAGCTGGCAGGAAAATTATAGTACTTCACCATAGCTCCCTAGAGTAGTAAATGGGTTATTAAAATTATACCCAGATATGGAGGTAGTAGAATATATTCTTACTTGATTTTTGAAAGTTAATAATTCTCTAGTCTAGGTGGGATATGGACTGTGCTAATCTTCAATCCAAACATGGCTAGAGAAGCCACTACATGGAGCATGATTCTTGGTACAAGCTTTAAAGCATTCTCAATTTAATGGTTTCATGATTTGTCCTTTTACTTGAATTAAAATTACAATCATGCACATTGTGGGAGACAAGTTTAAAAACAGATGACAATAAGGAGGAAAAATGGCAGCTGTTGGAATACCACCACTCAAGTGTTCTCTAGATTACATCTTTTGGGGTGTCCCCCTCCCCTTTATGGTTCTATTCATTTCTTTAGTTGCCTAATAAAACCTTACCTGCAGCAAATCCTTTATCTAAGGTCATAAATGCAATCAGTAAAAGAACTTATCTTGGAGAAGGATCACTTTCAGATTTTAATTGGGTTACAGCTGTCTGTAACAAACAAAACCCTGGTGCTGGGATCATACTGATGAATCTCTTGTATTCTCTGAGTCCTTTGCTGCTGGCTTCCAAAAGAAATGAGAGTTTGGAATGGAATAGGGGCACAACTGCTCTGACTCGCTATGGTCATTCCTATGTTCCTAAGCTTCTGGCAGCCAATTCTAAACACTTGCGCTGGCATGTCTTCCTGCACTTGTCTTGTAATATCCAGTGCCAAAAAAGTGATTTTGAAAAAATGTTATTAGTCAATCAGATGTTTCTAGTGAAACACAAGGCTATTATTATTTTTGCTGATCCGTGAACCCCTTGTTTAATCTCATATCCTTCATCCCAACTTCTGTGGAGACCAAGTACTTGCAAGAGGATTTGCTGTTAATTCTGTTTCCATTTCTGCCCTCACCTCTTCCTGCTGTCTCTCCCTACTGTCAAATGTTAAATTGTAAGCTTCTAGTGGGCTTAGACCTTTTTCTCTTTGTGCTACCATGTGAAAACCACTCAACTGTTGTGTATATCAGTGGCACTACAATGGTACACATCCTTCGTCATCTAGGATTAGAGCAGCAATACCTCTCTGTGCCTTGCGTTTAAACATCAGTAGCTTTTTTTCCATATTAAATGATAATAAAACATTCAATATTGAATAAGAAACTTTGCATCAACATTTTCTGTCCAAGACTTCAGTCTTTTTAATTTGTTAAAAGTTACAGTACCACACTGCCAGGAGGTACTGTTGTTCTGTGTTAACATATTTTGAAAAGCTGGATGTGTTATTATTAAATTTTTCAATTATATTATTTAATTTTTGAATTGCTGCCCATGAGGCATCTGGAAGTGATTTGCAATATAATGAAAACATATAAAGCATTTACATTAAGCCAAGGCAAAAAAAAGTATTCATCTTTATCTCAGGAAACAGGTACAGTGGTACCTCGAGTTAAGTACTTAATTCATTCCGGAGGTCCGTTCTTAACCTGAAACTGTTCTTAACCTGAAGCACCACTTTAGCTAATGGGGCCTCCTGCTGCCGCGCCGCCAGAGCACGATTTCTGTTCTTATCCTGAAGCAAAGTTCTTAACCCAAGGTACTATTTCTGGCTTAGCGGAGTCTGTAACCTGAAGCGTATGTAACCCAAGGTACCACTGTATACAGCTTTTCTTTACATGGCTGTGAATTAGGGTAGGGAATCTCATGCCCAGAGGCAATGGGTGGGGCAAATGCAGTCTTCCATGCCTCCTTATCTGGTCCTTTAGACTCTCTCTAGAGTCCAGACCATATACTTCTTAATGGCCCTACTCTGTGCCTCCGGAGTGATTTTGCTTGGTTGGAATGTGTTCTTGAACTGTGATAATGGCTCTTGCTTGCCTGGATGGAAAATAGAGAGGAGTATGGAATCCTCTAGCTTTTGCATGGTTGGAACATGGCACACACTACAAAGGTAAGAGAATCACATCCATCGCTCTGAACATTTTTGCTTCTGATCCCACCCACCACTGCCATGCGTTCCCCAGGTTTCTCATGAGCAAATGTGACCCTAAAGGTAAAGATAAAGGGACCCCTGATCGTTAAGTCCAGTCGTGAACGACTCTGGGGTTGTGGTGCTCATCTCGTTTTACTGGCCGAGGGAGCCGACGTTTGTTTGCAGACAGCTTCCGGCTCATGTGGCCAGCATGACTAAGCCGCTTCTGGTGAACCAGAGCAGCACACGGAAACGCTGTTTACCTTCCTGCCGGAGCGGTACCTACTTATCTACTTGCACCTTGACGTGCTTTCAAACTGCTAGGTTGGCAGGAGCAGGGACCGAGCAACGGGAGCTCACCCCGTCGCGGGGATTCGAACCGCCGACCTTCTGATCGGCAAGCCCTAGGCTCTGTGGTTTAAATCACAGAGCCACCCTTGTCTACATGTGGCCCTGCCTTGAGCTATAAAGGGTTCCCCACACCTCATGTAAGACACATTTCCTTCAGCTGGAGAATAACACTCAAGAGTCTGATGAACCAGACAACAGCCTGTTTCCAACCCAGACCTGAAATGTTGCTCCATTGCTCCAGATAGCAACCCCAGCTTTTAAGAAACCCTTTACATTTCTTCTGGCCATTCTCCAGTTCAGACAAGAAAGAAGGATGGAGCAGGAGACACCACTTTCATATGGTGGCTATTTGAGTGCAGCAGGAAGCAAAGAGGAGTCCCCAGAATGAGCCAATGTGTAGACCAGGGGTCAGCAACCTTTTTCAGCCGTGGGCTGGTCCACCGTCCCTCAGACATGTGGTGGGCCAGACTATATTTTTTTGGGGGGGAAATGAACGAATTCCTATGCCCCACAAATAACCCAGAGATGCATTTTAAATAAAAACACACATTCTGCTCATGTAAAAACACCAGGCAGGCCCCACAAATAACTAGGAGATGCATTTTAAAAGCACACATTCTACTCATGTAAAAACATGCTGATTCCCAGACCATCTGCGGGCCAGATTTAGAAGGCGATTGGGCGACATCCAGCCCACAGACCTTAGGTTTCCTACCCCTGGTGTAGACACAGAAACCTTCCACTCATGGAAGAAAAGATTAAGAGGAGAGGTTTCCTTGCTAGGTGCAGCATGCAAGGAACTCTTGTTTGCAACCTGTCGTGCAAGCGCTTTTCAGTTTATTGCTCCATCCATGTTATCCTTGGTATCAGTGCTGAATTCTTCAATGATGTCGCAGAAGGGCAGGGCACATAATCTGTCTCCTTTGGAGGGAGAAGATAAGAGGGAACACAATCAGACTTTGGATAAAAGGAACTTGTAATGAAAGGCTTGTGAAAATAGAATAGAATAAAATAGTAGCTTCAGGGCAAATAGCTGCTTGGGTTTGTGTTTGCATTTGCATATGTGCATGAGTGTTGTGATTTAGGCTTATGTTTAGAGTAGACCCACTGAAATAAATGAGATGACTAAAGTGGCATTGATTTCACTGGGTGCATGACAAGGGGCCCTGCGGGATCTGATTTCTTTCCGTAGGGCCTGTAAGACAGAGTTGTTCTGCCTGGCCTTTGGCTTAGAATCAGTTTGATTCCCTCCCCCTCTTTCTTTTTCCTTTCTCCTCCTATGAAGAAGCTGCATCCTAATGTTTTAATGTTGTATTTTAATCTTTTTTTAAAAATTGTATTTTAATCAGCTTGTTTTTATTATTGGTTGTTAGCTGCCCTGAGCCCGGTCTTGGCTGGGGAGGGTGGGGTATAAATAATAATAATAATAATAATAATAATAATAATAATAATAAGGGCTGTGTACACAAGACATTTTATTCTCAAAACAATGAAGACTGAGTACTAGGGTTTTTTTCCCCTGTAGTCCACACACAATCTAGATCTACAGTAGTGCATTTTTTTGCCTCTGAAGAGTCCTTCTTTGAAAAACGTGTTCTATGTGGAAACTAAAATCTCATTGCAGATTGATTCTACATTACCTGGAATATGTCCACTTGGAAACTGATAAAAACAGATGCAGGTGGTCTCAGCAATGGGGGGGGGCAGGTGGTATCCACATCTTTCCAACGGCGAGACCTGTACCAAGATTGCAATCACCACTTCCTTCTTAACTAGGATGGGGGCTGAGAAAAAATGGCATGGGAAACCTAATCAAGGGGAGGGTTTTCAAACCTGTATCAAGTAACCACACCCACCCTTGTGGACTGCAGGATCTAGAATCATTGTAGATTGAAACCAACATGTTGAGGATGAATGTGAATGATTTTAGACTGAAAAATACCACATTCTTGTGCTACAGAGTGAACACAGCCTAAGTCTGGATCCAACCCATAGCCTTTTTTACATCTTCCCAGATGAAAGAATGTTTGGGAGCCCTATATGTTGGCAGTGATTGGTGGTGGTGTCACTCACTTCAACCTCCAGTTCCTCCTCTGAAAAAACAGAGGTTTAAGTGAGTCCAGTGGTGGTGGTGTTTAAAGACAAATCATTAAAATATTTCAGACTGGACTGAGACATCTGCACTCTTCAATTTCTATGGCTTTGCTCTGAGCTCTCTTTTTTTAATTATTATTAACCCCCAAAGGTTCAGTCACATAAATACCACATTAAGAGGCTTAATGAAATACAGTAGTACCTCGGGTTAAGAACTCAATTCATTCTGGAAGTCCGTTCTTAACCTGAAACTGTTCTTAAACTGAGGTACCACTTTAGCTAATGGGGCCTCCCACTGCCGCTGGCACACGATTTCTGTTCTCATCCTGAAGCAAAGTTCTTAACCTGAGGTACTATTTCTGAGTTAGCTGAGTCTGTAACCTGAAGCACCTGTAACCTGAAGTGTCTGTAACCCAAGGTACCACTGTACTGTACTTTAGTCTTAGGTTCTCAGCCAGAAATAACCACAAGAGAATTGGTGCACCATGAGAGGAATTCCTGTTTGCACTCTTGTACCATCATCCTATGGTTTATTGCTCCCTCCATGTTGTCATTGGTTTCAGTCCCTGAATTCTTCACTGTTGTTAAAGATGGGCAGGGCACATCATCTGTCTCCCTTGGGCGAAGAAGATAGAGGGAATACAATCAGACTTTGGACAAAGGGAACTAGTGAAGAAACACTTGTAGCATGATTCAAAAATTCAAACAGCAGCCTCAAGGCAAATAGCAACTTTGGTGTGTGTACATTTGCATATGTACATGTGATTGTCAGTGGTGAAAATGGCAAAGGGAGGAATTAAAACCATCCCCTCATGCCATGAACCCAATCCTGATTGGGGTCCTCTGTGAGTATTGCAAGTTAAAAGAATACTCTGAGTCACAAAATTAAACAAAATGTGACTAACATGACATCTAGTTCATTCCAAAGAAGTTAGTTATACTGGAGTCTTTGGAGAGATTCAATCCTATGCATGCTTGTCCTGAAGCAAACTCCAGTTAATGAAGTCAGTGAAGATCCAAAGGTTCAGGCTGTAAGGCTACTTTGGAAGTAAGCACCATTGGACACAAGACTTTCTTCTGAGGAAACCTACACAAGAGAGGGCATTCTAAGACAGGGGTAGTCAATGTGGACTCCCTGTCTACAACTCCCTTATACCTTGGTCATTGGCCATGCTGGCTGGGTGTGATGGAAGTTATAGTCCACAACATCTGAAGGCAGCATGTTCTACGTCTGAACATTAACTAATTTATTGATAGGTCTCTTTAAAGCAGGCTTCCTCAACCTCGGCCCTCCATATGTTTTGAGACTACAGTTCCTATCATTCCTGACCACTGGTCCTGCTAGCTACGGATCATGGGAGTTGTAATCCAAAAACATCTGGAGGGCTGAGGTTGAGGAAGCCTGCTTTAAGGTTATGAGAGGATGAATGGAGGCTTCTTTGTTTGTGGCAGGTGGCAGGCTCAAAGCTGGGACAGGAGTTCTGGGTGACATGATGACCTCCAAGAGGTTGTTCTATGTGTAGAACCAAGGCCTTTATTTAGACTGGAACCCTTGTATAGGTGCCATCAAGATTTGCCAGGATTGTTATAAGGTGAAGCAAGGCAAGGTTTAGTCATCACCTGCAGGGAAAGAACAGCTAAATAATGTCACTTACTATTGACAGAACTGTAACCTGACTATTTACATATTTATTCATCTATGTCTTGCTGACTCCATTGAGGCAGGCACAAAAGAAAATGTGCATAGGATTGCTGCAAGGATTGTAGCACCATATCAAGGGCTCCTTAACTGTCTCATAAGGAACTTGTTGTGCTCAGCACCTCATATTTTCCCAACACAGTTTCCCCTTTCAAAACTTTATCGTTCAAACTATGAACTGGAGCTCAAGGTACATCATTTAGGCTCAAAGTCCTCAGTGTTGAAGGGTCCCTGCTCCTGAACAAGATGTTTACAGTTTTGCAGCTCTCCCAAACTCTTTCTTGTGGTCCAAGAAGGCTCACTTGTGTCCAGCATCCAGACACCAGATTCTAACCCAGTGTGCCTCTGAATGTACACATGCATGCAGATGCCTATACCTGGGACCGGCTGGCAATGCTTTTCAGTGACGTTGCGCCATCTCTGTGCCGATTCGGCATTTATTATGGAAAAACCATCCATCTGCATGCAACTTCCTTCCTCTCTAGACAGGCAGGCAGAATTTTCCATTCTACCCATCACTTCTTTTTAAGAAAAGAAGAAATCTTAACAGAAATATACCATTCCCCTCCTCCAGCACACATATGTAACAAACAAGGTTGGAGAGCTGGAAGAGGTACGGTATATAAGATGGGGATAATGTAGCCCTGTCTTTGTCAGATGCAGATCCTGCTGTGCCTAGATAGTGTGCTTTCCTTTCCTTCAGAGAGCCAATCATACAAGGTATTTTTTGTCCCAAGGCTCATTCTGGGGCTGGCAGGTCTCACATCTGCCTGCCAGGTGTAACAGGCCATCAGGAACAGCAGGTACATCACATATAAGGCAGTGCAGCAAGCACATCTTTGGTGTAAACAAACACAGCAGCTTTGCTGTAGCAGCTTATAGGAATCTGAAAATAAAAATGCTTCAGTGGCCCCTGAACTCTTGAGCTTTGGTGATTGATGATCGCTGCTGGTGTTTACGAGGATATCTATGAAACGTAGTTGCTTGCATACCTTGGATCGTAAACCGATCGGTTGCAGACCAAGAATCCTGGAGAGGGAAGCTGGGCGGGGGAGAAAGAAGGGAACCTTTTGGGACCCAAATTATTGCAACAGAACTTTGGCCCCAGGGCTGAGCTACATCTGTGACATCTTTCTGGAGGAACCTGGTGTGTAGAGACCATATATATGTATGTATGTGTGTGTGATGATGACCCAGCCTATAATCAGCATGATGGAGCAGGGATGCTATTTAAGATGAACAGGAGGAACCACTGATCTCATTCCTGGGAACCAAAGGACTGCTCCTAAACACCAAGGTCAAACTACACTTAAAAACTTAATAGCAGCCTCACATGTGTATATGTGCCAGTGTGTTTGCATGCAGTTTAGATCTGCACTGCTGTGCTGGGGAAAGGGGAAATTAACCCTTTCCACTTAGTGTTCTTTCCCGATTGGAATCCCTTTCCCACAGCTATGACTTGCTCCGTGGAGCGAAATATACAGGTCTCAATACGATATGTGTGTGTGTTGCCCTGCAGGGAAAATAGCGGCTTCATGAGCTTTAAAGAGGAAAAGGACACAGTGAAAAGGTTGCAAAAATTCCTTAAGCACTGTGGTCCTGATTAAAATTAAGAGCAGTGTGGTGTTAGAATTAGTGGTTAGAATCCTCTGCAAACTGAAGCGCATTGGGTGACCTTGGCCAGTCGCTGCCTCTCACCTTAACCTACCTCAACAGGGTTGTTGTGAGGATTAAAGGAGAAGGGGAGGACCATGCCCACTACCTTGAGCTCCTTGCTCCTTGGAAGAAAGGTGGGATAGAACTGAAATAAACAAATAAAATTCATCTCCTGTGATTGCTAGTAATACTGGAGAGCTGTGACCCTTATTTGCCCTTGGTCAGACAATGTGATTTGTATGACTCGTAGGCATCATCTTCAGCCTCTCTTTTCAGAAATGAAGGACTAGGGTGGCCATGGGTCCTACTTTACAGAAGACAGTCTTTTATTTCAAGGTGTCCTCTATTCAAGCAGTGTGGAATTGGATCTACCTATACTTCAAGGTAGTTGTAGCCGAGACAGATGTCATATATCCTTCTGCAATGTCCTTGCAGCACAGCATTTTCACAGTTTAAACAAGGAAAGAGTTGCCTTTGGGGGTTTAATTTGAAATGAGGTTTACTTGTGTCAGGTTTTGGGAAATTTTTCTATGCCTGTGTTTCCCCTGGAATTTGTGCATGTGGCTTGGGGAGGTTCAGGCTTTCGGGGTCTGCTTTGATTTTTTACTAGAACCCTGAAATCCACATGGATGTTTGATCTATAGACTCATTCCCAAAGCAAGAACATAAACAACAACAATAAAAAAAATACTGTGGCTCACCTGTAAAATATCAGTTTCAGCAAATAGTCCTTTTCAAACTGGTGTTTCATCTGATGGCTCATTCCCAAAGTAAGTCATCACTTGATTCCACAGTCATCATTCATAACTATGAGCCAACAATAAGACTCAGCAGCAGCACCCCTTTTCTGTGCTGCAGATGAGCTGTGAAGATGAGGGTGCCTTTGAGCATATGCAAAGTGCAGTGCCACCCAAGAACCACAACTTGTGCCCATGTGTGTAAGATGGGGCAGCTTCTGGATTCTCAGGCGAACTTGAGCCCCAAAACCTCTCATTGTAGAAATGAAGCACAGGATCTGTACCAGTTTTAGAGACTGGAAGGGAGTATTAGGAAGTGATGCAACAGAATCTCTGGCCACGGCTTGCCTGTGGGTTTGAGGATCTGATGTTTGGACAAGAGGAGAGCCTTTGAAGTTTTGCCTGAAGTTCCCTGAGCCGGCTCTCTCTCCCTCCATAAAGCCATTAGGCTCTGGTGGTGCCAGCCCTATCTCTTGCTCCATCTTGGCTGCTTTCCCCCACCCTCACTTACATACACAAACCTCCTGCCCTAGGGGTTGGAAGGAGGGGCAGGACCGTGAGTGAGCGGGGTTATTACAGGGAGTCCTTTTGAAGAGGAGGTTTATTTTCGGGAGGAATTGCGGGGGAGCTGTTAGTCCCCTGCCATAGAGGCCAGGTCATTTCCGGGAAGGCTCTGCATGACAAAGGAAGGAGGTTTCACTCCCTTTGATCTGCCTTCGCCGGACCATGCGCTGCACACCTGCTAGCGAGCCGCCACCATGCTCTCTGGAAGGGGAGCAGAAGTGCCTCTGGGGCGCCCCCTGATGGGCTAATACCAAATGGCTTGGAGCCATCCCTTGGGGCTGAGTTAAGCCCCACCCCGCAACGATACTCCATCATTGTCTTCATCGGCTGCCTCTTTATAATGTGTGAAGCCCTCTCATTCCTAATCAGACTATCTAACCGGGTTTTATCAGCTCTCTCTCTCTCTCTGACAGTGCATTTCCCAAACCCTGCCAATAACTAGAGATACCTGGGATTGACCCTGCATGCATTTGGCTGCAACCCCTCCTCCTCCAATATTCACACAGTGCATTCAGAAGTTAAGTCCCATTGAGTTTAATGGGATTTACTCTGTGGTAGGTAAGCATAGGATTGCAGCCACATCTGAGGTAGGAAAAGAAGGGTTTGCCCCCTCTTCCCTACTCGTTCAGTGTACTACTCTGAGCAGTTGGTGTGCTTGCATTATCTCCCACAATCAGAAAGTGCACCAGTGAGCATATCTGTTGTCTTACAAGGCAGGGATGGGAAGCCTGTGACCCTTCAGATCAGCCTTGCCCAACCTGGTGCCCTTCAGATGTTTTGGACTGCAAATCCCATCAGCCTCAGCCAGTATGGCTGTCAGGGATGATGAGAATTGTTGTCCAACAACATTAGGCGGTCCAGAGGTTTTACATGCCTGATTTCAGGGCAAATAATGGGTCTGGTGCACTTTAAAGGTCTATGTAAATTTCCTGCTATGGCAGCAGCCCTAAAGGGCTGTAGGCTCCAGTAAAGAGTTCCCATTCAAAGCTCAGTATGGACACAGTCATGCACCCTCCCTAAACTAAGTATGAATTCCAGTGTTGAAAATGACATGGCCATTGAGTGCCCCATATCCATGTCTCTGCTGGTGGAGCTGAGCTCTTTTGATGAGTTACAGCCAAATTAGTGGATTGCCCTAATTTGGGTTTGAGCTGACTTAAAATGTCACAAATGATCCTGTGAAACCTGCTTCCCCCCACCCCCCATTCAGCTTCCATAAGAGTAGTCATGCTAAAATAGCTAAAATAGTGAAGTATTGTGGCATCTTAAAAACTAGCATTTATTGTGGCTGAAGCTTTTGTGGGCTAGAGTCCACTTCACCAAATGCATGCTAAAGTGAACTCTAGGCTACAGAAGTTTGCACTATAATAAATTTGTTAATTTTTAAGGTGCCACAAATCTTCAGGTACTTCTGAAGAGATATGATGATTTACAAAACCTTTGAACACAGTTTTCTAAATTAGTCATTTTCCACAATAGTCAGAATGCCCATTTTTAAATATAATCTATCTATCTATCTATCTATCTATCTATCTATCTGCAGAATTTGTGTTACCCTTGACACAATAAATCTGTTAATATTTAAGGTGCCCTAAGCCCCTTTGTTTTGTTTTTACAAATCTTCAGATACTCCTGAAAGGGCAGAAATGATTTACAAAACTTTCAAACACTACTCTCAAAGTGGATGATTTGCCAAGATAGTCAGAAGGCATGTGCTGTTGTTTTTAAATATATGCAGAAATTGTGTTACTCTTGACACAAAGGGTAAGAGATAACAGGAGCAGTAACACAATCTTATGCAGCCTTCTTGACAAAAGGATGTTCCTTCCAGTATGAAGGAAAGGGGGGTGGGAGGGGGACCATGAAAGACATCTCCTCTCCACCTCCACCCTCCAGTTAATTTTTAAACAAGAGTTGGCTCATACTTTCCTGGAAGTTTTGCCTATTGACTTGAAGAACCTACCCATCCCCCCTTGGCTAATCTGGTTGTGCATGGTAGCAAGGGGAAGAACACTCTGCAGGTGTTCAGACACTCTCCTCTTTATTATGAACTAATTAATTGTGCTGACGTTAAAATATCTTTCAGGGATGATCCTTTGCCCCCAAATTAAGCCTTGCCAATGGGATCTCTTTGAAAGGAAGTGAGCAAGTTTTCTAGCGATCTGGTCTGGAAAGATGATATCCTTCCAGCCTCCTTCTCCATGTGTGTGTTTTGGGATGGAGTTGATGATTAGCCATGAGAGGAGCAGGGGAAGTTTCTCTGCTCTCTCTCTCTCCCCCACTCCCATTTTAGTGTACTCCTCTTCTTGTTTCTCCTCCTCCTCCTTTACCTCCCTTTTTCTCTGCAGGAGGTCAGGCCTGCTCCAAATGATCCGCATCACACAATCCAAGAGATGTGATGCCTCAAAGCATTTTGGCACACAAATGCAAGGCTGCACCTCAGCATCCCTTGGAACCACTGGAAAAAGAAGCCTGGGGTACAATTTCTAGACTGCATATTGTCAAGCCAGGTGTGCCACTACCTAAGTGTGTTGTCATGCCAAGCAACTGCATGAGTTGCTTTTGTGTAATCGGGTCAGCAGCCCTTGTAGGATTTAAACTGAGCCAGGGCTCACCCCAGAGTCTCCTTTCACCACTGTGATATGCCTAGTAATAGTAAGCTGGAGACGAAGACCTTTCCAGGAAGATAGAAGGCTTTGAGAATGCCAGGTGGTACCAGATCTGCCCCGTATCCATTTCTCCATATTCTGGGACTGTCTTAACCATTGCGCTGTTCACTAGAAGGAACTTAGTTCAAATCTGCTCACCTCTGGGCGGTTAACCACCTGAGGGAAGAGCAGCCCCGAAGTGCTCTTAACTATTTTAGCCTCAAGGAACAAGAAAATACAGAGTTAAGGAGGAAGAATTATGTGTAAGTCAAAAGCTGGGACGGCTAACATTTCAGCACCTGCGTCCAAAAAGGGATGCTGTGTGACTTGAAAGCTTGCTGCAAGACCAGCCGGAAAGTATGCCTTGATTTTAAGGGCCCCCTTTAACCTCCCCACCTTTTCACACTTTGCTCATTTTTAACTAGTACCAGACCTCTCGTTTTTGTCGCTACTTCCCCTCCCCGCCCTACCCTTTGATGCATGCCCTGCTTTATGAATCATCCCGCCAGCCCTCCAGAGGAATTCCCTCACTTGCTTTGTGTCTCTCTCTAGTCCTCCTAGCCAAGAAGTGAATGCCTCTGAGCATGTGCAGTCTGTAAGTGGAATCTACTGCCACGGTTCGTGCCACCCACCGACCTCTCCCATCTCCGTGGGTGGGTGGAGATGCAGAAGGGTGGGCGCCCTGGGAGAAGATCTCCGGCGCGTCTCCAAGCCCAGCAGGTCTCCAGAGACGCCCTGCGCGGTGGCTGGGGAGAGGGGGCGGCGGAGAGCAAGCGAGCGGCCAGCCTCCCTGCTGCTGCTGAGATCCCTCCTTCCCTCCCACCTCGCCGGAGCTGCTGCGCCCCCCTCCCTCCTCCTCCTCCCCCTCTCTCGGGTTGACTCCCCTCCTTTTCATTCCCTTCCCTTCCTTGTCTTGCAGGGAGCCCTGATGTGTCTCAGCCTGGCCGGGCAAAGACGCGGGAGCCGCGGGAAGTGCACCATGCCCGGGACGCGGCTGATCCTCAGCCTGACTCTCCTCTGCGGCTGCACGCAGCTTCTGGTCGAGGCCAGCTCCTGGTGGTGAGTGAGACCCAGCGGGCGATGCCCGACTTACTTTTTCTCCCCTTTGTCCTGTGTTTGCGTATTTTTTGGAGGGGGGCCCGAGGAATGGTGAGGGAAGAAGCCAGGCACGAAAAGGGACGCTTTCTCTCCAACATCACCAGCACCTCCGCACTCACTCCCCGGGGACGGATAACGCACGTGGAGTTTCCTCCTGGCCTTAGTTAGAGGCTGTGTTGGGGACTTGGGATTTTGGGAAAGTCGTTTAACTGCCCCTCCCGTTCCTGCTTTTAACAGCATCTTTTGCAAGAACTCTCTGCAGTTCGCCACTCGGAAGACACCCAGTGCGCGCGTTGGAAGTAGTGTGTGTTGGCGCCTTGTCTTTTCTGCAGCAAAAATCTATTTTTAGAAAAAGCCCCTTTGAAAGTACTTCTGATAAGTAAGGGGAACGGACTGAAAAAGCACATTTCCCCCTCTCAATAGATGCGACTAACTAGCTACGCTTCCCTCTCTTGGCTTTTTCGTTTTCTCCTTTGCGCCCATCGTTGTCCTGCCCGGACTAAGTGACACCCTCAGTTCCGAGCGCATCTCCTGGAAGTTAGTTCCGTTGTAACCAGTAGGAGTTTTTACTTCCAAGGACTTAAAAATTGCCAGCATTTATGGAGAACTCGCTTGAAAGGGCGGCAGGGTCTATGTTGTGACTTTCTGTCACTTTCTGGGCAGCGCCTGGCACTCTTCTGTTATTAAACCAAAAGTCCACATGGAGACTGTTTTTTTTCCAAAGCTCAGAGCAAGACAGGCATTTCCTGATGAGAGACCCTAAATTGGTGTTTGGTGGGGGGTGTGTGTGCTGTCGGTTCCTGATCAGTTGTAGGAAACTGTTGGTTCTCCCATTTAATTAATTCCAGAAGTGTGGCTGTGTTAGTTTATGCATCCGATGTAGGAGGCTGGTGCCTTTTTAAGGGGGGGCGTAGTTAGCTACTTTAAATCCTCTTCCCCAATTAGGGAAGTCTCTGCCACTTGGCTCTTAAGAGGTCTCTTTGTGAGTTCCCCAAACAGGGTCTCTCCCTTCCAGCTGCCCTGTTCACATTCTGTTGGAAAGACAAAGCCTCAAAAGCCAAACTGTGGCTGCAAGAGACAGACAAGACAGAGAGAGACAGAGAGCTGGTCTGAGATTGGATTGATTGATTGATTGATTCATCGTGGTGTTGGTTTCTCATTCCAGGTCATTGGCTATGAACCCAATCCAGAGACCTGAGATGTACATCATTGGCGCCCAGCCCGTGTGCAGCCAGCTGCCAGGGCTTTCCCCGGGGCAGAGGAAGCTGTGCCAACTTTACCAAGAGCACATGGTGTACATTGGTGAGGGGGCCAAGAACGCCATCAAGGAGTGCCAGTACCAGTTCCGGCAGAGACGGTGGAATTGCAGCACAGTGGACAACACGTCTGTGTTCGGCAGGGTCATGAGCATAGGTAAGTGAGGGTCCAGGATGGAGAGGGTGGGGTGGTGGTTCTAAGGATCATGGAAGGTGTGATGGAGATGAGAAGGTGTGGACTGGGAGGCGTCAAGAGCAACACCTGGGGAAAATGGGGCTCCCAAGAGCAGAGTTATCTAGAACAAGAGTGATAGATGGGAAACCTGCAATCCTTCATAGGTTGCTGGACTCCAGTTCCCATCAGCCAGCACAGTCCAGTGGTCAAAGAATCCACCTAGTACTCATGGGAAAATGTGGCGTGATCTTTTAGAGTAACCAAATGAAACTTGTAACACACGGCATGATAAAAGTCTGTCATTTCACCAGGACACGTTATTTGTTGTTTACTGTTGCAATAATTGTTTTCTGAAAATTTATCTTCTGTACCATGAAAATAAATAAAAACTTCTTTTTTTAAAAAAAGGATGATGGGGAGTTGTAGTCCGGCAACATCTGCAGGGTCACAGACTCCCCATCATTGCATTAAGAGGCTGGGTAAAGCCGTAGAAGTGAGTGGGGTCCACCATTAAGGGTAGAGCTACTTTGAGGATATCATCACCTGAGAATATGGAAGTAGGAAGGCGATTTGCACACGGGTGCAAGCATGGTGCACCAAGGAGAAGAGAGAGGGGTTGTAGGTGGCATGAGTATCACATGCAGAATGGAGCAAATGGTGTTAAAAAGTCATGGGAAAGCCAGTTTGTGTGAGAGAGGCAGGGGAGCAGGTGGAAAGTAAAGGGGAACCAGCTAGCTCCAGGTAGCACTGGTTGGAGAAAGGAAAGGAGATAAGATTAATGCCAAGGGGAAATGGTTGTGGGTGGTTTGTAGAGCCAGGGAAACCTGCATGGAGGAAAAGGGTGTGATTTCATATAGTGTTTGATCAAGTGCTTGAGGAGTAGCAAAGATATAGTGATAGATACAGTACTTGCAAAGACCAATCAATCCTTAATTCTGCTGTGCCCGATTTAAAGTCTTCCCCTCCCTCTTTCAAAGTATCTAAGCATAGCAGATCTCACTCTTGCATCAGGCTTCACTATTAAAGAAATCCCTAAAACGGGCTTCCTCAACCTCGGCCTTCCAGATGTTTTGAGACTACAATTTCCATCATCCCTGACCACTGGTCCTGTGAGCTAGGGATCATGGGAGTTGTAAGCCAAAAACATCTGGAGGGCCGAGGCTGAGGAAGCCTGCCCTAAAGCATTGATCAAAGATATACCTTGAGTTACAGCTCACTACCTTTTTGAATACAAAGGACAAATGGACTGAACCGAAACTGTGAGTCATTGAAACTTGTCTGTAACACCCTGCTGGTCAATGTCTCATGTACTAGAAGTGTTAAAACGTTTTCTGATTAGAGATGGTATTGTCTGAAATGACTAAAACATTTGCATTGGAAAACCTCCCTTGTTTCCTCTAACTACACAGAGCAGCTACCTTTGCATTCTGCCTGATGAAAAGTTATGTGAAGCTTAAAGAGTGACATGCTAGAAATCAGTCCCACGAGAAAGGAACCCACTGCCAGTCAGGGCTTCCAATTGTGTGATACATGTCCTTTATGTACTGCACAGGTGTGCAGTATAGCCACTGTTTTGGAAATGGCCTTGTGGAAAGCGGACCTAAGGGATCGTTGCGTTGCTTGCTGTCTTACCTGTTTTGTTTCTCTTTAGGCGCTTATTGGTCAAACTTAGTATTTAAAATCAGATGCACTCAAAAGTGTCCAGAAGACGTAAGCTCTGCAGTCATACAGCTGACCTCTCATTCTTAAATGTGTTGGGAAAATGCACTCTGTACATTGCTCCGAGTCACCGTTACTGAGTGTGCTTATCATTATCATTGAAACTGGTTCCATGATTAAGCTCTGGCTGTATCTACACTATTGGGAAGGGTTCTAGAACTTCCCTGGGTATATTATTCAGTTATCCACCTGTTTGGAGGGTCAACACACATCTGGAACTTGGGGCGGAGAAGCAGGTTGGAGGTTCCTGCAGAACAGCAGTGTATGGGTCCCATGCTGTGGAATACTCTTACAGCAGAGATTTGGCTGGCATCTTCCTTGTTTTTGACTTTCAGGCGTCTCTCAAAGACGCTGTTTAAGCATAGAGGTATTTGCAGCTGTTTACGTTTTATTTTTGATCAGCCAGTCACCTTAATGATTATCTGCATTTTTTAAAATGGTCTTTTAAGTTTTTATGTTGTACAGCAACCTGATATTTTATGATATGGCAGTATAGAAAAAGCTTTTATAAACAAATAATGCAAGTGAAGTCTGCAACCCACTGATCTCTCTTCCTTTAGTTTTCTCTCTGTGTTGTCGTATTACTCAGATAGGGAAGCCTTATTTGGAAATTCCACTTCATTGTCTTACAAAACCCACAGACAATTTGTGCCCTACTTGCCTTCTCTCATCTCCAAAATATGACATGCAGTCCCTTTGCTTCATTGGGCAAGGAAGGAGGGGAGGCTGAGCAATTGCTTTGCTTTCTTTCTCCATCAGTGGAATCCTGGAACCTGCCCACCATGAGAATATGGGGCATCTCCAGGGTGCCATCTGCCCTGCAGTAAAGAGGTTCATTGACAGGCCATTTCAATACTTGAACTGAGGTGTGAGGTGGAGACATTGTTCCAAACCCTTTTGAAATGCAACCCTCCGCTGGCAAGAAATGGGGAAATCCGGGCTCAGGTTTGATGTGTCCACTGTGAGGATAATAAAGGAAAGGTGTTAAAAACTACAGCCTCCTTTTCTCAGGGTTTTCCCAGAGCTGGAAAAGGCCCCTTGCAAGGCAGCAATATATTCCTTCAGAAATTCTCCTTAACATTCAGAGGAATTGAAGTATGTTTTGAGAAAAGGTGGCTGTAGCTTTTAGAGTATTTATTTCTCACCAATAAACCTCCTCTTTGTAATCAGTTTCCTGGTATAGGATACCTACATTTGATTGGATGGCTCTCATTGGTTAATTAAACATTAGCAATAATGGGCCATGTTTTGATTTTGAGGATATTTTAGGAAAATGCCAGTTATCTTAAAATATCTTGCATTGTTCCCCAATAATTAATAATTAGACTGAAATCCTATAGCAGGGAATAAGTCCTATTAAGCTCAAAGGGAATCACTTCTGCTCTGTGTAGATGTGAGCAGTTAATCACTTACATCCAGATTCCCTTCCAGACAATGAGCTGAAAGTGGATTAAATTCACAACAAAAATGTAGCCAACCCCATAAAACAATGCAACAATATTATAACCTATACACACACACTTTTTGATTAAAATGATATTTAATGAGTGTGTGTGTATGTATCTGTTTTTCAGTCCTCTTAGCATCTGTAATTTAAATTCAAAATCTACAATGGCTAGGCTACAGATTACAGTGAAACTTCTTGCTGTACTTTCTATTCCCCACAGGGACATTTACAAGTGAATGTTATAAATGTTTACTCTGAAGCAAGTCCCCACTGAGTTCTGTGATTACAGCATACCTAAGATGTTTTCAGAGTCTCTTGTCTCTAATCCCATTGGAGATAAGTAGATCTAAGCATATGATCCTAAGTGCATTTGCTTGGGGATAACTTAAGAGTGAGGCAACAGGGACCAAATGAACATCAGAGGTCATCTATATTGTCAATTATTCAAATAACATTAGGTTACACAATGTTTTCCTTTAAGTTTCCATAGCTCAGTGGTACAGCATCTGCTTCATATGCAGAAGGTTCCAGGTTCAATCCCTGGCACCTGAAATATCCCCTGTCTGACGGAGAGCAGCTCTCAGTCAGTGAAGACAATACTGAACTAGAGGGTCAATAGTGTTGAGAGACAATCTTGTGCAGTAGTTAGCATGTTCAACTAGAACTTGGCATGTTCAACTAGAACTTCAGATGTTCAGCTGTGAAGCTCGCTAGGTGAGCTTAGGCCATTCACTGCCTCTTAGCCTAACCTTACCTCTCAGTGTTGTGGATGAAATGGAGATATGGGAAGGGAGAGGCAAGTATGGTTACCTTGAGCTCTTTGAGGGAAAGGTGGGATACAGAAATGTAATAATAAACAAACAACAATGAAACGCGTTTACAATAAATTATACATAAGATTATTTATTAGTTGTTTTATTAATTAAAAATATTTATATACTGATTTTCTCTTAAAATGTCCCAGCTGGTTTACAATAAAAAGTTCCTCATTATTTAATCATAAAAAATACAATAATGCAATTTGATCAGCAGAAACTCTGACTGGCTGAAACAATTCATATAATTCCTGTAAGCTACATGGGATATATGTGCATAGCAGCCAATGCTGATTACCTAGGAATCCGCATAGACTAGGAATTTTTCCAGGAAAATGAAGGGGTGTATGTGTATGTATGCAGGGCTGGTACTGTCCATGTTAGCCTTATGTAAATAAATGCATGCACATGGGTTTTGCAAGCCATTCTTGTATCACGATAGAATCTTGCAAAACCCCTGTGTGTGTAAGTATATATGTATTTACATACAGTACTTATAGTATGTCCTACAACAAGTTCTCAGGGTGGCTCAGGCCAAGAAGTAAAATAATTAACAATTCAATAACGGTTGAAAGCAAAGAAGTATAAATACAGCATAAAAAACAGTCATGGAGGATAAGACCAGCTTAAAGTTAGAACTGATTAAAAGACCTGATGAAAATGAAAAGGTATTTGGCTGGTGCCAAAATATCACCAGAGCCAGTGCCTGGTGAGCTTCCTTGAGGAGGGCATTACAGTGGTACCTCGGGTTAAGTACTTAATTCGTTCTGGAGGTCCGTTCTTGACTTGAAACTGTTCTTAACCTGAATCACCACTTTAGCTAATGGAGCATCCTGCTGCTGCTGCGCCGCCGGAGCATGATTTCTGTTCTCATCCTGAAGCAAAGTTCTTAACCCGAGGTAATATTTCTGGGTTAGCGGAGTCTGTAACCTGAAGCGTATGTAACCTGAAGCATATGTAACCCGAGGTACCACTGTACTTAGCTGGAGTGGCATCAGGGAAAAGGCCCATTGCCACCTTCAATGTCTCACTCAGAAGGGAGTTCTTGGGAAAAGCACATCTGAAGAAGACACTTCCAGAGGAGCACATTCTTTTGCATGCCTCCTCTAGAGATGGTGCGTGAAATAAGGTGCATAATTCTCTGTGGTGAGAATTCTTCTTTAAGAGCTTCCACGTGATTACATGCACCAGGAGTGGGGAACCACTTTTAGTTGTTGTTGAGGGCCACATTCCTTAGGTCAGAACTTTCTAAGCTCTTCATGTTGTTGACACACTTTTTAGACATGCATCATTTTGCGACACAGTAATTCAGTTTTACTAGCAAACCGGAGGTTAGATTAATCCCTTTCCAGCCCTGGGAGGAGTGTGGGGAGCATTTGTGTGACACACCTACATGCTGCAGCTGATACATTAACATGTCACAACACACCGTTTGAAAAGCTCTGCCTTAGGAGTTAATTTGTCAGGGGCCTGGGCCGCATTGCCATTGGTGAACTGGACTGAAACCAGCAGTGTTTGGGTACTGAGTAAAAAATGAGTTGGGAAACACTTTCTGCCCTCTCTTTTCTCACACTCTGCTAACCACTTTCCCCATTCTTTTCTTCCTCACCCAGCAGGCTACTGGGGAATTCTTGCCAGACCCAAAGGTTTGAACTGATCTCCTGCAGTGGAGTTTTGAAATTAAGTCAAGGGCCACATACAATTAACCCAAGGATTGCAGGTTGCCCACCTGTGACATATACTCCGCTTGAATGTTGCACCTTGCTTAGCTGCTCAAAGAACTTAAAACAGTAAGGAGAGCCCTGCTGTACCCGACCCAAAGCCTGACTTTTTCTGTTCAGCATTCTTCTTTCCAGCAGTAGCATTCTGTGGAGCTGACAAAGTAGGATATGAAGGCAACAGCACTTCCCTCTTGGTTATTCCTGAGAATCTGGTAGTTATGAACACACTGCCTCTTTGTGGCTAATAGCCGTGATAGGAACTCTTTCAAATCCCTGAACAATTTCAGTGTTTATTTTACTTCCAAATATCCCGCAGGACATATTTCTTTCCTTTGCCTTCTTGAGGCGGCTGAGAATGAAGCAGAATGGTAGGAGCCACAATAAAAATGTGACGTGAATACTTACAATTTAGCGTGATTCAGCCACTGCAGGAGGTCTCTTTCAACCAGGGCTGTGTAGTGCCAATAACTGAGCAGATCCACACACATCCTGGCTTATATGGCGCCCAGCCTGTCCTTTGTTGTATCCAAAGCATGGAGTCAATAAGAGGTCCCAAGGGAAGTCAACTCAAAGGAACAAGGATGAGAGGATGTCTGATGAAGTAAAGGAATCACAAACCATCTGTCTCCCTGCTGTCATTTCTACCCAAAGATACCAAAACCTTGAGTAATCATAAGGCATATCTGAGGGGAGGAGTGACACATTCTCAATCCTTTTAAGATCAGCAAATTCAAACAACAACACACAGCTAAAGTGGTTGCCCTGTCCATAGCAACAGCAAAATCCCAATATGGTGCATTCTAGGGTGCATTCTTGGGCTCCAGTTCACATACAGAATTATGCACAAGCTGAGATTGCTCCCGTACACAGATAGTGATTCACACACAAAACTTTCCCTAACATTCATCCAGGGCAGCTCCTGCTCATATGGAGCTCTGTGCACAAACACATAACTTTGGATCTGAATGCTAGTGTCAATATTGAGTAATACTATTATTGTGGGATATTTGCCAACTGGTTTCCTGTTGGAACTGGCAGGAGACGGGGAAGTTAGGATTTGGGGCGAAAATGGGCTTGGCGGTGTCAGATCTGGGTGTTAGATGTGTGTTTAAACCCAGATCTGCCACAAATCACATAGACAATGGGCTGTGTGTGTGTGTGTGTGTGTGTGTATGTGTATGTGTGTGTGTGTGAGAGAGAGAGAGAGAGCAGACTGAAGGAGAAAGTGTTGCCTGAGGGTGGGAGCTGGTTGTTACCCTCTCCTGTGGCATACAACCTTGGTTCATTTTTCACCACTAGTTTCAGAAGCCCCGGGGGCAGAAAAAAAGCCTGGGGAGAGGGACTAGGGGGATGTAAATATATGGGTTGGTGTGGGGGAGGCTTCAGTGTGGCTAGAGTGGTGGGTTCAGAGATAGACCCAGGCTCAATCCCCCACCCCTTCAGCTATGAAGTTTGACCTATCTTTCAGTCTAACCTAATTCACAGGGAGAGGGAGGAGAGTACTGTAAGATCGTACTGGAGGAAGGATCTGGACAAAATATATACTAAGCTGGACCAAATCCCTTCCCGCTTACTTTCTGTGTGATTTTCACAGATGCACGTAAGCAAATGGATCTGTTGTTGTAAGTTCCTGTGGTTTAGCCCCAAAGGAGCCTGGCCAACCTTCTGGTCTTAGAGTAAGATGGAGGGTGGGACTTATCATTATCTATAAAGGTTGTCTGTGGAATTGTCTGGAAAGAGGGGAGAGGACTCAGTGAGAACATAACAAGAGCCCTGCCAGATCAGAGCAAAAGCCCATCTAGTCAAGCATCCCGTTCTTACTTACTGTGGCTAGACAAGTGCGTGTGGGAAGCCCACAAGCAGGACTTGAGTGCAGCAACACTCTTCTAATTTGTGATCCCCAGCAACTGGTAGAAGAGCATAAGAAGAGGCTGCTGAATCGGGCCAAAGGCATCTAATCCCAACACTATTCTCACAGTGGAAAATGAATCAAAGGGCCCTCCAGACATCCTTTTTATTGCTTATTCATGATTATTTATGCTCAGGATGGTATCAGGGCAGTTCTACACAATCCTATTTTCAATACTGCAAAAGCTTTGTGGCAGACATACGGCTTCATTTCCAGTTGGTGCATAGCTTCTTGCTGAAATCCTGTAGCTTTTCATACCACAAATGTTCCAGGGTTTTGTTGTGGTTGTGCTTTAGTACAAGAGAGTGCCCCTTCAGATGGCAATCATGTGGTAACGTTGGAGAAGCATCGCGGAACAGCTAATAAAGTGGAATAATTTGTAGATAGTCCAGTATAAATCCACCACCAATTTACTGTTATTTTATCAATGGCATGTTATGGAATACGCATACAAAACAGAAAAAGGCACCAGTCCAGAGATGCCCCAAAAGAAGCTTGACAGTCCTTATATTAGCTATGGTAGAAATTAATTTTGGGTGGTGTGCTATGCAAATAGTCAAAAGAACCCAAATTGAGCTATTTTACCTAGCAGTTGGGGGGATTTTCCTTCAGAGAACAGAGTCTCATCTTCAGTTGGTACAAAATTCTGAACTTACATATGTTTCCTTAGAAGACCTACGGGTATAGGGCAGTATAGAAATAATAAAAAAAAGTAAGCCCTACTACATACGGTGCATACGCTGCATACAGTGGGACTTACTCCCAGGTAATTGTGTATGATTGCAGATGCACTGAAGGGGTTGGAACTAAGAACTGTTGTAGGTGATTCCCACACTGAACTTACTTGCATGGAGGGATGATGGCCTGGACAATTAAATGTGTGAGCAATACAGAACTGCAGAAGCTTGCGTTGCAGTATAAATCCCTAGACCCTCAGTGTCTCTATTAAATGAGATTTATGTATTTTTGTAACCTTCCCGTTCTCTACGCCAGGTAGCCGAGAGACCGCATTCACTTACGCTGTTAGCGCTGCAGGGGTGGTGAATGCCATCAGCCGTGCCTGCCGTGAAGGGGAGCTTTCCACCTGCGGTTGCAGCCGAACAGCCCGGCCGAAGGACCTGCCCCGAGACTGGCTTTGGGGCGGATGCGGGGACAATGTGGAATATGGCTACCGTTTCGCCAAGGAATTTGTGGATGCCCGGGAGAGGGAGAGGAACTATGCCAAGGGATCCGAGGAGCAGGCCCGCACACTCATGAACCTACAGAACAACGAGGCCGGCCGCAGAGTAAGATCCATTTTTAGCACTTTCTCTTTTGGGAAGAGGCAAGTTTAGAGGCAAGTAACCAGTGTGTTGCATTCTTAAGAATGAGACCAGTTTATAAGACCCAACAGTTTATCTGAACCTAATAATAAATGTCAGTAAACAAACCAAAAGCACACGGTTCAAGCACCTGAATGCTAATTATTACACTGCCTTTTCCAGTGATCATGGAACCATTCCTACCTGTCATGCATGCATATCATTAATAATAATTTGTAAGATTAGGAGTGGCAAATATTTATGTCCCACTCTTCTAAAAGGACCTAGAAAAATGTGCAAAAAATAAAATAAAAAATGTGTTCCTTGGACACTGACAATTCTACTGCTAGGGTTGTCCCCTTTTTGTGAGAGAGAGACCTCCTCTGCTTTAACAGCTGCATGGCAGGCAACAGAAGTTCAACAGATGAAACTTTTCTCCTGGCATGGAGATGGTAAGGTGCCACCTGTTAGGAACATAGGAAGCTGCTATACATTGAGTCACACTATGGCTCCATCTAGCCCAGTATTGTCTTCACCGACTGGCAGTGGTCTCCAGGGATTCAGGCAAGGGTGTCTCATACCTGTACCTGGAGTTGCTGGGGTTGGAACCTGGGACATTTTGCATGTAAAGGAGATGCTCTCCCACTAAACTATATTCCTTCTCCTGGGGTAAGGGGAATTTCTGTTGTGAGATGCAATTGTCAACATGTGAATAACTGCAGTTGGATCAGGAGACCTAAACACAGGGCCCAAACTCTTATGAGTTGGAAATGTGACACGAATTAACTCAGAAAATAGAGGGGCCAGTTCTGTTGAATGAAGGCTGTGTATGTGTATCTTCAGGGCTCATGTGTCCAATTTCATCTTCTGATTCATGTTTTCCTGATGCAAGGAAACAACATTTTCCGAGTGCAGTTATTTGGCTGAGAACATGTGTAATATTTTATTTTTTAAAATACATTTTAAAGAAAACATATAAAATCTGCTTCTCAGTTTAAAACCTTCTTGGAGCAAACTTCTCAGGCTGATAGCATTCTTTCATCCCCACCCTAGCTAGTGTGTTAATTGCAATAATGAATGATATGTGGAATGCAGTTGCACAAATGACACATGAAGATATGGACTTGTCAGGCTGTCGCTCCACCTAGCCCATTAACATCACTAGTGATGAGTGACTAACTGCCTGTGCCATTTTTGCTATTAATGTTGCTTCTTCTTTTTTAAAAGATTCTAGCTGTGTTCTGTTTAATTGTCTCTACACAAGTGAATTTGCCTCCCTCAGTTCTTCCTGGATTGGAGACCAGGTCTTACTGCATGGGGCACCCTTGATCACTAGGGAGCATCTGAGCACTTCCTTTCCCCCTTCCTTGGTGTCTGCAGCTCAAGTGATGGAGGACGAATTCTGTCCCACTTCAGTTCTCAGGAAGAGCCATAAGGGGGTGGGAATGGAACTGAATTTGCTTCAGGTTTCGACACAGTCCTGACCCCATCGCTGCTCCACTGCACTCTTGAATTTTTTAGGGCCCCAAACTTTTAGCTTTATTGCCTGTTGTTTGTTTGTCTTTGACGGTTATCTTAGCCTGTCCTTTCCTTCCATCTGTCTCTTTCTCCACTTGGTCTCTCCTTATCTGTCTCCCTTTGGCAGCCCTGCCACGTTGTTTACCCGTTCAACAAGTAGTAGACCTCAATCATCAGCCACTCCATCCAGTGCCAAGCAAGGCTGAGAGGAGGCTTGGCTAATTAACCACATAGGAATTAGCCCATTGATTCCCTTTACATCCCACTTCTTTACAAAGGAAGAATCAGAAAGGAATTTGAGGTGGAGGCCGAAGAGGGACAGATTTTAAACAAATTCCACTTGCAGATTGAGTCCAGTTGGTCTATGTTTCAGGTCCAGACATCTTAGCTTCCTCTGGAAACTTGTACTCTTCACATTGTTTACATAGCTCAGTCAAAATCTTTCTTCAAATGGTCCAGCTCGTAGCTACCTGCATTTCAGCAAAGAAGATACACATGGAAACCATTTCTTTCTTAGCGCCAAATATCCCCCTTTAATGTAGGCATACAGAATTGTACCGGCATCACTTTGAAGCAAGTGCTATTCATCACAGTTAGATTGGTATCCAGGTAATCAATTTAGGATTGCCTGATATAAATAGCAATTGTTTGTCTTTAGAAGAGAGCTTCCATGCCACATCTGGCTCTCAAGCCATGTTTTGATTGATTAGACTGCCATGCAGCTCTTGGGGGGAGCTCTTGTTTAAAATTATCGTTAGGTCCAATTAGCTAGGACAGAGATCAGAATCCGCTTATTCTTAAAATTGGCTCCCATGGGCTTTTTGTACATGACTGAGGAAGGCTGTCATTTAAAGAGACAGTCTGCTACCATTACATCTGGTTTGGCCTCTAGATAATGGAAGTAGAATGCAGAATTAGGGTTTCTATCTCACAAACTTCATGGAAAGCAACTTTAAATTCCATAATATCACTCACTTTGGACCTGAGACTGAGGCTCAACCAGCCAAGTCTTATTCAGTGTACATTGGCATTGAGATGGTTTTCACAATCTCAGCCTGGTCATACAGCATGGTTACTGGCACTGCTAGGGAGCCTCACCTTCCTACCTTCCACTGTAAGCGAACTGTGTGCTATTCTTATGTGTGTTTTCCTGCAGCCATCTGCAAAAATGCACATATTTGGGCATGATGTGGAAGTTAAACCTCACACTTGCCTCTTTGCTGTGGCTTTCATTTTATACTATGGTTCTAGCAGACTCACCTGCCCCTAAAACTCCATATGCTCAGAGTATATAGAGAGCTCATTCTGAAACAGAACAATAGTAAAATATATGCTAGACCTCAACATAAAAGTGGGGGGGGATCCTTTCATAGATGAGGCCCTCCAGAAACATTTGCAGCCATATGGCAAGGCTTTCACATTTGTTGAAGCAGCAAGGCCCAAATTAACCTTTAATCCTGCATGGTGGATCTCCTCAGCTGCCAATTCCCCCTCTTCTATCCCCCCCAGTCTCTTTCATTTGCACATTAGTTATTATTATCTTCCTTTTTTATAATAATAAAAAATGCTGAAATCTTACACATTTTTCAGTTAAGTACTGAAGGATGCTATTGTTGGTTAGGGTGTGGTGGCGGTGTGTGGGATTACACTTTAATTTTCCTATATGGGAAAAAGGAAGCGTGGCTTCTTCTCTTTTCCTGATAATGATGATTAATTAAAGTCCTCCCCCCAAAGGTACCGGGGCTTAAGCCTTCCTGGAAGTGACATCCTTGGCTTTTGCTACAGAAGCTCCTCATAATCATCTCACATGTGCAGGGGCTGTTTGTGGTTGTACAGTTCAAGGGAGTGTCATTCTGCACATGCTTAAAGGCACTGAGTTAATGAATTAATCAAATTACTTTTCTTAGTAGTATCTGTCTGTCTATCTATCTATCTATCTATCTATCTATCTATCTATCTATCATCTATCTATCTAACGAAGGCTCTTTGCAATGCTTAATTAATAGCAAGATAAACAAAAGGACATTGAAATAACAAACAACAAAGGACACCACTGCAATATGAACAGAAAAACAGAATCCATAATTGCTACCAAACTCCTGCATTCCCCCCAGGCCCTCTGGAAAAGATGAATTTTAACAGTGCAGTAAAAACAGAATAGTGATGGAGGCAGGCAAGCTTCTTTGGGGATAGCATTCCGAAAAAAGGTGCTAGAACCAAAAAGGCCCTGTTTCTAGTGCTCAAACCTACCAAACTTCAGAAAGCGAAGGGTTACGTAACAAAACCTCAAGTGTTGACTTGAGCATTCAAGAAATTTGTCCTTTGCGGGAGGACGAGGAGATTTGTATGCTGGTTCTAGACTGTTGAAGGCTTTTAAAGTGAGAACCAACACCTCAAATTAGGCCTACAAATGAATGTTTTAATTTTGCAACTAAAACAGCATTGGAAATTGGTTTCATGACAAAGCAATGGTGAGACCTTCCTCAAATGACACCCTAAATGTAAAAAGGCAGGAGGAGAATATGCTTAGGTTTCCTGGCTCTGATACAGTTGTTGGACTGAACTCAACATAAAATAAAAAAATCCAGAAGTATAGCAGAATATTTAGAAAGGAAAGAAAGTTGTTCTAATGCTTTCTTAAGCCAGGAGGCTCATCTCCAAGGCCTATCAATATTTCTTTATATAGCAAAAGAACTCTTTCCATGCTTGCAAAGCCAGAGTGCTCTGCTGCTGTGCAGCCTTTTGGATGTTCTTTTTCTGTGCACAGATATTAGTTCCAAACCCACTTGGATTGGGCCCCAAGTGCTTTATCTGCATCACTCACCTATAATTAGAAATTGGTTTGAAGACTGTTTCCATCATCATGGTTCTCTCCATGATGGACTTATCCCACCATAGTTAAGTGGAGCAGATCATAACTTTGCCAGAGAGAGAGATTGTTTCAGGATGTCTCTGATACTGGCTGAGTTCTCGTCTTTCCTGAGGGAGATTTTTTTTTTTTTTTAAGACTCCATGGTATTCACTCACATTTGGATTGACGTCAATTTTTTTTTGTTTTAAAAAGCTGTCATAAAGACTCAAAGTTGAAATACAGATTTTTAAAAGATGCATGGCTACCATGAGGGTAATAGATTTTATTAAGCAGTAAGCATCCAGCAGTTCACCATGAATCTCTCATCTCTGATCTAACACCAGGCAGACACATTGAATTTTGTAACATGCCTTGTAGGGTTGGGGGGGGGAGTGTTGTATTAAAACAGACAAGAATTCTGTGGTTCAGGTACTTTATTTCTTTGAAGGTGCTGCTTCACACATCAGCCTTCCAATTAGGTGTACATAAATTACTGGTACAAACAAAACTGTATAATATATTTATAGCAGACCTTACTTTCATGATGGTGGTGCCTCAAGGTAGCGTATGCAGGATTTCCAGGGGTTTTCTCATCTAGTCACTGACCATAAATCTTTGGGGAAAGGCATGTGCTTTAAATGGGTTTTAAATCTATGGTGTGTATATGGCCTTAGTTTCAGCAGGGTTGTTGTACCATGTACCTTCAGAGTACTAAAATGCCTACTAATGCATCCTCTGTATTATTTAACCATTTGTGGCACATTCATACCTGGGAGGGAAAGGACCAAGGCAACTTTGTCTGATTACTTGGAGGCATTTTTAACTCACCACAGGTGATCAAGCCAGTGGCTCTTTTCAAGCTTCATGTGCATCATTATCACTCTTCTATATGGGGATATTTTTAATCTACTGAAACTTCCTATCTTGGTCAGTTTGCTTTTTCATAGGAGTTGATTTAACTTTATTCTCAGCTTGGCTTTGTATGAACAGAATTATCTTAAGGCCACTGTACAGATTACATAGCAGCAAACCTGGGTTTGCACAGTGTATGCTTGATAGAATTGACTCAGATTAATGTATCTGTACATTTTTCCAAATGTATTATTTGTCTCCCTCACACATTACATTTTTAGATGCATGGTGTTTTTTATTATATTAAAAAACCATTACACTAAAAATATAATGATGAAGAATATACAGTGGGGAAAATCTCTCCTCGTTTAGATAATTGGCTCTGAGGTCCACATTTTCCACAGCAGACTTCAGTTTCAGAGGCATCCAACTTGTGAGAGGCATTTTCAGATATTGGAAAACAAGTTTCAGTCAACGTGCTTGCACTCAATTCTGAACCTTGTCTTAAAAGCAACTCACATGACATTCTGTAGCCACTGTTACAAAATTCATGGACTGTTATACACATTACCAGCTTTTCAAAGCTAGAAAAAAGGAATTCAGTAATGGGAAAATGGGAGTAGACAAGTGACTGACCACCAGGTGGCGAACAAGATGCAAATACATAGTTGCTGCATTCATGCGCTTGTTGGCTTGTGGTGTATATTCTATCTCTCCAACCACCACCCTGGCTAAACTAGACATAAAGGTCGCATGATGCAACTTGGGTTGTGCCAACTTCCTGTAAAAGCCTCACCCACACACCATCCCATTATTTCTTCTCTGCTGTTTTACTCCGAGTGGGAGTTGCATCCATTATCTGACAAACATCCATCCGAGAAAAAAAACAACAACATGTGGGCAGTTTAAAGCCCTTACAATGCTGCTTACAAGGAATATAATGCACATAATCATATAGTACAATCTCACCATTACATTGAATAACCTTTTTACACGGCAACATAATCTATTAGCAAGACCAGCACCATGCGATTAAAATTAGCTAAAACACTTTAAAGCAATTTGGGGTTCGGTTGGGTGGGTGCACCAAAAAACCTTTAAGAGAAAGTAACTTGAAATAAATGGACCTTCAGAGCCTGTTTGAAGGTCTGTATTGGTGGAGCTGTGTGCACACAACAGTCCTTGGGAGGGCCAGCAATGAAAAGGCCCTGTCTCAGGTACCTGCCAACCCAATTGATCTTACAGGTGGATCTATGAGCACAGTTTCCATAGGTGATCTTGGGGTCTGAGCATTTCTTGTAAGTTGCTCTGATAAGACCTGGATACAATCTTCCAGGTAACAGAAAATGGACAGGGAGCCACCATGCTTTAAAGTGTTAGATTAGGTTTAGGACATAGCTGTGATGTTCATTATATCAACCTACCTTACTGGACTGCTGTGAGAATGGGCGCAGTATAAGAAAATAATACTTAATGATGATGATGATGATGTAAGCCCAGTGAGGCTTGCTTCTGTGTATAAAGTTGCACCAGTTACTGCTTATGTTGTGCCAGATTTTAGTGCTGCTTGAACACTTTGTCTGACCCCACCTTACCTTCTTCCTTCCGTAGGCAGTGTACAAGTTGGCTGATGTCTCCTGTAAGTGCCACGGCGTCTCAGGTTCCTGCAGCCTCAAGACCTGTTGGTTGCAGCTGGCTGACTTCCGCAAAGTGGGAGACCTCCTGAAGGAGAAGTACGACAGTGCCGCCGCCATGAGGATCAGCCGCAAGGGCAAACTGGAGCTAGTGAACAACCGCTTCAATTCGCCTACTCCAGAGGACTTGGTGTACGTCGACCCCAGCCCCGATTACTGCCTGCGCAACGAAACCACGGGCTCCCTGGGCACCAAGGGCCGGCTCTGTAATAAGACCTCGGAGGGTATGGACGGCTGTGAGCTGATGTGCTGTGGCCGAGGCTACGACCAGTTCAAGAGTGTGCAGGTTGAGCGTTGCCACTGCAAGTTTCACTGGTGCTGTTACGTCAAGTGTAAAAAGTGCACAGAGATTGTCGATCAGTACGTCTGTAAATGAAGGGCCCACAAGAGCTACAAATCTATATTATATAAATCTATATAAATCTATTTTATATATTTGTATAAATAAATAGATGGCGATGATGATAATAATTAAAGACATTTATTTAAGAGACTTTTTAAAATCTAAAATGTTTCCATTAGAACAGCTAGATGGTTGGGCTGCTCCTTTGTTATTTAATAGGGGAGCAAAGCAGGGCGGGGGGGGGTATTTGTTCGCTGGTTCCCTCCCAACCGTGTCACAATGCATCCAGGATAAAAGGGATTCTTGAGGGTCCTCGAAAAGGATCTACCTACAGCTCCTTTATCACAAAAGCAGGAGGATGGGATATGTTCCCTTTGCTATCTTGTGGCTGGATTTCACCTTGGGTGTGTTCTGTGCCTTTTTCGACATAGCCAAAGGAGTGCCCTCCACGCTCAGGTCGATTTCCAAAAGGACTTTGTGTCATTTTCTGCTTCTTGTCAAAACACACTGTGGGATTCCAAACTACAAGGCGAATTACCTGTTTTAGATATGGGAAGAATGATTCAAAAGGCAGTGTCCGTGCCTGCTGTGGTTGATGTGTGGATTGAAGAGAGACTGTTGCACAATGGCAGATGGTCCCCCTGCATCAAGTGGGGGAAAGAAAACATTACCTTTGACCTAGAAGTGCTGCTTTACCCCTGTATATCCTGACAGAAACCCCGGCAACTGATTCTCCTGCATTTTGTGGAATGAAGAAGGGCGGCAGCGGAAGTGGAGAGGGCTCTGCTGAAGCTTTGGAAAGGCAAAACTGTCAGAAGTGGTTTTGCTGGTTGGTGGATTTTCTCTTCTGTGGAAAAAGAATTGTGTGGTGTATTGATCTAACCTCAGGATACGTGACAGCTGGTGACTGATCTCTTGGGACTACTTGGATTGTTTTGGGAAAGGGGCTTATTTGGTGTGTCTCTGGACTTGAGAGAAAAACAGACATGATTCAACACACAGGATTCGACAAACACAGCACCTCAGTCTCTACGCGGACTCAGATGGTCATGGGTGTCACAAGGGCCTTTTCATCCCCCTTGCCTCTGACCTAGATGTACAGTTTCTCTTTTAACATTAAATATCCCTTGTTCTTGCCCTCTCCCCTTGTTTTTGTGAGCACATTTGTTTTGTGTTGCTGCTAATGCATTTCACAGCACAGGGACTTTCTGCCAAGTTGGACTCTTTCCTGGTTTAAAACTTTTATTGCAGTCAGACCCAATTCTTGTGTTATTTTTTTGATATGGTCAAGTCACCAAGAGGTGACATTTCGAAAGAATTATGTCTGTTGCTGGAAGACCGTTTGATTTGTACACTTCATTGTGTGCTGAGAGCTGGTTTTCACCATCCCAATGACGAGGGTCATATTGCATTCTGCAAGTTATCTTGTTACTATTGACTGGCAACAATGTAGCAAGTGCAAGTCATAAGCCAAAAGAAGAATCAAATATTTCCTTAAAACTATTGTCATTGGTTCTGAAATACAGCATTGGGAAATTCAGGGGGGATTCTGGAACATTACTCCATTATTTTCTCATATCCACAGATTGGCTAGACTGGATGAAAATGGGCCAGAGCCATTTTTTGTTAAGGCAGAAGTGTGTAGGGAGGATGCCTTAGAAAAACCTAATTGGGGAGGTGAGCAGCGGTATTTTTGCATCAGAGTAAAGAAAATGATAACAAGTGATTATTGCAATAGCCTCCCCCACCCCACCCCATCCTGCAAACACAAAAACATAATCTGCTGCAATTAGTAAACCGGCAGAACTAGGTGAGAACCTTTCTCCATGAAATCTAGTTTTCCATATGCAAGGGTTGTTGTTGTTGGTATAGAGGAGTACAGACCTTAAAAACCCACATGTATAGATTGAAGCTATCACAAATGCACTCCACATGTGCTGCTTGCAGGCAGCTTGGGTGGTATCCTCTTGGTGTCAGCGATGCTGTGTTTGTCAAGATGGCAGTAGAGCAGGGTGAGGGGACTAGGTTGAGGAGAGCTCCAAGGCAGTGGCAGACCTGCAGGCATGACGGTTCCAACCCCAACCTTGCCACCACCACCTCATCCTGCCCTATCCTTGTCCAAAGGAGCATTACATGGCTGCCATGAGGAAGTTGTTGCTTCCACGCCATGACTCACTGCTGGGCTTTGTGAGTACAGTGGTACCTTGGGTTACAGACGCTTCAGGTTACAGACGCCGCTAACCCAGAAATAGTACCTCGGGTTAAAAACTTTGCTTTAGGATGAGAACAGAAATCGCACAATGGTGGTGCAGCGGGCAGTGGGAGGCCCCATTAGCTAAAGTGGTACCTCAGGTTAAGAACAGTTTCAGGTTAAGAACGGACCTCTGGAATGAATTAAGTTCTTAACCAGAGGTACCACTGTACTGTATTAAGCTTGACACAGCTGCAGGAAAGTTCTGTTTTCTAAAGGCCATGAATCCTGCATATAGTTTGTCAGTATGACAAACACACATGCAAGTCTGTTTTGCCATGTGTACACATAGCAGGTAGCTTGAGGCAGACAGGGGCAAAGAGAAATTTTACATCCAATGAAATACATATTTGCATTTGTCACAGGCAATAACATATATGTTGGATCCATACAATTTCCTTATGCTCCCTTGGAAAGGGATCACTCTTATCTGCTCTGCATGCAGACGGTCTCAGGTTCAGTCTTTGGTATCTCCAGTTAGAGGAGGTCAGGTTGCAGGTGATTTGATTTTATTTACCTTTGACCATTGAAAGCTGCTGCTAGCCAGAGTAGACAGAACTGGGCTCAATGAAGGCCTGGTTCCTATGTTCTATATTGGAATGTTTGCCATGCATGAAATCTTCCTGAGCCTGACTTTAGGCTCTACTAGAGTTCTTTCCCCCCCAATTAAGCACTAATTATCAAGTATATGTAGTCATCCTACTCCTGATAGCCACCCCATGGAATACAGGGTCATGAGCAATTGTTGTTTTCTTAACTTCCTTTACAGTGAGTGATGGATAAAAAGGTTTGTTTTTTCAGTACCTACAGGGATCATTTGTACTTGAGCAATAGTCAGAAGGCCCAGCCAAAAACTGGAAACAATTACTGAAAATATTATTTGCAATACTTGCTTTTTAAAACAACAACTTTTATATTTTTTAAAAGCAAATTGCCAATAGAAATAAGCAAGAGCCCTGTAAACTAGAGCTCTGTAAAATTCAACTCAGGATTTTTACAAGCTCTGTTTTTCTCCAAACATTTTTAGTCATTTTTTTTTTTACCATTTCTGCTACTAAAGTTGTCAGCAATGCATATATTTCATAGGCAACAGATTTGAAGGGTCCAAAATATATAAGAGGAAGAGCATTCTGCTTGCAAATTAACTTGCTTTAAAAATACTGTTCAGTTTTTTAAAAAATATTTTAGGGTTTTAAACAAATCATTAATCCATACATTTGTTGGCATCCCAGAGAGCAATTTCTTGGAATACACCAAATGACCCAGATTTATGTTCTTTTTATATAAAATCCAAAGCCAAAGGTACAATAATTCAAAGTGATGAAAGCTGTTTTCCACCCATGGAAAAACTGAGAGGATAATGGCCTGATCTAGCTCCCTTAATAACAAACCAGTAATTGGAACGATCCCCAAATCCCATGAAATCTGTGCGCTACAGATGCTTGGAATACAGTATCCTTTTTTTCTAAAAAAGAAAAACAGTGTTTTGGCTGCCTGAAAGGTGTTTCCTTTCTTCATATCTCTAACCTTTTATTGTGCAATGACTGCACACTGGCTTGTTTCACACACAACACTAAGCCAAACCATGGGTAAGAATGAATATGCAGGTGTGCAGATACTTTCAGTGAAAATTCTGCTGCTTTACTCCTCTCTTATCCCTGCCTGCTGCTCTACCTGAAGCTAAACATGCTTGGCTTAGCATTACCTCTGAACCCAGTCATGTCATCTGTCAGTGTTACATGTGAACTAGGGCACTGTATGATATTTGTTCTGAGGTTTAGGCTCTTTCTAGATTTTTTGGTACAAAGTGATATTTAGATATGCTGGGCGATTATGCCCCCATCTCTCATTCTGGGATATAAAGAAAATCCCTGGAAATTTTGGAGCACAGGAGAGGAGAATGATCTGGAGAATTGTTATCCTTGGGAGATGGCATACTGTATTCCCATTTCAACCGCTAAGAAAACAGCAAGGTGTCTCCTGATAAACCCAGTTTTTTGTATTTCTTAATGGAAAGCGTGAGAAATGCTCAGAGAAAATGAAAGGAGTTTCCAATATTCTGCTAAAAATGGTATTATTCTTTAAAATGTTATGGCTACCCATCTTTCCTCCAAAAAGGACTGGCATTTTCCTTGACAATAACTAGGCTAAAACACAGTGACTTGCCCAACAACAGTCTGTAAGCTTGATAGCAGGCAAGATCTGAACAGAGATTTTCCATATCCAGCCTGAAAGTCTAGACACTGTATTACACGTTACATGTTATCTAAATTGCAGTAAGATAGAAAAGACCAGGAGGCACTGTAAAGAACATAGTGTTGACACAATCTGTATCCATAGGGCCTACACTCGAAAAGTACACATGGATGGGACAAAGGTGAAATGTGAGGGGGAAGGCTTTGATGAAGGACTACCAATGTTGGGGGTGGGTGTTGAAAGTTTTAACAGGTAGTACAAGGTGGGTTGATCAGAAAAGACTTTGTAAATGAAAAGGTTTTGAAGGGTTTAAAAGAGAGGTGGGACTGCTATTTGTTACTGCACTGCAAAGAAGGGGGAAAGGTGCTTGAAACCAGAGGAGGCCATATAGGTAAGAGGAACAGGTAATTTCTCAAATGGTTGGATAGATAGTTGTAGATTTTAAATAGTCCTCTGGAGTATACCCAGTAAGGCAGAACTGCATATGACTAAATAAGAAGTTTTGAGGTTTTGGACCAAACTAATCTCTGCTGCTCATACAACAATGGCTGACCATCTTTGCTTATTTGTACCTCACATTCTATATACTGAATTGGGGGGAAGGCATTTCTAAACTGTTTATTCCACTGTTGTGAAATGTCACAACACTATATGCAGACTTATTTGGGATTGCTAGGGGCATGCTGCCAAGGTTGGAGCCCTCTGGCAAGTAATTCCATGTGGAACCCACCATGGGTTTGAGAGTGAAGGTCTGCAGTGGGGAAGTCTCCTGCACTTGTTGAGGCTTCCACGATGTTTAGAACCCATGTTATGCAAGGTTCTAGATCACACAGGGGGTCTCCATGAGTTCCCACCGCAAATCTTCACCCTCAAACTCATAGAGGGCTCTACATGGAATACAGTGGTGCCCCGCAAGACGAATGCCTCGCAAGATGAAAAACTCGCTAGACGAAAGAGTTTTCCGTTTTTTGAGTTGTTCCGCAAGACGAATTTCCCTATGGGCTTGCTTCGCAAGACAAAACGTCTTGCGAGTTCTTGCGAGTTTGTTTCCTTTTTCTTAAAGCCGCTAAGCCATTAATAGCCGCTAAGCCGCTAATAGCCGTGCTTCGCAAGACGAAAAAACCGCAAGACGAAGAGACTCGCGGAACGGATTAATTTCGTCTTGCGAGGCACCACTGTAAAGGTGATCCACCATAGGGGGTGGGCTTGGCAGCATGCTCACTCTCCCTTGCATGTTTCTTTACAGGCAAGTGCGGTAAATACACAAATAGGGCTTCAGGGGTAGGTACCTCTGAGTAAATAACCTAGGCTCAAACTGGAAAAGTGCTGAGGGAATTATTTGCTTGTAAATCATCTTCCATTTGCCATTATTATCATCCCCTGGCTGTGAGAATATATACTGGAGTGAACTATGTTCAGGGCTATCTCAAATCAATTTGGTACCACAAACATCTGCTCTGGATTGCACTACTTGTGAAGTTTGCTCTTCCAAACCCTTGGACTGTTCCAGATGATGTGGTACGTTCTTTTGTGACACTCAGCTGCATTGCTGTCCCAGTGACTGCTTGGCTTGCTTGAGCAACCCAGTCAATTCTGGCTCATTTTTATTCAATTTTGGTTTGTTTGTTTTGTTTGGCCTTTTTCTGCTTGCGCTGAAAGATCTTGAGCATGTGGAAGATTGGTTTGCCAAACTGCTGATGTAGAAGCTCCAGCTTTATTGTAATACAATAATACTAACACTATAATTTAAGTGTACACCTTATACCTTTAAAGCACATTCAAAGCACATTCTGTCCTTCAAAAAATTATGGGCATTGTACTTTGCTAATGGTTGCAGGGAATTGTAGCTCTGAGGGGTAAACTAAAGTGCCCAGAATTCTTTGAGGGAAAGAATGCACTTTGAATGTGCTGTAAACTGTGTACACAGTATTTGTTCAAACTTAATATAACACATATCCTATATATTTAAGATAATGCTATAAAAATGTGTGATCATAGATTTATTTTGTTATTTGATTCCTCACACAGTGTCATCAGTGAAACTGTATGTTGAGGGATACAGAGCAGGAAAAATGAGCTACTCTTAAACACAATGTATGGTTGGACTATAGAATCCACTACTGCAAGAAGTAGTGATAGCCACTAATTTGGATGACTTTAAAAGAGGATTAGACAAATTAATGGACGAAAGGGCAACCAATAGCTACTAGCCATAATGCTGTAATACCCCCAATATCTGATGCAGTATGCCTCTCAATGCTAGCTGCTGGGGATCATGGGAGATGGTTAGTGCATTAATTTCTTGCTTGCAGGCTTACCAAGCGTCATCTGCTTTGGAACTGTCAGAACAGAGCAGAAAGGCTTTTGGGGCGATGCATTTTAACACAGGGAGCTGCCCTATCCTGAGTCAGACCATTTGCATACATAGCTCAGTAGTGTCTACAGCGAATGGCAGCAGCTCTCCAGAGTTTCAGAGTGCGGTCTTTTCCAGACCAACTTGGATTCCGTATGCAAAGCAGATGCTTCACTGCTGAGCTGTGGCCTATTACATTATTTAATCCAATACATTACAATATAAATTCAAGATTTAAATCCTATAAATATCACACACACACACACACACACACACACACACACACACGTCTTCAGTTTCTGAATAAGTACCTAAGAGAGTCCCTTTGCTGGAGGTCAGATGTATCAGCTGCCTCTCAAAGTCCCAGTTTGCCATTGGAACCTCACAATCAGGCCACAAAGGCGAGACTGCCCTCCCACTGTTGTTGTTTTTCTATAAAAACAGGACATATTCATTTCTGAAATGCCAATAAACCATTTTTGTTTTAAAGAACACAGTATTTAAATCCAATTTTATGTTACTATATGAGGTATGATGAATCATGTTTACTAAATCTTTGTGGTTTGCATGGCTTGGCAGGAATGAGGACAACGGCTGTAGAATTCTAAGCATGTTGTCTCATAAGGAAGTACTATTCAATGTAGGGAGATTTAGGATACTTCCAGATGGGGTCTTTATATTGCAAACAGGTCATTCACATCTGATTGTTTTGTGTGCATAATTTGCATGTTAGCTTCAATGCATTTCCTTTTTTCAGTCATGGTATTTGTTGGAATTCTGCTTCTTTGCCATCCACATTAGTGGACTGAACTTGATGGGGTTGGTTTCCCGATCCCACCCCCATAGCTACTCCTTCTCTATCTTTCACTGCCTTCTTCCAGTCTGGGAATGTATTTTGTACCCATCTGCACACCTTTAAAAACAAACAAACAAAACTAGTGCACAGGATCAGAATAACCAGTCCTTCATTATTAAGTCTTACAATAGGCAAAATGGAGTTTTATGCTTTGGGGAGGGAGGGATATCAATTTCCATCACTTCGTGCCCCCCCCCTTTTCTTAACATACTGAGGTTTTGGGCAAGAGTGATATAGCTATATTCCTCCAGTAATTTCATAGAGGCATGTGAAAATACTGTATTTAAAATGTACAATAGGCTCCCATAACATTTAACAGCAGAAGCACACATTCCGTCACCCAAAAAAACCACAGCAGCTTTGAAATACTGAAACAAGAGTTCTTATGCAAGCTATATGTATTCTAAATATAGAGATTTTAAAATTTTGTGAAGTAATTCCCCATATGTAGTGTGTGGATGAAGAGCAAGGTTGCTGAAATTTGGGTGTGGCAATCAGTGGAAATTGGTCTCATTTGGTATTCGGACTGCCTGTCTGAAAGCATAATTACTGCCTGGTAAGGATTACAACCTTCCAGTGCAACATTACACATATCTACTCTTGACATGGCTCAAGGTCTCTCACAGCATGTGCAGTTTTGCACCTTAAGCTCACTTACATCATTGCAACATCCACAGTTGGGCAATACTATTTACTGGGACAAAACAAAAAATATTGACGACGGTGTGGCAAACTTTTGAGTCCTCCAGAACTCTTCACTGGGCAAAGTTATTACATAAAGCAGAGGAGTGTGTGTGCCTGATGACAAGTTCTGGAGGACTCGGAAGGTTGCGATACTTTTGTGACATTTTGGCTGGTCTCCCCAAAAGCATCGCTCAGCTGATTTGGGAGGGTGCCACCAATAGGGCTACCTTTGCTTTTTATATTATTTAAACCCCAGCATTGTCACTGCAAGGAAAAAGTAGGAGTCTCCTGCTGCTGCTCTAAACAACATTTACTTGGGAAAGAAAGTAATAAAATTAAACACAAGCTTTGGCAACCATGTACATTGCTGGCCTCAAGCTATATACATACTGTACAGTGATATACACACTTTTCTTATCAAAGAGGATAATTATACAGTAATAGGGGCCAGTATTGCCACTTTCCCCTTCATCTGTTGCTGCCCTGAGGTCCTTCCCACTCCTCCTTTTGGAACCTCGCCGCCTTCCTCGTACTTTGAAATCAACAAACCGCGCGAGCGCGCCGTTGAAAAACAACCGCCGCCTGAGCAACGGCCCCGCGCGACTCCGCTCCTTCCGTAAGCAGCGCTCACCCATTACGCACTTTGCGCGGCGGCCGCCGAGCCAGAACTAACGCCTGGCGCGAAAGGACGCTTTAAGAGCCCACGACCTACTTTCCTACCAATGCGGAGGCGGCGCCTTAGGTTTCGGCAGGGTCACGCGCTCAAGCCGCCCGCCCGCCCGCCTCCGGGAAAACTACACGTCCCAGGGTGCCCTTGGGCTGAGCCTCCCCGCCCCTCCTCCCCCGAGCACGTCCTCCCGGCGTGGTTGACGCCTGCGCGTCCTCCGATTACGACGCTCCGCCGCCCATTGGCTCGCCGAGCCTCTTGCGATGATGACGCGCTCCGGGGCAAAGGGGAGGCGACGGGAGAGCTGAAAGAGGTGGCGAGTGAAGGCGGAGGGGGCGGGATTCCCGGAGGCGCCGGCGGCACCGTGGGGACTCCCTCCCTCCGACCCCCCTCAGCGCCGGACACAGCTGGGCAGCGGAGTGAAGGCCGTCCGGTAAGCCGGGCTGAGGGGCTGGGGGGCTCCGGACTGGGGCGCCCCCTGAGGAGCGGGCGGCGGGGCCTCGGCCGGCTTCGCTGCCGGCTGACATAGGCCGCGGGGTGGGGGGTGCGACCTCCGACCTCCTCGCTCAGGGCCTCCTCAGGCCGCGGGGGTCGTGGTGCTCGCGGGGCGCTCTCTGCCGGTTGACCTCGATTTCCTGCACTTGAGCCCCTCCTATTGGGCGCTGCTGCTGACCTTGGGCAAGTCACTTATCGCCTCTTCTCTCACCCCGGGAGCTGTAGTGATAAGTGGCTGCGAACGCCTTTCGGACTCTCGCGAAACGCCCAAGAGTTTTACTTTTTAAATAAATAAATGACCAACTCCCTTGAGTGTTGTATCCGGTACCTAATACACCTGTATAGTTTGAGTCTTTGGGTATACTGAAGTAATGGAATTATTAATTAACAAGCAAACGGTGGTGTTTTTTTAAAAGGCTTTTCTGCCTCCCTACAGACGCAAAACCAGCGAAATTTTGTGGCACCTTTTTAAAGGGCTCACGAATTTTATTACGGTGTGTGGTTTTGTGGCCTCTTAGTTGATATCTCTGGAAGTTTAAGACGAAAAGAAAGAACTTAAAAACCAAGCAACTCCCTTCCCACTCCTACCCCCCCCCAAAGTAACCAAGGTTATCATCCTAAACACACTTAACACACTGCCCTTTGGGCAGCCTGGCTTACTTCTGAGTAAACATGGACCTGCCCTTGGTTTTCCTCACACATTTGGGTAGTCTTAATTGCTAATCATCACTTTAGGAGATGGCTCCTGCTTCCCAAATGGTGACAACACTTGAGGTGAAAAGCACTGGTCATGTTTTTGTAAACTGCTTCACAGCTGTTAGCAGAATTTGAGGAAATGAAGTGTTAAGTAGTTTTGAGGACTTCCATTTCAATAAACATGCAGAGGGCTACTTGTGAATCTCAACATTTCTATTGAGAATGTCAGTTGCCTGCGTATTTTGTACTGTACACTAGGAGTAAACTTGGACAAGAAAATGAAACTGATAAAATACTGATGTGAGAAAATACAAGTACAACCAGAGAACTATTTTACTCTGGTGGGGAGTGTGCTAGGCTTAAAAAGTAACTATTATGGACAAGGCTTGGTATCAACAATTGTGTACTTGTGTCTGTTGGCAGAAGGTACAGCTTACACATATTTGAAATATTTGTAAATGACAACTGTTTGCATGTATTTTATATTTGGAAATACTGCTTTACTCAGAAATCTTAACACACCTGGCCTTTTGTAAAATTGGTACTGCAATATTTTCTTGAGAATGTGCAAAACTAATGTTCAAAGCCTATGCACTCCTTGGAGTAAGTGTAATTGAACTTAACATGAATAAGTATGTGTATCATAAATGAGAAGTTAATCTACCTAGTTATGGACTCTTGAGCAGATTCTAGAATAGTAACTTTTTGGCTGCAGTGGCAAAAAAAATCAATGACCGTTTGGCACACCAGAGACCAAGGCTACAATCTTTTTCAGAAACTAAAAAGAAGTGTACAACCAACTTCACCAAAACAAAATAAAACAATATTTTAAACCTCTATATTCTCATATATGAAACATAGTGTATCTGAAAAGTACAGTGTCACTCAAAGGATTGACAAAACAGAAGTTAAATAATGTCCTTGCAGTGGCTTGCAACATTGTTTTCGTGGCTTTTGTCACAAACAGTTAACCTTTTTGGTGGCTTGTATCCATCACTGCTGTTTGTTGAATTAAATCTTAGTGGCTCATAGAAAGGCCCAAATGTGGCCCTGACTTCAACAGTCCTTGTATTCACGTATAGGTTTAGGATTCTCCCACAGTGGGCATCTAATTATTTATAGCTTTGTTACCAAGAAACATATTCCTTGTTTATAAAGAAACTGCATAAAGGGTAACTTCACATCTTAACACAAAAGTAGTGGCAGGAAGTATGAGTGACTCATGTCTCCCCCCTTCTCACACTTTTTGAGTAAGTAGACTTATTATTTCTCCTATCACGCGATGCACAGCTCCACAGTAGCAGTACACAAGTTGATTGCATAGGAAGTTGTCACTTGTGTAAAAACATAAAAAGCTATCCTAAGTTGTTTACAAACCACTCTGTTAATAAGGCTAAGTGACTGTATTCTGTTCTTAGTGGAAATCATATCAGCATATCAATGAGAGCCTAAATTTTAACAGGATTAATGGAACAGCAAAAAATTGGTTTATGATGAGTAGTTAAATCAGGACCAAAATATATATACTGAGCAATATTGTGAACTTTCTTTACCATAAAGACTGGAGCTCAGAAGAGCCACTGCCAGTCAGTGTGAACAGTACTGAGCTAGGTGGATCAATGGTCTGACTCTGTATAAGGTAGCTTCCTGTATTCACAAGTCATGTGAATTATTTTTGTGTCATGTTTTCACTTACCTGCCATGTAATACTCAAGAGTCTAATGCGGCTGATAGGTAACAAATCACCTTTGATCTTAATCTTATGTTCCCAGTTTCTCCTAGGGGCGAAGAGAACTAGAAGTCACCTGCTTCCTGGCAGGTTTTCATTTGTCTTAGAAGGAAAACAAGCACGGGACCTTTTCTTTATCCAGTTTAGCTAACACTTTTAATATCAGAGTAGCACTGCCGCAGACCCTTTCAACTAGGATGCTTGCATGGCCTGATCCCTTTTTCCAATGGCAGACTTCTCTTACCACTGAGAGGGAGATCCAAAAACATCCTTTGGCATCTTTCAGAGACTATAAGATTGCACCATATGTGTTGCATATGTTTATTCACTGCTCAGACTGTTAAGACTTACAGCTGAGAGATTTCATCATGTGTTCCTTGGTCAACAGTTTCACTCAAATGACAGAGATGTTGAGTCAATCAGATGACCTACATTCTGCTGACCTGAAAAGGTGTGGAAGTGAAAAGAGAATAAATATTGTTAAGTATTTTTAGTGAGAAATGAAATATTGCTAAGGATTATTATATGAGGATTCTTATTAATACCTGTATCCCTGTTCACATAGAGGGCAGGCATCCCAACGGCTGTATAATTATTATTTTTATTATTACTCACCCTTCACCAGCAGTAGATCTCCCAGTCACCTATGCAGAGGGATGAAGGTGATCTTCCCTGGCAAGTCACCGCATTGCAGGGAGTGGAGCAGGGGAGGCTTTGGGCCTGCTAGATACAAAGCCCTCCAGGTCTCCCAGCGAGCTCCCCGAATGCAGGAAAAGTAAGTGAGGCCTGACTCTAATATATTATTTCAGTCCCATTGGGAGCAGTGGGAGAGAAAATCCATAAAAAGTTAAGGAGGAACCCTCTCTCCCCTGTATACACACACACATTGTGCCATGCTGGTATGAGCCGGGCACAGCTTTTGATTGGGCAGCTTTTTCACCTTCACATCTTCCCCTTCTGCCTCTCCTGCACTCCCTTTGCTCTGCTCATTCATTGTTAAGCAGTAACTTGTGTATGCATAGCCAGGGGAAGGGAGTGCTATTACACAAGAGTGTCTGGAACACTTTGCCACCAGTATTGAAGACTCTTTGGGACAAATTTTAGGTGAAAGGGTTGTTGACTTTAGTTGCATAAAGCACTCGAAATGAGCTTGCCGAGCACTATTTAAAAAGCTTGCTTACCAATGTGTACAGTGCACTGGACTTCTGCCTGTGTGTTGCCTCCATTTTTAAAGAGGTGTTTACATTTCTCTTTGGAAATAAATCCTCACCCGCTTTAAAAAGTAGTAGTCCATATTGGCCAGTTGGCATAAAGTATTCCACTAAGAAATTGCAACTCAGCTATTACTTGTTGCATGTTTATGGATCCAAGGCTGTTTGGTCTGAGTTCTAGCCCCTTCTCTGCATTCTGAGATGTCTTGAGTACTTTGTTTCTGAAGGTGCCCAGCCTGCCATGTCCACCTCTTAGTTAACTTGGATGTTTCAGAGTTGAAATTAAAGATCTAATAAATGTTTAAGTTAAAATAAAATGATTTTGCTTTTGCCAGCCTACAGTCCTACATAAACAATAGGTGGAAACACATAGTTCAGTTGTATGCATGTTTATCTGTAAACACGTGGTCTTTGAGCATTTTTGCATTGGAAAACTTACTCCTGTTTCACTGTCACGGGATTGTTGTCAGAATGATAGTTAAGGGGTGCTGCTAACAGCAGAGAACTCTGCCAGAACTAGTAGGCCTCAAAGAAATATTGGTCTCTCCTCCTCTGCCCCCTCCCCCTTGCTGAACCACTGGCAAGGAATTATATTGTACTAATATGAAAAGTCAGATGAAACCACTATATTTTTCTACCCTAGGTAAGTAAAGGAAGTGGATCATGCTGCTGGGCATTCCCTGAAATTTAGGCAATGTGGTGTAGTTGTTAGAGGGCAGTCCTACATCCATCACTGCCTCATCTCACTCATCCTACCTCATGTGGGTAGTATGGGCATGCATGGGTCATCCCTCTAAAATGGATGTAGAAGTATTGTCCTTAGAACAGCCCATCTTAAAATTCACAAAGACTACGGTCTATGTTTCTAAATACAGCTCTGAAAGGAGACTCACTTCTCTGCAAAAATACCCTCTGTATTTAGGTAAGGACATATTCCCACCACACTACTCTTTGCTGTTTTGCTTTGACTGCTCTAAAGTATTAAAATATACTTGAATACCGGAACATCACTTGACTATATTTACAAAGTCATGCAACAGATATAGATACCTTCTCTTCCTCAATAATCCTGTTGGTCAGGTTCTACCTGTGTCCTTAGAGCTGGGTGAGCGAAATAAGATGTCCATAGATATTCAACTGAGTAATTTTCAGATATGTATATTATATATTTGGTTGGCTAAGGCTTACAAGGAAGCATATTTTGGATTAAGTAAGCCCACATTGTACAACTAAGTATCCAGTTTTACAACAATGTCACTTTTAATTACTGTATAGCACTGTGGTGGTGTAATTAAAGTAAACAAATATAATAAAGAATTGTTGGGTACATGCATACAGCACGTTCAGTTTGAAGTGTAGGCCTATTAAAGGAGCTGTGATATTTAATGGGCATGCCGTATGCAAATTGAGATTAAACTTGTCCAGTATATTGTAGGGGAAAAACAGCTTGGCAGCCAATGCAGTTTTGCTGTAGGTGGAGTTTTGGCTTTTATCTCCTGAAGGATCTGGGCATGGGTTGGTAATCTCTTCCACGGTGAATGCCAAGCTCAGTTTTCCCTGAACTGGGTTAAAGTGCAACATCTTGCCTGTATCTGTTTGTCAAGATAGCAGGGGTAAGAAACTCTGAAAGTTCTACTTGCCAGGATTGTGTAGCATATAATAGATGAAACACTTGTGTTTCATGTTACCCTTATGTCTTGTTTTATTGGAGTTTAATATTCAGTCTGTGGTTTAATTTCTTAAACTGTAGTCCTTTGTATTTACCATGAAATAATTTTTGTTGAAATTGGTATAATTTACTTCTCAGTAAATGTGGATAGGGTATGATTGTTAAATGTTTTACCTAACACTTAGTGCAAACTGCAGGGTGGGTTTGGTAGCATTGTGGATCTTATTCATTTATGAAATCTTATTTGTATACTTCAAATATTTAAAAGTTTTGAATTGCCAGAGAGAATTTTGGTATTTTGGCCTTTTGGGTGATGTGGTGTAGGATAGTGGCATTTTGTCCTTCTCCAGCATGATTTTTCTTATTCATTACACCAAAAGCTACACTACTACTGAATATCTAAGCCTCAACACTTGTAATGGACATCCATTTATGTAGTATGTAGATAGGCTTTGACTTATTTGTATATCCTTCAAGGCCATTAAATGTTCAGTAGGGAGTAAACATGATTCTGTAGTGCTCTGACCTGGATCAACTATCCCTAGTTTTCTTTATTCAACAATCTGAAATGCTTCGCCTTGCATAGTTAAATATGCATTGGATTCTGACATATATTAATTCTATGCAGAGTCATAGTAGGACAGAACTACGAACATTCTGTGGTTACACAGACTTTTGAAGCTTATTCCAGGAGTGTCTCTGTAGATTTTATGTATAGTTTGTAATATGGGATTTGTAAATAGTATTTATATGGTAATTGGGCTGTGCTTTCAGTTGCATTTCTTGAAAAACTGGTAGGGAAATTAATAGGGAATGGCTTACTCAGTTGTTTCTTCTGAGCTATGACAACAACAACAACAACTTCATTATTTCTACCCCAGCCAACTCTTGGCGGCTATATCTGCGATACGTCCCATACTTTAAATGCCTAGCTTTATAAATTGCATGCCACTGGCATGCAATCTAAATTCTTCTAAATTCTAAACTTCTAAATTCTGGCATTTTGCTTGTCTCCCTTAGTGGTCACAATCTCTCATCTGCTTTACATGTAAATGTACATGATTGGATGTATGCATCTTTGAGTTGGTCTGATGGACTAGCAAATGGATTTTAAGAGCCCTATGCTACTTGAAGAGCATAGACAACTGCCAAGGACTTACTACCCACAAAATGCTCAAGCTTTCTTAGAGTACAAATGATAATTGTCAATATCATAGTTCTATTTTTTATGATAATATTATTTCTTGGAACTCATTGAGCCAAGTTGTAATCTTTGCATTAAGGCCAATGTGTACCCATGTAAAAAGCCACCTTGTCTTTTTGTGTGTGTGTCCTCTGTAGCAAAATGCTGCTCTAAAAAAGGAAATGAGACAACGTTGCATTCTTAAGGGTTGACTTTACTCTGGCTTATGTGGTACTTCAGGCTCTATTATTCTGAAAATAGTCACGTTTGTCAACAGTTCAAACATGGCTGTGACCAGAGTGCTATTCTTAACCTTGACTGTCTCTTGACAAATACCGTATTTTTTGCTCTAGAAGATTCACTTTTTCCCTCCTAAAAAGTAAGGGGAAATGTGTGTGCGTCTTATCGAGCGAATGCAGGCTGTGCAGCTATCACAGAAGCCAGAACAGCAAGAGGGATTGCTGCTTTCACTGCACAGCGACCCCTCTTGCTGTTCTGGCTTCTGAGATACAGAATATTTTTTTTCTTGTTTTCCTCCTCCAAAAACTAGGTGCGTCTTGTGGTCTGGTGCATCTTATAGAGCGAAAAATACGGTACTTTTCCTTCAAACTTCTGCTCACATAATCATATCTGAATGGAGTAAATCTTTATATTTGTTTCATGCTTAAATTAGAGTTATTACAATGTTAATTATAGACTGCTGTGCATTTGTCATGGAAAATGTTTATCCCACAGGTTTTGATCGAAAGGTAAATGTTGTGCCATGACCGTGTTATGTCTGCTCTGGTACTTAAATGAAATAGGTTTTGTGTTTAGCTACAGAGAGTAGTAATACAGAACTGCAACCACTCTTAATTGTAAATCTCAACATTTATCAATCATGTAATTAAATGTCATCCAATGGATAGCATGAGTTCAAGTACAACAACATCCCCCCCCCCCCGCCCCCATATTTGCGTCAGCACAGAACTATTGGCATACTGAAACAGGACTTTGGGTTGGGAAGCAAAGAAAAATCGACAGGATTTGGGATTTGATACCAGACAGCCAGAGAAGTGCTGAAGGCTAGAGGAGTGATTCAAAATTATAGTTCTTTTGTGTTTTTATGATTATAACTTTGACATCCTATATTGACTTTTGCTGCAAATATTTGTACTAGAAGGCTAGGAGGGATATATTTTGATAGATACACAATGAACTATCTTTCACTGTGACCGCAAACATTTATATACACAAAACAAGAGAGCCTGAAACTTCTGAGGCGGAGGTTTTCAACCTTTTTGAGTCCACTGCTCCCTTAACCAACTACATGCTTTCTGTGGCACCCCTGTGGGGCTCAGGAGCCCAGTTATGTCACCCCTTGCTTGCAGAGCTGGCAGCCTCTCACCCTTTTTTGAATACCCTCCCTTGTGGAGTGTTCCCTCCGCCCCCTCCCCTCTCTTTGGGAGACCTCTGAGCAACTGCTGCCACAGTCCCTAGTCTGTGAGCTGCCTCCCCCCCCCCCCGCCTCAAAGAGCTTATAGCCAGGGCTACTGCAATAAACAGTTGTGCAAGCCTTTGGGAGGCAGAGATGTGAGGGGGCATCAGGAGGGAGGGAAGGAAAGGGGGGCAGAGACCAGTGTTGCTGCGGCACCCTGACCATCATTCAAGGCACCCCAGGGTGCCACGGCACACTGGTTGAAAACCACTGCTCTGAGGAATATTGTAAGGCCATGCCTGTGAATCTTCCATTGGTGTTATTGCTCACAGCCATGCCATATTTGTGCTGCCTAAAGTGTTGTTGTTTTTTAGGTGCACCAATTGATTCTTATCTTGATCTGGAATGTGTATATGGGATTAATGTTCAGATAGCATCACTTAATATATTTTCAAGAATGCCCTTCTTCAACTGTAACATTATATTAGAATGACATTATATGGTTCACCCTGTACCAATGGACATGACTTGTACTAATATTAACTTGTGTATTTATCTTTGTGATTCAGCCCTCTTCCATACAAGATTCTAATTGTCTGAGAAATCTATTATATAAACCACATATCTTATCTCTTGTGTAACTCTACTGCATAAAAAGTACAAAGGGCAGACCTTTTGTAACTCTGAATTTGCAAACCCAAGTTATAACTAAAATTAGCACATGACCTCACACTTGTAAGCAGAGCAAACACAGGTCTATATCCGATTCCACATGAAAAAGTTACTAGTCTATAATGGCTACATTGCTGGACAGTCACACCCCTTAATTGCTGTATATTTCTGAACTAGTTGTTCAAGGTCTGTTGTTGCATACTCTGAAGTTGCTCTGGTTGCATCACTGTGGTATTAAGATAGCTAGTTAGTGAGTTTTAAGATGCTTATACTCTCTTCCCGTAATGGTCAATAATGGCAGTAACTGTTACCAGTAAGTAGGGAACAGGAAAGCATTTTTGGAGCACTTTTCAATGCACATTCCTTCTACCAATCATACAAACTTGTGGAAAGGTGAGCTGGTGTTTTTCTAGCCTTGTGTTTCAGTTAACATGGGTGATGTAATCTCACTTATCTGCTGCTACAATCCTTGGTTGTATAACTTAAAATGACTGTAGCACACGGAAGAGCATTTCCATGACCAAAGGTGCATATGTGCTTCTAGTGCTAAAGGTTAAATATTGTGTGCACCTCTGTTTACTGCTGACATTATCTGGCAGAAAGGTAATAGCTAACAAGAAAGCCCTGAAATGGAACGCTGAAGGCTTTGGATCCAAAGTTCTGCAGATCTCCAAGAGATCCTCAGCTACACCAGCCCTGGTGCTGTCATAGTGAAACTCGACCCACCTTCCGCCCTGGCCAGTATGAGTTGACAGGGCTTGAGATAGTGTGTGTGTGTGTGTGTGTGAGAAAGAGACAGACAGACACACACACACACACACACACACACACACACTATACACTACTAAGAACTGTTCTGTAAATAATCTCCTGGCTCTCAAAAGAAACCTCAAACACAAATTATAGAGTTGGAAGGAACCCCAAAAATAATCTAGTTCAACCCCCTACAATGCAGAAATCCTGCCCATAGCCATCCCTGGGTGGGCTTGAGCCACTAACCTTCTGGTTAACAGCCAGGCACACTGACTGTCCATATTGCCATTGCATTTTATCAGAGGCCATGTTGTATGCAAGTTCTGTGTTGGAAACAACTGTGGAATTTTACTAGTCCCTGGACACCTTTATTTTTGTCTGTTAATACTTTGTTGTCTGCCTAGGCAATTTGCTGTTTGAAAAACTCAGCTATTGTGTTTATCAGCAGTTTACAGGTAACAAAAAGCAGCTGTTGGGGACACATATTCTGTCTGCTGGAGTCTTGGTATTGCTGATATCTCTTTGTTAGCAAAGTGTTACTTTCCCCATTGACAAAAAGGAACTGTACACATTCTCATTGTTACATTGAAAGTGACCTCAGATGGGCTCCTCTCCATAAAGCAGAAAGACCTAGGAATGCTTGGTATTAGTATGTCAGGCATTAAAGTTTCCCCCAGGAGACTGGACTTTATTTGCAGAAGAAAGGTTGATGGTTGTTGTTTTTATATAAAATAGTTAAGCATCTTGGTGAATTGCATGATTCTCTAAGGGCTCTCTGCTTTTTGAATGTAGTGCATGATGCCGCTTTTATTAGTGCTCTAGTTACAGTAATGTCCTATTGTTAGAGCATTTGAACATTTCATGTAGGAATAAAATTAGAAATGCTTTGGAAAAAGCTCTTTAGACTTTAGACTTAGGTTATTAGGTTGCCATAAACAGAAAAACCTCCACCCACCCAGAACACTCTTGCCCTCATAGAGTATGTGTACGTACGTTTGTGTATATAATCAGGCAACCACAGTATTAAAATCTTGAAATACATGGTTAGTGTATTCTTCTTTGGGCTTTTTAGTTTTTCTTTTGGTTTTTAGCTTTTCACGGAAAGCTTCACGATGTAGGTAGCTGTAGTTCACTTTTCATAAATCCCATTGCTGTTGGGACATGTACCTGGGATTCTAGATTTGGTTTTAAGGATGTGTGAGCTGCCTAAATCATGGTGGTCTCCATGCTCTTCTAAGAGTAAGAGTAGGCATTGTAAATAGAAATTGCACAATGCTTTTATGGCATAGTGGGGAAATAAAGTGTGAAAAATCTGGTTGTGTAATTTAGAGATAATTGCCCACTTCTACTGTGTTAGCAACTAACTTTATGGGAGTCTCTCTTTGGAATTAGCAGTGTTCGAAACTCCCACTGTTCTAGGCGCATTTTACGACAAGGAATTTCATTAGCGTGTGCAGTTTCTGAGCTTTGGGCACAGTACTGCACCTAAGATTTCAGATTAAATTTGTAGAGTGGAAGGAAAGGAGGACCTTTTTCTGCCTCCCTACTTCCTCTGAAGAATGGAAAAGAGACTCTTTTAAGAATATTAGGGGGACGGGCAGGGGAAGCATGGCTTTGTTACTGTAGTCTTCAGATGAGGACTAGACCATGTGAAAAATGAATATAAGATTTTAGCTGAAGATAATTAATTTTCAGCTTTGTATTCTTGTTATAAAAAGGGCGCCTAGACATTCCGTTGCTGTGCACATAACCTAGGTTTAAGGTGCCATTTTAGCTTCTAGATTTCATAACTCAGTTTCTAACACTGGGAATTAGTTGTGTGTAACCCCAACACTCTCCGTTCCCTTCTAAAATGGACTGGCAAACCTTTCCATACACCTGCCTACTATAGCCAGTTTTTAAAAATGGCTCTCACCCTCGTTGAGGGTCATAGGCCTGTCTCGTGCAGTGCCTGGCCTACAGTTCTATAGCCTAACTGACAGTGTGGAGCATCCCTGACCCTGTTGTCTCCTTGAAATTATGACCCAAAATGGCAAACCCATTTGGAGTCGAGCCCACCGCCCATGGCAGGAGCTGCTGTCATAGTATGACAGGCCCTGGACCACTCCCCAATCCCAGAGCTGCATTCATCCAGCCAGCAATTAAACACTAATCTCCACTACAAACAGCACACTCTTACCTGCAGCTGGATGATGCACAGATAACATTCAGTCAATATACAGGGTGAGTCCTTTAAAAGAGGGCCCATGGATACAGAGTACACATGTTCCACGAGGTCTCTTTTAAAAGACTCACCCTGTATAATTGAGGGATGATATAGTGGGGTGTCTGTTAATCTGCCGTTTAAAAAGCTAATTGATTAAATTTGCATATAAGTGAAACCTCAAGAGCCATAAGACTTGAGAGAAAACTTAAAATACAAAAGCTGTCCATCAGTGTAAAAGGCCTTTTTCTGTATTTAGTTTTTTATTCCAGTATGTTAATACAGCAAGCCTGCAATGTACACACATTCAGCTTTATGTATGACATGGCAGAAAGGGGGCAGGGTTTCAGGAATAATGGCTTTGGCAATCCCACTTGCTACTGAACCCAATGGATTTTGACTATAGACAATTTTGGCTTTAGGTGTGATCCCCAGATCATAGCCCCCATATAAATTGCAGGCTTACTGTACACCAGAACAACCTTGAACAATGGTTAGGTGTCTTCCCTGACTCATCATTAAAATTGCCCTGCCTGATTAATCAGTTAAAGCTTCTTACTAATTAAAGCTTGAAGATTAGTTACAAGCTATAAAGTCTCTGCAAAACCTTTGTCTTCCATTTGTGACATGCACATAGAATACAGAAGTGGAGACCATTCAAGATAATTGTTTAAGCTTATGTCAGCTGAGTACAAGATTTTCCTATCAAAATGATGACATTTACAAGTATTTCGGACTAGTCTTTGGTAGTCTTCACTCCCTTTAGGAGGTGTATAAGACACATGCTTTGGTGTGTTGACAGAACCTTGTGCTATAACCTCTAGTCTTGTGATTATGCTTAACTGAGAACCAAATGTCAAGAAAGGGTTTGCAGTGAACAGTATCCACATTGTTTTGCAGTGGTTTGGTGCTACATATTAAAAAGCTCTGTATTTAAATTGAATCATGGAATTGGTAATTTTTACCTTTCATAACACCACAGATGCTCCTCTAAAGGTTATTTACTTCAGTCCTAAGGTAAAGGTAAAGGTAAAGGTACCCCTGCCCGTACGGGCCAGTCGTGTCCGACTCTAGGGTTGTGCGCCCATCTCACTTAAGAGGCCGAGGGCCAGCGCTGTCTGGAGACACTTCCGGGTCACGTGGCCAGCGTGACAAGCTGCATATGGCGAACCGGCACCAGCGCAGCACACGGAAATGCCGTTTACCTTCCCGCTATAAAGCGGTACCTATTTATCTACTTGCACTTACGGGTGCTTTCAAACTGCTAGGTGGGCAGGAGCTGGGACCGAAAGACGGGAGCTCACCCCGCCGCAGGGATTCGAACCGCCGACCATGCGATCGGCAAGCCCTAGGCGCTGAGGTTTTACCCACAGCGCCACCCGCGTCCCATTACTTCAGTCCTGGGGAAATGCAAATTCTCCATGATTGGCTTTCAGCATCTTCAAAAGTGACTATAAGTTGGATGTTAACATAATTATAGGCTGGCATGTTTATCAATGACAGTTTTGTTTCCTTTTTCAGGACTAGCCAATCTGTCATCGCTTCTTGCTGGAGAAAATAAGAACCTTTCTTGAGAAGACCCTGGTCTCATGAACGAATCAACGGATCTCGGGAATGGCAGCATTCTGGAGCCAGCACTACGGCTCAGGAAGGGACACATGCCCAATCCTGCTGGGCAGGAAAGCCTTGATAGTGACCAATCCAGTGAGCAGGGGCCCCTCCTAGTGGAGCCACCTGAATCTTCTGAACTGGAAAAGGTAAATAATAATTGGTACTCAGAAATCTAGCCAGGGAGTTGCATCAAATGTCCTTGAACAACTTAGGGATAAGTTAACAATTATAGGGGTATGGTTTTTTTCAGAGAAGGCAATTCCACAGTGTCCAAGACCCAGGCCATTACGGGATTTTAAACACAACAACACCCCAGCATCTTGAATTTATCCCAGAAATGAACACATAACCAGTGATTCTGTTACTGTGTGTCAAATATGCTTCATGTTGGAGAATCTTGACAAGTCTTACCACTGTGTACTGGAGCAACTGAAGTTCTTGAACTGTCTCCAGGGGCGACCCTGCACAAGAATCTCAAAAGAAGGTGAACTGATTACCAGGGCTTATAATAAGTTGTAAGGGTTTTGAGAGAGGGCCACAATCGGTCTACCTCCAAAGTTGCTGTAAAGTCCTCTGTCACAGGCTGCTACCTAGGAATCCAAGAGGATTGTTGGATCCAAGAGTGTTTGGTTTGGCCTCCACATATGAACACAGGGTGCAAGTAGAACAGCACCTCCTTCAGTTGTGTGATTGGGAGAAAACCCAAGAAACAATAACCCTTCAATTCAGCTTCCTTGTATCAGTTCTAGTTGACGTACCAGTATATAAACACACACACAAAGCAGTCCAGTGATCCTGTCCTAGTTTTTCCAACACTCAGCCAAGTGATTTAGAAGGTCTGTTTACTTCCAGGCAGGAGTGTTAATGGTATCATTTAAATTCATTGCTAGGGTGATGGTTTAGCAGTCAGTATCATAATGATTATAAGGTGCTTAATAAATGTACTTGGCTTTCTAATCATTACAGGAAACCCCCCTTTTCCTCCTTCCCCCAAATGGGAAGAGAACATATATTTTTGTATGATATGTAATTAAGTATAAGAGCTTTTGTAAGTTCACTCTGACTTTAAGTTCTGTTTGGGACCACTGCTAAGGTTTGGGTGGCATAATACATTGGCACAAACAAATATTACATGTATGTGGAATTGCCTAAAAACTTTGTAAAAGAAAAAAGGTAACTGGCTTCAGGTTCTGTTTCTAACGAAATGTCTAATGCCAATGCTTTGATGTAGGGTTCATTTAAAGCCTGTTGTGCAACTTCTTAGAATGAAAATAGTTCACTGGCAGATGAACAATTTTTAAGAGTCTGTTCTGTGGGTAACTGTTATCTGGGTGACTTTAGACTGCTGAGCTTTGAAGCCTGTGTACAGTTTTTAAGGCCACCTAGCAGTTTGAACTGCCCACCTAGCAGTTTGAAAGCATGTCAAAGTGCAAGTAGATAAATAGGTACCGCTCCAGCGGGAAGGTAAACAACATTTCCGTGCGCTGCTCTGGTTCGCCAGAAGCGGCTTAGTCATGCTGGCCACATGACCTGGAAGCTGTCTGCGGACAAACGCCGGCTCCCTTGGCCAGTAAAGCGAGATGATCGCTACAACCCCAGAGTCGTCCGCGACAGGACTTAAAGGTCAGGGTCCATTTACCTTTTTTTATATAGTACTTGGTAGCTTGTACTTGCTAAAATGAATACTACTAACACAGCTGGAGTAGTGTAGATTTATATAACTGGTTTAAACAGAATTGATCTGCTAAATACAGTGGTCAGTGACATGTTTTGGCTGCATTCCTGTCACACCTGGTGGTGAAAATGGACTGGATGTACCCATCCTTACTAATAAATTTTGTGCAGGTGCAGAAAAGAAGTGGCTAAGAGCACAGGAAATAAGCACTGAATTAGTAGTTAGAGAAAGCAAACTTAAACAAAGGAATGGATGCTTCAAATGGAGGGGGCAAGCTTTTGGTTTGTGGGATCTACTCTTTCTTTTTCTTTTGCCACATCCAGTCACTACTGGGAGTGGCTCCTTGGCGACAGAGCTAGTTTTGATTACTAGCTGCATCTTCTGATGAAACCATACACTGAAGTGGTCTGCTTGTACGGTAACACAATTTACACCTGTGTTACTTTATTTATACTTTTCCCTTTTCCCTGACAGGACTCTCAAGGCAGCTTACAGATAAAAATAGGAACTGTTTAAAACATAGAAAAAACAATCTATAATAAACAATTCAACACTGATGGAATTAAGACTATATACATATATAAATCTATTAACATTATACAAATAATTACGAAAAAAATAGCACGGTGCTAGCGCTTTCATTAAAACTAGTCATTTCCCAAAAGCCTGTTGGAACAAGAAAGTCTTCACTTGCTGGCGGGAGGACAACCAGGAGAGAACCAGTCTAACTGCTCTAGGCAGGGGGTTCCAAAGTCTGTGAGCAGCCACCAAGAAGGCCCTTGGTTTTATTAACACCAAGCTCTAAAATGACTACATAAAACCTGGTTACAGTGATTATTATTGTTTATATTGTTCTAAGTGCAGAAAGGATACCTTTTAGAAGTTCTCGCCAACCCTCCATTCTTGGATACATCCTCCCCACCCTGATTAGCCCAAGTGAAAGTATCTGATACTTACTAGTAGAAAAGGAAAGAATGAAAGCAGGCATGCTTCATTTTGATATTCTTGCAACCTAATCCTATGCATGATTCCAACAGGCACTCTCAGAACAGAACCATTATTATTAAATACTGTTCAGGCCTTTTCAGAACCTCGGTCTTGTAGATCTGCTATACGTGGAAGTGTCACAGGATTTTCAAGTGAAAATAATGCTCAGAACCCTCCTTCCCCCTCCCTCGCCTCCCATCTTGCACACAAATGAGAGTAAGCTGCCTTGAATTCAGCATAACTTATTACTGAGTGAAATATATAGGATTGTGCACTCTTAATCCTCTTTCTCTTTCCTCCCTCCCCCTTCATTATCAAATGAAAAATACACCATTAAGTAAGAGATTCTGGATCTACGACTTTAGTAGGCAGTCTCGGCCGAAGTGAGAGGTTGAGGTGTTACAGAAGGTTTTCAACTTTAGGAAGGAACGTCAGATCAAAAGCTGCCTTATACCTGGCCCATGCTATTATGTTGTCTTCCTCCTTCCTCCTTGGAAATTTGTCTGCACTGCTTCCTTTCTTCACTTTGCCACTGCATAATCACTTTGTGCTGCTCCTTCACAGGCCCGACCCAGAATAAATGGCACATGCACAGTGATGCTAGCTGCTGCTGATCCTTCCCATAGACTTGAGCTGAATGGGCTAGCCTGTGATAGTAAGGCAAGCTTGTGGGAGCTGGGTCTAAAGTGGCCCTCTAATTCTCCCGATTGATCTTGCCTATCCATCTTCAAGACAGAAATATTAACCGTAAAGCATTATGAGTATTAACAGTGTTGTGACAATGCTAGACCTGTTTCCTTTGAAGTGTCTGTTTGGGGGGGGGGGGCACATCATGGTGATGAAAAGCTCTTGTATCAGAATTTTTTATCAGCACCTTTTTGTTAATTCCGACAATTGGCATTTTTTCTGGAAATGTCAGTTATTCACATTGCGTGTCTAAGCACTGTGAAATGCATTTGTATTTGGTACTGCTTGTGTGTTCAGTTTCAGTTTTCTCCTTTTCTATGGAGAAATAGTTTGGCAAGTTTTTATTCTGAAGTCTGTCATGCTCAGCATGTTTACTTAAAATACGTTTTGAAATCAGCAAGGCTTCCTGTTTTAAAGCTGAGTGACGCTTATTGGATCACATTTACCCTACCTTGTGTCTGTTTCCCTCTGACGGAGGAAAGCACATCTTTTCCACAGTGGTATTGGAGTACTTCTCCAAGAAAGAAAGCCTGTGGGGTGCCAGGTGATAATTCAGACTGTCTTCAGGCATGCAAATGATAGTTGGATTATTTATTGTACACATTTTTATTTTCACTGTGGTGGATGCAAATCTTCTAGAGGAACCTTTGCTAACCTAGTGCCCACTTGACATTTTGCCCAGTCAGCATGCTGGCTGGGGCCAATGGGAAATTTAGTCCTAAATGTATGGAGGGCACCAGGTTGGCAAAAGTTGCTCTAGTGAATATTCACGTTTTCTTAAGCTGTTGGTGCTTTTTTCTGCCCTGTGCCGGACTGTCTGGCCTCCTTCATGGCATTTATCTTCCTTTGCCCTTTGCTATTTGAATGGTTGGAGTGTCTTTGTTCTCCCTGCTGTTCTTCAGTCACTGATATCTCCTAAAGAAATGGTTCTCACTGTGACTTTGTTAAACTGACACAATCAAATGCATGTGACTTTTATCACCTGATGAATGGGCTTTTTATGTACAGCCCTGAAAACCTGCACTTGACTCTCTCCTTTTTTTCTATAATCCTCCAATGACAGAGAGGGAACAAAAGGCTGTTTTCTTCACATTTCCCCCCCAGCTCCCACAGCCCTCTGCTCTTGATTGATGGTGGTTTTTGTCTAAAAGTTCCTGCATCTGGGGTGCTCTGTGCACTTGCAGTGTGTGGCCTAGAAGCGTGTCTGTGAAATTTTGGGTCCTTTGCTCTGAAGCATTTGGTACTGTGCAGAGGATAATGAAGCGCAGCACTTGACTCTTCAGTCAGTGGAAGGCTTCTTCATGGCAGATACCCAGCTGGAACATTTGTCAAGCAGCCAGGGCCTCCATGACTCTTGAATTCAGCTGTTTGACCTTTTGGAAAGAATCCATTAGTCAGCCTACTTTGAAAGTGAAAAAACTGTGCTCAAGCATAGTAAAAATGGGAAGGAAAATAATAGAAACCAAATAAAAAATACTGACATGAATACTTAAGGACAAGGGATTTAGAGTTCATCCTTAAGGAAAGGCATTGGAAACCTGTTGCTTTCTTTTGCATCCTGGTGTGGAAGAGGCAGGTCAACCTGCTGTATGCCATTATGTTCTTTGTTTGTTTGTTTATTGCAACTATTGCTTTTAACTTGTTTTTAGCTCTTTGTGCTTTTACTATCTAGTTTTGTGTTTTTATATTGCTATAAACCGCTGTGATACATTTTTATGGTACAGTGGCATATAAACATTTTATTAAAACATAAATAATAAAATTTAAGAGACAAGGCACGGCAGCTGCTCATCTTTGCACCTTATTAAGGTTTAGTATTTCTGTAAATAACATGCTCAGACAATCCTTCTTTCCCTGCCTCTACGCTACATCCCACAATCTCTCAATTGCCATGTTTTCTACTTTTTTTGGTTATGATAGGACAACTTCTCCACTTTTAGATCCTGCTTTTGCATTGTTTTAATATAGTGAACTGGTTTTGGAAAGTAAACGCTTAGAATTGTCTCAGTGTCTTGCATACAGCAAAGGCAAGTTCCATATATGCCCTTGGTCTTTTTTTCTCTTGTTGCTGCTTCTCCTCTGTGTTTTCTTTTACCCAATGAGTGATGAGCTATTGCTATTTTCATAGCAACAAATATTACTTTCTAGGATTCCTTCTCTCTGAACTTTAAAAATAATTTTTAAAGGCCAGTATCTGAAAGGTAATCATGTGTGGACACAATGCATGGTTCTGCCAATTTATTGGCTGGAAGAGGCAGCCATTTTAGAAGTAAACAGGAACTTACTCTATAGAGGTCGGTGGCGTTTTGTTTTTTTTAATAAATATTTTAATTAAGTTTTCACATAATACATCTTTAAAAGTTTTCACATAATACATGTTAAAAAAACAGGCAGGTGGAGATTTGGTGGGTACCCTTTTGTCATTATTTTTACGAGGTTTGCTATGCACTGTCCTGGACTTTTTCACTTAACATAGAAAGTTGTGTAGTGTGGTGTTGCTTGTGTAGCTTAGTCTAGACTGGCAACTGATCTTTTGCTACTGGATGGAGATGTCCAGGAGCCACACTTGGTGCTTAGCATCTCCAGCTGCCTGGCTGCAGTCAGCTCGTCTGCCGGGCACAGCGCAGCAAAAAATGCACCTTTTTTGTGCTGCCAGGTGAATCAGGTGTTTGGAAGGATAGTGCAGTAGCAAAAGACACGTCTTTTGCTGCTGCACTACCCTGCAGACCCCCTGATTCTCTTGGCAACTCCCCCCCCCCCCCGGAGCGGGGGGAAAAAAGGCAGCTAGACATTTTGTTTTGGTGCCCACAACCTAGGTCCCAGGAGCCACATGGCTCCTAGCATTCCTATCCCAGTTTCCAACTGCTGCTCATCAGTTGCTTTTATAAACCATAACTTGTTGAGATCCTAGTTCAATTGTAGGAGAAAGACAAGAAGGCATTGGGTTCATTTACTCCTGCAATGTAAGAGAGGTTACATTGCATCAAGCAAACAGATCACATTTCCATTTTCTAGCAGCAGGTAGAAGGGGGAGCTAGCAAAGGTATTTTGGCAATTACTGGTGGTGAAAGCAGGGTTTTCTGGAGCAGTATAATTTCTTATGTATCTTGTTTCCATTTAGCATGCTTCATAAGCCTGTTTTCTCTCCCTTCCCCCATATTCCCCCCCCCTTTGCATATGAAGTGTTGCTTTACTTAGCAAGTCAAATGCCAGGCAGCCTGTCACTCTCATGCACAGCTGCTTTTGGAATTAGCATATGGACAAAAGAGGTGGGGAAGAGCCTTCTTGGGCAGGTGCTGTTCTTCAGTCTGCCCAGTGTCAGAATGCCCTAGTCATTCCCCAGATAAGATGCATACACAGCCATCTCTTGCATTGCTGTTGAACACCAGCAAACAGATTTGCTGTGACCTGAAATATGTGTGAACACGCAGGAAGAAAGAATTCTTTGCAGCAAAGGAGCTCTTTAATATGCCTGCTTAAGCCCAGACACAAATTATCATAAAGCTTGTGATTTGTTGGCTTTAAGAAGAAAAAGGAAAGAAAACCTGAAATATGTAATAAGCTCTCCCATGATCAGAGAACAGTTCTGATTCCTGTTAACACATTCCAGAGGGGTAGCGGAGTTTCATGGCTGCCAACGAAAAGCTTATGCCACAATCAATCTGTTAGCCTTTAGGTTGCCTCACGAGTTTGTTGTATCTTGCAGACATCATATTTTCATCAGTAGATCCATTGTCCTTTTTCTTCATGGCACAGATCCCTCATGACTTCTGTTAAGTTCCATTTATAACTGAAGGAGACCAGTTAATGTGTGATACAAGGGCTCTAACTTCATTCTGTCTCACAATTACCCCCCTCAATGTCTAGCTCCTGCCTTTGCCTGTACTAAGCTGCTATTTATTCTTTTATTTATTTATACATAATCTGCCTTTTTCCTGACAGGACTCAAGGCGGCTCACAGATAAAAATAAGAACCGCTAAAAACATTGAAAAAACAATAATGATAAAACAACAAAACCTTGATAGAATTTAAACTATATACGTATATAAAATATATTAAAACCATACCAATAATTACAATAAAAACAGCACTGTACCAGCCCTTTCATTAAAATCAGTCAGTTCCCAAAAGCCCTTTGGAAAAAGAAAGTCTTCACCTGTTGGCGGAAGGATAACAAGCAGGGAACCTGTCTAGCTTATTTTATAAGGAGTATGTGCACACTTCAGTCATGCCAGTTCTCTCCTCTTCCCCATTTCTTACAAAGGGTTTCTGGACTCTCATAACAACTCTTATCCTCACTTCATCCCTCTCTATTCTTTTTGTTATGCCTTATCTTTTCCATTATTTTTCATCTTGTTTGAATTCTGAATGCCTTTGTCCTGAAGGCAGGGTGTTCTTTTGAGTGATGTTAGTGCTTAGTCCCATGATGGCTGTTGTCATGGGCAGTTTTTTTATACTAATGGCAGTAGAGTTGTGTCCTCAGTCATGCCATGTGTGGGGAAGCTATCTTGACTGGTATGGTAATGCCCACCAACTACTAGAGTACCATTTACACCCACACCCTTTTCTACAAATCCTAAGCGTTCTTTTAACTGTTGCACTTTGCCTGACTTGTACCGACCTTTCCCCATGAGTTTCTTTCTCCAAAAAAGCAGTGAGACTTAGTTGATCTTCTGCAATTTGCAGCATTTAAAAGACTTAATAGTTGAAGGTCAGTATAGATCACTGTGACCTTGATCACCAGTTCTGAAGACAAAATGGCTATACTCTGCATTTGACTTCAGAATAGCAATTAACTGCATCCAGATGGTCTGCTTGCAGAGTGACATGTTGCCCACTTCACCTCTATTGTGATGAGGCTGCAGAGTCCCTGGAAACAAACATGCCCATGTAGCCATTTGGCAACCAATCAAAATATCCTTGTGATCAATTAGATGAACAGCTTCCTTTCAGAGTCACATTGCTGCAACATACTGCAATCTCTGTTGTAGGCTTGAAACATTTCGCTTTGCTTCTCTTCCCCTCTTCCCGATGAACTGCATTGCAATAATTTATCTGCAAATGCAGTATTTGGGGAAGAGAGCAGAACATGGGTGACCTGTCTGTTCCTGACTTTACTATTTGTACACTTAAACAACCTACCTCTCTCGTTTTTGCCTAATTGCTTTCTGTGGCTGAAAGGAACATGTATCTGTTAGGTATTGCCATAAAGACCAATGTGAGTTTCTGTACTATAAATATCCCCAGATTAATAGGTCCCCAGATAATATGTCCCCAGACAAACTATGGAGTAGCTGGCTTAACATTATGCTCAAAGTAGTGCTTGTGGCTTTATACTTTTCAAACAAACCAGCCTAAGGCCAATGTTTGTTCTAGGCTTCCTGACTATGTTTTTTTGAAGAGAAACAAATCACAAGTGCTGGTTCAGATCCAACACTAAGCCAGCCTTCCAGCGGTCTGTTTCTCCACTCATAAGGGAGGAATGAGGTGGAAGAGCTTGAGCTAGGTACACCAGCACAAAGTATGAGCATGTTATGATTAAGACAGACAAACTCCACTTGGCTTAGCATCATGTGTGAATATGACCAGTATGGTCCAATTTCAAAAACTAACTGAAGCCAGCAGAGAAGAGGTGAAATCCTCCAAAATTGAGGTTATGGGCTAGGTGTTCAGAAACTAGAAAAACTGTGGGGGAAGGGATACTCTGCTGGCCGAATTTGAAACCTAGGGATAGCATATTAAACTTGGTTTTAAAAGGGTGCATCCTTGGTAGACAAGCTCATTGCAGTCTACAAACCGTGTTAAAGGGCTTTAATACACTTGTGGGGAGTTACTGTTTTAACAAATGTTGACAGCTAGATCCAAGTGCGTAGAGCAAAAGAACCATCTGAATCTTTAATGATGTGAATTGCTGTAGCTGCTATTCAGGCAGGTTTTCATGTAGAGTATGTGGAACCATGCTTCCATATAGTATAGAAAACTGCTTGCTTTGCTTGCTTGCTTAGGTCCTCTTTTTGTTGTCGGATCTAGTATAGTGAGACCCAAAGTTTGTGCATTATTGAAAGTGCACAAGGAATCTCCTTTCTTTGAAAGCTCTTTCTGGGTTTTAACGGTTTTGAAGTAGATATATGTTTAAGTAAAATTGCAAGCCAGCTTCCTTAGCTGTGAATGAGGAGAAGTGGAAAAGGCTCAGGAATTGTAGGCAGGGCAAACAAACACACTGTCAGCATCGCCCTTGAGCCAGTGCCACCAACTGGACTCATCCACTTCAGCCCCGACTGGGCTAGGCGAGCTGGGTAGCACTTCCAGAGACCACCTTCTGCACAGGAACAGGTCAAAGTGCTGTGGACTCACAGCTTAGAGTTGTGAGCACCGGATTCACTTCCACAAGAAGACAGTTGTCGCACAGCAGAATACAGCAGAGTCTAGCAGAGTATATAAACAACTCGGAGAGCAGCTCTGTAGAATATCTTCTTTATTCTATAACTACAAATATAATACAACTATATACAGAGCTAAATAGGTCTAAGCATAAATGAATGCTGCACTGCACTGAGTGTCTGCAGCTGCTCTTAGCAGTAACCTTATCTCTACACACGATCTCTAACACTCAGCCTCTCTCTCTCTCCCCCCACACTGACTGACTGACTGACTCGGTGCTGGAGCAGAATAAGTAGAGAGCAGAACATGCCTCCTCCTCTCTGGAGAATCAGCAGACTCCTCAGGAGATTCTTGGATATGGGAGGGGTGAAATCTCCTCACACACCCTGTCCTTTCATCTCTGCTACACTGCCTTGCATATTTTAACCAGGAAGATGCCTCTTTGTCTGATGGCAGCAATCCATTCAGTTTATCACATACAACTTTTGTAGAATAACTGGTTGCAGTTTTAGGCAGCACAATGGACTCAAGTTCGTATATTTGTATTTGCTGTTAAATTCTGAATTTTCTCAGTAAGCAGTGTGCTTGAATAAGTGTGTGCCAAGTATTCTAGAGTTGCATATACATTCTGATGGGTCATTAGTGACTTTCGAGTGGGTCTCTTAACCAATATAAAGCCTTATGTGGAGGTGAGTTCTAGCATGCGTAAGTGATGATGTATGGATGCTGGTTGCTGCTTTAGTGTGAGCAGCTTTGAATAGTACAGAATCTGTAAGCTGGGTTAGTGACCTACTCCAGTGACCATCTTAAGACCTGCTTGAGTCACTTACGTAGCTTCTCTGTTCATTCTTGCAGGAAACAAAGGGAAGGAACTGTACCCTTTTCATTTATGTTTGAACTGTTGCTTTCTCCCAGATCTCTTTTAAAACCAAAAGCAATATATTGACAGATGGGAAGATTGCCAAACTGGTGAGAAGGAGAGAAAGTAAACTCACTAAGAATTGATCTGCCTCTTTTCTCTATTCTTCCTATTACCTCCACCACCCCATCTCTTGATTTTTAACCTAGCAGCTTGGCTGTATTGCAGGTAGGTGTTTATTGTGGAAGAACAGATCCTGCTAAGATCACCTTTAGCGCACATTTGTACTTTCAATGATCTCGGATTAAATTATTTTGAATTATAGGATTTTGTATTGGTGATTCTGAATTCTCAATGGACTCAGGTCCTTCTGGCAGGATTCATAAGCATCTGATAGTCCAGTGTAAGAATGGAATGCTGGGCTACGTAAGCCTTTGGTTTGATCCAGTAGTGCTTTTCCTATGTTGATTAACTTGATTTTTTTTATAGTGAAAGCGTAGTTAGCAAAGTTTTCTCTGAACATTTAATAAGGAAGATTCTTAGCACTGTGTGGGAGCAAAACAGTGCTTAAGTGTCTAATCCATATTAAATAACATTGGGAAAATAACTAAGGATTTGTTTTCATTTATGATAGTCAATCTGAAATAAATTATTTGCTTCCTTAAAAACCTTTGACTGTCCTTTAAAGTGCATGGTGCTTCTGTACAGTATAGGTAGGATTTTGATCTTGCACTACAGTATTGTAAAACTACATTAACTGGCAGAAGATGCATAAATGACTGGAAAAGGAACTCTTTCTGTGCCAGCCTCAATGTGAGCCCCCTCAATTAAAAGTTACTAATGTTGGCTGGTACAGATGAGAAGTGACTAAGTTTCCTGGGTCATTGAAGAGGCTCTTACATGTTGGAAAGGGACTATCCAGTGCTCATATGCTTTGCCTATAGAAAGTTCCATTTTTAGTGACCAGCATTTCCATTTAAAGACTGTCACATTATTAGACTGGGAAAGGCATCTGCCTGAGACTCTAGGGAACCCCTGATAGTTGGAGTAGACAACACTGGGCCCAGTGGCCCAGTTAAGTCTACTGCAGCTTCGTGTGCAATCTTACAGTTAGGCAATTGTAAGATGTTTGGGGAAAAGCTAAGAACAATAAAAAAGAGAATCAGTTTAACAGTAAGTTTGCCTGACACTGATTCTTCCTAAAACATTGTTGTAGCTAATAACTGGATTCTCATAAGCAAAGGCATGCAAATTGTGTTTGCTTAACAGTTCTTTTCTAGTAAATAGGTTGGTGATTGACATAATCTGTGCAAGGGCAACAAACTGCAAAATGCATTCATGCTGTGTTAACCGCATCTTATTTCACATTGAAAGAAAGGAAAAAGCATGATCAAATTCAGAGTTTTGTCTATCTTTCTAAAAGGGAGTAATAGAATCATAGAATTATAGAGTTAGAAGGGACCCAGAGGGTCATCTATTCCAACCCCCAGCAATGCAGGAATCTCAACTAATGCATCTATGACAGATGACATTCCAAGCTCTGCTTAAAAACTGCCAATGAAGGAGAGTCCACCACCTTCTGAGGGAGTCTCTTCCACTGTCACACAGCTCTTACCATCAGAAAGTTCTTCCTGATGTTTATTCAGAATCTCCTTTCTTGTAACTTGAAGCTATTGGTTTGGGTCCTAGTCTCCAGAGGAGACAACAAGCTTGGAAGATGGCTGTTACATCTCCTCTCAGTCTCCTCTTATCCAGGCTAAACATACCCACTTCCCTCAACTGTTCCTCATCAGGCTCAGTTTCCAGATCCTTTGTCATCTTGGTTACCCTCCTTTGCACACATTTCAATATCCTTCTTAAACTGTGGTGTCGAGAACTGGACACAGTACTCCAGGTGTGGTCTAACCAAGGCAAAATAGAGTGAAACTATTATTTCCCTTGATTGGGACATTATATTTCTGTAATGCAGCCTAGAATAGCATGAGCCTATTTTGCTACTGCATCACAAAGTGGCAGCTATACCTAATAGTCTCTTCCCTTCCATAGCACAAATTGGGGACCACCAACTCCATTGCATTTTGCTCAACAGCAGTGGCTAGAGAACCTAATTCTGGAGTATGCAGCTAGAGAACATGTTTCTTTTGAACATTCTACACTTGTGTGCTTATCTGGCTTCATATTTGATAGTAGAATTCTGTGTTAAGTCACTGAAAGCAAAACTTGTTTTTGCTTGTTATTCAACAATTCTTTTATGTTTCAGAGTTCTGATCATGTTGGCAGCGATGATGCAGCTCATGAGGATGAAGGATTTATGGGGATGCTGCCTCTCCAAGCTCACCATGCCATGGAGAGGATGGAAGAGTTTGTATGTAAGGTAAGAGGCTGCAAAGCAAGTGCCCATCATGCTCTGGTGTGCTTCACACAGCTGTTGGGTCCTTTGGCTAGCAGTGCATGCACTTCTGGCAACAAAGAGCCAAGTCACAGTGGGTGGCCATCAAGGAGTTCTGTTGTCTTGGCTGATGCTGCCACTGTGCGTGTTGGGATCTTGCGCTTCCAGTAATTGGATGAATTAGAAAGTTTAGCACGATAGGGATTACACGTTGAAATGTAGGATTAAACATGATGGTACAACTGTTGAGCCTCTTTTTTGAAACATCTGTGGAAGTCCAAGCAGAATAATGCCCTCTGCTTCTAGTGTTTCTGGGTCAGAGAACTTTAATTTACAAGGTCACCTTTTTCCATACATACTCTTTCAGGCCTTTGCAAATCTTTGTTTTGAGATTACCATTTGTCTCCCTTGTGTAGCAGCCTCATTGTGTCCACTGTCCCAAGTGAAAAAAGCCAGTTCTATTGAAATGCCACCCTGGACAAATTCATTGTGAGCTGTGTAAATATTACTGGTCTTGACTTTCCTTGTCTAATTTTAAAGGGAAATAGTTTATGCTGGTGTCTGTCTCTAATGTCAGAATCAGAACAGAGAATATTATTTTTACCTTGTTTTGCTGCTATCTTTTCATAATTGGAAGGATGACCTTGGAAATGCAGGATTTATTAACAAAATTTCTACAAATATATGAACCCCAACTTTAATGAAGCTCCATTGTTACCATCTTTCTTTTTTCCACCTATCACTGAAGTCTCAGAATATTTGACTTTGATTTTAGAATGGCAAACATGCTCCCAAACTTTCATGGAGGGGTGCTTTGGATTGGCTTTTCTTTGCCTTCATGTGTTACACTACAGGGAGCAGTTTTTTCAGTTTCCTGAAACTTCATACTAATTTCAAAATTATTTGTGGTGGTGAAGGTGGATTTTGTGGAAGAGTGGCTGAACTATTCTCTATACTGCTTTTTCCATTTGAAATTCAATGTGTATTTCCTTGGGAAACTGCCACAGGAGGACTAACACAACCCCTCCTTACTCCCTTTAGGTGTGGGAGGGCAGATGGCGCGTCATCCCCTTTGACGTCTTGCCCGACTGGCTGAAAGACAACGATTACCTGTTGCATGGGCACCGCCCACCCATGCCCTCTTTCCGGGCTTGCTTCAAAAGCATTTTCAGAATACACACAGAGACCGGCAATATCTGGACACACCTACTAGGTATTGACTTGGATGTAAATGTCATATGAATTTATCTTTTATAACTAATAACTGAGTTAAGAAGCAAAGAAAATAGACTTTGGAACTTACTGCTGATCCAATAGCAAGAGCAAGATTGCCTGGAGCACATCTGACAGGACTCTACAGGATATGTTGGGCAAGAGTTTGGGGTGAATTATACTTGCATAGATGGATCCTGGACAAAGGGTTGCAGTGACTTTCCCCTTCAGTAATCTTACTAAATGCCTGTTCAGTAGAATAACTTCTCTTTGTTCAGCACCAACTGACTTGGTTTGAATTACTCAGATGTGCAAATTCCCCCTTTTCTGTTTGTGTTGTACTCCCCTCACCCCATCACTGATAATGTTTTGAGGATGCTCAGATTGACTTGGCAGATCTACATGAATCCTCTTCCTGTTGTCCAAAAAGATAATTCAGATTTCTGCTCCAACACTGCTGTTCACTAATAGCTTTTAGGAAGAAAATGTAAACACTTTGGTATGCATGTGCTGCTCTGAGTCAAGACCTTGGTCCAAGGCTTCAACCTGGGACATCTGAATTGCAATGCTGCAGAAAAATTGTGTGCTTTGTACTTCTGTGAGGCTTTCTCACTGCAGCATTGCCCTTGAAATAAGCTTAATTGCCTGTGCTTACTGGACCTTTCCTGGCTCTTGGGACTAATGATGGAACAGGCCTCAAATTAGCTTCAGTTGGCATTGCAGTGACCATATTCTGTTTGGCTCATTGGGGAGGACAGAACTAGAGCTAAGCTTGCATACTTTAAACATTATTGTCAGCAACTGTTTTGCTTGGCAGAACATTTAGGTTGGAATAAACCTAAAGCCCTTTGGTTCATCGATTGGTCATATTTGTGCTAGCCCAGCTTCTGTATGCTACACCACCATGCCTCATAATACTTGGGAGAAATAATGCAGACAAACAGGAAATTGAATCTGTTTCCAGCTTTATATCAGGCCACCCATTCCACCATGTTCCACTCCATGCAAAACACACTAAACCATATTTTAACATGATGTGCATAATGTGGCCAGGGGTTTCCCAAAGCTGTTCAAAGCATATGTAGTACCTCACTCAATGATTTGCAAATGTTAAGTCAAATGATCTACAGAAATGTGACAGATGACATTTCTCAAGTGTACTGAATTTGCTTTGATGCTTTTTTGGGGTTCTCCCGCTACACATGCACAAACTTTGGCAGGTCTTGTAACATTTATTTTTCTTTGTTTAGGTTGTGTGTTCTTTCTGTGTCTGGGCATCTTTTACATGTTCCGGCCAAACATGTCCTTTGTAGCACCTGTACAAGAGAAGGTAGTGGTTGGAGTGTTCTTCTTGGGAGCCATTCTCTGCCTCTCCTTCTCATGGCTCTTCCACACAGTTTACTGCCATTCAGAAGGTGTCTCAAGACTATTCTCCAAGTAAGTATTGTAGTGGTTCAGTGTGACTTCAGAGCCGGAAAATGTATGTGAAGCACTATGAAAATTGTCAGTGTATAAATGCTTAGCTGTTGGGTCCAGGCTGAGAAACTGGAATTTGCCTAAGAGCTCTACTTCAGCCATTGATGGGCTGCCCATATTCCTGACATTGTGGTTAGCAGGCCAAGATTAAGGAATTTAGATCAGAGCTCTTCTCCTAAGACTTGTCTGCCTTTGCTAATATTTGGAAGTTGCTGTCTAGGGGTGGTCACAGTAGGAACCTTATTAGCCACAGAAGTCTTGCACCAGAAGCTGGACAATGATGCAACTAGGCTAGGCTTGTTGGGTGCTGTGGAGGCTGTGCAATCATTGAGCAGGCTATTTCATGTGACCTTCCTGAAGCAACTTTCCCCCTCTCTTCCCTTGCCTTAGACTGGACTACTCTGGCATCGCCCTCCTCATTATGGGCAGTTTTGTCCCATGGCTCTACTACTCCTTCTATTGCAACCCTCAGCCCTGCTTCATCTACTTGATTGTCATCTGTGTCCTGGGCATCACAGCCATTATAGTTTCCCAATGGGACAGGTTTGCAACCCCCCAGTATCGAGCAGTACGAGCAGGTAAGACTCAAAGGATCACTTTTAAAATGCTTTCCTCCACATGAAGGGATTTGGTCTGAAATTTTATTCCAAATTGGAACAAAGTGCTGAACTTACTTATGCATGGTGCTATTTTTTAAAATGTAACTTTGAACTGAGTGTGCGCGCTCATAGATTAAAAGTTTGACACTCCTAATCTGCCAGTCATATTTGCATAATGTCAGGTTCTAGAGAGGTAGCCATATCTGTCTGCAACAAAACTTCTTTAATGTTCCATATTCAGATTTATAGTGACACAAGTTTTTGTGAGTTAAAGGCACCTTCCATGATGTGTTGCCTTCCATTAGTCATGCTTATGGCGTATTTGTGTATATTTGTGTACAGACAGATATACAGTGGTACCTCCGTTCCGGAGGCCCGTTCGCAACCTGAAGCGCTGTATCTGTGCAGGTGCGCGGCACAATTTGGTGCTTGTGCGCATGCGCGAAGTGCGATTTAGCACTACTGTGCATGCGTGAACGGTGAAACCCAGAAGTAACCCTTTCCGGTACTTCCGGGTTGCTGCGGGACGCAACCTGAAAAAAAGTAACATGAAGTAAATGTAACATGAGGAATGACTGTACATACAGCAAAATGTAGTCTCCAAACGGGCCTTGAAAAGTTTATACTCTGCATTCTTTATGTGTACAGAGAATTCACTAGTTGTGGATAGTTAGTACTTCATGCACCTTATAAATGGGCATCCTTTTATGGATACATAATAAATTGGTTGGTATTTAGATGCTACAAGATTCCTTGTGCCTGCATCATGTGTGTTTTAATTTGCACTGTTCCCCCCCTTTTTTCCTATTATTAACTTGTAGTACTCATTATGTGACATCTTGTTTGGATGACAATAAGTTAAGGATTCTGGCTGTAAATGCCAAGTCTGTCCAATGAACACAATTTGTGAAAATGACTCATCAGCTTAGCTGGATGCCATCTTTCATAGTGGCTCTAAATTCTGGCTAAGTCTGAGTCAGGTAGGAGGATTATTTAGGATAAGGTATTGTTTAAAATCAAAACCCTAAATGCATCTTCTAGTGCAGTAGTTTCCAAATTTTGCCATGAGGGAACGGAAAGAAAAAGAATCTCCTAAGGACGAAAAACATCTGCCTGCAGGGAAGCTGTTTGCTGTTACAGACATACACACATTCAGCATTTTATTTGTATGCCACCTTTCCGTAGTTTAAACCATGCTTAAGGCAGCTTACAACATGAAAAAAATAATACATAATTACATAGCAAAAGTAATTTTCAACCATAAATAAAATTTCAAAAAGTACACATCTAAATTGAACATTTCCATATAGATCATAAGATCTAAAATAAGATACAAAAAATTATATCAATAACAGCAACACACACCCCTCCAAACAAAACACCCTAAACAACGCCCCAGCCCAACAGTCTGTTCAGTAGCCTCAGTTTTTGTAGCTGGAGTCAGGGCCCTCCTCGGCCAGGTGGAAATAAGGCCAGTAAGACAAGGACTCCTAGCCAAGATGCTTATTCCACCACTCCGGCCGGCCTGCCTTCCTTTCCACTCCATCTTTACAGGAGGATAGAGACTTTGTTCTGTTCATCTCTGCTTTTGGAAATGATTAGGTTTTTCTGATACTCCAGTGCAGAGGATGCTACTTGCTGAATCTCTACAGAAATTGCTGCTCTGGGCTTTGTCTTCTTCCATTTGGGAGGCACACTTGGAACAGTAACTCCTGTAGCAGTGCATGGGAAGAACTCCTCCGAGGGAAGGTGGAATTCTTGCATGTCTGAATGCGTGCACACACAGAATGTGAATGTAGTCATGCATTCAGGGGGGAAAGTCTCATTTGCTTGCTGGAAGTTTGAAGAATTTGTTCTAGAATATTTCTGTACCTTCCAGGAAGTTGTAAATTTGTACAGAGGATCAGGAGATGAAATATATAGCAATTGCAACTTAGTACAGTGGTACCTCTGGTTACGAACTTAATTCGTTCCGAAGGTGCGTTCTTAACCTGAAACCGTTCTTAACCTGAGGTACCACTTTAGCTAATGGGGCCTCCTGCTGCTGCTGTTCTCATCCTGAGGTAAAGTTCTTAACCCGAGGTACTATTTCCGGGTTAGCGGAGTCTGTAACCCAAAGTTTGTAACCTGAGTTACCACTGTACTGGGAATACTATTATGCAAATATTGAAGGTTTTAATTATCGTGAACTGTCAGTTCAATCTGTGGGCTGGAGCAGACAAAACACCTTTGAAGTTTATTCTTCCATGACTGATGTAAGTGTGCACTTTTTTGGTCAGTCAGTGGTACACGAAGGCCAAAGTTCCTTTCTGCCACTCACAGCCCACTGGCAGGGAGTCTTTATTTCAAGGCTTGTGCTACAGTCTCTAGTGTACTTAGAAAGCTAGAGGTATATTAACATATTTTGAACAATTGTGCACAGTGGGTGTGTAGTATACATTTTAGGGCACTTGAGAATGAAATCAGGTTTACTTCATTTTCTACAACAAAAAGAATTTGGTCTGATTAAAGAAATTATAGTTGATTGATTGCAATTTTAAATGATCTGCATAATAAAAGTCACTTGAATAAAATGGTGACTTTGGAATGGAAAAGCATACTTTCTTTATCTAGTATTTAAGTGGTGTATGTGTATGTGCACGTGCGCGCGCGCGCGCGCACACACACACATATGTATGTGCTGCAGCAGGTATAGTCTTGAAGGAGGATATGCCTCCTGGTTGCAACAGAAGAGAGAATGCCTCTTCTAAAATGACATTTAGCACTATGGAAATTATTATTTTTAAAAAAATGTGTTCCCAGATTGATCAGGGGGCTCCTCTCTAGTTGACCAAATGGGTTGTGGCCCTAAAAACCAACCACCCAAGTAGTCTTCCTGCTCTGCTTTGGGATCCTGCGCTTTGGCAGTTTGCCCTCATCTCTGCCACTGCTTCTCTTGTGTCCAAGGCTGAATCTGTCCCACTTCCCTTATCTCCTAGGAGTGTTTCTGGCTCTGGGCCTTAGTGGGGTCATCCCCACCCTGCACTTTGTCATCACGGAAGGGCTCCTCAAGGCTGCCACAATGGGGCAGATAGGCTGGCTGGCTCTCATGGCCTGCCTGTATATCACTGGCGCTGCACTGTATGCTGCTCGCATCCCGGAGAGGTTCTTCCCGGGCAAGTGTGACATCTGGGTAAGTATGGCTAATAGATGGCAGGCACATAATAGGGAGGGTGAGAGGCATTAATGCCATCCCTACTGCATATCTGCAGTGATGGATCACTGTGGTCTGTGGCCGGGCTCTGTAAATGCCTCTTACTGCTCAGTTCTGGGCTAAAATGGAGCCCTGCTGTGCAACTGCTAACTTTAAAACCCTGTGAAACTCTGCAACCTTCTCTTGGTAGGCATTACAAGAATGAAAAATATTTGCACTGTATCTGCCTTGGCATACCTGGCTCCCAAGAGAGGGAATGGTGCACAGCTGCAAAAATACAACCATTCTGATACAGCGCTATTAATGCTCTGTCTTTGTTTGTTTATGTGTATATGAGCATGTATCTTGTCCTCTAGCCAGTTATGCCAAGTTGACTGGGGCTGGGTGGGTTTAAATTGGCACCTCTTGGTGCTTGCATAGCCTGTTCACACAGAGAAGCAAACAGTGGATTCCTAGGAAGCAAGATGGCTTATTCTTTGGCTGGTTGATACTTCACAATCTCTACTTACTAGCCAATACCACCTGTGATGCCCTCCTCTGGTGACTGTTCTGGAAAATGGGAGTCTCCATTACCTAAGGTGAAACGGTGTTCTGTTTTTCTCTCTCCCATAGTTCCACTCCCACCAGCTGTTTCATGTGTTTGTAGTGGCTGGTGCATTTGCACACTTCCATGGAGTTTCAAACCTTCAGGAGTTCCGCTTCACAGTTGGCGGAGGCTGCTCAGAGGACGAGATGTAGTAAAACTGACCGCTTGTCCAAGATCGTAACCAAAAAAGCAGAACCGTTGGAGCAGTCAGTCTACACCTGACCCAGGATGGTGTAGAAGCTTCGCAGGGATTCTAACAAAAACTTGGAAGAGAAATTCATACCTCAAGCATTGGAGTGAATTGATTCTGAAGACCTGGAAGTTCTTAAACCCTAATTTATTCCTGGGGTCTACAGACTAAGCTACAGAAAGCCCTTTCTTAATCAGCTTCTGTTCAATGCCATATTTATTTGTAGAAAAACAAGAGGGGTTGTCATGGGGAGATGGCTTAGCATTTTTTTTTCTTTTTTAAAATCTAGCTTGATTAAGATTTGTATCTTGTTCAGGTAAGTTGATTTTTAGATGCTCTTTTGGGAGGAAAAATGTAAATAAGATTTCTAACATTCTGTTTAATTGAAAAGTTTATATAAATGTTTTAAAATTGTGTGGGAGGGGAGGGTTTTTTGTATAGATTGCAACATGCAAGTACCACACACTGTTTCAAGTTTGCACGGACCCTTTTAAGTGCAAGAGGGCCAGGTGAAACCCCTGCAGCATCTGGGTTCTACAGATTCTTCCTAATGTTTGGGGATATACTGGACAGCTAGACCCAGCAGGCTCAGTCTGCACACAAGGGTTCAGGGTAAGCAAGTGTGGACAACCTTAAATCAGGCTGACGCTTGGGCCCCTGTACGTTCAGAAGGCAAAGGCAGGAGACATTGTGCAGCTGAGCTCTGCTCCCTTGGCAGGGCGTGCCTTCTAAGATCTCTGCCATTTTGTGGATAATCTTTAGGTGGTCTTTCTTTCCACCAGCCTTTTGCTGTGTTGGGATTTGATGGCTTAAGGCACAATATGGTATGTATCTTGACCTCTTTGGCAGTGGGGTCTCTTGTCAGTGTTTCACCATTCAGTTGGGCCTGCTATCCTTTTTTATCCAAGTGCAATTGTTAGTGTCAGGCATCTGCCTTCTAGTTGAGAGACAGTAGGATAAGATGGTCTGCAGGGAGTGAGGAGGAACATATGAAAAAGCAGCCTAGACTAGCTGTTAATTCATTCTAGAGTATGTTGTGTGCTGCTGAACTACAGTAGCACTAAGGTTGCCCGGTATTAAATTCCACCAAGCTCCACTTGGCTGCAATGTAACACTGCCGATCCTTCTTGCTTCCTTCTGGTCTATAAGGCAACGCTGCTCACTGGGCTTTTTTCTTTCTTTAAAAAGAAGAGCAGCTTGCAGAATCTGCTTGGATATTACATTTTTGCCTCTCCCCAAAAGAGTGCTTGGTACCTAAGAGAAGCTTCTTGTCTCTTTAAAAACTTCCCCAGATAGCTTAACTGCTTGTGGGGTAGCCGTACATTCTGAGAAGGGCAAATTATCACTAAGCAGAACACTCAGTCAGGCAAGAAGTGTAGTTGCTGTTTTCTCCTGCTAGGCTGGTGAGGCATGTCAGAGATGGAGAGAAATGTTTTGACACAGTGTAGAATTTGTGTTGTTGAATACTCACAGTGGGGGCAGTTCCTTTGGCCCATAGTATAATTAACTACAAGTGTTGGGAGATGATAGAATTTGTCACATGTTAAACTGCTTTTTTGATTATTAGAAGGAGGTTGGTCTTTCTGTCTTTTCTCTCTCCCGCCCTCAAAACAGAACCTTAGTGTTTAGACCTACAAGAGGTGCTTAACGGGTGCTTGTAGGCAACTTCAGATGTGTATATCCTGGGTAGGATCCTGATGTGCTGAATGCAGATAGGCCAGAATGGCACCCTAACACTTCTGATTGTTCAATCCCATACTAAAAAAACAGAACAGTATTAATTGAACCCCTTTAATGGAACAGGAAGGCCAGTAATGATTTAACCTTCCCAGTGGTAAATGTAGCCATCTGGAAGAAGGATGGCTTGCCTGATGGGGTAAGTGCTAATACATATCAGACTCAGATCTACTTATCTGAAAAGCATTTTTTTTGAGAGAGAGAGAGAGAAAGAGAGAGAGAGGGGTGGTAGGCTGCTTCTATATTAGCAGCAGAAATAGCACCTCCCCATTCTAGATCATCCTATGCTCACTCCCAGAAAGGGTTTCTCACAACCTGGTCCTACAGCACACAACCTGTACAAAAACGCACCCTCCACTTATTCTACCCCTTTGGTCTCTGTTTAGGACATTTTTTTGTGTCCCAATAAGAAAAACTGCTTAGCTGTGCACTTTTCCGTGGTGCTTGCTGAGACTTCTTCCCAGGTTGGCACCTGAATGCCTTACTCTCAGCAATCGGAGGTTCGCTTGCTTCCTTTGTGTGTGCAGGTTTTCAGTGTAGTATAGTTCAGAGTTACAGCTTTCTTTTCCCATTAACTAGTGGCCTTGTTCAGTATTTTCTTTTTTTTAAAATTGCTTACTGTTGGAGGCGACAAAGCACATCTTGGACTTTGAAGATTGGGGTCTCCGGGCAATGGGATCTCATTACTTGTTGTATTCTTAACTTCTAATAAAAAGAGCAAATGCAATGGAGGCTTGATGGGTGTTGTCTTTTTGGTCTCATTCGTGATCATATAAGAACTGGATGGACGTATAGAAAAGTATGGATGGGAATGTGGCCTGGAAATATAGAAATTGGTTTGTGTTACATTTAATGGTGAAAGCTGTTCTTCCATGTTTTTGAACCAAGAGTAGAGAACCATAACCCTTCCCGATGTTTGGGGTTTTTTTACACTTTTTTCTCAACACACCATGTGCTCATATAGTAAGGTCAGTTTGACAATGTGAAGCTCTTACACTATACTGGAATATTGTAAATACATCTAAGCACATTTACTTGTGAATGTAAGTGTGGGTCCATTCTCAGCATAATTCCAGTATGACCTGTGATGGGATTTTGTGGCATATTGTGTATGACAACCAAGAAAGACATGAAACAAAAATATAATGAAAATGTCATATTTTAAAAAGAGGCCAAATGTCAAACACACATTACAAAAACAAAAGCAAAAGTTCAACAACTTCTGTACTGTCACAAATCTCCCTTGGGGATTTGAGAGGAGGACTTTCTTATTGAAATGCTAGTCATGTCAAGGAAATACATACCAGCAGTCCTGTAATATGGCTTCCTTTGCTTGATTTCTCCATTTCTGAGGTCTTAAGGTCTTGGCTATCCAACCATCAGCCCACGCCTGGCACGTAAACTACTGGGATCTAGAAACAAAAACTTGTTGTGGTGAAAATTTTGCCCATAGTTTCGTTCATAAGGCAAAATGGCTTTCAAAAGTTGAGAGAAATTTCACATTGTATTAGCACACCTCTGAGGGGTTACTCTCTTCCCTGAAAACTGATAAAGATTGTATTATACAGCTGGTGCATCCATGAAGCCGTCAGCATGTCTGGCAAAATAATATTGCAGGATACAGTAGGAACTGGAAGGTGACAGTCATATTTCCTGTGCATCTGTAGACTTCCCAAAAGTGTCTGCTTTTAAACATTTGTGTCTAACAAAGCTAATGTGCACACTTAGCCTCACCATGTTTAATTTTGTAACCTATGCAAAGGGAGTTATGGCTAAACTCCTTGTCCAGCGTTGTGAAGCTGAGGGAACTTGAGAGGTGTGGACAGAAGGAATATTTCTAAGGCTAGAGTTTAAGTTTGCCTTAATAACACAGAAACATAGGTGGAAACGTTATTCCTTTTAGCTCAGTACTGTCTACACTGGCTGGTAGTAGCCATCCAAGGTTTCAGATGAAATTCTCAACCTGCAACCACTCCCCATAATGCATTATGCCTCTTGAAATAGAACACATGGAGCTATTTTCACATCAAGCTGATAAATCTAATCATTGTCTGAATCCGCTATTTTAGAGGAAAGCTCTCTGTGTAGCCTTAGAAGAGCTTAAATGTCTGCAGTAGGCAGAGTTGCAGGAACTCCTTGCCGGATACAGGAATCCCTACCAAAGCCTGGCTTGGCAGTATTGTTCTCCAGTTCCTCGACAGTAGAAATGAATCTCTGTTGATGACCATTATGTTCTCTAAGAAGGTGATATTCTTGCAGAACTGCCCAGGTGTCTGTTAAGTTAAAAGAAAGGGGATTATGAGATGCTTCTCTTTAGCAGATAGTACTGACTGTTCCCATTTTGCAGCTAGGGTAAGTTATAGGTTAAGTCCATCCATTTGGCAAATGCCATCTTCTGTTCCAGGCCTTTCCCCCACCAGTGTAAACTTTTCCATGCTGCTAAGGCAGGGAGGGTAAGCTGTGAGATCACACAGCTTGGTGAGCCTGTTGGTCCATAGCCATAGGTGCCCCACCCTCAGTTGCAAGCTTCTTGAAGAAAGGAAGCCCCACTTCCAAACACAACACAGCTAGCAAGTTCCTTGGGAGGATGCAGCCGAAGGAGTTCCTGAGCCTCTGTGGCATTGTCCACATGCTCTGGCATGCAGAAGTTGTCTTAAGTGCCCAAGTAGCATGGTCCTCAAAATAGAGCATTTGCCTTTCTGGTCCAAAATAAGGACTTTGATGGGCCTTGTCACCGCAAGAGAAGAGCTGTGGTTCCCAGAGGAAGGAAGAGCAGGGCCAATGAGGCAGAAATCTCTGCCGCTCCTCCACAGTCCTGGGCGTTTTCCTGAAAAACAAAGCAAGTATGTGGTCAGCAAGTAGAATTTAGAGGGCAGCAAAAATTAAAGCCTAGCTTCATTTTAACTTGGGCCAAATGATTGAAACTTTTTTTGCAATGGGGATGGCCAAATCCACCTCCCGATAACAATGGATCCATTCATAGGGCTGGCAGGATAAACTGTGTCTGTGCAGAATATGCGTGCTCATGAGTGCCTACCACATGGCAAGGAACCCAGTGCACTTGGCTATGTGTATAACGTGTGCACAGGCTTGCTGCATACATCACATCAAACACACACTGATGGACAGGTGGGGGCACTGTGCCCTATTTTTAGGGCCTCCACATAGGAAAACAAGTGAGGCAGCCTTGTGGTGGTTAAAAATGAATCTATGGACTGACATTTCAAAACCCAGCTTATTTTATTTAGGCCAGCACATTATCATGGCTGCTGTGGGGCAGAGCCTACTTTGTCAAATGCAACAATTCCTCAACCCGCTTTACCTCAGGATGGAATGCATGGCAGGTATCTGGTCGCCGCCTCAGCTTCTGGGAGCGCATCCTGTCACATTTCACTGACGCATTATGTGCAGTGCTGTTAAGGTTAATAGCAGTTTGGGGAATGGTGAAAATCAGAAACAATCCCATTTATGGAGGAGCTGTGTTGTCCCAGAATTCCAGTTTACAACTAGGCTGTACAAGTCATAAGATGTATTCCCATAGAGGTGCCCTTGATTATGAAGCTACTGCAAGGCCTCTACTCACATGGAATGCCATGCACTCATTCTAGCATAAAGGGTGCTGTCACAGGCAGGACATGTCTCAAAATACTTATGCTACACCTGGCAAGTAAAGGTAACGGTAAAGGGACCCCTGACCATTAGGGTCCAGTCGTGGCCGATTCTGGGGTTGCGGCGCTCGTCTAGCTTTATCGACTGAGGGAGCCGGCGTACAACTTCATGTGGCCAGCATGACTAAGCCGCTTCTGGCGAACCAGAGCAGTGCACGGAAACGCTGTTTACCTTCCCGCCGGAGTGGTACCTATTTATCTACTTGCATGTTGACGTGCTTTTGAACTGCTAGGTTGGCAGGAGTAGGGACCGAGCAGCGGGAGCTCACCCTGTTGTGGGGATTTGAACCACCAACCTTCTGATCGGCAAGTCCTAGGCTCTGTAGTTTAACCCACAGCGCCACCCGCGTCCCTACACCTGGTAAGTAGGTGGGCTCAGTTAAGATCAGCTAGGATTTCTGAACATAGTTTAATCTGAACACTGCTTAAATTCTATTGAAACTAGTGGGAGTTAATTTTCCCATTGATTTCAACATGATTTTAGTTGGAATGGAGCCATCATGGGTGGCTGCAGAACCAAGCAGCAGCTTTCAAGGCTAGTGATCACACTTAATGAGCAAGCTCCACTCCAGGAGCAGTTAGCCGGGGGTAAGACCTACTGGAAGCAATGGGACATAAGTTAGTCACAACCACCTTGAGCAAAATTAGGGCTACAATCTACATATTTTTTCCAGCACTGTTGCTGCAGAGCTAAAATTTGTCTACTGAAGGAGAAACTTACTGTTATATTAAATGTGTCTTCATAGTTTCATGTGTATGTCTTTAAATGAAGTTCTTCCTTGCAAGTTTTTTAAATAACCACTCTTTCCCCCACAAACATACACTCCACTGCCCCAATGTAAATCTCCCTGAAGCCTGTTGGTGTCCTGTGCATCTATGTCATGGTTCTGGTCCAGAACATGAGTCCCTGCAACTATAAAAAGCAAACACGTGCCCACATGGGAAGAAGTACAACCCAGTACAACCTCTACCAGAAGAAAGATATATTTGACTTCTTTAGGTTGCAGTAGGACAGGTGGAAAGTTGCTGCAGTCACATACAGCATCCACAACCAGGAGCAGGAGATTGCTGTTGGTAATTTGCTGCACCACAAACATCCTGTAAGGGCGAGAAGATCCCCCCACCCCAAGAGACTATGGTCAGAACAGAAGGTTACAGAATACTCCCCTTGCCCCTTCCAGAGGTGTCTTTTTCCAGCAGGAACTCAGTTCCGGCACTTCTCAGGTAGGTGCCATTGCCATTCTAAGATAACAAGGGAGGTGAGTTCCAACACTTCTTTTTCTAAAAAAAATAGCACTGCCCTTCCCTTCCCTTCCCACCACCACAAACAAGCACATGGTTCAAGCAATAGGAAACAGCAAGAATTAAAGCAAATGGGAAGGGGGCAGAGGAAAATGTATTTAGTTAATAAATGGGAATACTGTTAGGGAATATTCAGAACTGAGTTGAAGACTGCCACTTTCAATTACACAAATACAATTTTATTGCATTGGAGGCAGAATGGTTGAGAAACTTGAGCTGTGGGTTATAAAGCAGGGACAAATCCTTGTGTACTGCGGACTAATCTGTTAATACTGTAGTGCAGCTCTTGTGTAAATGGATTGATATGATACTTGACTCTGGATGGGAATGCAGCATCTACATACAGTGTGTGTGTGTGTGTGTGTGTGTGTGTGTGTGTGTGTATCCATGCACAATTCAGAGGTTGTAAGTTTCTGAGTGTTCATCTTCAATGTGCTCTGCATTATGAGCATAGTGCTCATGCATGGAAGGCCTGCCGAAGAACTAATTATGTATGTATTGAAGCACATTGACTTAAGTACACCACAGTTATGTGTGCCAAAGCAGGATTGCAGATTCAGAGTGTGTGTTCAAGCCAGTGTAAATGTATGTACAGGACTGACCTGTGTATTAAAGTGTACGTATTAAACCCTATACAGCTATGCATGGGAGCCACATTCAAAGAATGACTATAAAGTCCCATGTGTGGCCCAATACTGAGGGATCAGCTGGTGATGTGGACAGACTCTGCTCACATGACACTGGGGCTACAACATTCTGTGTCTGCTCCCTTCTCTAGCTATGAATACGGTGCAGTATTTGGACCGCGGGCTTGAATACTCATTTATTGTATATGTGTCATTTTCATAGTTACTATTAATTATTTTCTGACAACATAAAGTGTTCATGTTCAAGTAATATGGAAAATGCACCCTAAGCATGCCTACAGCCAGAAAAACCAATAGTCCTCTACTGCCCTCTGCTGGGGGACTATGAGTGGTGTGTACTTAGCTAAAACTGAAAAGTTCCATCTTAATATTTAGCACCTGAGTTTTAGTTCTTAGATCACCTCCTGTGGGCTTGTGGAGGCTTTATTCAAATGGCCATCTCTGCAAACAGAATCCTGCCAGCTGTACCCAGCTGGGTACCATGTCTGAGTTAATGTAATCATTTAAAAGCCGCATAAGAATAAGAATAGGAATACATGCTTCATGGGCATAATCCTAGGGCTGGTCCAAATGTTACATTTGAGTGATAAGCTTTTCCTTCAGCAACACTCCCTACAGAAGTGGCAACATCTAGAACAGTAGTTCTCAAACTCCACCCCCCCAGTCCACTTGAAATTTGCTGAGGGTCTTGGGGAACCACTTAATTATATTTCTACCTGCTGTAGCAGTTGCAATTCCACATAATTCAATTTGTAATACAATAAAATACAATATTAAGAAAAGAAAGAAAGTGATAACAATGCAATTAAAAACTGACACAAAACTAAATGCAAAGGATGTATGATTTCCCATCTTCAGCCACAAATTCACAGACACCTTGAGAACCACTTGTGGTCCACAGACCACACTTCAGGAACCCCTGATCTGGAAGCTTCCTACCTGCTTCAACCACCCAAGTGAATGAAGCATCCAACTCCCAGCACCATGATTCCCAATGGTGTAAGTGTGGGATACTGCAATAAGAAGCTGTGAACATTACATGAAAATACTAATGTCTGAATTAGTCCTTAGCTTCCTTACAATAATCATGTAAGTTAGATCAGTTAGGGGGCAAGAGGGGAGGGGGAGAGAGAGAACAATTTTCTGGAGATCACTTGCTGAGTTCATGCTGAGCTAAGAAATTGTCCCATGTGATTTAACCATTATGCTTATACCAACCATCATAGGAATTGCTTCAGAAACTATCTGGTATTAGTAGCTACACAGGAGAGACATGTGTTGCTAAGAGCAAGGCTGAGCTTATTTGCACAAGACAAAGTATTCAAATCTAATTTGCTCCTAGTATGGTGTACCTGCAACCAATGCCCTGACAGAAGGGCTTTTTCCAGCTGGAACTCACCAGAACTCAGTTTCAGCACTGCTCAGGTGGGTACCCTTGCCATTATAAGAGAACAAGGGAGGAATTCATGGTGAGTTCTGGCACCTCTTTTTCTAGAAAAATACCACTGCTTGACAGTATAAATGAGAGAGGAGAAAAGATAATGCCTAAGGCAGGGCTGACAGTTCTCAAACTCACTATAGCCAGACTTGAGTCTGTCTGTTTTTTGGAAACAGCATCAAATGCTCAGATATTCTGGTGCCAGTATTCAGTGTTTAGGCACACTGAGTTGTTTAATGTTGGCAAAGTAGAGTTCTTACAGGTAAACATGCCTCTCAGCCCTTGCATGCAGTTTAGAATGAGTGATGTAAGTTCTCTAAATGAGGGACAATCTCACATGGGAAAACACTCTATGGAGAGCTTTGTGTGAAAAGAAGATTGCCTTGAAAAGAAATGGATGTTGAACAGAATTAACTTATCTGTGGGCCCTTATGGATATGAATTATTTGGAACAGGAATGTTCTACACTGAAGCAATTGCCCTAACCTATAAAGAAAAAAACAGAAAAACATGATCATGTTCAGTTTTGCCTATCTTTCTAAAGGGAATTCACAGAACCACAGAATTGTAGAGTTGGAAGGGACCTCAAGGGTCATCTAGTCCAACCCCCTGCAATGCAGGAAGCTCAGCTAAAGCATCCATGGCAGATGATCATCTAGATAAAGGTAAAGGACCCCTGACAGTTAAGTCCAGTTAGGTGCTGGTTGTGGCGCTCATCTCGCTTTACTGGCCGAGGGAGCCGACGTTTGTTTGCAGATAGTTTTTCCGGGTCATGTGGCCAGCATGACTAAGCCGCTTCTGGCGAAACCAGAGCAGCGCACGGAAACACCATTTACCTTCCTGCCAGAGCGGTACCTATTTATCTACTTGCACTCTGACGTGCTTTCGAACTGCTAGGTTGGCAGTAGCTGGGACCGAACAACGGGAGCTCACCCCATCGTGGGAATTCGAACCACCAACCTTCTGATCGGCAAGCCCAAGGCTCAGTAGTTTACACCACAGCGTCACCCGTGTCCTCTGTTTAAAAACCTCTGAGGAAGGAGAGTTCACCACCTTCCAAAGGAGTCCATTCTACTGTCAAGCAGCTCTTACTGCCAGAAAGTTCTTCCTGATATTTACCGGTAGATGGAATCTCTTGTAATTTGAATCCATTGGTTTGGGTTCTACCCTCCAGAGCAAACAAGTTTGCTCCAACTTCCAATATTCCTTTAGATATTTGAAGATGGCTATCATCTCTTCTCTCAGTCTCCTTTTTCCCAGGCTAAACATACCCAGCTGGGTCTGAGGTCCCCCACCCGTGCACTAGGCAAAGAATGTGTTCAAGGCAGACCTTGGTACCTGGCAGGTTCATGCAGAAGGAAGTGGTCTGTGAGGGACCTGGGTCCTAAGCAATTGTCACTACTATTGTTACTAACGGACACTTGAATTGAGGTTGGAATAGTTCATAGTTGCAGGCAATTCAGAAGAAATTGTGGAAAATAAGAGGCATTGCAAGGATAACAAGGGACAGTTAGTTTGCTTGGAGATCAGACTAACCAGAGACAATTGAGAGGCACAGGTAGGAGAAAAGGAAGAAAGAGAGCACATTTCTTACTTCTGACAGTCTCCGCATTCAATAATCCCATTGGTCTCTTTGATGGCAGGTTCATATACAAACACTGGGTATTCTGTGTCACATGGCTGTAGCATGTCGTGCTTCTTGTGCTTGTGAGCTGAGATGGGGAAAAAGAGGCTGAGTGAGAAAATCAGGTGAAGGAAACAAATGAGGTGTGGAAAAAAGAAGCGGAAAGATGTTGACCCAAAAATGAAGATTACTGGCAGCCACTAGGTGGTATGGGAGACTCAGTGTATGAGGATGCCCTAGAAGCATGAATATGGCCACCCTTCAGCCAATGGTCGGATTATGTAGCTATCAGTCTGACAGGCTGTTTACTGCTAGAAAGTCAAAACACACAAACAAGTGGGAAACCACTTGCAGTTAGTTCATGGTTAGAAGCAAACCAGCTGGCCAAGACATTACTAGGTGGCTCATATGAGGGAAACAGGAAGACTTTTTACTAACGACAGTGACTGCGTGAAATATAGCGGGCTGAGCTGGGCTAGTACAGCACCAATCTTTAGTAACTGCAGCTAAATACCTAAGAAGGAAGCTTTACTAGAAAGAAAGTCCACTACCCAGCTCCCACTAGCCAACATAGGAACTGACTACTTGCAGTGGAAAGATCTACATTTTGTGGACCCTGAAGCTTGAACTGTTACGGGGGCCCTTCGGCATCAGCAACAAAGCCTGAGTAACCACTGTTATCTTCTTCTTCTTCTTTTTTTTAAATGATATTTATTAAGAGTTTTAAAGTTACAGAAAAAACAGAGAAGAAAAAAAAGAGAAAAAACAAAAGAAAAACAAACCACAATCCAGCAATACAAATTGATAAAAATCAAAATAAAAAAATAAGAACAAAGCACGTAACAGAACACAATCAAAAAACAAAAATAAGCCACAAAAATTTAAAAACAAATCCAATATTCTCATATCCTTGACTGTCATTACCTTCTTTCTTTGACCTCCTCCTCCTCCCTTTTTTTGTATCCTAGTTATTAATAGTCACAGCAAATCCTTTCCATTTTTCATAATATTCTGTCATTACATTACCTTAGTCTATTTTAACCTTATCTTACTATAAAAGACCTTAAGACTTAAAACTTAGATCTTATTTATACCAATTTCTCATAACCATAACATATTCTTACATAATTCTTTTAACATTTTTGCTAAAGCCAAATAATTTCGTTCCAACATTTTTCTAACATTCATCAATTTTATAAAACAATCCTAGTAGTAAAAAAAAAGAAATAAAAACAATCCAGTCTTCATCCAGCGTCCCTTCCTCCTGGTCCCGGTTTTGTCAGTCCTTATTATCCCATCAATCTAGCGCATTAACCTGGTAACCTTGTATCCGAGGCCCTTAAGTCTCTTCCATGTCCCTTCCGCAGCTCTTCTTCATATTTATAACTGTATTTTCCTTTGTCTCCTGCTCCTTTCACTCGTGGGAACTCCAGCTTAACAATGTTTTTGACCCTTCTCGACAAATCAGCCCCTTTCCATAGTCCACACTAGACTCCATGTGGTATTTAAAAACATGTTTCAAGATCCCTCCAGAATTAAGAGCCCCCACAACCCCAAACATCTCACGGCCCATTGCCAGACTTGGAGAGTCAAAACATCCCTGCATAGGGGGGGTCTATCCAACCCCCCAGTTCCAAACCAAACAAAACTCTATCTCTCCAAGCCTGGCTTTTTCCAAGTTCATTTGTCAAATCCAACAACTCATGTTCCTGCTGGGCCACAGCTCCCTCCATCTCTGGCGCCCGAAGTTCAACAACATCCTCTTCCCTCATCTGATCTGTCAGAGCACACTCCTGATTTAATTCCTGGGTGGGCTCTGGGTGGCTTCGCTCCACAGAAGAAGCAGTTGACTCGAGACTTCCGGGGTGGCGCCATCGGCAATGGCGGACTCCCTCTGATCTGGAGGGACTAGCTCCACGCGAAACGGGTCTTTTCCGCTACGGCGAAGCGGGGACCCTTTCAAAAATCACAGGCGGATGAAGCCTGTGACCATGGGACTCGGCGGGCACCTTTAGCGCCCCCCCAACCCGCAAAAGAACCCACTAACGGGCTCCGGAGCGAAGAGGGGGAAGTGGCGCGGTGCTGAGAGTCAACTGCTTCTTCCATGGAGCGAAGCCGCACAGCCGTTGCCGGAGAGCGCTGCCTTTTCCTGGGACAATTTGGCTTCTAAAATAATCACCCGTGAGTACTTAAATTTCGGACAATTGGACTTTAAATAAGGACTTGCGAGCAGAAAGGAAAATTGGACTTAAAAGTTTACCTCAATTTGGCACTGAAACGGGAAGGTCTAAACAGGAAGTCAGCCTTCCGTTTCTTTGTAGATAGATTAAAGCAAAGACATGGCAAACTAGAGCTCAGAAAATCGCTTGTAAAAGATTAACTTTCATCATTTAAAATTGTTGAACCCCCCTTCGGAAGTAGGAGAAGAGGGGGATTTTTCGGACTGTTTAAACCTGCAGAAGTGAGTGTAAAGTAAAGTAACTTTCCACCGTCCTGATCCTGGAGCGGGGTGTCAGGACTGAGGTTTTTTAAGCTCATTGACCAGAGACAAACGTTTTTGACAGATAGCTATAAGAAGAGAAACATTGATTCCATTGTTCCCCTTCGCATTTTAAAGGAATAAATATTGACAAAATATCTGAAAAAGGAAACTTTGTTGTTAGACTTGTCTTTAAAAGAAAGAACAAATAGAAGTTTTCCCCCTAGAGGGAGACTGTGAAACTGTAACCAACTCCCGGGAGCTTGCAGCTGTTACAGATTACAATCGTGGGAATAGACTTCTGACCTTGCAGGACAATGTATTCAGAAGCTCTGTTGCGTGCTTTCTGTAAAACAAATGCCCTACTGGAACAGCTACATGAGAAGACGGACTTGATGACTGATGCGATCAGAAATTTTGAACAGGCAGTGGGAAATTATATGGAGCCCACCCAGGAATTAAATCAGGAGTGTGCCCTGACAGAACAGATGAGGGAAGAGGATGTTGCTGAATCTTGGGCGCCAGAGATGAAGGGAGCTGTGGCCCAGCAGGAACATGAGCTTTTGGACTTGACAAATGAACTTGGAAAAAGCCAGATTTGGAAAGATAAAGTTTGGTTTGGTTTGGAAATGGGGGGTTGGATAGACCCCCCTATGCAGGGATGTTTGGACCTTTCAAGTCTGGCAATGGGCCGTGAGATGTTTGGGGTTGGGGGGGTCTTAATTTTGGAGGGATTTTGAAACATGTTCTTAAATACCACATGGAGTTTAGTGTGGACTATGGAAAAGGGGCTGATTTGTCGAGAAGGGTCAAAAACATTGTTAAGCTGGAGTTCCCACGAGTGAAAGGAGCAGGAGACAAAGGAAAATACAGTTATAAATATGAAGAAGAGCTGCGGAAGGGACATGGAAGAGACTTAAGGGCCTCGGATACAAGGTTACCAGGTTAATGTGCTAGATCGATGGGATAATAAGGACTGACAAAACCCGGGACCAGGAGGAAGGGACGCTGGATGAAGACTGGATTGTTTTTATTTCTTTTTTTACTACTAGGATTGTTTTATAAAATTGATGAATGTTAGAAAAATGTTGGAACGAAATTACTTGGCTTTAGCAAAAATGTTTAAAGAATTATGTAAGAATATTATGGTTATGAGAAGTTGGTAAAAATAAGATTTAAGTTTTAAGCTTTAAGGTTCTTTATAGTAAGATAAGATTAAAATAGATTAAGGTAATGTAATGACAGAATATTATGAAATATGGAAAGGATTTGCTGCGACAATTAACAACTAGGATACAAAAAAGGGGAGGAGGAGGAGGTCAAAGAAAGAAGGTAATGACAGTTGAGGATTTGAGAATGATGGATTTGTTTTTGAGTGTTTGTGGTGTATTTTTGTTTTTTGAATTTGTATTGTTTGATGTGGTTTGTTTTTTCTTTGTTTTTTCTTTCTCTTTTTCTGCTTTGTTGTCTTTTGTAATTCTAAAAACTTTTAATAAATATCATTAAAAAAAAAAAAAAGGAAGAAGCAGTTGACTCTCAGCACCGTGCCACTTCCCCCTCTTCGCTCCGGAGCCCGTGAATGGGTTCCTTTACGGGTTGGGGGGGCGCTAAAGGTGCCCGCCAAGTCCCATGGTCACAGGCTTCATCCGCCTGTGATTTTTGAAAGGGTCCCCGCTTCGCCGTAGCGGGAAAGACCAGTTTTGCGTGGAGCTGGTCCCTCCAGATCAGAGGGAGTCCGCCATTACCGATGGCGCCACCCCGGAAGTCGCCACTGTTATCTTCTTCAATGGGGTTGTTCCATGACAGATCACCAAACCTTTACAACACCTGGGCTACTGATTTTCAGACTTTGGAATTGTTGAAATATATACAAAAAAATAATAATCACTTTTGAAGTTTTTGGAAAGCTGAAATCCAAAACATTTAAGAAAGCATAAATATTGTTTAAAATATTTATGTTATTAACTGAGTATACAAAACTATTTTAATTGTGTTGCATGTCAACATTTTTAACATTTAGGTGCATTATTTATTTATTTTAAAGAAACACCAGGTGTCTTTGTGACATTTTGAAGGACAATGTATGATGTTTAGATTTGAGGATAGCTGAGATAATGCATGGATATGTTTGCACAGAGAAAAAAATAATCACCTGCCAGATAGTCAGGGAGTGGGTGAACTGGTTGGTCATCAATAACAGCAGAAGTTTGCATTTGATAAAACTAACAGTGGGGCTGCTGTTCTTCAAACAGAGAAATGCTCAAAATGCTGTTGGACCTTTGCATCACACTGGCCTGAGGGAGAAAAGCTGTGCTGGCATTTATTCTCTTGTGCGATGACGACAACTCAGAGACGCAAAGATACTGCAAATGTCACACAAACACGTATAGAGTCTGTGTCACTCATTGGGAGTCGAGACAGTGACAAATATCCAAAAAACACACCTTTTTCTAGTTTGTTTTTAATCTATCCATTTTTATCTCCCTGCCCTTCAAGGAGCTCAGGATCCTCTTATCATCCCAACTCCCTTCTCAGGTAGGTAAAACCTGTGAACTCTTGGAATTGGAATCAAGCAGGTGGTTGAGCTTGTCCAACACTCTAACAATCCTGGCTCTTTCACAAATCTGTGACTGTAGCTTTTGTGAAAATTGCAGTGCTCTAATCTGGACACAAAGCTTGCAACACCATTGCACACAAAATGAAGACTTGTGTAGCCCATCTGTCAAGCACCAGTGAAGCAGGGAGAGAGAATGGGACTCGCCTTTCCTTGTTGCTTACTGCTGGGAAGTGAGTATCAGAGCTCCCATTGCTTTGTCACAATGGCACCTGTCCTTCCCGAGGGGTTTGCAAGTGACTGAATCTCTGCTTCAGTGAAACCATCACTGACAATCTGATTCCTCCCGTTGCTTTTCTTTGCCTGTAATGTTGTTCACCAAGTTTCCCTCAACGTAGCTATGCAGCAGATTCCCTGTTCTAATCTTTCAACTATGAAGGAAGCAGCAGGCTATTTTAACACAACCTCCCTCAACTGGGATTAAAACCGAAATAAATTTATGCCAGATGGTGCAATGAGTATTGTAAACAACACCTATTTGTTTTCCTAGGTCTTATTAAGTTTCCATGCTGTATAGCAAGGATTTGTCCAGTCCTGCATATGTCACCCTGATGTTTTGCATTACCCCTCTGCCCTAAATTGGTTGTCTTGTCTAAGGTCTTCTAGATAAGATTCCAACCTGGAACCCCTCAACTCACCAACTCCCTAAAAACTAATAAAGGCAGCTGATTAGACAGCTTGTCTACAATGTGACAAAATGTAGGTGGACAGGAGTCTTAACCACAGTGCAATCCTGATTGGGGGAGCCAGATTTAGCATCTGTATAGATAGACCCCATATTCAGCACTCAATATATTTTCTAGGTTTCTCTTCTAGTGCACCTTACTAAAACCTAGAAATTACCCAACATGGAAAATATGTGGCCTATCCAGGATGCAAAACTGTGAGTTACAGCCGTGCAGTTACATGTCCACAACCAGCTCACTTTACATATCCAAACTTTGACTCTCCCTCTCCTCAAGGTAGAACTGCATCAGTGTCATGTATGGAAGGGAAGATCCACAGCATGCTTTCCATCTTCTTATTGCGTTTCATTCACAAATAACATTTGCTCTTGGAGCCACAGAGATTCATTCTGTTCAAACTCCCTTTTGTCTCTCTGTTAAACCACACTTTAACTGGATTGGAAGTGAATTTCCTCATACCCCAAACAGTTGCTTGGACACAGAGCAATAACAGCAATAAATTGAGCCTGGGGAGAGGGAACAAATCCAGTCAGCTTCAACAGCGCAGAACACAGTGAAGCCACTGCTACATTTGGGGCAGGGCATTCCCTTCCCCCCTCATCCCCCAGTTTCATTCCACAGATGAGCATGAATTAGCACCTGAGCAGCATCGGCAAAAGGGAGCAAAATGTCACTGCCATCCTGATATTTGCAGTCACATTGATCCGGAAAAATAACAACAGAGATAGGTTTTAAATTGCTGGCATTTCACTGTCAGCAGGGCAGCCCAAAGATATTTTTTTTCTAGCCCAAGCAGCCGTCCATGTGACCAGAGATCGGCACCTCTGCACCATTTTATGATATAGCAAAGGGCCTTGAGTTTCTGTATCTCTGCTTTCCTAAGTCATATATTATTAAATATACAAGACCACTGAGTGGTTTACATAAAACACAGTAAAATTGTATGAAATCTCTCTCACAGATTGCTAGATGTTACAGCACGTGCACAGGACAGCTGCTCCCCAGTGGGGGGCTGGTGTCTACTGGGATAGGCAGGCCGTAAGGCATGGATGCCAACAGTAGGAGGAGCCAGAGGTGATGATAGGCAGAACTAATTCTAGTTTAACCCCAATCCTCCTCCATAGAAGGGCAACAGTGGCACTTAGAAGGAAGAAACCAGCAGGCAGGGCCAGCCCCTGGACTGGTTGTAAGAAATAAGGCAGTTGGGAGCTGGTTGCGGTTGGTAGGGCAGTGCCCTACTGGCCTAATAGATCAGCGCCCACTGCCTTCGGAAGCAATCTGTGCTCCCTTCTCTGTCTTTCAGCCCCCATGGGGAAATAACTAAACCCCCAAATATTACTCTCCACCAGTTACTCCTATGCCACTGTCCTACTTCCCCAATTCCTCCGAGGCTTATAATCCACCAGCAAGAGTCTGGAGGATTGGAGCCTCTTAGCCCCTCTATCTATCTATCTATCTATCTATCTAATCTATTTATTTATTTGAATTTATATACCGCCGTCTCAGGGCAGTTCACCCTTACCTACCTGTAGCCCATCCTGGCTGATTACTGGCTGGGCTACTCATGAGCAAGCAACCAGTTTAACAACTTCTTCTCCACAGGAGCTTTAGCAACTGCTGATGTTTGGAATTTGGGAAGGAAATACTACCTCTTGCCAGGATATCATAGAGAAGGTTTTCTCTCTCCTGACTACAGGCAGGCTGGTGCTCAGCTGACCTGGGAAGTACCCTCACATGCCCCAGCTCTTACATGTTGAAGCTTTAGTGACATATTGGAACATGGGAAGTTACTGGACTATCTAGCTCAGTATTATCTACACCAATTGGCAGCAGCTCCTCAGGGTTTCAGCTCGAAGCTATTTTCAGCCCTACCTGGGAAATAAGGATTGAACTTGGTGTCTTCTTCATGCAAAGCAGGTGCTACAGCATGGAGCTATGGCCCATCCCCTGTTGTTGGGTTTACTGGTAGCTAATCATTATGACAAATGGTGTAAACGATGCAAAGAGTTTTAATATTTATCTTGGTTAGCTATATCTTATTGACATAAGGGCAGCTCCCATATTTCTTATTTCTATAGACAAGCCATTTATCAGCCTTTGTCTGAATGGTGGAGGGGGAATAAAGGGCTAGAGCTGCTTATTCAGCCAACCTGTAATCATATCTGCTTCTCTAACATAAATAAATTATGAGAAAGTTGAATGAACTTATTTATTGAAGTTGCTCTAGCCATCAGAACCTGACTATCTGCAGTTGTCTGAATAATACAGTTTTGCTGGATTTCCAGTTGAGTGATTACCACCTGTCCTCATGCAATTCTGCAAACAGGCTGAAGTTTCTTTCTGATAGATTCTTGCCCACCTCTAGCTAATTATCTCTACTTGCATTTTGTACCTACTGAGAATGCAAGAATGTCCTCTCATGTTTCTTTCTGAGCTCCATATTTGACCTGGATCCTCTGATTATTATGGATCCTTTTAGAGCAACCATAGTACATGGGAGCTCTGGTTGGGGCTCAACTAAGGTTATCTCCCTTCCTGCATGATGCAACCACCACCATGTCTTTTCTCTTGCACGAGTGGCACCTCCCTAGTCCACCCTTCCTCCTTTCTTCATCATCCTGCTATTGTTGGGTTTACTGGTAGCATGCTAATTATCATGCAAACACTTAGGCCTGCCCTGATTCAATTACCACTCATGAACAATTGAACAGAGGAAATAACTCCTTGAAGTTCTTACTCTACCTCTAGACCTTGGGATACCAAGCATTATTTGAGACATCAGGCACCAACTCCAGAAGCAGCACCTATTGGTCTGGCCTAGTATGACAGATAGCAAGATCAGATTGTAGATTAAAAGCACCATAGGAAGGCCTATGCATTTGTATAATGTGTAAATGTATTGAGAATGAAATGGGGGGGAGGGAGGGGGGTAGAATAGAAGATGGAATGCTGATAAACCTTGCAACTTTTCAAATACTAATTTGTTCCTTTATAATGGACCAAGCTTGTTGTAAAATATCGTTAATATTGAAGGGCAAGATTTGCAAATATCAATATAAGATTCACTTTAGCAATGTACAACAGAATTCTCCACCCATTGCCTATTTCCCAGTAAGAACTGCTGCCATGCAACCTTAGTTCATTTCAGCAAGGCTTATATGGGTGAACCCACATGCTTTGCACAAGCTGCTGTTGTTTGCACATATTGGCACATCCCTAGAGCTGCTGTACATCTTTATATTCAAGGTTACAGCTGGACCAGCAAGCGCAGAAACTTGCAGTGAAGTATGCCAATCACAAAGTGAGTGGTAGCCCAATAATTAAACAAGTAGTGATATCTCTGTTTTCAACTAGGCAGTCGCAGCTAATTCCTGAACAGCTGTGAAGTGGGAAAGGAATTGCCCCCAGTTTTCTGGGCAAATCTGCTTGGGTGTTCTCCTGTTTCCAGAAAATGGAGATCTTTTTGCTGCACTATAATGATTCTACTTACCATGATGGAAAACAGCCTTGGCTATATAGGTTGCATGGCATAACATGTGATGCAGATGAATCCATGATGATGATTACAAGATGGTGGTAGAATTCCATGGTGAAGACACATGAATAGGAAGAATGGGAAATGAAGAAAGAAAGAGGAAGAATGACATGGTGGTGAAATGAAGAAATAATTGTTCACAATAGCAACAATGAGTGTGAGACTACTCCTTAAAATTCACCTGCGTTTACAGTTAACTAAACTGCTGTTTCATGAGAAATATGTTTTATTGTCTTATATCCTTCTTTCCTTCACATAAGCCTATGTGAAGTGAATGTGATTTACTTAAAAATACGAGAATATTTGACACTGAAAGCTTTGGCCTGCACACTCCTAAATGTTTAGGAGCAGGCAATGCTTTCAGAAACAAGTACAATATTGGAAGTACACCCTGGACTAGAGAGAGACAGCTATTCTATCTGGTTAAAATATGTGTAAGCAACATAATGTATGTAACCAGCATATTACTGTTGCCAAACCCATAAGTAACATTTGCTGTATGAGATTGTGCTTTTGAAATGATTTCTGCCATTTATTATTATTTTTAAATGAAACGTATTAAGAATTAATTATATTTAGAAAGTTCTTTCTTTCTTTCTTTCTTTCTTTCTTTCTTTCTTTCTTTCTTTCTTTCACAAAAGACTGCCTGTGTTTTTCTACTTTTAGCTTACATTGCTGTTATGTTTCAAAAATTATCTCCAAGAAACGGAGGACAGGAATGGAAGGAATAAAGTTTCATAATTTTAAGAGCTCATAGACAAAGCGACACTTGCTCAGAGTGCATGTGATCCACAGACCACAAGTTACCCACATTGCTGTTTTAGACACTGTACCACAGGCTTTTAGGGGTCTTAACACTGACACCCTTCCCTGCACGTTCCAAGCAAAGTGCATGTAGATGAAAGAACTGGCCCACTGCTTCAGCAAATAGTTGTTAGTAGTCTTCCATCCACCTCATGGGATACCCCAACACAGACTACATATATGAGCCGACACAGTTGACAGTGTTATTAAACCTTGCCAGTATATTCCAGGGTGTCTCAATAAAGGTGAAATGGAAGCTGGCGAATAGATTCTCAGTGCCAACAGGGTGACAATGTCTCTGGATTGTGCTAAATTGCATTCGTATGTGCGATTCCTTCATCCAAGCCCAGTGGCTGCAAAATTTGTGTGCTGTGAGCTGGCTGCATTCCCACATACTCACCATCTGCCAAATTGTCTGTGTGCCAGAAGCCAGATATGTTGAACTCCAGAAAGAATCTGTCAAAAGACGGGGGGGGGGGGAGAGAGAAAGATGTATTTTACGCTAGCCTGGAAGGGCAAAGGTGTTACGCAGGCAGACAGTCCCTGTGATTTGCTCTACTCTGAGCTTTTAGTCTGTAGGAGCAGCCTAGAGCTTGCCTTGCTGTTTCTTTTTAGTTCACACCTGAGCCAGTTACTTTAAATCTTCCTTTCTTACTTTTCAGAATGGTTAATTGTGCCTTAATCCTAAAATAAATTACTAGCAATTCCTGTGGCAAGGCTGTCATTAACACTGTGCTCCTTGTGGTTGGGAGGGAAATATACTCGGTCACCTTGAAAGCCATCTGCTCCGCGATGGTGGACACTGGTATTCAGTGCCCAGCGACAGCTGTGGAGTGTGCCTAGCAAGTTAATCTCTATGAAGAATCTTGGAATATGGCCCTTGTCTCAAGTTCAAAGGTGTTTCAATCTAACACTTCAGTCTCTGCCTAGTATAATCATTGATCTCCACTGCACTACCAAGGAGGCGCTGCTGGTAGTCCCTTCATTGAGTACCGTATTTTTCGCTCTATAACACACCCCCGACCATAACACGCACGTAGTTTTTAGAGGAGGAAAATCCGTAGGCATGCCACCCGTAGGCATTTCCTCCATAACACGCACAGACATTTCCCCTTACTTTCTAGGAGGAAAAAAGTGAGTGTTATGGTGCAAAAAATACGGTACTTTCTAAGGTGGGGGGCACAACACACAGTAAAGCCTTCTTGGTGGCGGCTTCCCATTTATGCAAATCCTTCCCATTGCATGTTTGGTTGTCTTCCACTTTCTGTTTATTCATATGGCAGCTTAAAACATTATCTATTGTTACAGGCTTACAAAACATAGCAGTGGAAGCCTTGTTTGTTAAGCTCTACTGCGCTGCTGACCTTTAAATGTTGTTTAATAGTATTTCATGGCTATATTTTTGTTCAGTTTATTTTTAATAGCCATTTGCTGGGTGTGTTTATTTATTTTTTAATGTGCTGACAGCCATTCCAAGTTCTACATGAGGGGGAGCATGGTATCTACAATGTATTTTGGAAAGCTGCCTGTTCTCTATATATTTGGACGCCTTAATATATCATAACCAAATTAAGCATGATCAAAGGCCAGGTTTTAACCTATGTTTGTATGCAATTGGGCCTCATTTTGAATCAAGATGGAAAACCAAACCTTTCAAAGGTGCACTGTGTTAGCCACTGATCACAAAATGACGCCGATTTTTTGGGTTTATGAGAACTTCCGAGCAATGCTGGGTATGAGGTTGTTAGTAACAAATATATTAATAATAAAATATCAAACATACTCATGAATCTGCCTTTCTTCCTGAAACCCCACCTCCCACAATGTGTCACCTTGGCAGAGATGGCAAGTTAGGTCTACTCCATTAACATATTTTCCTAATAGGAACAGGATTGTCCCCCCTTTATGTTTTCAACAGAGCAAATTATTCAAGTTCATTAGAATTTGAGAAGGGAAGGGTAAGTCTGATACTTATTGATTTACATCCATGTAGATACTCACAGATACTTTGTTGATTTACATCCGCGTAGTAGAACATAAAAGTGTTAATGGTAGTGACATTGGCTCACTAACACACAAAACTCTTCCCCAGGGAAAAATATATCATTGCTGGGCAAGCAAGTGCCTATGCCTGCCTTCTTCTGTTTATGACATCAGAGTTCCTGCTCCCCAGTGCAGCTTCTTTCCCACGCTTAACAGCCTTAATAAGCAGGTTTGCATATTATGGACTTCCACTTGAAATCAGGAACTCTGGACCCCTTTACTGGCCCTGTTATATATGTTGTACTGCTACGATTTTGTACAAATCGGTTCCCCATGTTTTTGCAACTGGAAGGTGGAAATAATTAAACTGCCTACTTGATAATGCTGCTGGAAGCCTCTTGGGTACCACAGGAATGAAGGCATGACACAAATGCCTCTGCTTCATACGATGGCAGGATTTTTCCTCTTAGAGCTCTAATGCACTAATCCCATGTGTGTGATGCCTGCAAATCACATGGCTTGTATGCACAAGCCATTCTCCTTCTTCATGTAGTCTTTATCTCGAACTGGAGAATTTCCAAGGTCAGCACAAGCAGCAGACTCCACCCAAGAAAAAGATGCAGAAACATGGTAGCATCTTCTGTGGTGTGTGTGTGTTTCCTGTGCTTCTTGTATTTGTGCTACAAAGCATTGAACCAGAAGTGAAGGAGGCTCACATGCAGATATTCTCTTACTAAAATAGGGCCCAGATGTTTTATTAAACAGGCCCAGTGGCACAATTTTGTCTCTGTTAATGTGACTCATCTGACACTTCCATCCTATGAACCGAAATCTCCCTTTTACCTGATTATGCCATTGTGATGCACTGGCTTTAGTACTCATTGCTACAAAAGACATTTTTACAACACAAATCTGTATTGGATTTACTGGTATTGTCTCCCCAAAATAATTCTGGAAGTTATCTTGCTGGGAACTCTGTAAATGACTCCTAACCTTTCAAAGAATTATAGTTCCCTAGGGAGAGGGAATGACTATTAAAACAAGTTTGTGGCTGCAGACACACTAACCCATTTGCTGCACAAAAATGCAGTTTTTCTCAGTCTGGAATGGTTCATGCTTATGCTCAACATGCTGCTTTCAACACCTGGGATAGCTCAGTCAGTAGAGCATGAGACTCTTAATCTCAGGGTTGTGGGATCAGGCTCCATGTTAGGCAAAAGATTCCAGCACTGTAGGGGGTTGGACTAGATGATCCTCGTGGTTCCTTTCAACCCTACATTTCTATGATTCTAGATTGATTTAATTTCCTGCTGCCCACAAGGGTAGATGTGGTTACTTGGTACACATCTGAAAACCCTCCATGCCCTTTCCTCCCTGCATATGTCCCAGATGAATGAAGAAGCAGTGATTGTGATTTTGGTATACCTCCACTCACAACATCATTGGAAATATGTGCATACACATACATGCACACACCACCATCTGTTTTCAAATGGGCACACTGTGGGGTAATGCAGAATCAATATGCAAGGAACTTTTATTTTCTGAATGAAACTGGTTTCTCAATAAGTGCTTTTCAGGGGCCAGAAGTATGCAATACATGGTCCATATTGTGTGCGGACTACATAGAAAAAACAAGTACTCATTCTCCATTGATTTTAGAATAAAATGTAGTATGTAAGTAACCTGCCTGTAGAAACGGGTGTGTCCTAAGTTTCATGGAACTGGAAATCCATTGATGTCTCTCAATTCTACATTTTGGAATAACAGGACTATCTATATAGCGACTGCAACTTTCCCAGCTTCTGCTTCTAAAAGTTAGGACTGTCAATTGCTTCAGGACTGTTTTGAATATTTTCTTGTTTATTCGCTATTATAGTCACATACTGGAATTTTAAAACATGTTTGTGCCAGTAACATCAAGCCCCACCAATTTAAATTTCCTCATACCTATTAACGAACACAAGCATTAGTTGATTAATACACTGATGTAAATGTACTAAAGCTTGCAGTTATAGTTTCTACTTCTAATGATATTTCCCTCCAGAACTCCAAAATGTTTGTACTCACATGAGGAAGTCAGTTATCAGCCACTTTAGTGCTCCCAATAAGGCATAAACTGGCTGTTGAAAAAGAAGAAAGCCAAAGAAGAGGAGTATTTTACAGAGCCCACAATTCCAGAAGCCAACCTACAAATTAGGAGGCAGATTCTAAGAGGCAGCAATATGCATACAAGTCAGCCAAACCAATAATAATTCTGAACCTCATCTTTGGAAAGGTCGGAAAGCTTATCGGGAATTCGCATGAGTCTTTGAAGACATAATTACTTAACTGGCTCTCTTCAACCGTAATAGCCTAAATAGCTCGTAGAAAGAAAGAGCTAAAGCTACTTGTGCGACTAAAACTTTAGAAAACATTTTTGTTCTAATGGTGGAAAATAGTGTTTCCACTTCAAACTGTACACAAAAGCAAAACACCACACAAACCTTGTTAGTAGGAGTGCCTAATGCAATAAGGCCTCTAGCATATAAACTGGTAGGTGCTACACAATGCAGAACAATTTTAATATCAGGGGATTTCTAATCCTCATGATCATGCTGAAAATGTGGATAGTCTCATCTGAAGGATTTAGGCAACTCTGCTTTGGAGCAAAGGTATTATTTTTCTTTTGTGGGAATATGACATGTGAGGTATATTTGTATATCTTAATTCTAATATCATTCTCAACTACAGTGTTGTATGAACTCAAAGCTATATCTGAGTAGAAACCTAATAAGGTCAAAGGTTCAGTCTGTATTTTTTGTTCTCTCCATTAGTGCTTTCTTCTTATAAACAACAATGGTGACATTTCCAGGGATTACTTTTTTGTTTCATTCTGTCAGGCGAGCTAGTTTCCAAACAGCAGGGAGAGGGAACCTGTGGCCCTCCAGATATTGGACTGGAGAAGACATGGGATTTTAGCTGTTATATTTCCAGTTTCTTCTCATGACCATCACTCCAACTCCCCCCCCCCCCTTTTAAATGTCTGCTCATCTCCAGCTCTCCTTACAATTTGTTTATTTATATGATTTATGAGTTAATTTCCATGCTTTTGTACATGCTCAAAGCAACATTCAAAACATTTCTTAAAGCACCTCATTAAAGTTATATAAACAAACAGGCATGATAGAGTGAGATTCATAAAACGATGAATGAATTAATGATGAAAGCTATTGGACTGATATCCTTGTCTTTTGACAAAAAGGTACCAAAACATAATTTTAAAAGAAACGATGAGTTACTCAACCAAATTAGGTACCGGTATGCCTCATTTGCATAGTTTTATTGTAAAAGCTCAATTTGAATGTTTTGGTTTTAGAATTTGGAGGGTTTTCTGCAGCATTTTAAGATCCCTTTGGCCAAGTGCTTGTCAGGTGGAGTGGCAAGATCAGAAGAGCAAGGATGGGCTAGATGAATCTTAGCAGGAACCAAGGTCAAGCATTTTGCTGCTCTAACCAGACACAAGCCTCTCCAGGAAACTTTAATAAGTAGTAGGACCCCTCCAGATGGGTGGGGGTTTTCGGGGGGGGGGCTATATTCTGTACTATGCCATTGACACAGTAATACTGCATTAGTGGTGGGTTTATACTGGACCATCTACACATCATTCTGCTTTATTACTTGTTCTCTAATGCTTCCCCAGCATTACCAAACATTACTGCTATCTGGATGAGCACTCTTGCACTATAGTGCAGCAAAAGCGAGACACCCCGGAACACTTGTACTGTATTATTAAAAAGTTACAGAATTTCAATAGGAAACTATGGGACATGCACCAACAGGGAATGAAGAAGTATGTCCATCCCAAAACTTTTACCACAAACAGTATTGTAAATGGTATTGTGCATATCACCACCCCAATACAATGAGAAGCAGAAATAATTCTGGATGCACAATAAAAAAGATGTCTGAAGAAGCCTTTAGGCTTTGCCATATGATCAATTCTGACATTTTGATGTTTAAGAAAGGCTTGCCTTTACTGGGTTTCTTAGTTTTACTTGCTGGTGACAAGCTAAACCACTGCCTACCATATTCAAGGCGCCAGGTTCAGGACCTGTGGTGAGCTTATATTGTTTTTACTCAGAGCTGGAAAAGCACTACATTTTCACATATCCACCCATCTCTCCTTCAAAGGACAAGGCTAAATCTCCTAAAGGACTAGAGCTAACATGGGTGATAAAAAGCCTTTTGATTTGCAGTAACAGTCCAACTGTAATTAGTGAGTGTTTCCCTATTTAGTTAATACAAATTTAATTATGTAATGCCAGATACAACTACTTAGTTAATCCAACTCTAACAAACAAATCCTATTCTGATCAATTAAGGGTGCCACAACCTGAAACTTTCCTGGCACAGAACTAGTAGACAGCAACAATTTCATATAGCCAAAATTGGCCCCAGAGTGCTCCAATGCAGGATTAATTCAGAGTTCATTTTGATTACTGGTGAAAGATGCAGCAGGCATAAATTGAGATGGGGCGGGGGGGAAGAAAAGGAAGGAAAAGTTCAGCAACTTTCCATCCCTAGAATGCATTGTCTCTGGTATCTTCCATCTTTTCCAAATTAATACACATGTACTGCTATTTGGTCAATACATGTAGCATGAAACAGATCCCAGGATCAATTGCAGAATGATGGGTCAATTTTTACCTGTGCCTTTCCCCATTGAATTTTGGAATTGTTTTGCTTGGTCTGCTGACTCCGGCTAAATGCATGTGTGAAACAGAGTGGAAATTACTTACTTTGGGAAAGGAAAATTGGAGACGGCTAATTGGTTGCTGGATCAGAAATATATTCTCACTATGCAAGTGCCACATTTTTCTGAGCACATAGGCTGTAGGTGAAGGACAAAAAGTGGCACTGGGAATCTACTGTTTCCCTGTAGTGTCCAGCTCTTTTGTGAAACCTTGAGTGTGCCTTCTCACAGAATAGCAGCACTCTGGACTTGGATGTTTTAAAAAATGACCACCAAAAGGGTTTTAATCATCATCTTTGTTGTGACACCAGCAAAAAGATATTAGTGAAAAACCAGGAAATCTCCTGTCCTGTAATAAACAATTAAAATCCCCTTCCCAGTCTGCCTTCACTGGCGTCATCAGATAAGTGACATAATTGTGTCCAGCCCCCACAATCAGAGTACATGGAGAAGAGGACATGAGGGAAGACGTGCCTTGGCTTCTTCTTCTGTCCTTGCATAGTCCTCAAATAAGAGCACAGGAAAAGCAATCAGGCTTGTAGCAAAGACAAGGATGATAAGCACGATTCCGCCCTCAGTGTAATCAGCAGGGGAAGCAAAGGCACTTCTGCCCTCACACCGCTCTCTGCTGCACCCCATGCCTGGCAACGATGGTGAGGCATGGGATGGTCTCACCCTGGAGCAGAATGACTTAAAGAACTGGACCAATGCTGCTCTAATATATTTTATTCCGTGTTTTATGTATTATGTAGAAACGCTTACAGATACTTACACTGAGAAGAGGGCGTGCACCACTATGGTGGTGGTGGGGCATTTTACACATGGCTTGGTAATCGTACATTTTCACCCTGCAAAAAAAAACCATAAAAAACTGACAAGTGGGCCAATGTGTTCAACACACCAGCTTAGCCCAAGAGTCCACCAGTCTGCCTAGCCCACTACTGTGCACTCTGATTGTATAGTGGTGCAACGGAACACTGTGGCGCCAGAAGAAGTTTAGTCATGCTGGCCACATGACTTGGAAACGCCGGCTCCTTCGGCCTGATGCGAGATGAGCGCCACAGTCCATAGTCGCCTTTGACTGGACTTAACTGTCCAGGGGTCCTTTACCTTTTAAAATTCTGATTGAAGGTGACTTTCAAAGGTCTAGCAGTTGTTTTGCCCAGGTCTACTATGCGAGATTTTTAGTGGACATGCCAGGAACTGCACCTGAGATTTTCTGCATGCAAAACATGTGCTCTGTCACATGCCCTTTGCTCAACATAGCTGCAAACACATTCATTTGTCCTGCATGAATTCTAGCCTGGATCTGTCTTCACACAGGGAACAGCCATATATCCTCATCCTAATAATTTAGTTTAGTTTGTGCTTAGCATTGGATTAGCACAACAAGATCTACTCCCATACAGTGTTTGATTGACTATGTGGTATCTGATGAAGAAACTTCTTACTGATGTCACAATATGCCCCTACCCTATGAAAACTTTGTATGTGATTTACTCGAGTTACCTCAGCTGCTATTTTTACTCATGCCAAGGTCCTGAAAGCTGCTTCTGACAACTAGAAACATCATAGCAACTATTCCAACAGCTGCATTTCTTCCCCATGGCCAGGTCCAAACTGGACAGGTTTGTGCTCTTCCAGACACATCTGGCTGGGCTCTCAGATTTCTTTATGCCATTTGTGTCTGACTCTGCATCCCTCTGTATGCTACATCAGCAACATGGGAACTGCTTCGGAACACATGGACATAGGAAACTCCTTTACACCATGTCAGATCATTTTGCTCATCATTGTCTGCACTGACTGGCAACAGCTCTCCAGAGTTTTACACATAAGTTTTCACCAGAGAAGCCAGGGGTTTAACCTAGAACCTTTGCATACGAAACATGTGCTCTACCAATGAGCTGCAGATAATGTTTGAAAGCCTGTGACCTGTACTATGCTGTACAGGGAAACATCGGATGGGAATAGCAAACACAGTTAGCTTTGCTCACATGGTTCTGGGCTCCCATGCTGTTCTGGGCCTCCAAGTCAGGAACATAAACGGCCTAGATGAAGCCACATGAAATTGTATTGCTACATCTAGGGGTTAATATGACTGCTAAAAATGTAAATTTATTTAAGGATAATTATGAAAAATGTTGGATTGAAGTGAAAAAAGACTTAGAAATATGGTCAAATTTGAAGTTATCATTATTAGGCCGAATTGCAGTGATTAAAAATGAATGTGCTGCCAAGGATGTTGTTCTTGTTTCAAACATTACAAATTTTGGATAAGATGGATTGTTTTAAGAAGTGGCAGAAAGATATTTCCAGATTTGTCTGGCAGGGCAAGAAGCCTCGAATAAAATTTAAGATATTAACTGATGCTAAAGAAAGAGGTGGATTTGCCCTGCCAGACCTAAAACTCTATTATTAATCAGCTGCTTTTTGTTGGCTGAGAGAATGGCTGCTACTTGAAGACACTGATGTGTTGGACCTAGAAGGTTTTAACAACATATTTGGCTGGCATGCATATCTGTGGTATGATAAGGTAAAAGCACATAAAGCGTTTAAAAATCATATTGTTAGAAAAGCATTGTTTAATGTATGGATAAGATATAAAGATTTGTTAGAAAAGAAAACCCCAAGATGGTTGTCACCAATGGAAGCGAAGGCACAGAAAAAAGTCAATATGGAGGCCAAATGGCCGAAATATTGGGAAATTCTGGAACAAGAGGGAGACAGACTAAAATTGCAGAGCTTTGAAAAATTGAAAAATAAAGTGCGAGATTGGCTCCATTATTATCAAATAATGGAGGCATATAATTTGGACAAAAAAGTTGGCTTCCAGGTGGAAAAATCAAAATTGGAAACAGAACTGTTAGATTCCAAAATCAAGAATTTGTCAAAAATGTATAACTTGCTGTTGAAATGGAACACCCAGGATGAAACGGTGAAATCAGCTATGATTAAATGGGCACAAGATGTCGGACATAATATAATGATGGCTGACTGGGAACAGTTATGGACCACAGGTATGAAATTTACGGCATGTAATACCCTAAGAGAAAACTTAATGAAAATGATTTATAGGTGGTACATGACACCAGTCAAGCTTGCAAAAATTTACCATTTGCCCGAAAATAAATGTTGGAAATGTAACAAGACTGAAGGCACATTCTTTCACCTTTGGTGGACATGCCCAAGGATTAAGACATTCTGGGAGATGATTTATAATGAAATGAAAAAGGTATTTAAATATACCTTTCTGAAGAAACCAGAGGCCTTCCTCCTGGGCATGGTCGGCCAATTGGTGCCAAAGAAGGATAGAACTTTTTTTATGTATGCTACAACAGCAGCAAGAATACTCATCGCGAAGTATTGGAAGACACAAGATTTACCCACCCGGGAAGAATGGCAGATGAAGTTGATGGACTACCGTACATGGAATTGGCGGAAATGACTGGCAGAATCCGAGACCAGGGAGAAGAGTCGGTGGAAGAAGATTGGAAAAAGTTTAAAGACTATTTACAGAAATATTGTAAAATTAATGAATGTTAGAAAAATGTTGGAATGAAGTTATATGGCTTCAGTAGAAATGTTATAAGGAATTAAGTATAAATAGATTAATAGAGAATTAAAGGGAAAAATAAGGTTAAAATGTGTTAAGATAATTATAGGATGGAAAGCAGAGGAAGATGGAAAGGAATTGCTGAAACAACTAAATAGAAGTGGAATACAAAAAGGGAGGTGTGAGGAGGTCATGGAAATAAGTGAATGAAAGATTGAAATTATTTGATGTGTTTTAAATTGTTTTTGTTTTGTTTTCTTAGTTTAAATTGTTTTTGTTTTATTTTTTAGTTTAAATTGTTTTTGTTAGTTTAGTGTTAGGTATTGTTTTTGTATTGTATTGTATTGTCTATTTTCTTTTTCTATGTATGTTCAAATTGTTGGAAAGTAATAAATATCATTTTAAAAAAAAGAAATTGTATTGCTACACAGTAATGTAATGTTACTTCTGGCATTTAAAAAAGGATATGTGCCTGTATTTTTGTGTATTTGTTTGTTTCAACATGCATTCTTAGAACACAAGCAAGGAAATGAAAATAGGTAACATTTTGCATTCGTTCACATTGTGCACAAACTGTGTGACAGTGGATATAATCAGGAGTGATTCCTGTTACCGCAGCAATGCTTTTTTTGGCTGCTGCAATCATAGAATCGGTACTGGCTGCACCCATTATTATGCAGTTCACACATTACATTTGCCTATGTGAGTACGGTATGTACCTGGAGATGCTTGAATCTTTCTATGGATAACAAATGTGAACAAGTCCTAACAACTGAGGCAATGTTCCACACCCCACTGTCTTCATTCTCTTTTTTAATGCTTAGCTGTGATAATTCTCAATGGGGATAAGGCATTTTGCTTCAACCAGGCTCTTATCTGAAAGGAAATCAATACAGAGGAGATAGTAATACTTACTGTTTGAACATTCCCATGCTTATAAGCTGGGTCATAACAGAGCCATCCACTTCTCCCAAAAATTTGCTGGTCTGCAAGCACAGGGAGATAAAGAGAGAAAAAAGCAGAAACTATAGATAAACTTCCTCAGCTTTTTATCAGTCCAGCTAATCTATCCCCACTACGAGTTTGAAATCCTATACTTAATATTGCCACTATCATAAAACAAGCCCTTTAAGCAGGCGGTGCTCTGCTATGTCCTCAGGCTGTTTAGCAAAGAGGGGTTTAGAGAAGTGTGTGGCGCCATGGTCAATAAAAATGAAATGCAAATCTTAGCTCAGCCATGCACTCACCACGTGGCCTTAGACAAGTCACCATTTCTCAGCTTATCATCTAAACTATGGGGATAGTAATACAGTACAGGCGTACTATATGGTATTATGTTGTAAGGATGAAGCAGTGCCCACTATCCATGAAGATAGTGGGTTCCGACGAGATCTTGATGAGATCTCACAAGGTTTTGGTGAGATCTCGCTGGAAGCTGCCACTGCTGCTTCTCTGCCACTGGAAGTGGTGGCGGGGTGAGCAGGGTGCCTGCAATGGGTGCCACCTCTTGGACTTCTGCCTTCTGCTGCTTGTCCACCTGATGGACAAGCCCGCCCTGGCTGGAATGTAGCCTATTGTGCAAGAGTTACTTTCATTGCTCCACCCACTATTACCTCTAGGCCTGTCCAATGTTGGCATGCAGCCTCTAGAAAGTTGACCATGAGGTAATGTGGCCTGGTTTAAAAGAAGATAAAACTCAACCCTGAGTTCCTTATTGGAAAGGTAGGGTGCAATTATAGTTAATAAATATAATTATCTTGGGAGATTCACAAATTTGCACGAAGTCTAAAAAGTGATTAGTGCACGTATTCACTGCTCTTTTGGGGGAAAGCCTGAAGTCCCCTTGCTTAAGCCTTAACAAAAGAAATCTGCAGATTTGTCCAATTTGCTCCTCCCTGCCCCCCAGCTCTATAAACAGGCTTTATAAGTAAGCACAGAAAACTTCTTACCTGTTTGGAGGCTTTGGAAACGAGTATAAATCCATTATTATCAATGAGAAAGCAGTTCAGATTCTGAAGAGAAAAAAAGAATGAGGAAGGAATTTCAGCTATAGAGAAGACAATATTGCCTAGTATGAAAGCTTCTGCCTTACCCTGTGAGCTGCTATGATTCTGCTTCCACAGTTCTAGTGGTCTTATGTAAGCCATTACCGTTAACTCTGGCTCCGGTTTGCTCCCACCACTGGCTTTTGAATCCATGTACACACAATGTTACCCACAACAGAAAGCTAACCACTTAGAGATTTCTAAACTTAATTTTATTGTTTTACAATCAAGCAGTATATAAATTTTGTTAAATAAATCAGATAAATCCTGTAGTTCCCTGAGAAATACAACTGTTTGATGTGTTTCCCCATAGACTGCCATTAATCTGAAAGGAAACTTATGCCACATTCGTTTTGCAATTAAGTTGAGCTGTGTACACTTGAGACATCTATTATTATTATTTATTAAATTTGCATATCGCCATATACCCATAGATCTCAGGGCAATTACAATATAAAAAGCACAAAATACATAACAAAAACTAAAAGCAGCCCAATAATCTCCCCCTATTGCGCATGCACAGATGAGTTTCATGAATAGGAGCTTGGGGAAGTGCTATAGGGGCAGGTCTTCACGTTGGGTGAAGACATCCCTGTCCCCTCTGTGCTGTGTACAACAATCAGCAAATGTGACTTGACATGCAGTGTGTGTGGGTGTGTGCCTGGGGAATGTCCTTGCTGTGTTTTAAGCTGCTAATGTGTACATCACCTAAGACTCTCTGATGTTTTGTTATTTCTGTGCTTGCTTACAAGTTTCCTGAATTTGATATCAGAGTACTGGTTGTACTTTTGCACTACTATTGTAGGCTTACACTCCATACTGTTTCCCCCCAAGAGTAAAGCATATTTGGGGGCTCATGCGAGGCTATCCCAGAATCCTGTTCCATTTGGCTTCATAGAGCTGATGCAGTTCTGTCTAGACTCTGTAGCATTCTTTTTAGCATCTTTGGGGCAAAGTAAACACAGCGGTGTACTGCAAGGTACAAGTCTGGTAACTCATTAAAAAAGCAACTGCAGGCTAGAGAAATGAAGTAGATGTTTTTCTGGAGCTCTCTAGCTTTCTCCATACTCCAACACATGTTTGCAATTTGGTCTCAGGTTCCTCTGCCCCTTTGAAATCCAGCTTGCACTTCTGGGAGTTCTCAGTCCACATACTGCTTAAGCCTGAATGAACACTATATTCACATGCTTATCTTCATAATTAGTCATAGCTGTGGTTCTCACAATGTTTTCATAACAATTAATTAAACTTAATGACACTCTCAATGCACAATTGATATTTGGGAATAATATGGGGTACTGCAATTCTGTAAGCTTTCTAAATGGATTCCAGAATTATTATGAAAGTCCAAGTCCTTCCAGTCCACATAAAACCCTCAAGAGGTTTTCATATGCCATTTTTCAGAGCCACATTGTCTTATCAGAACCTTCAAAGATGTATTTTTAAGGCTTCTTGCCTTGAGTGCTGGTCTGTAACTGAGGAAACAAGAGGTTCAGATCCTTGTTTAGCTAGGAAGTTTGCTAGGTAATCGTGGGCCAGTCCCGTCACCCCCATTCTAACATACCTTGGAGACTAAAAGAGAATGAACCATATGCACCTTTGCATTTCTTGAGGAAAGGATGGGCTAAGAATGCAATAAAAACTAATGCATTTTCTTTTTCTCACATTTTAAACAGCTCTGAGAGGTTAGGCTGATTAGTGGTCAGTAAATAATTTACATATATAGAGCCACCTGGGTTCAAATTCTGGCTAGGGACCAAACGGGACATGATGAGGCTGTACTTTATCCACATCCCTACTTCATGGGGGTCAGGTCCATCATTTACATGGGTAAAACATGTGTAGAGGAAAGTGGAAATCTGATCTCCCTGCCCATCTTATCTCTCTGCGCTCTTCCGCTTTACTCAATTTGTCCAGCTCACGTCTGGTGTCAAAAATGAACTAGGAGAAAACTGCTTAAAGCATAGAACACGGGAAGTTTTTCTCTCTTCCCCCTTGCAAGGAATAGACCCACCCACTTTATTTCTGACGGTTGCCCTACCATATCTGGTTTGGATCTCAGGCAAAGAGAATGGCCCTCAGCAATGAACCATCTCTTTCCCCCATCTGTAAAAAACAAAAACTAGCCAAGCAAATAAAAAGCAACAGGGGAATAATAATGATCCTGAGTCACAGAACCCTCAAGTTACATTTCCTCAATTATAGGTCTGAACAATTTAAAATAAAAATAAAAATAAAACTAGCAACTTACATCATTCTGACAGTTCAAGGGACACAGACCATCCACATCACTGCACTGGAATACAAGAGGAGTAGTTAAATAATGTCTCACTTTAGACTGCATTTACCTGGGCATCATTAGGTATTTTTACAGGAGTAAGGAGTAGGCATGTCTAATTCAGGCAATATTTGCACATCATATGCTGGTGTGTTACATCCCCTTCAGCTTTCTCCACAAGAAGGATCATTTTAAGTAAGCCTATGAAAGAAGTGTCCCAGTGGTCTTTTCAGCTCAGCTTCCTAGAGTGGCAGTTGTTCTTTATGTGAATGTGGTTATGCTGTATTTTATCTTAAATTGGATTAAGCTACTTCACCATGCCTTGTTCACCATGACTTTTCTGAAATGTTTCCAACTGAGACATACATATGCAGATGTACAAGAAATATGAGCCTAGGAGTTTGGAACAAATACCACTCCCTGGTGTTTGCTTCTTATGTGTTAGATACATGTTTGTTGCTTCATATGCTGTATTCAGTGTGGAATGATGACTATTTGGTGCATCAAAGCAAATTTCAGTGTAGGTAAACATGACAGAACCAGATGCCCTTGATAGTAATAGTAAAGATTGTTACACAATGGAGAAAGCAGTGACAATGTTGGCTGCCTCTGGTTTTCTGGTAACAGTTTGACAAATGATATATGAACATTGTATAGTGTCCTCGGGCACTGTCCATTTGCTTCAGTTGAAGATCTGAAGTGAACCAAAGTTGACATGTGTCACAGAACTGAACCTAACAATACATGGAGGGTTAAATGGTAGTAAGAAAATATTGTTGGTGCCTGTGGGTTTCATAATTATCATTCATTCTGTGCTTACTGATTTGTCCAGTACAATTCTTCCATGTGTGTTTCCTGCCATGCGTTGGATGATCAATCTGTTGTTGGAAATTACTGGAGGAATATGTTGTGAGGGGTTGCGTAAACTGTGAGTTTTATGTTGGTTGGAAGATTTTAGCATGCTACACATTAGTTTTTTATTACTTTATCTTATGGTTATTATGGGTATGGATATTGCATGTTTATGTATTTCTTAATGTGAATCTTCTGAAAGTCGGCTTCTTGTCCATGTATGTATTTAGATGTATTTGGATTTTTGGTATTGCAAACTGCTTCAAGATCTGTGGATACTAAGCAGTCTATAAAAAGGTAAAGGTAAAGGACCCCTAACAGCTAAGTCCAGTCGCGAACGACTCTGGGGTTGCAGCGTTCATCTCGCTTTACTGGCCAAGGGAGCTGGCGTTTGTCTGCAGACAGATTTTCTGGGTCATGTGGCCAGCATGACTAAGCCGCTTCTGGCGAAACCAGAGCAGTGCACGGAAACACTGTTTATAGAGGACCTAAATCAGGGGTGGGGAACCTTCAAACTGCGAGGCCTCCCAGTGAAGGAAATTTGGAACATGAATCATTTTTTCAAAAAACAAACACCCCAAACCATGCCCATCTGCCAATCAACTGATGTTACTCCAGTTGATGGGCAGGGGTGGGGGGTTGATTCTATGTTAGCTGTTCCCCTGCTATCAAATAGTATGCACAGCAGAAGCAGCAGGTTTTAGCTCTTTCTCATCAGCTGATAAGCAGGGATTAAATCCTGCTCAGTTTGGCTGCATGAATCAATTTCCCTTCTGGGAAGAGCCACATGCAACCAATGCACAGCATGGGGCTGTTTGAAAGTCCCTTTGCAAGCAGCTCTGCACTGTTCTTTGAACCTCCTTTGCACACATACTGTATACAAAGAAGCAGGTTTTAACTCCTGTTCATCAGGGATAAAAAGGTAAAGGGACCATTAGGTCCAGTCACGGATGACTCTGAGGTTGCGGCGCTCATCTCAAGGGGGTTAAATCCTGCTCAGCTTGGCTGCATACCCCAAAATCCCCTGCTGGGAATAGATGCACATGACCAAAGTGCAACATGGAGCTGTTTGACAGCCCCTTTGCAAGCAGCCCCACTCTGTTCTTTGAACCCCCAGTTTTTGAACGTTTAAAGAGCAGCTCAGGGCTGCTTAAAAAAGGGCTTCCAATCAGCTTATGCTGCCCTTTGAAGTCCCAACAACTGGGGCTATCACAGTGACATCAGGCATGACATGAGGATGGTTCTGCCAAATTGTCAAATCTGGCCAGCAGAGGGTGGGGGGGAATAATATCTGCCTGTCAGCTACAAAAGGTTCCATATTCCTGCACTAAATAAATAGATCTGTCTTTTTCACTTTTCTATTCTTTTTTTTTAACAGAGGATTGTTATTATCTAAGATGCACAAGGGAGAAGCTTTTGAAAATGTTGTCTTTTTATTAAAGAACAACAATAATTGAAGAAATCATGGAGCTTCTTAATGTGGATCAGTCATTTTTTAAAACATGCACATTAGCCCAGGAATCACATGCCTGCTCTGTGGTTAATGGAACAGATTGGGAAAATCTGTCAATAAAAGTACTGCCAAAGGCACCCTATTGCTGTCAATCAAACCAGCAAGTATGAAGACACATAGATGATTGAGTGATAATCACTGGGATTTAATGGGAGAGCTCAATTTTCTTTCTTTTGACCCAATTAAGACATAGAGGAAAGGGAGTGTCTATCTCCCCAAAGCTGCTTACTCCTCCATCAGGAGGCCAAATCCCAGTTAAAATATATTTTATTAGTAAATGAGCAGTGTCCCCCAATTTTACAGAAGGGACAGCAAAAAAGAAATAGATTGAAATTTTCTTATATGAATTGCTATATAAACCAGGAACAGTGAAATATCCACAGAAGTATTTATTGTTATGAGTTTGCGTGGTCAGGTGGAGTCCCCCAAACCTTGGGTGGCCCCCATGTGGAAACCATGGTGCCTCATTTCCAAAATGAAACATGGGTAAGCACCTGGAACCTCGCACCGCTTGGAGATTGAGGTGTTGTGCAGCTCTATTGTAGAAGCCTGGGAGAGGGTAGAAGTAGCAACCCCTTAAAAAAAAATAGCAGACTATTTAAAGGTGGGGAAAAGAGCCCTGTCAGCTCTGGTTCATTGTGCCTGTGGCAAAGATTCTGCCATATGTTTCTATTAAATATAGACATTTTCTTGATTTGTACTGGATAAAATAAGCTGTCATCCTGACTGTAACTTTCTTTATTGCCTTGTCATTGTGCATTAGAGCAAGAGGTTATGGCACCCTGACAGCTAATTTGAGATGTAGATTCAACTCAGCACCAACTGAATCCCATTCTTTGATTAAGCTGCACAATCCTGTCAGACAGGAATGCAAATATTTCCTGGAGACAAGAACTGATTGTGATAATCAGATTCCCACTAGTCTGTTTACCCTTCCAGGGCCCACCTGCATATTAATTAAGCTGGTAGGCTGTAGAAATTCCATTAAATGCTTATGATTGGCTTTGCATCATATGGAGGGTCATATCTATCACAAAGAGAAAAAAATCTTTTTTTTTTTCCGTATTAAGAAAATAGTTCTCCTAGGTGTAGACTGACATCCTTAAAGGGAGGCAGGGGTTGGGTGGGCAAATGTTTTTGCAGTTAAAAAAAAACTTCTCCACCTGGTCTTCTGGAAGCAATGTCTACTCTCCACAGGCAACTAAGCTGATTAGTTATGCCCCAGCCTCCACTGGCACAAAGCAGCAATCAGATGGAATACATTCTGGAGAAACAGATTGGTATTCTGTTCTTAGAAGCCATGTCTTAGAAAGCAGGCTAAATCCCTAGCTCTGGAAAGATCAAACTTCACCTGATGATGCAGCAACAAGGCTAGTAACTATTGTGAACTTATTTGCAAAGTTGTTTAGAAGTTGCACAGGACTGAATCGGGCCGTGAGCTCAACCGCATCAGAATCAAGGCTTTGTAACTCTAGCTGCTGCTCTAGGGCTGCTGGGGTGGAAAAGCTTAAAATGTACTTATTCATGAAATATGTTAAAGCTCATCAGCCTCTGATGACTTCATAGGTATCAAGCCATTTCTGAACCTTCAAACTTTTCCCATTATATGACTCAGACTCTTTAGTGCTTCTTGGCAACTTGCTTTGGTTTGTCTGCAAAATTTAGGTACTCTACATATAAACGTATTCAACCCAACTCCTGACACACAAATGACACATGACTATCAACGTTTTATGAAGCACACACAGGAAGGGGCTTCTGGGAAATCTCTTGGCCTTCAAAGCTCCTTACTTACATCAGTGTCATTGGGCTGGCAGATGGTAAATGGAACCATTGACACGCAGATCATTGCAGAACATGGAAGGGAAGTGGAAAGAGGAGACAAAATGTCCATTAGTATCTCCTTATTGAACCATTATTGACTGGCAGTGAACCAAGAGAAGGCTTCTTACACATGAATGGGTGCTGGAAACAGAGCCAGAAATGTGAGCAAGTTTCTTTTCAGCACCCTCAATCATCACTTTCTCATTCCCAGCTAAACTTTGTATAGTGTATAATAATGTATAACTGCACACATGTAAGGAGGCTGATAATGCCAAGTTCTTAAACTGAACTACTTATTTATGACACTTGCCCCTCTGGGAATGAAGTTTTAGCCTCCATTTATTCTCAACTAGATAGTCATATTTTGGGCCGGGGGTGGGGTGGAGTTAGTTCTCAATGTGCACCTTTCCCTCAAATGTCTGTAATTATGGGATGAATGTGCTTGTTGTTGTGGTTAATTTAATTTTTCCTGCATTCACCTTAAGGTCCCAGGGTGGGTTACAACAACCTAAAATACAACATTAAAAACAGTTTAAAATGACTTACAATCACAAAAATGGGGTGGGTCCTAAAAATATACATCTCAGGTGCCAAATGCCAGTGTAAAAAAGGGAGTTCCACAACAGGGGCTGCCACAAAGAATGTCCTTTCCCAGGCTACCACCATTCCAAGCTTCTGGCGCAACGAAACTATCAAGAGGGCCCCCTCTTCCTATCTTAACACCCAATAGGATCTATAGGAAAGGAAGCAGTCTTCAGGTATTTGGGGATTTAAACACTGGTGTGGGCACGTTAAATTAAGCCCTGAAGTGAACTGGCAGCAAATGCAACCAGTGGTACAGAAAGTGCTTACAACCACAGTACTATGAGATTGTATCAACAACACCCTTTTAAATTCAGCCTTAAGAAAATAGTTTGAGGCAGAATGAATCGCCATTTAGATTGGGGTAGGCAACCTAAAGCCTGGGGGCTGGATGAAGTCCAATCGCCTTCTAAATCCAGCCCGCGGACGGTCTGGGAATCAGCATGCTTTTACATGAGTAGAATGTGTCCTTTTATTTAAAATGCATCTCTGGGTTATTTGTGGGGCCTGCCTGGTGTTTTTACATGAGTAGAATGTGTGCTTTTATTTAAAATGCATCTCTAGGTTATTTGTGGGGCATAGGAATTTGTTCATTTCCCCCTCCAAAATATAGTCTGGCCCCCCCATGGTGGACCGGCCCAGCTGAAAAAGGCTGCTGACTCCTGATCTAGATTAAGCAGAGACAGCATGATGGAGTGCAGTGCAATCAGGATGGTAGAGGGGAGTCGGTAAACTTTCTGCCTAAAACCAAACAAGATTTTGAAGGGCTGAATCGGTACAAACATAATTCCACAATTAAATGTGTCAGCTGCAGTGGATTTAATGCCATGCCAGGCTTGTGATGTTCTGTTAACATGACGTTCTGAGAACAGACTGGCAGCTGATGCAGCACTGAAGTTGTCAAAGGATTAGCAAAACGTGTCATTTAAAAACTAATCTATTGCACAAATCTGTTTAATACACATTTTAGAAAGGATTTTGTGGAAATGTGGCAAGTAAAACATCACCATATATCACCTTCTGTTTTTGTACTATACTTCAGCATTCTTACCTGCTGTGTAGCCATCCAAAACTTACGCTGAAGAAATTCTAGTTTAATTTGCACACCCACAGCTATGGAAAAACAAAACAAGGAGGTTGGGGGGAGAGAGAGAGAGAGAGAGAGAGATGTTAGGGAAAGAAACTAAATATTTCCATGCAGTCACCAGAAGAAATCGCACCATTTCCAAGTGTAAATGACAGGTAAATGCTGAGTCAGAACATAAAGTGAGAGTCAGGGGTTTAACAAGGTGATGCAAACGGAAGCATCAACTGCTGTGCTGAAGTACAGACACCTGCCTCCCACTAAACACTACCAAGATACAACAGGCTGCCAAAACACTTTCCCCTTTGGTTGCTGCAGATTATAAAAGCCATCTGATATAATCATGATTCAAAAGTGCAATATAGGAAGACTCTTAGGCTGCAAACAGAAAATACAGTAATTCTTAAAGAGAGCTGAAAGTGGCAGGAGACAGGTATTGCTTCCCAAGTTCTCTACATGTGTTTTGTTTGTTCCAAAGAAGCCTTTACTCCAAAGGCTTTTGGAAAATGTATAAAAAAACTCTGCAAAATCTTTTTACCAGAGGCAAAAGTACACAGTAGGAGCAGTGCTTGCATTTTCAAATTACCTTCAGTTCGTGGAGAGAGGAATCTTTCTCATCTGTTGTCTGCCTAAAGTCATCTCGTGTGTTCATGGCAGAGGTAAGATCTGAGACTGAGATCTTGGTTCACAGATAAGTCCCCTGGCCTTCATGCCACACTAGCCTCTTTACCCTTGGAATCTGATGTTGGAATGCAGCTTTGAAAGCGTCGAAACCATAGAGGAAAGAGTTCTGTGCTATGCGTACATTGAACCTGGCAGCCAGCATCAGGGGCAGAGTACATCATTTTTGCTCTCGGAGCCATGGTGTCAGTGTCCTTCATGTCATGTTTCTACTGCTGGTACATCTTAGAGCATTCTTATAATAAAACGAATCTGACTGTTGTGGAATAAGGAAGGGAATTATTTCCTACAGCTGCCTTCTCCCTGAATTCCTGAACATGCACAACCAGACAAGACACAAGATTCATCTGGGTCCAAGTTGTAAAGATGTAATGGAAATAGAAAAGAAGAGACTGAATTTTTCTCTGGCATTATTGGCTAAATATTCATTGAGTTACACTGAAGAGGCAGCAGTGAGGATCTTTACAGAATAATAAAAGGCAGGTTTCAGCCTGAGTGCTAAGCAGGAGCCAGCAAAGAAACACCACAAGCCTGGCCCCATGGGAAAGAATTGAGGAGCCTGGCTGGAGGTGAGTATAACCATGAGACATACTCTCCTGTCACTTTTACAGTGCAAATCTATACATTTTTACAGCCACTTTTACAGTGCAAATCTATACATCCTGTGTTTCCTCAAAACACAGGAAGATGGAGAACTCCTTTGTACCTAATTCATCAAATTGTCCACTTAACTCAGAATTGTCCACTCTGACTAGTAGTGAATCTCCATATTCTCATGGATCAAGATTGTACCTGATCCTTATTTTTTAATTGAAGTTTTTGTGTGGCAATTCTTGTAATAATACAAATAAAAGGACATTAAAATAAAGGAATAAAATAAAAGGGAGATTTAAAATACGGAAGGGGGTAGCAGGTTGAGGTGTTTTGACCATTTAAACTGGAAAGGCATCCATAGCAGTGACCAAAGGAGGAATGACCACTGAGAAGAGCACAGATAGAAGAAATACCATGGGGCATCTGCAGCAGCACAACGAGATGTCTTCATCTGCCCCAGCTGCAACAAAACACGTCTCTCCCATATGGATCTCTACAGCCACAGCAGGCGATGTAAGCCTCCAATAGTTTGACTTCATCCCCAAAAGTGCACTCCTACATTGCCTTCTGAAATAGACGGATGCCAACAACAATTCTACTACTATAGATCCATCCTCAGGGATCTATCATGCCCCCAATGGGCCTTATTTCCATGTAAATATGCACAGGACTGCAGCCTATGTCACTCCTGTGCCATTTCTCTTTTTTGACCCAGTACTGGTGAGGTGGATTGCAAAGGTGAAAAAGGTAAGACAAAAGACAACCCAGTCTAAAATTATCAGCAGTTGCTATGCTGGAGGGGTAGGATTTATTTATCTTTAATGGAGTGGGCTCACGTAACTCTTTCAGTAGTACAGTAAAGAAACTATCAAGTCTAAAAAAAGTAAAATAAAAATAAAACATTAACTTTAAAAATAGGCTTCAAGATGGCACAGGTATTTTGGTACAAGAAGGAGTATATTATTCACCAGCGAAATCGTAGAAACAATAGGTGCATGCAACACAGCAACAATATTCAAAACAGCAGTGCTTATTGCTGTGGAGTTGCTTGTAAAAGGAGTAATTACCTACATTTCTCCAGGACCTGGTTCTAAACATTTTGAGGGCTGGGATACTGCAATCACCACTACCCTCCTCCTCCAATTTTACTAGTTCCTGAGCATGAAAAACCCATATTATTTGGTAAGGACCTGCAACTAATATCCCTCTGGTGCTATTTGATGGGAAAACATCATAGGCTGTAAATGAGGCTGTTTGCAGATTTGGTTTAAAAGACATTCTGCCTTTGTACACAGGGTAAATTCCCTGTTATCCCTTGAAACCATTCAAGTGAGAACCATTTCCTTTATCACAACTAGATCATATCACTGGCCTGCAGCTTTCTTACAACTCTTTAGTGGATAATGCCAGAACAACAAACCTTGGAAGAACATGAAAGTACTAAGCATTTCATGTTTTCACCAGAAGAAATCTAAATCCTGGCAGATTGTGCAAAGGGAATGAAAAACATGGCAAAGAAGAATCTGTTTTCCATCCGTCCTACAGAATACACAAGTAAATCCCACTGCATTTAGTAATTAGCAGGAGGGTCAATACAATACAGTTATGTCAAAAGTGAAGATTGCTAAGTAGTTAATATGCTTCATATCAACAAATGGAGAAGGTAGATAAATGGTGTGAGGGGGGGAGACAGGGAAGTTTGTGTGCGAGTGGAGTGGGAGTAGGAAGCAAGCCAAAGTTCAGGGCTAGCCATGTAGTACATTCTTGTACAGCAATTTGTACTCAAGCTACCGATACCAGATATGGCACTTGTCACTGTTCGGGCTGCATGCATTTATGCATAGGGTGCATGTGTAAGAGCATAGGAAAAACCATGCTGAATCACAGTGACAAACCAAATGTCAATGAGAAACCTGCAAGCCAAAGCTGAGTGCAACAGCATTCTCTCCACCTGTGATTCCCAGCAATTGGTAGTCAACGGCCTCTAACAGTAAACTTCCCTTGGATTAAAAAGCAACTTACCATGTGGAAAGGAAGGCAGGAAAAAAGGAAGGTGTTCAAGAACACAGCAAAAAGCCCCTTTCAGTACACCAAACTACCGTATTTTTCGCCCCATAGGACGCACTTTTTCCCCTCCAAAAATGAAGGGGAAATGTGTGTGCGTCCTATGGGGCGAATGCAGGCTTTCGCTGAAGCCTGGAGAGCGAGAGGCATCGGTGCGCACCGACCCCTCTCGCTCTCCAGGCTTCAGGAAGCTATCCGCAAGCCTTGCAAGCCTGGCGGGAGTTCCCGTGGGCTCACAAGGCTTGCGGGCAGCAGCCTGCAGCCCCGGCGAGTGTCCGCAAGCCTTGCGCGCCCGGCGGGAGGTCCCGCCGGGCGCGCGAGGCTTGGGGCGGCACCTTGCTGCTCGAAGCACGCGGAGCCATCCGGAGGGCTCCCCGTGCTTCGGGCGAGTGTCCGCAAGCCTTGCACGCCCGGCAGGAGGTCCCACCGAGCGCGTGAGGCTTGGGGCGGCAGCCTGTCACCCGAAGCACAGGGAGCCCTCCGGAGGGCTCCCCGTGCTTCGGGCGAGTGTCTGCAAGCCTCGTGCGCCCGGCGGGAGGTCCCGCCTGGCACGCGAGGCTTGGGGTGGCAGCCTGCAGCCCGAAGCACGCGGAGCCCTCCGGAGGGTGCCCCGTGCTTCAGGAAGGTGTGCGCAAGGCTTGGGGCGGCAGCTGCAGCGGGGGGGAATATTTTTTTTTTATTCATCCCCCCCCCCCAAAAAAAACGAGGTGCGTCCTATGGGCCGGTGCGCCCTATAGGACAAAAAATACGGTAGCTACATGGATCCTAACCTATATTATACTGTATTAGTTCTCTATCACTTGCAGCTTGTCCTTCAAAAACATACAGAAATGGAAGGGACGCATCTTCTTTCCTAGTCACAATTTTACGTAATTTAAAAGGGACACATTACGTAATTTAAAAGGGTATCTCTACCCAGGTAGAAATGTTTGTGAGAGAAGCCAGATATAGAAGGCCTCAGACCAGGGATATCCTGCTAGCAGCTTGTGGGCCAGATCAATCCTCAAAAACAGTTTGGAACTTGACAGCTCTATGTAACTTAAATGACGACACGGGGTAACCTTTGCCAAGGGTTGTAAGGAAAATGTTTTCAAAAGGTGTGAGTCTGAGAAATTGACATTTAAGTTCTCTGACTCACATTTTCTGAATTTATTTCAATAAATGCTTCAGTAAAACATCTGCCCATATGTACTTCTTGAACAGCAAGATTAACATATGAGAAACGTGGACAGGTAGGATATGGCCTTTTCCATTGTGGCATGACAACTGTAGAACGCCTGTTCAGGGGAGATGCCAACTGTCTCCATCACTGCCCAGAATCTGTCAGGCAAAAAGGATGTGCATTTCAGTTGGCCTTTGAGGGTATATTGATTTATTGTATATTGTTAGCCTAGCATCAATGCTTATGACCAAGAAGGAGGGTCACCACTCCTAGATCTTTCTTTGGTGGCAGAGTAAACCAATAATTTTGGAAAGGGAGATTTCATTACATGTCCCCTAATCTGAGTACGTTTCAGTTGGGACATTTTGGAACATAATAGGCTAATGGGAGCCAGTTCTTGGAACCACCTTCACAAACAATGGTTTTGTAATCTTGGACCCTATTACTGCAACCCATTTTTTCATGCCATCAGGATTTTGTCCATTGTCTCACTGGTTTCAGACTACAGGAAGGAAGGAAGGAAGGAAGGAAGGAAGGAAGGAAGGAAGGAAGTTCTGTTGTGCAGTTCCATCTCTGAGAGAGAGACAGAGACAGAAAGATGGCTTCTTTGCAACATAATGGCTAAGAAAACTGGTCCCAGTTACTGTAAGTTAACTGACAATTATAACACATACAAATCCCTCAAAATCTGAACCCATTATGCCTTTTCGAAGGACTGCAAAAATTACCGTAGTTACTTAGCCTGGCTTTTAATAGCTAGTGCTAAGCCTATTCACACTGCACATAGTTAAACTTCAAAATTTGCTGCCACAAGATATAGAAATGGCCTCCAGTATGAGGTATCCCTTGAAAAGGGATTAGACAAATTCCTGAAGACTAAGGCTATCAATTACTACTAGACATGATGACTATGCATGGCCTCCAGTATTAAAGGTATTAGAGGAGACTTCCGGGTTAGCTCCTCCGGCAATGGCGGATTTCCTCTGACCAGGAGGAATCTGCTTCATGAGAATTAGGGTCTGGACCGCCGCGGCGAGGCGGAGACCCATTAAAAACCACAGGCGGGAGAAGCCTGTGGACGTGGGATTCGGCTGGCACCTTTTGCGCCTCCCCTATTCGCAGGAAAACCCGGTTTCGGGGATCTGGAGCGACGTGGGGTGAATGGCGCGGTGCTTTGAATCGACTGCTTTTTTCACGGAGTGAAGCCGCATTGCTGTTGCCAGAGAGCGCTGACTTTTTCCTGTGGACAATTGGATTTTAAACAACTACTCGTGAGTAAATCGGAAAATTGGATTTTTAAATACTTTAATTTGGCACTGAAGCGGGAGGTCATAAACAGGAAGTCCGCCTTCCGTTTTTGTAAACTGCCTGAAGCAAAGACGTTACAAGTTAAAGCCTTTGAAAGCTTTTGGCAAAGGATTAAATTTCCATCGGTTTAAAATACAAAACCCCCCTTGGAAGCAGGAGAAGAGGGGGAAATCTTGGATCTAGTGAGCCTGCAGGAGAGAGTGAAAAATCAAATTACCACTGCTCTGAATCTGGGAACGGGCTGCCAGATGACGTTTGGAGAGAGTGCATTTGACAGAACGGATTTGACAGCTAGCTAAATAAGAGTAAGATACTGTTTCCATTGTCCTTCTCTGCGTTTAAAAAAGAGGAAAAGTAACTGAAATTTTATCTTTAATGTTTGAGCTGTGCTTGAAAGAACTGATACAAGTGGAGACTGTTTCCCTTTAGAGGGAGCTTTTGAAACTGTTACAGTAACTGGGGGATTTCCAGCTGCAGATAAGGATTCTGAGAACCAGAGAGCGACCTTGGACCATTTAAAAATGTTGACAGGAGAGGCCACTGTGACTGTTCTATGTAAGATAAGCTGTTCGCTGGGACAGCTTCACAAGAAGATGGATGACATGACTTTTAAAGTTGACAATTTGGAACAGAAAGTGACTAATTTGAGTCAAAAAGCGAACATCAACACAGAAATAATTCAGGACTTGGTACAGGAATCCATTTTGGCAGGACAAATGGTGGAGAAGAAGGAGGAGAAGGAGAATGCTGCTGTTGTTGAACATAAAGTTGAACATAAAGTAGTACAAGTGAGATCCGTGGCTTTACAGAAGCAAATTGAGGACTATAAGTTGAGGCCTTTAATGATTGAATCTAGGAAAAGTCAGACTCTGAGGAATGGACCCCGGCTTGGACGAAAGAAGGAAAGTCGGAAAGATCCCTCTGTGCAGGGATTAACTGACTTTTGGGACATGGACTCAGGCCTGGAGGAGATTGAAGTTTTGGGGGCCTTTGGACTTGGAGGAATCTTGAAATATGCCCTGAAATACTTTATGGACTGTAGCTTTAACTATGGAAATTTGGCTGATCTGTTCAGAAGGAAGAAAAGGATTGACAGGTTGGAGTTTCCCGAGATTTGCTCTTTAGCATTAAAGAAAATGAAGAAGACCTGCAGAAGGGACTTGGAAAAGAGTTAAGAGCCTCGGACATAAGATCACCAGGTTGATGGACTTTATGGAGTTGACGGAAAGGACTGGCAGAATCCGAAACCAGGGAGAGGAGATGGTGGAAGAAGATTGGAAAATTTAAAGTTTATATATAGACTTATGGTAAAACTAATGAATGATAGAAAAATGGTGGAATGATCTTTTATGGGCTTAGCAGAAATGTTATAAGGAGTTAAGTATATATAAGTATTTTAGTTTTAAGGTTAAAAAATATGTTATTTACAATATGATAGAAAATGGAGAAAGATGGAAAGGATTTGCTGAAACAATTAAAAGAAGTGGAATACAAAAAGGGAGGTGAGAGGAGGTCGAGGAAACAAGGGAATGAAAGATAGAGTACGGAAAAGAGAGGATGTATGTTTTTTTTTAATTTTTTTTGTTTTGTTTCATTTAGGGTTAAGGTTAGGGAGTGGGGTTTGTTTAGTTTAGTTTAATGTGTTTAGTTTTGAGTTTAGGTTGTGTTTTGCATTGTTTATATATTGTATTGTATTGTTGTTTTTTTCTTTTTGCTTTCCTTCTTTGCCTTTTTTCTGTTTTTTCTTCTTCTTCTTTTTTCTCTTTTTGTAATCTATAAAAGTAATAAACATTATTTTAAAAAAATATTAAAGGTATTAGACCTCTGAAGCAGTGTTCTAGTTGCTGGGGATCATGGGGAGGAGAGTGCTGTTGTGCTATTGTCCTGCCTGTGGAACCACAGGCAGGACACAGTGGTTGCGCACTGTGAGAACAGAGTACTGGAAGAGATAGGCCTTTGGTCTGATCCAGCACAGCTTTTCTTATGTTCTTATGGCAGTGGTAATTTAAATTTCATTGGGTGTTTTGTATTGTATTGTTACCCATCTTGAACCTTGGAATGCAGCAGGATAAAAACTGAACTTAATGAAGGCTTGCTGCAGAATGTTTTTCTAATTTTACTAAGCGTGGCAGACCCGAGACAACTCTTTGAAAATAATTTTCACTTTGTCCATGCTGCAAACTCTATTCCTTTCTACCTGGTTCAATACACTCTTGTCTCCATTATTCTGCCATGGCAGTTGGTTTGCCTTTAAAAAAGGGCATCATTTCATAAAGGAGGACCTGAGAGTAACCAGAAAGAGACCTCTTTTGATATATTTTATCCTTTTAGTAAGTGAAAAATGTCTGCCCATCAAGTGCTTGTCCTATTGTTGCTGAATGTCTAAGAGCCATTATACTTAAAAAGTAACTTCAGAACTGTCTAAAAATAATTAAAAATGGAAGTAAAGCAAATACAATCTAAAAAAAAGGAGAGGTGGCATTGGAGGGAATGCAGTTAGAGCAGATAGGATGAAGGGTAATTCCTGCTGGACAAAGCTTTGGGGAGGGAAATTGAGGGCAGCAGAAAGATGTTTGACAGAAATGAAAATTTGCAGGAAACAAAAAAAGGACGTAATATGAAAGATTTCATAGAGGTAGCTGAGCAGGTCCTCCTGGACTGATACCCAATCTACACATTATGCAGACTGAGGTGACTTACTAGGGATGGAGAAATTATAGCAGGGTGTTTGTACAGGAATCACATTTCTTCATATTGTGTCGCTCAGCTCTGTCTCATCCCTATCTAGGGATGCTGGGGATTGAACCCAGAGCCTTTTGCATCCAAACAGATGCTCTACCACTGAGCTATGACCCTTCCACCATAAGCTACTCTTTCTGCCAAGCTGTTGTAGCTGCTAGCTCTTTATCCAGAGTCAGGTTTCAGTCCATCTTGGAGACATAAACTGTATTTTCTCCTTTCTGCTTTCCAGGTTGCCAAGGAGCCTGGGTGCTGCCTTCCACTCTGGCCCCTTAACCCCCTACTCTGTGCCTATTCCAAACCCTACTGAAAAACTAGCAGGCAGGCAGCCAACTCCTTCACTTTTCACTGTGTTTTTTATTGTGCACAATTAGTCTCCTTTCTTCCCCATACCTCCTGCTGCTTCATAACAAGGGGAAGAAAGGAAGGAGGATGCTTAAATCCCTCCTGATTATCTGCTCCTGCTTCTCAAAAAGGGGTGAAGGGAGTTCAAGCAATACAAAAGCACCTGCTGTTTCCCAAGGAGAAGATGAGGGTAATTCTGAGCTTTCAAGCTCCTGACAGACTCTAAGACTGTAGATGTTTTGAGAGTAGATTCTGCTTGCTTGTCTGGGTCGGCTCCTTCTCACTGGGTGAGCCTGTGTGTCTGAATGTGCATGCATGCTCCCCTCTCTCTCTCTCTCTGTGTGTGTGTGTGCGCGCACTGCTGCTGCCATCACAGATGTACCCCCAGCTGTCACTCCACCCTGCTCCGTCTCGTCCTCTCTCTTTCTCTCTTCTCTCTCCTCCCCACTTGGCGCTTTCTCGATTATTCAGCTGACTGCCGTCCCTATTGCACACAGCTAGCTCCCCTTTACTCCACTGCTGCACTTCCGATGGTTCCAGAGTCTTGGCATCATGCAGGGCGAAGGGGGATGATGCCGAGCGGCGCTTTACGAGCGCTTGCCTGCCTGCCTGCACATCGCTTGCACAGAAACGTTGGGATATCCACAACAGGGTTTGGCAACTCTAAAGAGATTCCATCCCAGCCAGCAGAGAACTGTAAGTAGCGGATCTTGTCTCTGTGCTACCATCTGACCGCTGGGAAAATTGCTTCCACTTGTCTGCCCTTTGCCATTCTGTCCAGAGGGTATTCACTGATTTAGGGAGGGATTTACGAGGCTGATGGATCAATCTCCCTCACTTTCTGTGTGCATGAAAAGGCAATTCTGAGGGAGAACACAAATGACCAAAGCCACGGGCCAGTCGTTTGATTGACAGAGTGGCAGGTGATGATGAGTCCAGTGCGGATAGTTGTGGGTAATCAAAGTCAGATGCAGAGGGCTGAAAGAAATAGTGCCTGCCAGCCAGTGATAAGGCATAACGCTTCCTCAGTGGCAAAGATAGTTATAGCCTCAGAGAATAGGCACTGTGAGGGTCAGTAGTTTGGATCGCTGTTGCTTATGCCTACCCCATCCCCCTGAATACTGGATCTTCTTGCATCCCCATCAAGAACAATTTCATATGGAAACTTGCCCAGAAATAGAGGGGTGGAGGGAGGAGAGAAGTACCACTTTAACTAGTGACAGCTTTAAAGGCACAATTTCTAGACTGAGTTGCTTCTTTAAAAGAAAGAAAGAAAGCTGGGCAAAACGAAGATACGGACAAGGAAAATGAAGGAAGAAAAAACGAGTATGTTTGTGGACTAAGAGCTTGTCCATAGAAAGTTCAGATGCCAGCAAAGAAGATTTTAATGTGATAAGGCACTTTCTCTTGGATTTGTTTTTTTGTGCCCCTGTTCCACTGATGCACCGCATGAGAATCATGCTACAAAACATGAACCCAGAGATGCCGTGCTGCAAGAGGAGCCAAAAATAGTTGTCTCATCCTTTCCCCCCTCCCACTGCTGCCCTGGAGGCTGGTCCCGGAGATCAGTGAACCTTTGTGAAGGTGTCATGCTGGTGGAAGCAGGGGGAGGAAAAGGGCACAGGCTACCTTTTTGTTGTTTTTGATACATAGGAAGGATTTACTCAGAAGAAAGCAGGCGGCACTGAGAAGAAAAGCAGGGAGAAAAGGGGGGGAGGGGAGGGCTTTCTAATCATTTCCTCTGTGTGTGTCCGCCTGTGTGTGTGTGTGTGTGTGTGTGTAAACAAGATCAGAGAAATGTGTGTGCTGAATGAGACAGAGTGCACACATGCATCTCTTATTCACAGCAGCCTGCCACAATGCATCCATTTCATTGCCTGTCTTTATTTATTTTAAAATTAAAGTAGGAATTGTTTGGACCTCAGCTGATTTCTAGACCTACTTACCATGCAGCGTATGGAAATGCTGTTCTATGGTATTGCAGTTTGCCATAATAATAATAATAATAATAATAATAATAATAATAATAATGTTTTAGACCCTCACCCACTGAGAGCCTCATATTTATTTATTTATTTATTTATTTATCAATCAATCAATCAATCAATCAATCAATCAATCAATCAGAACAACCCTGTTAGGTAGGCCAGTATTATGATAGCCATGTTATGTGAGGTGGAAGATAAGGTTAAGAGACATTGGCCTCTTTTAATGGGCTCATATTTCAGATTGAAACGGGGGTTTCCAAGCTTACATAGTACCCTCTTCACCACCAGTGAAAGGCTGGAAAGTCAATAGTGGGTGGAGCCAGAGCCAATTAATACTAGTTTTGTCTCCATCTTTCTCTCTGCTGAGTTTATCGAGGGCAACACTGAGGAGGAGGCAGCCAATAGGAAATGCTACCCACTGGATTGGTTTTAAGTAAAAAGGCAAGTGGTTACGGGCAGACTAAGGTTGGTGGGGCACTACCCTTTTTGCCACAAGGGACAAGCCCCTCCATTGTTTACCATGCCACCTTTCAAAAATCTGGATCTGAACTTTCCCCATACTTTGAGAGAGTTCTGGTAATGGGTTCTGTCCCGTTTTAGTCATAAATCTAGTCGCAAACAGGGTCAGTACATCTCACCCTCCAATAATTCTCTGCAACTTGTGAATTTCAGAAAAAAAACTTAGGAGTTGGTTCAAAGCTGGGGAAGCAGGGACAGATGCTGTCCAAGGTGCTGTTATACAATAGAAAGGGGGATACTTTGCGCACTTTAGAACACATGGACAGATTTGTCACAAAGGTCAGAAAACTAGGGGCTCCTCCTCTTTTGTCAGCTGAGGTCATTCCAGAAGCAGAGACCACTTTGCTCTGGAGCTTTGTGCTAGGGTCCATTTTGTAAGACTGGATTGTTCTGCAACTGCCGAGAATGAACAATGTTTGCTAGTGGATTATTTCAAGTGAGTGAAGGGCCCGAGGGAATTGTATCCCAGATTGACATTATTGCAGACACTATAAGCAGTCACCATTCTACCCAAGGCAGTTAAAATAAATCCAGATAAAGGATCTGCATGGAGGAAAGCCCAAACAATTTTGTCGTCTCCTAGTAGCATACACTCGCTTTCACTCTGAAAACTGCCTGCCTGCTAGTGCACTGAATTAGGATTTATGATTCCTTAATAATAAGATGTCTCCCTTTCAATATTTCAAACCTCCATTAAGTTATTTTCTAAGCCTTCTGCAGCACTCCGATACTGTGGTAGGAGGTGTGAACATGTCAAAACTCAAACATGTTATGGTGGGTGATGTCTAGATGAAAGCATATGGTATATGATGACAGTACTGAGGGAAGAGAGGAAGTCAGTTATCGCATGTGTGAAGATGTAATAACCACATCAGCACCAAGCAGCCCCTCTGTTCCCCGAAGGCATAACATAAATGAGGCCCTCTTTTGCTTATTTTGGTACCAGGGTGCAAATTCTTTTCCTGGGTACAATTTGTCCTGCTACAGTCTCTCCACTGGAGCCAGAGTCCTAAATTACCCTCAGTAGCACCCACCAGAAACTTAGTGGTGAAGAAATAACTCCACCTGCAGCCATTTACAGCAAAATCCTACGCATGTTTACTCAGAAGTAGTTGAGTTCCCAAGTAAGTGTGTACAGGATTGCAGCCTAAGTCTCTTAAAAGTAGACAAATCCTTCAGGACTGGCAAAGTGGGAGCATCCACAAGCACTTTATAGACTTCAATCTTGTGGAGTCTCAAAATATGAGACCTGGATACCTTGGCCAGTTCACAAAGCATTAGGAATATAGGATACTGCCTTACATTGAGTCTAACCATTGGTCCATCTAGCAAAGTACGGTCTGCACGGACTGGCAGTAGTTCTCCAGCATTTCAGGCAGGAAGCTCCCGCAGCAATATGTAGAGATGCTGGGAGTTGAACCCAGGGGTATTTTCCATGCAAATCATGCACCACTGAGTCATGGCACTTCCCCTGAAGGCATGGGCTGTGAGGAAAGAGGATCCATTCTGATGAGCCATATGGCAGCATTTCAAAGCACTTCCCACTTCCCTGATGGTCTCTTAATTGTCCTTCTGAAGCAGTTGGCTTTAGTGTGTATCACATGGGTTCTGCACGGGCATCTCAAGGAACACTCTGGGGGGCTAGAATGTCCCCTGTGGAACCTGCTGGAGATGCTTAAGGCTTCTTCCGAGTTGTGGCATGCAATGTGCTTATACCACAGCGGTTAATCAAGTGAAGCAAATTCATGAAGCTAATTGAGGCAGAAAGAGGAATAAGCAAAAGTCCTTTTCAGAGTTCAGTATAAATATAGTGCAATTTAAGGAGGAGGGTGAGCCTTCCTCTGGGAACTTTGCTAGCAGCTGTAAATGCAGATTTAAAAAACCCCTTAGGAATGAAAAGTGGCTGCCATATTATTGTTGACATCTTTTGCTATTCCGTATCTTGATGTCTGTGGTGATGACTTTATGCGCAAAAGCCCCCACAAAACAGAGGCAGCTATCCAGTTTCTAACAGACTTCAAGTCTGAAGTGTGGCCCTTCACTATTCGCTCACTCTTCCCAAACCGCCTTTCTCCTTGGCTGGCAAAATGGCTCACAGCTTTTCACATGATGATAACTCTGATCAGATGGGGGACAGGAAAAGTGAGGCCAATTGGACTAGGGTGAAGCATACTGGAATTAAGGATTGATAAACTAGAAAGCTTTCAAAGTGTCAAGATTCTCATTGTTCTGCTCCCAGGAATGAAAGTGACATATGTAAGAAAG